AGGTACAATCTGATTGCACATCGACAAACCAGACGCCTCCAGGAATGCACCTTTAATCATGTTGCAGGTACCATGACTCCAAGAAACGATATGGGCACTGAGCACGGCCCAACTCCGGGCGCGGTAGAATCGTGGCGCTTGCCTTCGCAGTGTTTGCCGGGGAGGGCTTGGCCTCCCGTCAACCAGAATTAATAGTCAACCAGTATGTGGTCCATCAAGTAGCAACTTGTCTGTTCTTGCATTTGTCGATTTCGAATGAGCGGTTGAGGCTTAGTGGGAGGCTAACCCGGCCGAGCCACGAGCTTCAAATTTTATTCCTCGCAGTCTGACTTAGCCGAACCACACGGTTCATATTCTATTTCTGGGACTCCATCACGAATTAGCCGTTGAGAGCATACAGTGGGAAACAGGATCCTCATAGTAATGGATAGATATAAATACTGAACTTCGAAACGCTCATTTAGGGCATTGTCTCAATACATCTCTTTTATTCTTCGTATTATTATTAAAGTATCTTTAACACCAAAGCCTCGTCACGTACACCATTCTACTCACCAGCATTTGCGTATGCCCCCGGCCTGACCGCAGCCAGATGTCTCGGCGGGAGCAACATGCGCCCGGAACACGGCATCGAGGTCGTTGATTTCTTCTTTGCCGCCGGCTCCGAGCTGCAGATGAACCCACTAGGCGCAAATAACGAGTTTAAGAAGACAGGAAAATCAAGTGACGGAAAATTTCTCAACGTCTTGGTTAAGAATAACGGTGACGAAAGAACCGTCTCCAGCAACCAGGCCGTTGATGCATGGATTCGGGAATGGGTCGGGTGCGAGCATGGCGGTGAGAGGAGTTACGATGACAAGCTCGATTATACGTATGTTGCCTTTTCTTTCCTTGGATTTCATGGGGACCGAGATCCACATGTACAGATGTGATGAATAAGCGCATTAATTATTTGGCGATGTAGATGGCACTTGGATTGCTGAATGGGTTTGCATGGAAATATGATCATTTCTTTTTGGCTATATGATGTCGTAGATGACTACTTGGAGTGATTCCCTCCATCTTCTTTCGAAATAAGTGTGTAATGAAATTTTTAATACAACAGATCTTTTTTATCCCCCTCATTGAGACCATTCAATCGTACTTTTCAACACCCGCAAGTCGCAGTAGCTTCTGCGTGAGTTCGGGCTTCTCGAGTGGTTCATCCCTCTCACACGGATCAACAACGCCATCTATCTTGGCCTTGCCGTGAGAGTAAAGATTGCAGTGCGGCCAGTGTGTGGTCGCCTCCCAACGCTTGAAGATCTCAATCTTCTTCTGGCGGTCTTCCTCCAGCATGAACGATGCTGGGGTGAAGCAGGCATAAATAATGGTCCTGATAATGTCCGACTCGGGGAACGCCGCATAGTGCATGCTTCGGCTGTCCCATAGGATCAAGTCACCGGGTTCTGCGCAGACCTTGATGATCTCACAGCCCTGCTCCTTGTACCAGTCTACGTGATGATCCTTGAAAGGGTAAAAGTCGTAGTGCTTGGCACCAATTCCCTGAGTTCTGTCCGGGGGGTTGAGAGAGAAGAATTGGTTGAACAACTTAGAAGATCCTCTCATGAGCACCAGACCGCCGTCCTTGGGGCCGGCGTCCGAAAGGTTGATGATGCCCTGAACACAGGACAAACCCTTGCGCTCTGGGGCCTGGTCAACGTGTGGCCAAGGAGACCAGCTGACATCTTTGCGGCCTGGGAATGTGATGTTGACAGTGTCATAAGAAACGACGAGCTTGTCAGTTCCCCAGATCTTTTCAAATGCTTCAAGAACACCTGGCTCTTGTCGTGCATCCCAGACGTACTTCTCATGAGCAGCGCAGTAGTTGAGGTACATGCCTGCCTTGAAGCTCTGGGGAAGATGATCTTGTGTCCAGGTCGATCGGTCGTTGAGATCGAGCCCTTTGTCGAAGCTCGTGATCCACTCCAACGCCTTGTGACGGTAACCTTCGGCACGATCTTTCGGTATAGCTCCTTTCAAGACAACGTAGCCGTCTCTGAAAAAGTCATCGCGCCAGTCGTTGTAGGTATCAAGTGCCGAGTCGTCAAGGCTGGTGACGTGCAGCTTTGGAGCGGTAGTCTCCACTACGGTAGTGGTTGTGGTGGACATGATGGGCGATGAGAATGCTAATGCAATGACTAGTATGGCTCAATTGTGTTGTTCAATTTTGTGCTTGCAGCAGGTTGTCTCCAGATATGGATATACATTATCTAGACTAGTTATAGTCTCAACGAAAGACCAGTGTATTGATATATTTAATCATACTGCCTCTCTTACCCAAGGTAGCGATGAGGCTCATTTTCGCCTCACATATTGTCATATGGACCGCTTTCGCATTCGTGTGGTTTGACAAGGCAATAGAATTCCGCCGTGCGCGCAAGTCTATCGGCTTGGACTCCCCGAACCGTGCCGGTACTTGGGCTGACTTCCCCGTGGGGAAATGCCTTGGCTTTGCAACGTTGATGAAAGTATTCTGGAATTGCTTAGGACCTATACAGTTAGCCTAGTGCTGATCGTAGAGAATATCACATTCTGTTTTCATCATCGTCAAACGCTAACCAGTGAGCTCCAGACTAGATACGCAAGTAAACATGCGCCGGCTCCTCGTATCCCTGGTCTTGATGGCCAATTCCCCCACATTCGCCTGCCCACAGTTTCCGATGCATAGCGGATCATGCATCCCCCCACAAACACATTTGCACGGCGTCTGCTGGCTTGGTACTATCGGCGATATGGACCAGTACGGGGTATGCCATGGCTGAGAGGCAAGGAATGATAAAATGACCATTAAGAAGTGCGAGTGGTCATGACAGCATATCAAAATATACTCGCCATTATTCCGTATAACCTCTATTCGCAATGCCTGCCAGCCAGCCATTTCAAGTGGCAAACTTGACCATCGAAAAACCAACCATCGGCCACAATGGCTATGTTGGCCATGGGCATCGGATTGAGACTTTACCAAAAGGTTGGAACGGATTCAACTCACGTCCATTGTCTGAAGACTTGATCGCAGAACATGATCTGGGCATCAAGGTCCGCGATGGCTGTACTCTGTACTGCGACATCTATCGGCCCGCCAATGCCCCTGGAAAGATCCCCGCCATTGTTTGCTGGAGCCCATTTGGCAAGAAGCACAATGGCATCGGCATGATGAAAAAGGTCCGCTGGGGTGTTGGCGTTCCTGACGGCTGTCTGAGCGGTCTCGAACGCTTCGAGGGCCCCGATCCGGCAGAATACTGTCCTCGCGGCTTCGCTATCATCAATGTGGATGCGCGCGGCGCCGGTCACTCCGACGGCAGTATTGTCATCATGGGCCAGCAGGAGGGCGAGGATGGCCATGACGTGATTGAAGCGTTGGCCAAGATGGATTGGTGCAATGGCAACGTCGGCCTGGCCGGAAACTCGCATCTGGGTATCGTGCAGTGGTTTATCGCGGCGACACGACCGCCGTCTCTAAAAGCCATTGCGCCCTGGGAAGCATGTGGAGACTTGTACCGTGAGCAATTCGTCCGCGGCGGGGCTTGGGATAACGGACTGTTTGATCTCATTACCAAGCAAGTCATCCGTGGCCACAATGGCTGTGAGGACTTTAGGGAAATGTATCGTCGATGCCAGACGATGAATCCGTACTGGGCAGACAAACGTGCAAACATTAAGAACATCTCCATACCCACCTATGTGGTCGCTTCGTATTCCACCTTTGTCCACACAATGGGTTCCATTCGTGGTTGGCTCGAGGTGCAAACGGATGAGAAATGGCTCAGATGGGACCCGTATCAAGAATGGTACGATCTCTGGGTCGTCAAAGAATCCATAGACGAACTCGCACAATTCTTCGACTTTTATCTCAACGGCAACACCAAAAACGGCTGGGACGCAACACCAAAGGTTAGAATGAGCTCACTACGTTTCGGTGACCAGGAGCCCATCTATCCCATATCAGTCGAGGACTTTCCAGTCCCCAAAACTGAGTACCGCGAAATGTTCTTCTCTGGGGGTGACACACTGCAAGATGCTCCACCGACTACAGAAACAGGGCTATCTTATAATTTCGAGGCAGTTGACGGTCAAGAAGCCGATTTCGTGGGTTTCAAGCACACCTTTGCAACCAGAACCCGCCTCATGGGCCTACCAAAAGCCGTGCTTTACATGTCTTGCGATGACCTGGACGACATGATAGTCTACGTGCTGATCCGAAAGCTTGATCGTGACGGAAACGTCATGATGAACCTCAATATTCCTTGGGAGGCTGCACCATACTCAAAGATGTCAGAAATTCCCAAGGAAGAGATGAGTAATCTGATCCTCTACTTTGGTCCTCTTGGAATTCTCCGAGCGAGTCATAGGGAGATTGATTCTTCCATGTCGATCCACGAGCAATATCCTTTTCACACGCACTCCAACGTACAAAAAGTGGCCCCAGGACAGATTGTAGAGTTGGAAATTGGCTTGTGGGCCATGGGCATTGACTTTGAGGAGGGCGAGAGTTTGAGGGTTCAGGTGTCCGGACAATACCCCCTCATCCCAGAGTACAAGCAAGCCCGGCCGGCTCCAGCCGAGACATCGAACAAGGGGCACCACAAAGTGCATGTTGGTGGCAGGTACCCCAGTAGGATAATTCTGCCATTTGTAGATATTTGAAGCAGGCTGGCATAGGCTTGAAGGATTCTTAAACCACAATCTGCCCTGAATTGAAAAGCAATCTTTTGCTGCATGTTTCAAACCCCACCAAGATTCCCCCCTGGAATAAATACCTACTAGTCTGTAGAGCGTTAAATGATGACCGCACTCCACCGGGGGAACACGTATTACTGGGGCTCTGTTACGCCTCGACGAATCTGCCCAAGTCAAAGCCCCTACTGCCAACAACAACAGCTTTTCCCCATTTCTGCTTATGTAGGTAGACATGAATATTACCTACTAGATTGTCACAAGCTGTCAGCTCGCCTTCATCTTCCCGTTTCCACACCTCTATCACTGAGCCGACACATTGCCATGGAAAAACTTCCAGATGAACTGCTTGATATTATTGCCGACTGCCTGCCACCGGAGGCTCTCGCTCCTTATGCGACGCTGTCGAGCCGATGGCAGTCAACAATCGAACGACGCACATTCTATCGTCTTCAGATCAGCAGTGCCGATGAAGATATGGACTGCTTTACACTTTCCATTACACCCTCTCGAATCAGGTACCTCAAGCAATTGTACTTGACCATTCTAGTTCCGTTTCACGAAACGCGCATCATATCGGCGGAAGGGCAGGAGGCGCGCTTCAGTGCCGCCTTTACCGACGCGTTGCGAAAACTGTTCCAGGCTTTGGCTGGGACTGAATCAAGTATTCAAAATGCAAGCACGTCTCAAGGTATAGAAAGTTGGATCCATTTCTTTATAAGCGAAGTCAAATCGCCCGTGGATATCTGGGACGAGCTCAATGGGTATCTAACGCGTCGTATTCAACTGGTCGAGTATGAGTCTTTGCCATTTGTCCAATGTGTATCCCGCTTGGGAATTTATGATCCTCAACGAAAGTTCGCACTTCGAACGGCCATTGAGCTCTCTACAAGACTTCCAAACCTTTGTGGCATGGAGCTGGAAAAGACCATCCAGGATAAAATGTTTATATTCGCCTCTAACTTTCGACTGCTTTGGGACTCCCGTAAAGATCTTGCAGAAGCCTTTGCAAAAGCAGACAACCTCTCAGGAAGCCATTTACGTCACTTCACTGTGCTCACCGACGAGCTCGAGCCAAGGGATGGCTTGTTCAAGCCCGTTTCTGACTTTCGCAACTACTATGCAATTACGCTGGAACCGTCATACGACCCCCTCGGTGTTGCAATTCGCACTTTATCCCAGAATCTCACCTATCTCAATCTGAGCGGAACCTTTGATGTCTCTTTATTTTGGCCTACGCAAGCTGAAATCGACGGGACCATCACAAGAACATCATCAATCTCCCTGCAATGGCCTTGTTTAAAGCACATGATTATCAAGCTTGGACTCTGCACTCCGAACGGAGAGTGGTACTTCAAAGCAAAACCCCGCGTAGGGCACCGGAGGAGCACCAGGCTGCGGCCGATGAACGTCCCTGTTGATGACGAGCTTCAACATGTATTTGCCTCGTGGTCAAAGGCACTATCCCACATGCCTGTTCTTAGATCAGCCACGATATGGTTCCATTTGGAAATGACGCCACAAAAGCCATCTGAAGAGCGCTACTTTGACAAGTGGGTAGTCGGCTTCCATGCTCCTGGCGAAATTCCCGACCCAACAATCTTCACTTCTCACAACGCAAAGGTTACCATGGAAGAGTTATATAACTCAAGGTTGGTGTTCGAGCGAACGGATGGCTGGAGACCAACGACAAACACCATGGAAAGGCTGCAAAAGATGGCGAAAGATAGGTTTGCACAAACAAACTTGGTGGAAATTGATGTGAATATACTGGGTAATGTCACTCGCAAATGATTCGTTTGTACAATTCCTTGTAAGCGTTGAGTGACTTGAGGCGCTACAGGCCCACATCAAGACACAAGATGTGAGGTATAAGTACGGTTGCCCAGAGGGCGAACTATTGATAAATTCCAAATTGCGTGAATTATCACAACAACAACCTTGTATACCGTATGATTGTTGAATCAAAGTGCGTTAAACATGCTTGCATCATTTTTCCGCCCTTGCATTCTCAACCGCCACACATCCTCAGATCGCCATACTCATTTCGGGGGAATGATGGGCAGCGTGATATAATTCTCAACACCGGGGCCGAAATGCAGCGAATTCTGGCCGCCAAAAACGGACTTGGACCTTGGAAATTGTCAGCATCTCCTATTAGCATTTCCATCTTGATCACATACCTGTCCTTTGGGTTCGTGTGCTGGAAAAGCCCACTACCTTGAGTGTCACCCGAGCTGACTTCAAAGATCAATTTGCCACCCTTGTCAATGACAACATTCGTGGGCCACAACTCCACGTCTACGGCGTATACATGGCCATTTATAACTGGCTGCACGTCTGTGGAAAAGTACTGTCGATACGGGAGGTAGTGTCGGTGTTGGGGATGATCCGCGTTGACCTTTCGGAGGCTTACGCGAAGCCAACCCTTGCACACAGGAACGTTGTCGCCAGACGAACCAGTGTAAAATACCTCGGCACCTTGTGGCGAGATATGACGCAGAGTGACAAAAATGTCGATATCCTGTCTCTCAGGGAGTGGACTGGCAGAACTGTCGACAGAGACGTTGAGATGCGCTGTTACGTGGCCCGTAATTTCTGTGGTCTCATCAAATTGGGCGGTAGTGAACTGAACAAGGGATGGCTGCTGGAGGGAACCAAGGGCCTTGTATGAGACTTTCGAAACTGGTTGTGGTGTCATGTCCTTTGAAAGACCAGCATCGGCCGAGAGGAGGTACTTTGTGTACTGCGTTCGGGCAATGGGCCATTCACTTTCCTCGCGGCGTGAAAACCGCTTTTCAGCCTCCGGGTTGTTGAATCCCACATCGCCCTGACGAAGGCAGATGCTTACTGGTGCAACCTTGCCAGATGACCAGCCCGCGCTATCATTGCCTTTCAGATAAGCGTCCAAGAAACTTTTCTGGATTTCGACTTCTTCTTTGTAGTAAAATGGGAGATCGTGTCTACCAACAATGAATCGCAAGAACTTGTCTTTGGAGCTCACTCCCAGGTAGCCCTGGACATTGCCTCTGAGGTGCAACAAGATACCACCCCAGTTCGCCACCGATAAAACGGGAATATCAATGTCTGAAAGATCAAAGTCTTTTGAAGCATAGTACTCATCGTCTCTGAAACGATTGATTTCGTTGTCAATGTTCTGATCTTGGCGATTTGCCAACCTAGAAGTAATTCAGCGGCTGCACCATATTTTCATTTCATGTCGAATTCATGGAACGTACAGTTCTTCTTCCGACAAGTCACCCTCAATTGTGTCTTCTCCCCAATTGGCAGCCGCCCTGCCCGGGCGACCATACTGATTTGTGACCACCTGACGGTTCCACCAAAAGTTGATAAAGTTGTTTGAGAAGATGCCTCCATGGCGGCATCTGTCACGATAATAATCAGACATGCCTTCCCACGGTATGATGGCTGCCAGGCCCTTGGGCTTTCTTGCAGCGACTCGCCATTGACTTCCTAGGAGATTGTTAGGTTAGTCTCAAGCACAACTCAAAATCACTATTTGTCCCGGGTGACTCACCTGCATAGTAGCTCACGCCGAGCAGCCCAACCTTGCCCGACGACCAAGGTTGAGATGCTGCCCACTCGACGACGTCATTGAAACATTCGCTCGTTCCTCGAGACATGGTGTCCAGAAGACCAGGCGACTGGCCCAGCCCTCGCTCATCAGCACGAACAACCGCATAGCCGTTTCGGGTCCAAAACACTGGCTCTGGTGTTTCCCATGCTGCATAGCGAGACTTTTGCTCATCTAGCACTTCACTGTAGGATTTGGCATGGAAACTTGACGGGCTTGTTAGCTGCAGAGCTACCAGTATTGTATGGTCAAAGGTCTTGACGTACTCTCCGTACCAAATATCCTTGCCGTATGGTCCATAAGTGACGAGTACCGGATACTGCTTTTCCGGGCCTGAATCAAGTGGTCGGTACACATTGCATCGAATTGGCAAGTCTGAAGCTTTCAGTGGAATGTCGACATTCTTCTCGAATACAAGGCCATTCTCATGGTCCTCCTCTACCGTGTGCAGATTCTGTAGTGAATTGGGCATGGTGGCGTGAATGATCTGGGGGAATGAGAAGGAGATAACTGGTATCAGAGTATGCCCCAATCCTTTCTCACCTCAACATGTCAATTTGACTGTTACTTATTCTGAATTTCTGCATGCATATATTGAGGTCCCAAAGTTGGAACCGCAACATCCGTGATTGTGAGTGTTCCGGTAACACTGGGCTCGGGTAGAGTGGAGGGTTCGTCTGGGCCCCACTGTTGTTGAGCTTTAATGCGCGCCCATGCACACCTATACCTACGCGGATGCCAAGTAACAAACGTGCAGCAATTATGCCCATGGAGGGGATACACTTGACTAGTTGAGAGAGAATAATCTAGTAAATACCTGGCGGCAAAATTGTGTATTGAAGGCGGAGATAATTTTCCACGGGAAACCCGCACGCTTGCCATGTTGATGCTACCATCAAATCCTGATCGTGGTCATAATCGGCTATTGCACTGTCTGGTTGGCAATTGACGTGGGACAACATCACGTTCCAACAAAAATACGTATCAAAAATGCTTCCATGCCAATTTATCTCAATATAGACTTCTATAGAACTAAAAAATTTCTGTCGTCTTCTTTCTCTGCCCGATGTCAATCCTCACCATTCTCCGCCAATTTTGTAGCGGGTCAACCCTGGGTACCAAATGCCACCAGTCGCTTCCCAGGCACGAACGAGCCCCTGTGGTGCTTGAAATTAGCTCTGTGTTAGGCGCATGGGATGTGGACAACGGGTGTTATCAGACTTACTGATTGAAGGCGTACGCCATTCATCATCACTGTCACAAACAGTAATTCGGCCCTGTTGGAGCCATTTGGACGTTCGGAGAGATCCAAGTTTCGGTTGATCGGCCTATACGGTGGGGTGCGTCTATGTTGTGTGGGCCAATGGGCCGGATTAGAGATGGAAGACTGCGGTGCAGGTTGTTCTTGTCCAATGGTGACCTGAGACGCAGGGTCTGTCGTTGGACTAGACAGATGCAGAGTATAGTCTTTTAGTGCATCTTCGATAGTCGTTTCCGTCACGGTGCCTCCCCGCTTCGACTTTGTCATGGTAGTTGTGGTAGACATGATATCGCGAGTGGTTACACGTTTGTTCAGGGTGCACAAGATCGAAGAGAATTGCAGTAGGGAGCCTGCCAAACATGAAGTCTTTGAAATGGACTATCCATAGGACCTTCTTCGCGGGTTGGCTTCGGTCGGGTGTTCTGCGTGGCCTCGGCTTGACGTGGAGCCCCGCCGCCCGCCGCTGTAGTCACTGTGCTGAAATGCCCCAAGGGAACCGGTGGGGAGAGATTATAGCGCTATCATGCCGCCCGCCACCCACCTCCGATGTTATGTTTGCGATTAACAGTCACGGTCTAGAATCGACGCCATGGTGTTGTTTTACCTTGAACGACTAGCTGTAGGCCACTAACCTTGAAATTATCATACTCAGGCAGCTGCTCGTAAATATTGTGTTGCCATTAGTAGATACGTCGAGCCTGACAGCCGTATCTACAACTCTACACAATGGGCAATATGGAGCAAGCGACGGTCGTGCAGGAAGTGCTTGAACGAATTGACGCTGCCGCAATTGATGGTCGAGCCCACAATATCCGCCATCGACAACATCAGCTCCATCAGCTTAGTGGTGCACTGCAGAGAAATGCGGACAAAATCTGTGAAGCAATCGGTCTCGACTCGGGCTTTGACGATGATGAGGTTGCTTTCGAGTTCTCTCAGTCAATCAATACCATTAGGACTTTGTACGAACAACTGAATCTTCAATCTGCCCTGGACGAAGAATATGCCGCCAACAACAAAGACAATCTTTCTGCTCGTATGCCCTTTGGCATCGTGGTCATCCGTCCCGGTCAGCATTGCCGCCTCTTTTCCATCATATCTCCAGTCGCAACAGCAATAGCGGCCGGAAATTGCGTCATTGTCGAGGTGAGATCCGAAGCTTGGACGGTGAAGCAGCCAAGATATGTAGACTTACTAATCTCGGTATTGATTAGATCCCCAACTCTCTAGGCCATCTCGACAGCTTTTTGCGCTCTGAACTGACCACCTCCTTGGACCCGGATGGATTTGCTATTGTGTCTAAAGCTGTGACAGTTTCGCGCCTATCTTCAGATTATGTCGTCGTTGACCAAACTCTATCCGATACAACTAAGGAATCTAGTTTGGTGTCTGATTCCAAAGCCTTGACAGTCGCCATCGTGGACCGAACGGCAGATGTTGAGCAAGCTGCGAGTGCCATCTGCACAGCCAGATTTCGCTTCAAGGGTCGATCACCATATGCGCCCGACGTAATCATGGTCAACGAATGGGTACGCGATGACTTTGTTTCTGCGTGCCTGAAATTATCCAGCTCTCATGCTGCATCCACTGTGTCAGCCAAGAAGTCAGGTTCAGCCCTCAATGGGCGCACTTCTCATTACCCAAGAGACGATTTTACAGTTCTATTCGACTCATGTGGGGTTCGATTGGTGGAAGGTACACGAAAGTGAGTTACCAATATCTAATTCGCATTGTCAGAATGAAACATTGACCCCTCGTCTCTGTATTTTTAGCGCCAAGATAAGCAAGATATCCGATAGCACACTCGCGATAGTCCCAGTAACATCACTCGTGGGTACCGTAAGCTTTGCGAGCACCATGTAAGTATGATTGTGACAGGACTTGGCATATCTCCCTAATAGACGTTAGGACCAACGGCTCGTTGGCAGCTTGTTACTGCTTCGGAGATCTGAAATCTTCAAAGTTTCTCGGTCAATACGTCGGCGCAAACATGACATTCATCAATGGTATACCTCTTGAACTGCTCGGTGAGTACCAACAGTCGGCAAATGCCTGGACCTGGTTCTGTTCTAATCGTCATGAATTAGTTGGGCCAGTGCGACCGATCACCTCGACGGCCCCCCAGAACATAGATCTAAGGTATGAGACGAACATGGTGTCGCAGCCCCGGCCCCAAATTATAGTTCAAGATCATCGATTGGATCGAATTACACAGCTTTTTCAAGTGCGTACCAAGAAACCAGGCGAGGAACGCCAAATGGTTTCAGAGCTTCGGAAAGATTCTCTCGTTCCACTTCGACCGACTGGGCAACCTTCTGGGACATCGCTGGGATTCTTCGATCAAGGTATTAGGACAGGTTTTGTGGCTTTTGTGCTTCCTTGTTTAATTCTGATAGGATATACCAGCTTCAAGGGGTCTACGTATGCGTGGCGTCTTGTCCAGTCATCCAGTCACATCTGGTAGCATGGTTTGACCTAGTAGAGTGTCATTGTATTTTATTTTATTTTCTCTCTTGCTTCCGAGTGAGTGTGGCATGTTCTCAGGCTTTATGTGTGGTGGAAGTCGTAAGGAAACTACTAGGTATATGAGGCATATTGACAACATTTCAACGTACTTAAATATTCCAAAGACGCACTGAAGTGAGCTCGATACAATACAGTTGATTCATTTCCGTGGCAATCTCTATATATGTTGTATTTAAATCATGGCAGCAATCGATAGATTTGTGGGGGAAATGGTCTGAGACAGGCAGATGCATATTTTAGTCAAGGATGATGGATGCGTAGGCGATGCACGAGGCATACACCTCACTCTGCGCGTGCAGCATCAGTCCGGACGGAAGAAGTGGCGGACCAGGGTACACCCACCAGCTAATGAACGGACCCTGTATACTGTGAATTGCCAACCAATAAAGCTTTTGCTAGTACTTCTTAGGCTGACAACACTATGGAGCTTTCGAGACGCGAGAACAATCAGAGCAAAATGCAACAACCTCAGTGCAGAAAGCTAAAATAATCTACTAAGATCGGAATCCGCATGCATGGCACGTACGGACCAAGTCTTTCAAATTGTGCATAGCTTTGTAGGACGCAATATTGCAAGATGAATTCATTTGATGAACTGCTGTCACAATTGTAACAGGCCTAATATGAGATGAGCGGCAAGGTGACCGAACTCTTGAACTTTGGCCCAGTATGAATCTTGTGCTTTCCGACATTCAAATTCGTGAGGCTCTTGAACAGCGGAGGATACTCGGGGAGGATCGGATCATGACCTTTAATCTCGAATCTCAGTGACTCGCCTTGCTCGAACACGATACCACCCGGCCAGATTGCAATGTCGAGCTCCACCACGTCTCCCGGCGTCACTTTTTGTGACTCGTAGTGTGGATACCACAGCTCAGTTGGGTCTTTGCGCGCGCGCATTTCATCAGTGAGGCCTGGCTCATCTGCCGTCATCCGTTTCGAAGCCCGCAGGCGTCCGCTCGGCCCAACGTACTTGTAGATGTTCTCGTCCGGAATATCTCCGAGCTGCGTCCCAGGCTTCTGGTGGGTAAATGGAATGTTATAATTGAGAAGAGCATTTCCTTCCTTGTCAAGCTTTCGGACGATGAGGTAAACGTCCATGTCATCAAAGTCATCGCATGACATGAACAGCTTTGCTTTTGAGAAGCCACACAGCTCGGTATATCTGGAGAACGTCCAGGAAAAGTGTGCACCATCATCCTCCCAAGAGTCCGACTGGTAAGTGGTGATCACATCAGTCGACGGGGCATCCGCGGTCAGCTTGCTGCTGGTGCCATCCAAGAAGAAGGTCTCGTACTTTGTCCTCTTTGGAGGGTAGTTGTCTTCGGCTCGAAATGATACTGGAGGCCCATTGTACCGCAGCAGAGAAAGACGTATCTTTGGTGTTGACTCCCAACCATTGTCAGTACCCAAAAGATAGTGGTCCAAGAAGCGTTGCAAATCATCATTAGTCTCTGGTTGGTATATATCAAACCACTCCTGGGTTGGGTGGATTCGCAACCTAGACGCAGTTAGGTCAACAGTACGTAGTCGCTAGAAAGCAGAGACCGCTCACCATTTGTCTTTGGAGTTGGCATACTTCCAGCCTCGGATAGAACCCTCGGTATGAAGACCCGTTGAGTAGCTGGCCAAAACATACATGGGAATTTTGATGTTTTCCAACTTCGGCTTCTTGTCTTCCCAGTAAGCATTCATGAGGGGGTACTTTTCAATCATGGAAACAACATCCTCGCGCTTATTCTTGCCGTTAAATTCTTGCATGAGCAAGTCCCAGAATTTGAAATTTGGGATGCCTCCACGGCAAATACTCTCTCGGTAAAAGTCTCCAATCCCTTCCCAAGGGGCAATTGCCTTCAGATGAGGAGGCTGTTCCGCCGCGATCAACCTAGGATATATCTATTAGTGAATCCTGCTTCAAGTCTCAAACTTTTGGAAAGTTGGCTTACCACTGGGTAATTGCAAGCCACGAGTTACCAACTAGCGCGACTGACTCATTACTCCAGGGCTGTTTGGCGATCCACTCTATAGTATCGTAGCCATCTCTTCCTTCCTATGATGACAAGTCAGCCAATAATTGCGCTTAGAGTAGCCTGCGCGTCTCGACAAACCTGAGAACCAAAAATGAAGATGTCACCTTCCGAGTTGTAACAGCCCCGTGCATCTGGTTGCACGATAACGTAGCCCCTGGGGCACCACTCGGCTGGATCTGGAGCCTCGAACTTTTCCAGGCCGCTCAAAGAGCTTTTTGGTACTCCAAGCCATGTGAACTCGGTTGTTTGGTGATGGCCTAAATATGGTTGTCGCCAGAGCTGTTGTTTAGCCAAAATTATATATGATAGCGTGGAACCAGGACGCACGTACCAGAGCCGGTTTTACCATATGGCGACCATGGAAGAAGAGCGGGAAGCTTGTGGCCATCTAGTTTGGCAGGCCTGAAAATATCGGCTCGCAGATGAACCCCATCCCGAAGTGGAATTGCCACGTCTTTCTCCCATATGAGATCTTCCTTCAGAGCCAGGCGATCTGGTTCGCGCCTATACCCTTTGGGCAGAATTTGAGTTGATGGATTGAAGTCGGTCCACCAATGGTGGAAGTTTGGGTTTGCATCTGTAAACGCAACATCAATTCCAGCAATAGTGTGCGACATGTTTATGGACCAAGATTGGTCTAATTTGGCTTGTTCGTTTGTTGAAACCAGATAGAAAATCTGCACTCTAGTTTTCTTGACACTCCTTCAAACCATTCTTGACTTCATATTGGTGTTATCTGTGCCTCTATAGAAGTATACATGCCGAAAGTTGCAATGGCGCTCTCCCCATCCCGCTCACTGGGTTGGTCCCCGCTGCGCTGCCACTTAAGCCGAAGCCAACGCACGCGGGCGCGGGTCGGGCGGGACGGGGCCACTGGACGCTCAAAATGGGATGGATTCACCTCCCTCCACTGGAGGGCATCGGAAATGGCAAAGGCATGGGACAGAGTGCGATCAAGCATGATACGAACTCAATAATACAAGCAAAAGGTAATTAATTGGGCCAAATGGTAAAGATTCGAATTAAAGATCTCTGGAAAACGCTCTTTGTTGTGCAGAGCCATCGCCTACACGCCTCCGAACCATGGCGCCGCTAGCGAGCCTGCTGCTAAAATTTAAGGAGCTGGATGCCGAAAAGGACATTGTCAAAGCCAAGTGGTACATTGTCGCCGTACGTACCTCCAAAAAGTATCCCCCTCCCGCGTCAGCATGACTGACTTTTGTTATTACTTCAGGCAGCGGCTTTAGCATCTGCTGGAGCTGGGCCAGATCTGGTAGAGTTGTACAAACTTGCCACCCATGGTCTTCCACTAGATGTAGAATTGGTGGTCCAGAGAAGGGTCAAAGAGGCCGTGTTGAAGACTAGTTGCCTCTATGGTGTCCCAAAGAGCCTGCAAGCTCTACTACCCCTGTTTGCCTCATTGCCAGACGATCATGTTGACAATGCTGGGCCACGGTATGAATACGGCCTTGCATTTGAAAAGGAGTAGTAGTTTGACTGAGACATTGTGTCTAGTTACTTTTCATCCGACTCTGAAGAAGCTGTGAAAGAACGGGAGGCCAAAGGGAAAACGTATTTCGATACGCTGTGGGGAAAGGAAGCTGCACAGCTTCATCGGGATCGCAACTTCAAGTACCAGCCAGATTTGTGTATGTTTTTCCCTCTGCCACCATGTCTACTTACCTAGTAGGTAGCTCACAACGATGCTCAGATCTACTAAACCTAAAACACATTTACGAGTGGCATTTTAGCGAGGACGCGATTCTGGGAGCTGTTGAGACTCAAAGCTGCAATGTAGCTGCATTGATATGCGCAAACTGCCCGGTTCAGGCGATGTGGCACGCCCGCGGCTTGCTTCGCCACGGGGGTACTCTAGAGCAGGCAAAACTCGCTCAGGCCATCGGCCTTGAAATCGCAGCTCTGTATGAGTGTAAAACAGGCAACATCGTTCCTGTTGAGGATATTGACATTACGACCAAGAGTCACGAATAGGATAGAGCAAAGTGATGACCCAGAATTGAAAGACTTTCTCTTGTGCAAATGACTGTTTCAAAGTGCTTGAAAGGCCACAGGCTCTGATTTTTGACACCTGTTGCAATGACCACTACTCATTCTCCACCGCCGTGGAAGCTTCACTGACAAGAGCTAAGCAAGCGAATTTTAACCTGCCCCATACTAGACTATCTATATTACCGTAGAAGTGCAAGATGAACGATACATGCAAAATCGTTTCAAGCCTCGATCGAATCACAATGATTGTGTTTGGTAAAGTTACGACTTCATGCTACCATAGACGCAGGTCCTGTACGTAGTGGCGGACCGTATGGCCATGCCCTGCTATCTGCCTGCAAGGAGATATCCTCCCCGCCCGGGCCGAAGTGCTAATGCCCATGCCTGTTTAGCGCCAATCAGCGACTTGTCTGCGGTATACAAGCCCAGATGGTAGTGAGTAGTAACGAAAAGGCGGTACTATAACGAGACCATAGAAGTAAGCATTTCGAAATAACGATTTGCAATCCTTCTACCTCAAATATTTACAAATAACTCCTACAGTTTCACTTCCCGTCGTTTTCTACACAGTGCCCCTCAAAAGATCTACATACTATGGCATCATCACAGCCTCTTCCTTCTACCCGCCGTATTGTGACGGCACATAACGACGATGGAAAGCAATTGTCAGATACGACAGTGTGATAGACGGAAATCAAACGCCTCACGGCCCTTGGATTGAGCTGCTTTGGTCAAGCGATAGCCTACCACCCGATGTCAACACCACCGAGGACCGAGGACTCGCTGCAACAGGTCTCAGCAATAACGGCACCATTGTGCGCATTGTCGACTTTCCGCCCAAATCCACGGGCCTGATGCATCGCTCCATGACCCTCGACTATGTATACGTTTTGCAGGGCGAGGTCATCTTGGCGCTCGACGATGGGTCCGCTACCGTGGTCAAGGCCAACCAGACAGTGGTGCAGCAGGCCACAATGCACAGATGGGACAATGCGACGGACGAGTGGGCTCGCATGCTTGTCGTCTTGATTGCCTCCAAGAAGCCCGTGGTCAATGGCACTGTTTTGGATAAAGATGTTCCATTTAATGTCTAGAATATAATTGTTCACCAATGTTACCTCGTTCATCCCGGCCTAGCGCAAAGCTTTGTGAACCCAGAGTACTCAAGGCCATATTGATTTGTTGAGCCCTCATCATTGGATAATTGGAATCTGAAATTGAGAAGCTCCATAATCGAAAGCAGTAATTAGTCAGCTTTTTCTATAACAGAGATGATAAATCTCTTCTTCCTTTCCCATGTTTCGCTTGCTCTAATTTTTTCTTTGATTTTCTTTTTTTTTTTTTTTTTTTTTAGCTCTCACCACCATAGTCTCATTTTTATGACTTACATTTAGCTTGTTCTTGTTTTTGATAGGCATTGCAGCGAGTTTTTGAAAAAGTTTCATGCTCATTTTGCTATTCTGACGGGATTCGTTTTTGGCACCTTTTTGTGCATTTTAGCCTTCTTTTTTCTTTCTACATTCGAGTTGACCTTAGCGAAGTTTTTGCCATCATCAAATCGATTCGGCAGTACTGACTGGCAATCAAATTTTTGCTTGATAATTTCCAGTACAAGTCAAGCAGGCATACTCCCAAATTGTGATGAATATATATCTTTGGCATTCAGATAAAGTGTGAGCGACACAGCTCGGCCATAAGACTATCCAAATTCTCCAGCATCGGGGGCAGAGGATACGACTTTGAGGGGAAATTTGCCCTGAATATGTCCGAGAGAACCTTTGATACAGCTGCTGGTTCTTCAAACTCCACCAGTCGATTCGACATATGTAGACAAGGCTGCCCAACGCCCATTGCCAGATAGCTTCTTACTTCAGACGTCTCCTCCCCATCGAGGATGACCTGTGTAGTTTGTCTCTTTGATGCTTTCGTTGGGTCGGAAGTACTATTTGCAGGCCTGGAAAATTGCATTTCCTGCTCTTCTCCCGTGGCAGCACTTGTTAGGTTGGTAGCAGGCCGAGGCTGCATTACTTGCCCCGATTGTATATGGCGCCCAGCCCTTTGTTTCAGAGCACAGCCCACCCAAAGGACAAGACAAGCATGATATGTTGCTATTCCATTAAAAGCATCGAGTTGTGTAGGTGGAAATGAGCGGGCAGCCTTGAGGACTTGCCCAGCATGCCATCTGGCGTAGCGCCCGTCCTTGCTGTTATTCCAACGGTCAAGCACGGGAAGAGACTTTTGGAAGTCATCCTCTCCGTATCGACCTGCAATCCTCTGGATATCCTCGGATGACACATAAAGCGACATCATGAGGAACTCACTCACGAGTCTGGCTTCGGAAGAGAGAGGGAGTAGCCATCCAAGCTTGGTGGTGATTGACTGGATCTTCAGATAGAGCTCTTGTCTCTGGGCTTCTAGCCAGAGGCTCGACGAAGCGTGCGAATCAGAGTTGTCTCGGAGATAAAAGGCCTTGGAGTCTAGAAACGAGTAAACTCGACCCCAGAGACCGATGAGAATTGCATGTGATGCAAAGCCAACGTCAACGATGTCTGCTTCATTCTCAAGACTACAGGGGTCGTGCATTCCGTCCATGAGTGTAGACGTCGTGGTGGTTCCTGACTTTGCGATCATCCTGTCCCTCCACTCTGTCTCATCTTGCGCATCCCAAAGATCCTGCGCAGCTGGCAATGAGAAGGCAATCTCAGTGCCTGAGAAGAGAGGATTTCTAGTGAATGCAATTGAACTTTTCATTTCATTCATCATGATTTGCAATACAAGCCTGGAAATCTGTGAGTAATGGCGATTAGATGCCAAGTCAAGCACTGTGACTTGCCTCTTGAATGATTCCTGCTCGATCCATTTCAACCACTTTTGTTTCAGTACCTCACCATTATCACTTGTTGCTGGGAATATTGCAGGAGTGTATCTGTTTTGTCGAAAGGCGCCAGCCCTCCTTAGCATCTTTATTTATCATTAGCTGTTTCCATTTTTTCATCCTTTTGGTGTGTGCTTGTATGTTTGTGTGAAAGTGGGGATGCAGAGACAGGAAAGAGTGAGAGAGGTAATGAGATTGTAAATCTGCGAGCTTACCGTCGGCACTGTGTGGGCAAATCCTTCAGCGATTTCCATCTTCCGCCGAAAGCCACTCCAAAGCCCAATTTTGATCCACATCCAAAAGGCTTGTATGGACTGTAGATCCCGGACACGGCGATTATCCTCATCAATAGCGGCGGCAGATGCCAGCTTCACAATCTCCTGTAGCGCCAAGCCCATCTTCCAGATATCTGGTACAGCAAACAGAGTAGCACCGGCAGCCACAATACTGGCAATCAACTCACTTTTGACAGAGTCTGGTTCGAAAGAAAAAACATGAAGCCAAGGAGTTGCTGATGCACTCTCTTTGACGAAAAAGGCCTGCATGAGAACATTTAGTAGACGAAAGGATGGAAACGACCGAATATTCACCTCGGAAGATGAAAACTTTAGCACGAGAGAAAAAATCTCATCTCGTGTTGCAGGATCCATCGCCTTGGGTACGATATCGTCCGTACCACAGATTTCGTTCACCTCTGGTGACTCCATCATTTGGACTTCATTGACCGAGAGCTGCGAGCCCTCGGCATATGCGTGATCGTGGCGGACTGGAGTCCAAAGCCATGGCGACCTTTTGAAGGCCTCATAACCAGAGGTGTCGGCCGTGGTGTTCAATTTATCTAGCGGAGGCCCTTGTTTACTGGCCTCCAGCAGATTGGGCCCGCCATTTGTCACGGCTGCCAGATCGGTCACTGGGAGCGTGGAAGACTGATTTGGCTGTGATATTTGGAAATTTAGATTTCCAAAGTTTTCGTCAAAATGAAACTCGAGATCCCTCTCGAAATGGAAAGTATCAGTAGGCGAATTGAAAAAGTCCCATCCCATTCCTGCCATGTAAATACCGTCCGGAGCATCGATGAGCATGTCATCTTGGACTTCAAGCATAGATGTGTAGGCTTGGTTCGATGTACCCACTGGTAAGGCAGAAGAGTGAGGAGACTTTGGTAAATGGCCATGCTGGGTTTCTCTGAGTGGCTGTGGATCATCGCGTTCGTCTCCCTATCCTTGCTCCGATAAAGATGGTAGCGAGTTCACCGCCGGCTCCGGTGCCGCACCCGAATCGGATCCGGAGAGGCCAGTGTCTGTTCGCGAACTTTTGGTAGACGAGCCAACTATACAGGATACACCCCGCCTGGTACAGCGCTGGCATGGTCTTCGATTGTTGCATTTCGTCTTGGATCTGATACAGGCATCACACGCCTGTATGGTTCGATCTGAGCCACTAGTACCCTTTGCTTCATCTCCGTCATGGTTGGCAAGATGTCGCGTAAGCAGGTCTCTGATAATGGCAGAGAGGTTAGCACCAGTCTATCAAGAGCATGCTGGATAATGATAGGAGCAAATTAAGAGATATATAACACACTTTCGATTAAATCTACGTCCACATCTTGAGCAGCCGTACTGACGGGCATTTTCATCTAAAGACAAACGATTCTATTAGTCGAGACATTCAAGCGGATTCGACAGAATGGCCCTTACGAGACGCGAGATGTCGCTTCAGGTAATCAGCACGCTCATAGTGATTGGAGCATATAGGACAGACATGATTAAGGTTGGCCAGGGCAACAAAGCCAGGACCCGACCTCGCGTTGTCTACCTCTGTCTCTGGGGCCATGCCAGCGCCAGAGGATCGGTCGATCGTCTCGCGCTTGAAAATGACTGGGAACAAGGACGCACTCCGTGGTTTCGGAGCACAGCGGGCTCGCCAATGCTCGAATTCCTCAAATTTTGATAAGGTCCGGATGATTGACCAACAAACACAATTGAGAAGTGGGCAGGTGGGTAGGCAGGAGTAGTACACAGATAACTGAGAACGATCCGTCTTGGAATCAGTGGGCAATGGCTTGGGCATGGCTCGCCAAGGGTCGGAAACTTTGATTAGAACCCCACATTCCCCACGGGGTTCGGGGCAGTATACTGGGGAGGGGTCTTCGGGAAGGGTGGGCAGATGGGTCGGATTGGGGCAAAATCGGCGCTACGGGACAATCAGTTGTCCTTATGCATCACCCACAAGCTTGTGTGTACAGGGCTGACATTTGCTGCCCGTGATATGATAGAGGTAGTCGTCGCTCAAGCTGCTGTGCGTGACATCAGCTCATTGAAAACACTGTAAAAGAAGACTCGACAGCTATCCAAAGCCTATACCGTAAGCCTTTCCAGCATCTTGTATCGAGTCACTTGCGGCTCTCTATCACAGAATTTACATTTTCAGAAGCCGTCCATAATCGAATATGCCCGAGCCGACAGGTCTCGCACCTGTTCATTTCTTCTCTCATGGCTCGACAGCCATGTTGGGCGAGGAATCCAAATCAGCAGATTACTGGAAATCATGCGGTGATGCCGCCCTGGCCAATGGCATCAAACACGTAATAATTATGGTAACTATCTTCTTTCGTCGTCATCTCCCTAGCTACGACCCTTTTGCTCACGTGTATCAATTGTCGGACTCAGGGGGCACACTGGGCTGCGATCAACGACGAAATCCACGTTGCAACCAATCCCAACCCGACCAAAGCTCCAATTGGTGGTGTTCATCCACGAAAATACGTTGACTATGAACTCATACCAGATCTACCAATGGCAGACCGTGTGGTCGATACTCTCCGACGGAACGGCTTCAACTGCAACGCCAATCCTACTTTTCAATGGATCCATGATGTGTATCTGATCTTGATCCGCACCTTTCCTGAAGGCTGCCCTCCAACGACAATAATCAGCATGAACGCACGTTTCGATCCGCACTACCATATACGCGTTGGAGCCGCATTGCGCTCTTTGCGCCGCGAAAAGGACGTGCTGTTCATCGGTTCCGGCGGTGCAGTTCACAATCTGTACCGAAACGTGTGGACCCCATTGCTGCGGTACGCAGACAACTTTGCCATGGAGACGCCACCCGGGACCTGGGCATTGGAGTTCCGGCAGGAGTTTGAGGATGCCATTACAAAGAACACTGGTCCAGCGCTGAGACGCGCCATGGCGATGCTGATGAAGATCCCCAAGTACCGCGACGCTCATGCGACCGACGATCACTTTATGAGCGCAATGTTCGTTGCAGGTCTTGTTGGATCCTTTGAAGATATTGGCACGAGCGTGGAGTTTGGGGCTGAGGACTGGGAGTTGACAAACATGTGTAATTCTCAGTATACTCTTGGGAGTTGGGCACAATGCTTCGCGTCAGCTGAGGTTAAATAGGGTTATGGTGTTTGAATTACATATTAAGACGGTGAGGACACATTTAAGGGTCAAGAAATACGAGACATGCGGTCAAGAGGCAACGATAGCACAGTCAGCTCAGGTTATGGCTATCTGCGATCAATGCTGAAAGCGATGACATGAACCTTGCGCGACTCTGGACGTGGAGGGAAAAGCTTGAGTCAGATACATAAGGGACAGTAATTCTGGCATATTATATAGAAATACTGGCAGTCATCTTGATTGAGGAGCAATTTTCTCGATCATATTGTAATCTGTTTGTGTAGTATCCAAATTTTGTTGACATACATATGTCATGGTGGAGTCGGCGGATCATTGTTTAATGCAATCTTTCGTTATGCAGCTTTCATCCTCACCTTTCTTGACCGTATTGCTTCTTGCATTTTATCACCCACCAAGCAGCTTGCATATTAGAAGTGGAAACAAGTTTTGCGTTTTAACTACGAGAAATTAATCCGATCTGATCACTAGATGCTTATTCAGAAATGCCAGCATCACGCCATTTGCGATGGAGCCACGGAACGAGTGGCGGCCCATCGGGGCACCATGACATTGTTTACCTATTCCCCCTCTTAAGCTTCTTGGCTTGAACAAAAGGGATTGAGTGCATCGTGGATTGTCACGAGTGGAAACTTTCGCCGGACTCCAACCCTCAAAAGTGTTATCAAACAAACTGTTACTTCTATGAGGATACTGTATTATATTTCAAGGACATCTATCATATCTAGAAGCCCGTAATTCGTCAGACTCACTATTCGCCATCTCCGCAATCAACATCTACTGTTATAAACACAAGAGGTGATCGGAAGTTATCATGTCAGCCGAAAAGATGGCAAACCCACTCAAAGTCTTGATAGTAGGAGCAGGGATAGGTGGCCTTGCTGCAGCAATCGCATTGCGGCAAGCCGGCCATCTGGTCCAGGTAAGGCGTCCTCGAAGAGTATATTGAGACGAAAAAGTTGACTCTGGGAATAGCTCTTCGAGTCTAGTCGCTTTGCAGCGGAAGTCGGAGCAGCTATACATCTGCAACCCAACGTGGTCGCGTTGCTGCGGAGGTTTGGCATGCGGCCGGAGGAACACGGAGCGAACATGGCGGAATGGGTCTCTGTGTTCACCTCACAGGGGGACGCTATCAGTCAGAGATCAATAGCTAACTTGGAAAGTAAATACACATATGTAAGTTTTATGCATTTTCACGCGAATCCCGTGCTATGAATTTGGCGTGAAAATGCTGACTCACCCTCCACGGTAAGCCATGGCAATTGATACATCGTGTCGACCTCCACGAGGCCCTCAAGAGCTTGGCTCTGGACGAAAAGGAGAGTGGAAAGCCAGTCTCCTTGTATCTGCGTTCTAAGGTTGTGTCATGCAATCCTTCTGGGCCTTCCATCACTCTTGAAGATGGGCGCACTTTTGAAGGTGACCTTCTTATCGGTGCTGATGGAGTTCACGTAAGTACAAGATCTATCGGCCATTGCGCACATTGCCGCTGAACAAATATGGCCGAAGTCAATTCTACGCTCAACAATCAGTGGAGAAGACATTCCAATTGCCCCATCGGGTGGGAGCGCATTCAGATTCCTCGTCTCTGTTCAGAAGGTGAAGGAAGATCCCATTACGGCACACTTTGTTGAGAAGCCTGGCGACTTCCAAGTGTGGGAGGGTAAACATCGCAGGCTAGTCATTTACCCATGCAGGTACGTAAATTCACTTCACCCAATAATCACATGAGCTTTTGATCATATCGCTGAGCTAGAAATTCGGGGAGCAGAAATAATACGGAACTGAATTTTGTGTGTCTGCACCCTGATACGGAGAGCCAGGACAGTGTCGAAGGTAAACTCTACATATGAAGCATAACCTTGTCGTTTCTCTATAAACTAACTGCACCGCCTGATAGGGTGGAACAACACGGCTTCCGTAGAACATCTCGTCAAGGTCTTTTCCGAATTTTACGAGCCAATGAGAGAGCTACTCTCAAAAGCGGATGCCGATACGCTGAAACTGTGGCGGCTGTATGATCGCGGTGCCCTTGGAACTTGGGTTAATGGCTTCGCAGCCTTACTGGGAGATGCGGCTCATCCTTTCTTGCCTCATCAAGGTCAAGGCGGAGCACAGGCTATTGAGGATGGGGCAGCGCTAGGTGCGCTCTTACCCCTAGGCGTCACGAAGGACGAGATTCCCGGCCGACTCAAGCTGTACATGGAGGCGCGTTACGACCGGGCGACACTTGTCCAGAACTTTTCGCGGCAGATGGCTTTCCAGACCAGCGACAAGGACAAGGTGGGTGGCTTCAGCCCCAACCCCATGGAGTTTGCCGAGATCAACTTTCGTCATGATGCATTTCTGCACGCGAAAGAGATCCTACAAAATCACCAAAAAGGGAATTGAATGGAAGGAGATGCATGTCCAACTGAATTATCGACGAAGGATTGGACCATTAACAAGATTAATTGAGACATTTGCTACGATATCATGTACTCGGCTGTTCCCGTTGATTGCGTGCGTCCTCCGTATTTAGAAGCTTTACTTGTGTTGAGTTACATTTGTGGAATTATCCACGTCTGGCTGCGCACTTTGAGAAACACTCCCTCATCTTCTGCCTCTATTCCCGTGCTCCTATTCTCCCTTTCCAAATGTGCAGCTTTAGCGAGTGCCTGGCATGCATAAATGAAGACAACACCAAGGTGTGTAGGGCTGACATTAGGGGTTTTAGGATTGGGCCATGTGCGTGGGGTGCGCATGAGTTACTAACCTTGGTCGGTAGGTACCTGTAGGTAGCTTATCGGAATAAGCATGGCCATCGCTCTCGCTCGTGAGCCGACGATTTCCATTGATAGACGACCGTGGGCTTTCTTGATTTTGCACAGAATATGAATTTATAATCAACGACAAATCTCCACCAGGTCTTGCCTAGGAGGGTGCTTGATTACACCGCTTTGTTGCTCTGATCTGACAATGATAACACCGAAATCCAGGACTCCAAGCCAAGGCACGCCCCCCACTTCCCCAGACCCCGCGATAACCGGTTGGCCGCACTAGCTCAGTAGCACCAAGTGATATGTTTACCTTCGTTTTGATGGAAGTCAGGGATGGTCCAGAGATACAAGCTTTTAGCAATCACAGGCAAGAAGACCTTTTACACTTTGGGTGCCAATACGGCAGAGCCAATGATGGATCTATCTACAGAGTAGGATGCTACCACGATAGACCAAGGACGCACCCCTGGTTTTCCATCTGTTGTTCTTGCAGAAGAACACTACTGGGCACGTGTACTAGAATGGAGACGGGATACTCAGAATTTAAGATTCCACTATGAAACGGTCGTCAGGGTCGCCGTAGCTAACCGACACTGCCCTTTGTTCCGCCAACGCGGGAGGATGACATTTCACGGCCGCACTGAACCGAGATAGACATGTCATAAAGAATCGAGGTACTCAATTGTTTTGAAGTGTAAAGTTTTCAACTGAGACACTGCTGTAAGGTCAGAGGAGATTCATTGTCTTCCTCGGCGGCGACACTCTCATCCCGAGCGCGATATTGGTGAACATAGCAATTCATTGGCAATCATAGTCCAGCTCCATATACGGCCACAATGGCCCTCAATGTTGCCTCGGCCCTCCTGGGCTTCCTAGGTCTAGGCTCTACATACGTAAGTTCAGAGTCCTTCTCACCATGACGTTGACGTTGACAAGAAAACATAGGTGGTTGCACTCGTAGTCTATCGCCTCTACTTCCATCCTCTTGCCAAATATCCAGGACCATTCCTGGCCAAGATTACTGACGCTTACCAACTCTACCACGCCTGGAAGGGCGATCGACACCTCGAGTTCTGGCGTCAGCACGAGCGGTACGGCCGGGTCGTGCGATTCGGGCCCAACAGCGTCTCCTTCAATAGCAACACGGCTCTCAAGCAAATTTACGGATTCAAATCCAATGTGCGCAAGGCCGAGTTCTACGATGCTTTTGTGCATCCGGCACCCAACACCCACAATACGCGCGACAAGGCCATGCATGCCCGCAAGAGGCGCGTGCTCAGCCATGGCTTCAGTGACGCCGCCATGAAGGAAATGGAGCGCTACATCTTGGCCAATGTGCGCACCTTTTGCGAGCAGGTCGGCATTGGTGCGTCCAACGAGAGTAAGGGCTGGACAGTGTCCAAGAACATGGCCGACTGGTGCAATTACCTCGCAATGGACATTCTGGGAGACTTGTGCTTTGGCAAGGCCTTTCACATGTTGGAGCGCCCGGACAATCGATATGCTCTCGAACTGGTCTCCTTGGCAACTACAAGACATTTGATTGTGAGTACAGAGATCCAAGTCAGATCGATGAGCTGTGATTACTGATCTGGTGGCAGTGTGGCACTCTCCCGATTGTCGGCAAGCTCGGCTTGGACAAGGTCTTGTTCCACCGAATCGCAGCTGGTCGTGCCAAGTACATGGCATACAGCAAGTCGCAACTAACTGAACGGACAAAGCTGGGAGACGAGACAGATAGAAGAGACTTTTTCTATTACCTTCTCCGAGCAAGAGACCCGGAAACTGGCCAAGGCTTCTCGACTCCCGAGCTATGGGGAGAATCCAATCTACTGTGAGTGCTTGCTTGCACCGCCACCTCAAGTTCCGAGGCCACAACTGACTGAATATTCAGCATTATCGCGGGCTCTGACACGACGTCGACGGCCATGGCTGCAACCCTGTTTTATCTCGTGCGCAGTCCCGCATCTCTTCAAAAGGCGACGGAAGAGATTCGCGCCAGATTTAGCGACGTTGAAGAGATCCATCAAGGACCCGGACTCACAAGTTGCACGTATCTCCGCGCATGCATAGACGAGGCCATGCGCCTGTCTCCCTCGGTGGGTGGCATCGTTCCCCGCGAAGTGCTGCAGGGCGGCCTCGTCGTTGATGGCGAGCACATTCCGGCCGGAACCGTGGTCGGCGTGCCGCACTACACGATCCACCACAACGCCGACTACTACCCCGACCCATTCCTGTACAACCCCGAGCGATGGATTGCAGGATCTAGCAAGAGCTACGGCGTCGTCAGCGAGTCGAGCGTCGAGACGGCGCACAGCGCCTTTTGCCCATTCTCCATCGGACCTCGTGGGTGCATTGGCAAGGGGTTGGCCTATATTGAAATGTCGACGACGTTGGCCCGCCTACTGTACATGTATGATTTGCGCAAGTCGGCTGGTCCTGACCCGGCCGAGGGCAAGCCGAGCAACGAGTGGGGTCGACAGCGCCCAGAGGAGTTCCAATTGATTGATCAATTCACCAGCTTGAAGGATGGGCCGATGGTGGAGTTTAGGAGACGTCAATGAGCAAATTGCGTGGGAAAGTTAAGGCAAATCTTGGATATTTCAACGTTTTTATTTAGCGCGTTTGACCTCATGATGTCTGAAGGGATGAGCTCTTCTAGGTAAAACTCCTTAGATGTGATCAACTCGAGAGGTTGTGATTCCAGAATGCTTTCTTGAGATTGTTTGGCAGTCCCTAGCCTAGCTGATATACAGAAGGGAGGAGAGGCCCCAAATCAGAGATCTAGTAGTTTTCTAAAACCGTATACTGTCTGCAAAATCTTTGAAGAAATGGCTCTTTACCCTTGGCATTGCAAAGTCCAGAGTATGGAAGGGCCAGCAAGACTTGACGTGCAGGTATTTGGAGATTCCACGGACCGGCGCGGACCGAGCAATGGCGAGCCTATGAGCTATACGAAATGGGTGCACTGAGCAGAAAGAAACTAGTCGGATTCCAGTTCCCCGAATAATGGTCACGAGAGCTCTCACATGCTTTCTTTAGTGAGTTCATTGTGGGGGAGGCAAGGGAGGATCTGCCGGCAAAGTGTGGAAACGCGGGGGTAGGTAGGTAGACGTGGGTATGCTAGGCCAGTTTTGTAGCCGCCGCCTTTGCATGAAGGCCTCGTGTTCCTTGCAGAGGCGACAACTCGATGCTGTCATACTGCCCCGATCGTGGTCTAGCTTGCCATGAAAAAGCACGACTTGTTGAATGAAGATTGTTCATTATTAGTGGAAAATTGTTGCACTTCGGGACGATGATGGGGTAGGCCCACGTCAGTGCGATTGCTAGCTATATCTTGGTATTTTCATATGTTAGTACTTTAGCCGACAGTGGTATGATATTGGGACCGAGCGCGTATTCCAGGGCACAGTCCAGAGAATGAAGCATTGAATAGGTAGATATAGACCGTGATTAACCCGCATTGCGAATAACTTAGCCTCATGCTCCAGTTGCGCTTCACCAATTGTGCTTCAAAATGGCCAAGTCTTCGTTGAAATCGATTGTGCTTCCCTGTCTGGCGTTCAGTGCACACCTTGCCAGTGTTGCACTAGCTGCTCCCACTCAGGAACATGAGAAACGAGCATCTTGGCCGTACGGGCCCTTTGTGACCGACGGTCGTGACATCAAGGACACCAATGGCGACACCGTTGTGTATGCCGGTGCCAACTGGCCTGGTGCCGCGGATGTCATGATTCCAGAGGGCCTCCAGTTTCAGTCAATCGAAACCATTGTCTCCAAAATCAAGAGTCTGGGCATGAACTCTATACGGCTGACCTACGCCATTGAGCTCATCGACCAAATCTACGAAAACGATGGAGTGGATATCAGTATTGAGACGGCATTGACGAACGCCCTCGGCGCCAGCAACGGTACCACAGTCCTGGAGCAAATCATTACCAATAACCCATCCTTCACGGCCGATACGACGAGACTCGAAGTTTTTGATGCCATTGCAGCCGAATGTGCTACCCAAGAGATATACATACACCTCGACAACCACATGTCGAAAGGCGAATGGTGCTGCAGCACAGATGACGGAAACGCCTGGTTCGGAGACACATACTTTTCCGTGGCCAATTGGACGCGAGGTCTTTCGTACATGGCGGAACATGGCAGCTCGTGGACCGCACTCGTCTCCATGTCGCTGCGCAACGAGCTCCGAACTCCAGACGACAATACGACGCTCGCGGATGACTCGTACAACTGGGAAGACTGGTACAAGTACACCAAGGAGGGTGCAGCTGCCATCAACTCGAACAATGCCGACGTTCTCATCTTCTTGTCGGGGCTGGATTTCGATACCTGGTTGACTCCCGTGGTCCAGGGGACGGCGCTGACGCCGGGCGACGGGGCATTTACCTTGGCTGATTTCGACGGCTACACGGACAAGCTGGTGCTTGAGCTTCACAACTATGCCAACTCTGCGACCGACTGCTCTGGTTTGCAAAGCAGTCTGCTAACAGACGGATTCCAGGCCTTGAACGCCAGCGATGCGGAGACGGTCAACGTGTTCCCCGTGGCACTGACCGAATTTGGCTTTGCACAAGATGCGACAACATGGGAGGGAGTTTATGCCACGTGCATTGCGGACTTTCTTGAGGCAGAAAAGACAAGTTGGTTCATCTGGGTCCTAGCTGGTAGCTACTACATTAGAAGCGGAACGCAAGATTATGACGAGACTTGGGGGCTCCTGACGCATGACTGGTCAACTTGGAGGAGCCAGGAGTACATCGATGGTGGATTGGTCCCATTGATTGAGGCTACGGCTTCGCCTTGAGGAGCTTAAGTAGTCCACGAGAAAAGCAAATAATCAATTGACGAGTGATATCGAAATTGTACGTATCGTTGAAGTTTGGACTCGTGAGCATGTTTATTGTAAGCAAAGGCGGTATGGGCAATGGTCAATGAGAAGGGTGCCTCATTTAGAACCAAAGAAGTAAATGCTGCCAACAACTCTCTTTTTCAACAATCAGTGTCATAATACGTGGATATTGTTGTTTATGCAGCCATATGTGCAGATAGTCCCGCAATTATGTACATGCTGTGGCTCGTGCATCTGCTTGTTTGGCCCCACGTGCGGCGCGCTAACGCGATGGATGCCGAACTGGAAATAATTCAGAGAAGCTTGCCTGTCTACTGGCGCATGCGAGGCTGAGAGGCTGCATTCTTTGGCATCTAAACGCAAGAAGAGGGCGACAATCAACAAATGTGTTTGCCTTGACGACAAGATATAATCTGTTGCCATTATGGCGCCCCTCTGCAAGTTTTATCAACAGGGCAACTGTCGAAACGGAGGTGAGTACCCCCATGAGCTCTGCTTCCTGGCAACTGCTCTGATCTTTGTGCACCTGCATTTGATCTTAGCAAAGACGGATTACCACCATGCCTTTGTCATTGCATACTGACTCAATGAGTCTCGCAGCTAATTGTCGCTTCGAGCATCCCGGCGCAAACGCGAATCCTTTTGGAAGCAATAATAACCGCTTCAATGCCCTGAACACGGGAGGTGGAGGCTCTGGCGGTGCATTTGGACGAACCCCCAGCACCGGAGCTGATGGTACCAACATTTACAAAATAACCAAGGACGCGATCAAGATTGACCTCGTGGACGAGCGACCGCAATGGATACTATCAGCATACGGACCCGGCAGAGATGCGCCGGAGCAACTATTTGGAGGATACCCGCGGGAGCAGAGCTTTGAAGAGATACGGCTTTCGGTACTATCCAGCCCGAATCCTCAGCAAGCTGTATGTGAAGGCACAATCTGAAACTTCCCACCATGCGAATTGTATGCTAACTTGTCCATAGCTGCAAGAAGTCCAGAATATGTACATGGAAGCTGAGAAGCAGATGCAGACTGCCCTCGGTAACCTTGACGGGGCAGTCCAGTTTATCCTAGCAGCCGAGAACAAGCATCCCAACCGACACGATATATGTAGACAGGGCACCAACGAAAGTGGCTCTGGGGGCGCATTTGCAGTTGGTGGTGCTCGCGGCGGCTTTGGCTCCAATTTATCGTCGGGTTCATCGGCAAGTGCTTTTGGTGGTGCACAATCAACTCCATTTGGCGCCGCTGCTTCTACAGCGCCGACCACGAGCGCGTTCGGCCAGCCCTCGCAAATGGGGGCGACGACGACGAGCGCATTCGGCCAACCCTCGCAGATGGGAGCGGCGACAACGAGCGCATTCGGTCAACCCTCGCAGATGGGAGCGAAGCCCAATCCCTTTGGCCAGCCATCAACTTCTTCTCCTGGGAACTCGGCGTTTGGCCAACCATCAGCGTTAGGCGCAAAGCCGAACCCGTTTGGAGCTGCTGCCAACGCTCCATCTGGTTTCGCGGCGGCAGCACAGCAGCAGGGCAGCGCCTTTGGTCAGACATCATCTCTTGGAGCGAAACCGAACCCATTTGGCGCACCAGCCTCATCTACTTCCTTTGGCGCTCCTGCGCAGACACAAAATAGCAGTCCTTTTGGAGCTCCACCACAACCGTCAAATGCCAGTCCATTTGGCGCTCCAGCACAAGCAGCTCAGCCCAGTTCCTTTGGAGCACCCACTCAGGCTTCCAATCCTAGTCCATTCGGCGCTCCATCACAACCGTCGACCTCTAGTCCTTTCGGAGCGCCGTCACAACCTTCAACTTCGAGCCCCTTTGGCGCCCCGGCACAAACAAGTCAAGCAAGTCCGTTTGGTGCGCCGTCGCAAACACAGAATGCCAATCCGTTCGGTGCTGCCGCTCAACCCGCGGCCGCTGCGTCCAGTCCCTTTGGTCAACCCGCAGCCAAACCAAATCCTTTTGGCGCAACTCCTGCTGCGTCGAATCCATTTTCGTCCGCAAGCAACGCGACGCAACCGCCAGCAAGCTCTGCCCCGAACCCATTCGGGCAGCCTGTGACCAATGGCATTGGCGGTGGCTCAAGCAACGCACTGAATGGCTTTGGGGGTTTCAGTGGTCAACCGGCCGGTCAACCTGCCCCTGCAGGCGCTGTCGCTTCGGGGTCGCCATACCCGCCAGGCAGTGCCAAGCAACATCCGAGCATTGATTCTTATGCCTCCAGAATGGGGACTCGGCTGATCAGATTCAAAAACATGCCCGTGGCTTACAAGGATGACAAACCCGGTGTACAAAATGGTCGGAGATGGACCAAGATATGGTTTCCAAACGGACCGCCCAATTACTATGCAGATACCGAGCCTTTGGATAAGGCTGCCTACACAGATGATGTGCACAGGATCTATGAAGAGAGTGCCAGGACTGGAAGGTTTGTGGATGTCATGCCAGAAGTCCCGCCCATGCGAGAGGATTGTGCTTGGGATTTCTAGGGCCGTGGCAGTGTCCGAGCGTTATAGTTTGAGAAACACTTGGCCTTCCTGTAACCCTTTTGATTAGACTTGCATCAGCGATGGCGTTGGATGATTTTAGGATTCGCAAGTTGCTGCATCTGAGACTTGCCGGGTTGTATAATCGAGAAAGTTCATCAGCTTATTCCAGGCTTGCTTGATTCTAGATTTACGCAATCACGATCACAGTCACTACAAGAAACGACGTGTTTCATCATGCAAAGAAGCCATGAAAATGGTAAATGGAAAATCTTATGTGATCAACAACTTGTATTTATCCAGATGCAGTGAAGATCTGGTACAGAACCTCGGTAGAGATCTGTCAAGTGATGATCTAAAGCTACTCTGCCAGATTACCTGGCCCAGGTCGCTTGCCACAATCACACATTGACACGCATTTAAGCGGCAATGGTAACCTCAACCTCGACACCGGCCTCGATGTTGACAATGATCTGCTTGACGATCTCGGTAGGGGCTTGGAGGCTGTACGAATGTATGGTTAGCCAATGCGATCCATTGAACGCAGGAGAGCTTTGCCCATGGCAGCACAGCAGAAATGATCAGTGTCAACTTACTCGATGAGGCGCTTGTGGATGCGGAGCTCGAACATGTCCCAGGTCTTGGAACCCTCACCGCAAGGAGTCTTACGGGTGGTGATCTTGAGGGTCTTGGTGGGCAGGCGGACGGGACCCTTGACGCGGAGGTCCTTGGTCTTGGCGCGCTCAATGAGCTCAGTGCAGACCTTCTCGAGGGCCTGGACCTTGCGGGAGGTCAGGGTGATACGGATGCGGTGAGTCTTGGGAGCCTCGCCGGCGTCCTTGTCGCCCTTCTGGTAAGAAGACATGTTGTCTGGAGTAGGTGGTTTGGTGTTTTGGGGGAAAACCGGAGTTGACTTGATTTGGCGGAGAACTTCACGACTCGAACGACGTCGGCGTTAAGGCGTACGTTACGGCAAAGTGATGAAGTTGCGTTGGGTGTGAGGAAGGAGAGAGAAAAAGGACCTGAAGCTGTCGCGAACTTTTACCACTATGGAGGTGGATTTTTGGCCCGCAGAGGGGGTAACTTTTTTGGTGGGCGGCGCAAGGGCTGCTGTGGGACCGTGCACTTATCGATAGCAACAAGGTGTTTTACTGGGCCAATGTTGAAAGAGTGGACCGCAAGCCAGAGACGCTTGGGGGTCAAGAAGGGGTCCACTTTTTAGCAAGCTGGGATCTCACTTCGATGACATACAGGGAGTCATTCGGCCAGCAAAGCCGAACAAACAAGCCATCAGCCATTGATCTGAGCTTCTTATGGCGGACGGTGCAGTAAATCTTTTGACCATTCAATTTCTCTTCATTTTTTGTGTGTTTTAAAAACTACAATCCGGTCATTCTGTATCGTTTTACTCATACTCACGTCAGCCAAAATATCGCACACCTGTCATGGCTCCTGCGCTGCCTCCGTTTGCGCCGTTTCCCGAAGCACCATGGCGGGATCATATTGTCCCAGAAGAATGGCAAGCTTGTCTCTCTCTGTGGATTTCGCTCGCCGACGCACATATTTCTTTATCCAAAAATGACTTTCAGAGCTTGTCTGTCAAGGATGAATCTCTCACCAAATTTTTGACTGCATTCATGCGTCAGCTCGCTTCATTTGGAGTCGGTATTCTTGGGTCTTCGGAATCCGCAGCCGTGCTACTGCGGCACGTGTACATGCTCACAACAGCACTGTTAAAGACGTCAGCACCGCCAAGCGACATACTACAATGGGAGTTTCTGTCGGACTTTAGCAGAGTGTATGGCAAGAAGAGGACATCTTCAGTATTGGGAACGGCTTTCAAGTCACACACCCTGGCCATTGAAACCTCCCTTCATGGTGTCAAGAAGTCACTTATCCTCGCCTTGGACTCTGGAATTAAAGACGACCTCCGGATACCAGAGGCCAGACTAAAGCATTTGAATCACTTGATCCATGCTTCTCCCGACGCAGCTGCCTTGTTCATGGCTGGTAGCGATTTTCTCGATGGACTCATTAGCTGCTACAAAGTCATGAACCCCCCATTGAGAAAAACGATAATCGCTACCGCCTATTTATGTCTCATTGGTCTGACAGAAGGTGAAACGCCAAAGTTCTCAGTTCTGATAGACCAGCTTTATTCCTTGAAAGCAGCTGCAGATGCTCACAAGGCCGGCCCTACCAGCGGAAACGACTCCATGGTAGCAGAGTTGGTCACAGTCACGCCACTTTTGAAACAAGTTCAACATCGCCTCGAACAGTCAGGGTCTACTGCAACAAGGATAAAATCTGTGATTACGGGCCTGGAGGGATTCAAGAAACCCGGTGGTAATGTACGGCCAAAGAGACTAGTTAAGAGAAAGATCGACAAGGGCAAAGCAGTCATGGCCTCTGAAGATGATGAAGATCTTGGTGCGCTGCGAGTACACCAGATGAGTCAAATCTCTCAAATACAGGATCTTTTCCCTGATCTCGGCTCTGCTTTCATATCGAAATTATTGGACGAGTACCACGACGACACTGAACAGGTTGTTGCGCACCTGCTTGAGGATAACCTTCCGCCACATCTGGCGTCTGCTGACCGTACCAGAGACTTGTATGCATTTTCAAGGAACCTTCCCCAGGTCTATCTACTAACGGTGGTACAGGTCGCCCGAGAGAACACGAAGACGGCGGAGCAGTCTGGCACCTAGGTCTACCCCGCCACAACTGCCCACTCGTCATAATGTCTTTGATGATGACGACTTGGACAACCTGACAGTGGGCGTATCTAATCTCCATTTCGGCAAGCGGGATCAGGACAAGACGGCAGATGACATTTTGAAGGATCGATCGACAGCACCTAACAAAGCGGCAATCCTCTCCGCGCTCTCGGCTTTTGATGCAGATGACGACGAACGCGATGACACTTATGATGCAGCTGATGCTGGGTTCACAGTCAATGATGCCTTGGCTGATGATGCTGATGATCAGAAGCGGAAGGATGTGGTGGAGGAAACCTTGTTCAATGCATTCAAGTCGGATCCGAAGCTCTTCAATCGAGATTCCGACACGCGACGAAGCAATTATCGGATGAAGTTGAAGAATGACACGGGAATGACTGATGAGGCCATTGAGGGTTGGGCCGTGATGCTTGGCCGCAATCCTTCACAGCTCAGGTCTCTCGAGGTCAAATACAGTGCGGCCAATATGTTTACTGGTCAGCAGACCGCTCTGGCCTCTACGTCTTGGAAGGCAAGTCCAGGTGGTTCCGGAGCCGAGGAGTCTGGACAGGAGTCAGGAGGCGTCAACGCCCGAGGTGGATTCCGCGGCCGTGGGAGAGGCAGAGGACGAGGTGGTGGCCGAGGCGGCAACGTTGCAGGCCCAACGGGCGAAAAGGGCACTGAGAATGCCAGGCGCAACAAGGAAGCCAACAAATCATCCCGAGCAAATCATAACCGACGTGAGGGTCGAGCAAGGAAGATGGCAAGAGCCGGATTCCCTGGTTAGGCAAGCCAAGCTATATTTGTAAGCTGTAGGGTTAAAACGTTGGCCATACTAATCACGCAATTGCCGAACCACGCCAACGATAGTTGAGAAAGATATGCACAGGTTTTTGCCATTCCAATCGTCGTCTTCGGCCCCCCTCTCGCGATCCAGTGACTACATAATCCTTCTTCTCTTGGCAGATTGCTGGCTGCTGCTTCGCACCAGTGCCGCAGAGCCAGATTGTCGTTTGCCCAGACCAGCATATGGGCTATCTCCAATACCGTCTTCAAGGTCTTCGTCACGTATGTCCATGGCATAGGGGCTGGTGATTTCAAAAATGCCCGGCCTCGGAGATGGCACGTGAGGTTGGTAGAAAAAGGTGCTCATCACGGGCGCAGGTGATACTACACTTCCGAAAGAAGAATCTCTGGGTGTCGCGAGCTCGCTTATCGTCCTCAGCTCATGGTCAGCATCGCCAGAGATCTCGACAGCCGGAATCATGGACACCAGTGATTCGCGTGAGCTTCGACGAGTTGCCATGTACTCTTGAACATCAAAGCAGGGTCTACAGACTGGATAAGCCGGCCACCTTTCTGCTTCCTGGATGTTCTGCGGTAGCTGAGGTCGCGTCTGCTGGCCGCACCGCTCCTGAATGTCGTCAAATACGTCAAAGATCGGCGTGAAGAAAGCCACTCGTGGACCAGGTCCAAAGTACTTGTTGCGTCCCCAGAGCTGCCCAACGAGGGCGTTCGTGTCGCAGTCAACCACGCCGGCACCGCTGTCGCCAGCAACACCAATGCCGCCACGGATCCATGAATCCTCGTCCTCACATTCAAACGGTTCCTCGATGAACCATTCACGGGTAGCTTTCCCTGTGCCGTTCTTGCGTCCGTCAATGTACGCGGGAATTTCGCATATCAGGCCACGCTGATAGCCAGAAGTTCGACCAGTAGCGCAGACCTCGGCTCCTGGAGCGACACTGCACATGCGTGTGATTGGCTCCTCTCGCTGTGGCGTTGCCGTGCTGGGAAATTTGCGCATCATATTTGCCTGTTGTTTCTGAGAGGATATTAAAGCCCAGTCCGTGACTACGAGGGGTGGTTCCTTGTCGCAATCTTCCCAGTATGGTTCATGAGTTATCCTTGTGGTTTTGAGGTCATATCCCGAGGTGGCAGTTAGTTGACCCAGGTGGAGATCCACTCCAGGTCCTTCGAGAGCATCATGTTTTTCCCGTACACACCGATCGCGGTCCTCCGGCGATGGGTGTTCCACAATCGCGCAGTGTCTCGTAAGGTCAACCTCCTCAAAGGGATGAAAGTTGGCCAACCAAAACCAAGCACCGCCTATCTTGATGCAAGGCCCCAGCGTGGCACTCGTGTCATCCCCGTCCGGAAGAGTCATTCCTATACTATCTCCCATCTGTGGGCTGACATAGCAGAACGGGTTCCGTGGTTGGCATATCTCGTCGGGCATGTCTTTACTTAGGCCCCTAGCCCAGGTAAGGCGCTCGACGGCACCCACGGAGAACACGAAACTCACCAGGCCCTTGTAATTGTCTGGAAGCAAGTCGCGCACATGCCCAGCAATGACGACCTTGCGGGCCTTTGAAATAGGTCTTGCTGTCATGATGCAGACACGTCGAGCTTCTCGCTTTTTCCCGCGTGTTACGGTAATGACGTGGCCTGCGCCGCACCATTTTGGCATCAACTCAATCAAAAATGGAAGCACACCGTGCTCCCAGATTACTGGGAAGGGTACAGCACCGCCCGCCCTTGGCGTGCTGGCACTTATAGTACCTGGACTATCCATGGATCTTGGAGTAGCTATTATGGCATCATCAGTCACCAGTTTGTCTTGTCAAAATCCAAGAACATGGATTCCTCACCTGTGACCCTTCTACATCTCCGCTCCACCACGGCTCTTAACTGATCACGGCATCTCTTTTTTGACGTTGCCACTGTGAGTTCCATCTTGAGCCTCTTGTCCTCGCATTTTGGCTGTCGAGGCGGTGCAGGTGCTGTACTAGGCGCCTCCGCCGCCATGGGGGTTTGTTCAGCTGTTTCATTCAGCAAGTCACTTGACTGGTGGAGCTCCTGATCTTTGGGCGAAGTGAAAAGTTTGTGCTGCCATCTCAGGTGGACCTCGACCAGCTTCTTTACGGCGAACACCCCCTCGGTGCAGCCAAGGACGGGGCATGTCAGGAGATGAGCCGCCTTGACATGCCAGTTCAACGCTTCCCTTGTCGTGAAGGGACCGTCCTTGCAGGGGCCGTCCATACCCCAAAGGCAGATATGAGAGCCTGAAGCTGACGGCTCAATGTTTGCTACTCTAGGACGAGCACCGCCAGGTGCCTCGGTCCTATCGGATGTGGCCACAATGTCATTTTCCCATGGCCGAATGGTTCCTTCGGATGCAGCATCAGTTGGAGAAGGCAGCGTACCAGTGGTATTGCCATCGGAATCGTGTTCACAGGCCCAGGAAGCAGGTCCGCATGTAGAATTCAGTTGATGCGGTTGCACATGTGCCTGTTGTTGCTGTTGCTGCCAGTCTGTGCATATAGTGGACAAGGTCGAACTGGCCGATGAGCCTGGAGACGTCGTGGACGAGCGCGATGATATTATGCTCGGCGCCGGCACGGAACTAGGAGGACCATACAAGTACAGGAAACCCGCGTCGTCGAATCTCTTGCCGGCATATGCCGGCATGAAACAGGGTCCGCATGAAGCGTCGGCAACGGCGGGTCGCGGCGGTGCTGACGGCCAAGGGAAAGGCGCCGACACGACGTCCAGATCCTGGAAATGGGCGGGCGCAAATACCGTCTCGGGACCAGGACAGGCGAGGGCCGTGGGATTATGGCTCGCTTGTGCCTGGAATGGAATGTCATGGGCATATATACTAGGTCCAGCCTCTGGATGAGGCCATTGTTGTCCACGCCGGTCCTTGGGCACGGCGGCCGCTGGCGGCGCCGGAGGGTTTCGGGACGGACGCATACTCCCGCTTCAAGTAGCAAAGGTCCGAGTACTCCGCAAAGTTTGATGTTACAAATCAACGTATAGTAAATAATCTCGGCGAAAGTGGAAACTATAATTTGCCAGACGTGAATCTGACACTAGCATGGTTCATTTCGAAATCAAAACGGGGGCCCAAGTCTCGAGGAGATGCGGCGGCCTCCCCAGGCAGCAGCCAATTGATCCTGGTAAGGTGTGACAAGGTGGAGGTCCCCGACTTGCGGCGCAGCAATGTCACGAGAGCTCGTCAGTAAAATCATGTGCATAGAGCTACGGGTTATTCAAACTCGAACAATACGGCGTCCACTCACTGAGATTAAGTATTATCATCATAGTAGCAATGCAAGCACTCGAATGACATGTTGTAGGTGGAATGGGGTATAGAACACCAACTAGGTTAGGTAGGTAAATGCCATTACCTTGAAATAGTCTCGCTCCGCAGCAGAGGGCTGAGTCACACTATAGTCCTTCTTTGAAATCGTGGATGTTCAGTTGAATCGCTGGTAATCTGGAATTGGAAATCATTCTAGGTTAAAAAGATGATCCATATCCTATAGGCATTGGCTTTTTGAGATCTTGACAATCGGACCTGTGTTAAAGTTATAATGCGCTACGTGGGATGGTACGTTGGGATGCATTAGCTACAAGCTTGGTGGCATGAAGCTATGCACAATAAAAAAAGAACCCCCACCCAGAAAGAAAAGGGTAGACAGTCTCATCGAGGCAACTTATGACTTGATTAGTGACTCAGCAGACCTATAAAAGTTGTGATCAGATCCGAGTCTGCACTCATGAACCTCTTGAACATATTTCGGTACCATGCACTGATGATAGGAATCCCACAGCGACAGACTGGCATTTGCTTAAAGACATTCCCTCCCCAAGTGCCCAATCCACGTCCACCATCTGTCCATATAACAAGACGCTCGCATGTCTCGTCTTTGCTGAAGAGGTCAACCAGGTCCACCGGTTCTGGATTTCCGGTACAAAAGGGACAAGCACGCGTTCGTGCAGCATACGCACACACGACTACGGCACTCTTCATTAGCGAAGGGATGAGTAATGGATTTAGCAAGGCGTCCTTTTTTGCCGATTCTTGTTGAACGATTCTTGCGATTTGCCCGGCGTGCCAGACTGCGACTCTGGGCGTGGTTGTACCCATCCAGGAGGAAAGATCCAGGTCGCGAGAAGTAGCTTGAACAGATACTTTAGACTCCTTCGGGGCCAGAAGGCGTTGTAGGCACATCAATGGCCGTGGAGAATATGCCCGTAGCGAGGAGGCATGATAAAGAATCAACGTCTCGGGCGACAGTACTGCATTGGGGTCAAGGCTGTTGTGTATTAGTAATTCAATGTATATTTCGAGAGCTAGACACACATCAGGGCTCGACAACATACTACTAAAGGTTAGAGAATGTTAAAATCTCATGACAAGAAAGGGTTTGGCTAAGAGGATGCAGCGGGGCTCATCATACCTGGAGATATCTTTTGTTATTTGCCCACCAGACCGCCAAAAGACGACGACAAGTTTGAGCTATGGCTAGCTCTGAATCTAGGTTTGCAGTCGGCTGCACTGAGATGTTATTGATAAAGTCCGTTGAAATCGTCCACATATCTGACTGCATCGCGCAAAGGCCCAAGTGGAGGTCTGGAGCGTTGGGGTGTTGACCGTCTGGATATCGAAAGTCGGGGTCGATCGATCTGCGAACAAGCAGACCAAATGAGTGCTCTCGGGTTGCAGTATGCAGACCCTCATCTTGATGGGCTTGTGGACTGCTGATCAAAGGCACTGTGACCTCGGGACAGTGTAGAAATGGCGGCGTGTTGAAGAACAGGCTTATATACGAATCAATCCTCATAACCATGAATGCGAGCCTAGGCTAGTCAGTTGTGAAAGCGGAAGACATTTCATCGCGTGGTCCATACTTCTGAGCAGCTACCGCCTTTTCATCCGGTGGACCAGAGTCAGAATCTGACCACATGCTATCGGCATTGAAAATACCAGCCTGTCGACATGCACCAACCAACATGCAGTGGAAATTTGCTGCTGTAGTCATTGAATCGGCCTTGTCCTGGGATCCGTTAGTGACCCAGTGCCGGAGAAGGATTAGATCGGGCGTACCTACTGATCGACAGATCGCATAGAGGATATAAAGGCAGATGATCTGCAACATTTCCAACTCCTTGCTTGACTCCTGGCCTGGGTTAATTGATACTCATGACCGCTTGAGAGAGAGAAAGGCCGTACTATAATTGCTTCAGCCACTTGATTCATGACAAGACTAACTAATTTTGAGTGGTCTTGATCCTTTGCAAGCCAGCTGGGAACCAAGGCGATTGCGGCAATTAGCAGATCTGAAGCCACATCGTAATCAAGAAAGGGCAATACAGGCCAGCGAGGAGCGATATCTTGGAAGAACGAGTCAAAGAGCCGTTTGGTGGTAGGAGAGGCTTTCACGATATTCCCACCATTATCGAGTAGAGGATATTCTAATTGAACAGACGGCTCATTCCTCTCTCGTGTTCCAATAGATGCATCCCGGGTATGACGAGAATCTGGCCCGTTGAGAATTTCGGGCGCCCGCGTGACGCCGCGATGAGGTGTTGTAAACGGCGAACTATTGTATGGTGATGGCCCATCACGCAGATTATGATGCTCTAGCGGCTCTGGTACAACAGCAGAGTCACTGTCATCCAAAGGCCGGGTAGCATTTTGAGAAGCCGATGATTGTGCGGAAGGAGATGCGGCACTATTGGCTGTCGGGGGATGCTTTTGGATATGGCGTCGCAAGACGTCACTACAATCGCGTCAATGAGGTTGTGGCTGCAAGGATGTCCATTCATTCGTAGCACCGGGAATGTTCGGACTCCGTCAGAATTGATTATACATACCTGCGTGCATAAGTACGCCCACAAAGATGGCATCGGTACTGGGCCGAATCATGTGATTTGAGGTGCCGAGTTAGATGCTCTTTACGACGAAAGCGCTTCGAACAATTGGCGACTGTACAGGCAAAGCCATCGCTTGGCGATTGTTCCATTCTCTTCGACACAGCGCTCGCTGATACAGAGCTGATTATTCGTAGTGTTGGGCGACACGGACACTGGACATCATCCCACTTGCGCAGCTTTCCAGGAAGTGAGTATGTGGGATAAAGTGAGTGGATGTGGTTTGAAATCGCCCTCCAGGGGATATAATGTAAGCAAAGTGTCTTAGCTCCACGCCATGGATCACTGGAGGCGCCGGCTTTTGAAGTGGGATGATCCAGCGAAGCACTAACGATGCTGATTGGGGCGTCGAAACAGAGCTGGCAGGGCAATTAGGAACAGCCGGCGATCATTAACAGCATGAAAGTGACTGCTTCAGCCCCCCGGAAGTCGCCGTGGCTTGGTTTGGTGCTTGGAAGCAAGTGGGATACGCGGTGTGTAATCCAGAGTATGTGGGATAAGTGGGACAAATGTGGGATGTCCCACTGCCATATCCCACCCGTCTCTGCTTACAACGCCGGGTGCTTGATGTGATTGCCGTCTTCCAAGCTGACATATTCACGGTATGAGCATGAACAATAATCTCTTACGATGAGGTTAATTTTTATAATGTATGGTCAGAATGTATATATATACGGGCCAATGCCGTTTCGTGTCACAATCTTGTCCACAGAACAACAATCACAAACACATCTTCCAAAATACCTACTCAATACTACACGATCATCCCGTACACAAAGCCTTAAAATATCAAAATGGTTCAAATCACCAAGGTTGCTCTAGCAGGTGTAAGTCTCGACGATCTTGAGAAAAAGAAAAAAAAAACATGCCAAACCTAACCGCCAATAGGCTACCGGCTCCCTCGGAAGTGTCATGCTTGATGAGCTCTTGCAGGCCGGCTTTGAAGTAACAGTTCTTACACGGTCGGCGGATCAAAAATTGCCAGGAAATGTCACAGTCAAGGCAGTCGACTATGACTCTGTGGAGTCAGTGACTGAGGCCCTCCGGGGCCAGCAGGCCGTCGTGTCCACCATCGGAGGCGCTGCCCTTGGCAAACAGCTCACCTTGGTCGAAGCTGCTGCCAATGCGGGTGTCTTGCGATTCATCCCATCCGAATTCGGCTCAAACACGCTTAACCCCAAGGTTGCACAGCTTCCAGTATTTACAGACAAGGTCGCCGTCCAGAATGCCCTCAAGAAGCAAGCGGATGCCGGGCGCTTGACATATACCTTGATCGCCAACGGGCCCTTCTTGGACTGGGGACTGGAGCATGGCCTGATTGCCAACCCTAAAGAAAAGTCCATCACCATCTTTGACGGCGGCAACCAGGTCTTTAGCGCCACCACTCTGTCTACCATTGGCAAATCTGTTGCGAGCACACTGAGGCACCTCGAAGAGACCAAGAATCGCCCCGTGTACATTCAAGGAGCCGCTCTCACCTCGAACCAAGTCCTGAAGCTTGCTGAAAAGGCCACGGGTACCTCATGGAAGAAGACCGAGGCATCAATCGATGACCGTCTGAGCGCTGCATGGGCAGAGTTGAAGAAGGAGAAGCCTAACGAGATGATCTTTGTTCTCGGATTCATCGTGACATCAATCTGGGGCCAAGGATATGGTATGCCTTTTGAGAAGACCGATAATGAGTTGCTCGGCATTAAGGAGACGTCCGAGGACGAGATCATTGCTCTGATTCAGAAATACGCATAAGTCAACACCTAGTTGAGCCAGCCAGCATTTAAAATTTCCAGATATAGATAATTTAACAGATTCGACATGGCCACAAGCAGGAAACTCATGAAATGACTGTTCTTGAGTTGAAACGGTAGTTGAATGCAAGTGTGTTTAGTCTACTTGCGATACCACATTCTGGTAACTTTAGTCCTTCTGATCTTTTTCTGCAACTGAAAAATTCCATAGAGTAGAGCCTCGGCAGTAGGAGGACAACCTGGTACATAGATATCCACCGGAACGACGCGGTCACACCCGCGAACTACACTGTAGCTGTAGTGGTAGTAGCCACCACTATTCGCGCAGCTGCCCATGCTTATGACCCATTTCGGGTCCGGCATTTGATCGTAGCACTGACGGAGTGCAGGCGCCATCTTGTTGGTGAGCGTACCGGCGACGATCATGACATCGGCTTGCCGCGGCGATGCACGGAATATGATGCCCAGACGATCCTGATCGTATCGCGGCATGGAAACATGCATCATCTCGAGACTACAACATGCAAGACCGAATGACAATGGCCACATTGATCCATTGCGTGTCCAAGCCACAAGTTTGTCCAAAGATGTTCTTTTGCGCCGAAATTCTGTCAGCCCGACATATTCTGTTGTTGGAAGGGGCCATATATGTCCATTGTCTTACAAGGCATAATCCACCATACTTGTTGGCTTCAATTGTGTGGAGAGAGCCATGCTCGGAGGACTCTTGGACAATTTTTGTTTATGGATCTCTCGGGGATTTCGCGTGTAGCTCGTGATCGTCCGGATACTTTGGCAAAAGAGTAATCGGCTCATGTTACTCGGTGTACCATGTGTCGGTAGGCGGCGGACTGTACATCAACAAGCTTGTAAGTCAAATAGTCGACCTTCTCTTCATGCATGTTGCAAATGACCTACAATTCGTAGCTGGTATATACTTCATGGTGGGGAATTGGTTAAATATCTTCGCGGGGAAAGGATAATAATTCAAGAATGTCACAAGCAGAGCCTGTCTTGATTGACATGAAAGAACTTGCAGTCTTATACGGCGACTTTCGTGCATCGGGATATTCACACATTCTAGCCCCACTTGGATCGGAATGCTAGGGGACTTGGTAGATCTTGAAAATCGCAGGCACTGTGTTAGGCGCCTAGAGCGCGCAAATGGGACAGTGTTTAACATCTTTCAGCCCTGTACGCCAGCCAATCTATGCCCTATTTGGTTTCGTCCCCAGATTCTGGCCTCGGGAAAAACACACTCGGTCAGCTCCAGCCCATGTCATCCCTCCTAGATTCCTAACACACTTCCTTTCTACCTAGTATGCACGACAGAAGCGTAGCTGGTCTGCAGTCCGGGGATGATCCAACGACAGAAGACTACCAGGTGTGATCTCAGATGTCTTGTTCAGTGTGCCAACTTCCAATCGCCGAACCCGTGCGGAGCCTCTCATCATCTTCGAGCAATCGCGAATGCCCCTTTTGCTCCACAGTATTCTCTCGTGTCGACGCGGCCAAGCGACATGCACGGAGCTGCACTCATAGAAGGGGTCGTGAACTCCCTGCTGGAAAGCGCGGTCGTAGGGCAAAATCCTGCGCTCAATGTTCGCGCGTCAGAGTTTACTGCGATGCCCCAATTCAAGGTCCTTGTGAGAGGTGCATCTCCCGAAAACTGGACTGCGCTTTCAGTAGAAAATGTACCGACGTGACTCATCGGAAATCGTCTCAAAATGAGATAGCAGATCACAATGGTCGTAGTCAGGTCCCACTATCATTTCTACTGAACTTCACAGACGAGAAACAAGACTTTGTAACAGAAAGGGCAGTTGGTGAAGAGCCAGATGGTGACCTTGTAGGGCCAACTCACATGTCATCGCCGCACGATCAATCACCAGGCCGCGAGATTCTTGACTACATCGACCCGACGCTCTTGTTACCCTGCGACTCCGAAGTCTGGCTAGGTGCCCTACAGGACACGGAAGAACAAGACCTTCTTGGTCACTTCGTCTTGCCAGCCGGACAAGGGCTTGAAGCGCGACTAGAACTCTTGGAGTCGCACGTTGCCGCACATGCCAGGACGACTCATCTCCCTCGAGATCTATTCGATTCACGCCACTTTGGTAATTTTTTCAGTCCCTTCAATGTAAATACATTCGCCAGGATCTTCTGTCGCAAGCGGCATTATCAACATACAGTCATACATTGGCCGACATTTTCTCTCGAAAAAGCCGCGCTTCCCTTGCTCATGGTTGTTGCTCTCACCGGAGCTACGTATTCGTTCCACTCAAGGAATGGACCAGGGCACATCACTGCTGCGCGATCGTTTTATCGGCTCGCGGACTCTTATGTTTTCCATGAGCTGAGAAAATGTGTCCAAGGCGGAGCTTCAACTTCCAATATCGCAGAATCAATCGAACTTTGTCAGGCGGCTCTGCTCATGTATGCGTTAGATACGCTGTTGGCAGGTGATGAAGGTGTGCAGTGTGCTGCCATGACGGAACGATTGCCTGCTCTAATATCCACAATGCGAAAGCTACGGTTTGTCGGCTGTCGTCACGATCCTTCAGAGGACTGGTCACTTTTCCTTCAACGTGAACAGATCATCAGGCTTGTATCTTGGGCCTACGGAGCGGATTGTCTGATTACCATGTCCTTCAATACTCCGCCGTTTTTTTCTCTTCTTGAAATGACTGGAGACCTTCCGTGTGATCCTCTCATAGTAAGCATATCTTTCTCCTTTTCTGGTGGATTGTCACATGAGCAAACCTTGCGCAAAATGGTGCTGCAAGAGAGCAGACTGAGACAACTGCCTGGAAGAACCCCATCAAACTCATTTGTCCACCGAAAAGGCAATTGCTAACACATATCATTGTAGTGGGACTCTGACCCCTCAGCCCTTGAGTCATTGAGGCCATTCCAGGACACCACCTCTTACTGCATCAAGGGCCTCATGTCATGGCTTCTGGATGACAACATGCAATCGAATGACATCCTTGAGAGAGTACCCCTCTTTCATTTGCACATCATGTTGTGTGGTAAGTCTGCAGCAGACGCAAATTCCGTTCTCAGTGATACGATTTGGGAATAGGGCTGATAAGAGTCATGGGACAGCAATCCAACCCATCATTTTTAACCTCCACATCAGTTTGTCATTACCGTCGCAATCAGACAGGTTACTTCGGGCACTAGCCACGTGGAGACACCTCTGGGGAAACGCCATCGACAAACTGCCGGATGATCAGCGCAAGTGGCTCGGAGTCGCCAAGCATGTACCTGACATCGAGTATCTTTCCAGGCGGATAATCGAGGTTTCAATAAGCTCCCACGCTGATTCCTCACAATACTTGAAGCGAGTCCCGTCGCACACAGCAAGGGAGGTTCACGAATTCATTCGAGAGTTTGTATCAAGAACATAATCACGTAATCTGTTGCTAGCGATGAGGCTATGCCTGGACAACGTTATCTTGGCATAGCCGTGGCATTCTCTCTACTATAGAGTACTCGACTTCATGGTATAGTCTATCTTGTCGGTAGATAAGTCCCATGCAGCGATCTATACTAATTTATGCGTGATGCTGCAAGCTTAAGCTCGCAACCATGACTCGTCGTCCTAGGTCGAACGGCGCTTCCGACCCATTTCAACGTCAATCGCTCTAGCGGATCAAAGCTTAAATCAAAGCGCCCCAATAGAATTTTTGTATCCAAAAGATTTTGATACTCTGCGCTGGGTATGCAGAGGAGATATGAAGTCGCACGTACTCTTTGACGTAGCATAAGCAGCAGCGATTCAATCAAGCCCGTCAAGAGAAAAATCAATCGAAAGTATGCTACAAGCATGAACTTGAATTATCTCCGCTTTCAATGAATACTCGCTTATGCATCACGAAGTAGCGACAGCGGAAAAAAGCATGACTCGTTAAGCACATACTGTAGGTTTATAGACCGTGGCCGCTTAACCTTACTTGCCGGCAACCGCCTAGGCCGACATCATGGGATGACGCAAAGTGTGACGGACGCTATTCCGCGCGGAATAAACTCGAAGACATGGACATGGAGAGCATGCGTATATAAGATGTAAACATCTTCGTCGTTCACAATCAGGACCATAATTCATGATTATCCAATACTCCAAGAGACACGAACCACTTTAAACAAAAACAAAAACATCCATCCCACTACAACAACTTTCACACAAACCCCGACACAGAGTTGAAAACTTTTAAAATGTGCTTTGGATTCAGCCGAAGAAGAAGAGCCTGTGGACCACCAATGATGGCTCGCCCGGTCCCAATGATGCAAACACGCCCCATGCACTGCGGCCCGAGATATGGATATAGTCCGAGACCAGGCTGGGGAGGAAGACCCGGATTCGGTGGTGGCCCCGGATTCGGCGGCAGACCTGGTTATGGTGGTAGGCGTGGCCGATGCTAGGTAAGTGCATATTATAAACTGAGCGAACGGCTCGCCATCAAATGTTCTAAAATCCCATGCTTACACTGGCGTTTAGATGCTTATATGGCCCAATCGTCATAGTCACGGACAAGTTGCGTTGGGGATTTGCTACGAAGAACATGAATTAAATGCTGGCGGGTGAGGTCAGAACTCGCCGAGAATCTATGGAAAGGAGAACGAAAGTTATATGCGTCTTGTTAGACAGAGCATGGCGAGAACGAATATTAGTAACGAATAAAAAATCACGTAAAAGTTACGAGATATTTCTGAAAGACCAAGAGTGACATGTATCGTGTGCAACAGAATTCAATCTCCCTCCTCTGGCTCGCAAGCAGTTAGATATACATACTTGCGACCTAGCAGTTCTGGGAGGTCTTGCAGCCGCCTATAGTCTCGAGATGGTGACCGGTAATGACCAAGCAAGAAGACACGGGTGAGTCCGACCAGCCCAGCCAGCAAAATAGGAAGCATGAAGTCTCTAAAAAGCTCCAACTCTGATTGCGTAAGAGGACTTCTGTGATTGAAAGCACTCATAGCCAACTCCCACTGGTCCTTGCTGAGCTTTGATCCATAAGAATTCGTCGGACGCATCGGCGTTTGCAGAAACGGATCAAGTTCAGAATCGATATAGACAAGCTCTCGAAATACTGGGTAACCTTGCATGATATCAAATGGGTAAGATAAGGGTCCTGGATCAGTCTTTCCAGTTGTCAAGTCTTCGTAAAAACGGACTGCAGTTCTGACAGCCTCGTTGTCAGGAAATTGTACAAGAAGCTTGCTCAAGACTTCTCCAAATCTATTAACAGAATACACCATGCCCGTGGACATCCATGGACTTGGTTCATCTTCCCTAAAACTAAATGGACTGCGGACATGTGCACTCCAGCCTCTGGGAGGAGAGAAACCAGATTCCATATTGTGGGTACTGAGGGGCGGCGTCCGGTCGGAATCGAGGCCTACGCCAACGATCCAGCCACCGCGAGTGATGTCTTTGGCAGATGATATGGGACTTGAGACTGTGGTAGTATCAGTGACTTTGATTCTCTGCAGGTAGAATGGCGGGTATCCCTGAAGAATCTTTTCCACCTCATGTTTCGTGCGACTGTGCTGCTGTCCACCAGGATATAGAGGCAAATGAGCAGTAAGTATTCCATCAACATTGAGGAATTGAATGCGGCTGGTGTGCGAAAGTAACAAGAAGGCCTCCAGAGTTTTGCGGTCGGTGCGGACATAATGCTTTGATGCATTAAGCTGATAAGGCTTAAAAACGCGCCTATCTCGTCGCTGCGCAGAAGTCCAGGCGCATTGAAACACATTTCCGTAGGTCGAACCCAAACAGTCTGTGTCACTATGCGAAAAGTAGGATACATCCTTCTTGATTGCCTTCAGAGGATTGAGATCCTCTTCTCCTCGACGAAGCTCTCCGTCTGGAATATCTTGCCACTCGAGGCGCTCACATGTAGAACCGTGGGATCGAAGCTGGCGCTGTGTTCGGTTGAAGGCCATTTTGATGAGCCATGTTGCGCTGCCTGACAGCATCAATGGCAGCCCGATCAGGGCAATGAGCGCTGCCATTGCATCCCATCGTATCTTGAATTGACGGTTAGTAGAGCGTGCCTGCGTAAGCGGGTGCACAGGTCATGGGCAATCTCACCGTGTCCATCTCAATCGTCTCTAGTCCGAGCGTGTCTCTGTAGTCTTATATGCTAACTTGTCATCAAATATGCTACACGTAATATGGTTATGCGACAACAGGTAATAAGGCCGATATTGTGATCGCGCGTGAAAGGAGAGGGTGTAATAATCAATTGAGAAGAAATAATTAATTGAGAAGACGGGCTTACGTGATGTGCATCATGATTGTTTGAACCCTGCTCCGGGCAACCTCCGGGCTTGGACTGTCACTCTGCGTCACAAGAGCGCAGTGTGCCTTGCAGTGGGCCTTGCAGTGAGCCTTGAGCATAAGATGTCACCTAAGGCAATGTAAAGGAAGGGGAAAATGTAGGCGAAGGAACGTCTAAAAGATGTCTGAATTGATGCTAACAAACTGTAAAAGAGAGGTGCTAGGAAGCTACCCAATGTGCCCGTGCAGATGAGCTGCGGTGAGTTACGTCAGTGCAACATACGAGAAGTCGGCCTGCGTATGTGAGGTGCCTGTCGACAGCTCAATCAGATACCTACTCACTGGGCACGGCCTAGTACGAAAAACGATTCCAAGAACGAAGAGGTGTGGTGATATTGATGTTGAAGAGAGAAGGTCTAGTTACAGCTGCCCACGCTGTTGTTTTTACCCCTCATTTGGTACTAGATTCGAGCCTTCCAGCTCAATCAGGCCTCTCGCCTCTTTGGTTTTCCATTGAAGCGCAGCACACAGCCCGTACAAGGTCTTCAGTGTAGGTATGGGCACACCGAGCTTTTCTGCCTCTCTGATTGGCTCCCCGAGGATATTCTCGTACTCGATATAGTTACCCTGGGAAATATTAGCATTGCTGCAGAGGAGAGGGTCACCTATATAGTAAGGTGGGAGATGCCTTATTACTGACCTTTTCTACATCTTGAAGCATACTCGGTTTGCAGTAAACCTCGAGCGGATCAATGTGGATCGTATTCTCAATGTGCTCTTCGGGGATATCGTGACCTGCGGCTTTGGCTGCATTCCATATTTCCCGCATGGCGGGCTTGACGAGGGTCTCGATGGGTGTTTTGGCCAGCCTCAGGCGCGTAGTATCCATGCCTGTAATTGTGGAAATTGGATTGAATGATGCATTGTAAATGAGCTTTCTCCATCTCACGAAATCGACGTTTTCATTGTGCTCGCATGCCACTTTGCCAGAGGTGCTGTAAATCTCCACAAACTCGGCGGCTGCGGCGCGGGCGGTGTCTGGGCCGATATTGGGATTCTTGAATGCGCCCACGATCAACTCGTCGTGATAATCATGAATAATATTTCCGTGTCCCTTTTCGGCGACTCCGATTAGGGAAATGCCAGATAAAACCACGTTTTGTGGAAAAGTCTTGATCAGAGGCTTCTCAATATTGAGACCGTTTTGCACGAGCACAATCACCGTGTGCCCTTGCGTGATCGCCGGTGCGATGATTTCCTCGACGGCGGGACCGACATCCGGGCAGTTCTTGGTAGCCACAACAATGTAGTCGAATGGCGGCAGATTGTCTTGCGCCACGTCGGGGACTTGTTTCGCAACTAGCCCATGGATCAGTCCAGTGCCTCGTTTTATGAGCAGGATATCGACATACTGTTGGTTGGCTTCCAAGCTTTCAAGCTGCCATAGTCGACCGACTCGATATTGAATCCGTGCTCGGAAACACTGGCAAAGTTGGAGCGTAGGACAGCGGTTACGCTAGCTCGGCCGCTAGCCTCCAGGCTCACAGCGGCCATGGTGCCGACGCCGCCAGCCCCGACCAGCAACACATTCTTCTTCTCCGCCATTGTTCTGATCCTGGTGATTTGCTGGATACAATTCTTGAATTGATATCTTGGACGGCTGTTGATATTCTTATTTTGTATCGACAAGACAATGCTGGATTTAGGCCATTCTGGTGCCGTGTTAGAGACGTCGTGCAGGACTAACAGATAGGCGATTCGGTTAGCTTTACTCCATCCGATGTGCTAATATGCGCTGCAAAGGAGCTCCGATCCGATTATTCGGCGCCGCGACCGGGCGCCATAACCGCCAGTACCTGAGAGGGGTTTGACCATTCTTCATTTTGCCCTTTGTGTTAGTCCACCTTTTGGTATCAGCTTTGAAGATTGACCCGGTCTGATTCATTGAAATAATTCAGAAAAATGACATAATCGAGAGAATGAGCAGTCTGCAGATGGTTATGCGTTGCGGATGTTCCGATGAAAGTAGTGGTGTTTGTGCGGCCTTCTGCTGTTACGATGGGGTCTGTAAAAATACGCATTTATCGTACTGCCTGCTACAGCACAACCAATATGTCTTGTATGTCACGTTGATTTACAGCCCTTTACATTGAGAGTAGACTGCCAGGAGCAGAAAATCCAATGATTGCATCAAAATATTATTTGCCTCGCATTTTATATCTCGGGTTGCGTTTCTCGCCAAGGACGCATCGAGTGACTTGAATCCAAATGTTTATCGCAAGCAAATCCATCAACATCTCTGCCTCAATTTTCCTGCGGGGCAGTTCGAGTTCCAAATTACTCATGGCAGCTTTGTATGTATGTATTCCAACATTGATCAACGTGATTTGCGAGAACGATTATCAAGATTCTAACAATCAAATACATGCGAATTTCGACCTCAAAATCTCAGATAAGCAACAAACTTTATGTACATCCAAGCGAGTGTAACCATTAACTATCAGCGTGTCCATTCTCAACTTGTTCTACTGCTACAAGCCCTTTACTACCCTATCCTGATGATGTCTATTTTAGACGAGACGTTCCATCGATCAGGGCACATTTAGGGCCATAACGATACGTACTGTTTGATGAACTCCTACCATGATCCACGGGACGAACTACAAGTATAGTATTAATAAATTCCAACCAAATCCTGTCGAATAATTCGAGGTGCTTTTCGGACGTTGGATGCGAGGTTATGGTTGCCTACCCAGAAATCTAGATAGTGGCGTCCATCGCCTTCGGATCACATCCATATTACCATTTTGGACTATCTGGAACAATTGAAGCATACGGTTTATTGGTGCCAGAGTGACTATATTAATCCATTGCTGCTATTAATTAATTCCTCGGCATGACGGGAGAGAACACACAACGTGGCGCGCACGGCAATATAGATTGATGCAACCTGAACCTTTACGGAACACGGCTAAATACACCACTATATCCAGTCCCCGAGCTAATAAGGCAGGAACAAGTGAGCCGGGCTCTAGGTGAGCCTTTTAACTCCAAGTTGCCGTCTGGTCGACATGTTGTGATGGAATTTATAAAGTCTATATGCAGCCGCTGACGCCTGGTGCTCCATCTGTTCTTTCTACTTGATGACTCTCGATCAGACCTGTGGAGTCACTACAATGGACAGATAGAGTTGGGCTGGCCAAGGAGAGAACACAGAGCGATGATATGTTGTGCTTATCATCTGTTCAACTTCTTTAATACTAACTACCTACTCGGGAAGGTAGCTAAGGATGCAGTATCCAGTTGCTTACGTTTGTAGTAACACCTTCCAGATTGATCCACAATCACTGTATTTAGCGAGAATAGTCCACTTAGGCTTCTGTAGGCACTCTTCTAATAACAAATTGAGTGGGCACAACGATTGAATTTCGATCAGAAACTAAACAATAACTATGACGAAGACCAGAAACTTGTTTGCAACATCCAACTCTTGCGCAAAAGTAAACGAGCGAAGTCAAGAAAATCCATTAATTCCAACGGATGGAAGCATCCTTCCAGCGACGATGAGGTCCATCCAGACAAAGCGCACTCCGGCTTCAGGCACCAAGATCTTCACTCTTGAACTCAAACCTTGGACTTCATGAACGATACAGCCTCCGGAACCCTGGGTGTATACTGCAAGTGAGCCGCAGTGATCTCGAGTGTGCCATCACAGACCTCGTCTCCATCATTGCAAATGATCAAGGTCCTGTCAGCCGAGATTCCAGGAATCGTGCCACCGTCCTGCTCGTTGCGAGTGTCGCCAAAAGTAACAGCGGCATTGATGCGCGCCTTCACCGTCGCCGTAACTCGCTTGATGCTGGCGTGGACCATGGCGGCGCCTTGACTGTAGCCAGACACCAAGATTGCAGCATCAGGGCAGTTGTTTGCAACCTTGGTGATCAGAGTGGCCATGTTGTTTGCCGCCGTCGCATCAACTCCCTCGGGTAGAGTACCGTGAGCCACGGCGTCGTAGTTGACGCCTTGAACAGCCACATTGCCAGACCCGAGGGCAGATTTGATCTGGTTGTACAGTGGAAGACCAGGAGTTGCACCCTGGAAGTAGGTCAATGATTTCTATTCTGCTGTGATCACCGGAGGAGAAACTTACTAGATTTCCGAGCTGGGCTGTGCCACGAGCAAAGACCAAGACGACGTCCTTGCAGCCGCCCGTGTTGAACTCGTTGGCAGTGAGACTGGTCGACTGTCTTGCCTGCAAGCCATCACTCGACAACTCGTCGCCGCCGAGACCGCGCTCGACACGAAGCGAGTCAACGCTGATGGGAGTGGCCACGACGCCAGAGGCAAAGAGCAGAGACAAGAATGAGGCAGTGAGCTTCATGTTGACAGTCGATCTTGAGTTGACTTGCAGCTTGCGAAAAAAAGAACACTTGGGCAGATAGAGGAGAATACTGTTACGACGAGCGTCTAAGGATTATTGTTGCACGATGAACTCCTTTCCAACATCGTATACCAATACGGCGACTGGTCAGACCTTTTTATCGTCATCTCGACACAGGATCCTTCGTCCTACATCGTTCAGCTACATCGAATACTTCTGGATCCACCTTGGGTCATCCACCGCCACACTACAAAGTCAGATCAAGTGTTGTCGCGTAAGCGACGGATGCAAGGGTGGCTGCGATACTTTCTTGCAATTGCTACCACGGCTTGGCACACCATGGCTCTGAATGGAGGCATTATCATTACGCCGACCCGCTTCTGCGACGATAGAGGCACGAGCACGACTCCCGCACCGTTTACGCGACGAGCCAGTCACTTTGTCGGACGATCAGCATGCCTACTCCGGCATTCAATCACATTCATGTGCCGGGTGGTCACCGCACAATTACTCCCTTGTTGCTACACCCTTTGATGATTGTAACACTTGAGGGCCATTGTGACAAGCAAAGTGCCCACTGGCTTGTCGTTGGTTCTTCATTATGCAATCAGAGGCGAAGATTTCGTCAGATATTCTACAATGATTACCATGCAGCTCAATCAATAGGAATGCCCCGGAACAGCTATGGGCCTGCTCAAGCTTTTACAAGCAGCACAACGCAGGTCCTATGCACCTCGTTTCTAAGAGTGTTATCGACCCAATACTCAATCCCGCATGCTCCAAGGTTACATGCATCTCGCATGGCTGATGTATGACGACCAAGACGACGAAAATGAGCAGACTTACTACGATAATGCATGGATCAGTTGCATTCCGCTAAGCCGCAACAAAAGCCAAGTGACCGCCGTCAGGAGACGAGATTGCCAGGCTCTTAGAGGTCCCGAAAGGGGCCAAACGATGCCACTCGCCGGTGGGGTTGTATATTGAACGCGTACCTAAGAATAAGTTTGGTCGGCGAATGGAAGTAATATCCTGGCGGTAACATCAGCGTAAGACGATGACCAGTAACCCGGCTAGTGTATATGTTTCGTAGCGTACGGCTCTATTTGCGCGTGATGACGACCGCGCCGCCACTTTACTGGATGCGCTCGAGCTGAAAGGTCCGTAAAATCCTTGCGCTTATTGACAAGTTTTCAATAAGGAGCCTCTGGTGGTGTGCCACAATGCATTTTACATGGGTGTCTAGGGGAGCTGGTTGGTGAACTTTGTCAAAAATATGCACCAACCGTCTCAACCGATGACCGATGGCGAGCAATATCATGTTGTTGATGTGATACAGGTAGGTGAATAATGTCTAGGTGACTATTGGAAGAAAATGTGCGGGCTATCTTGTTTTGCATTCGAAATTGCGCTTGCATGATGCGGAAAATATCCACGTCGAGGCTCTGCATTGAGTTAGTTGGCTTTGACGGAATGATTTGGTCGAGTACCGAAGAGCCTCAGTATCGTAGAATTTCTCTTTGACTGCCGAGAGACCGCTTGGCCCAAAGGATGGCACCATCGTATACTACCTGTGGTAGCACCGGAAGGAGAGGAGCGAGAATTCTGCCGTGTCACAAAGAGCCAGGGGCATCGACCAGTCTTCAGTATGTATGTATGACGCCATTCGGAGTCTTGTTGTCGAATTTTGTCTTGAATGATGCCCAAATTCCGTTTAAAACAATTCAATCAATTCCCTCCAGATTCGGGGATGGTTGGGGTCCGTAACTCCCGGCCGGTAGGACTCGGGTTGATTTTGCGAACAATCAAGTATCTGTCAGACGGCTGCCTGTCCATACTATTGAAGTCGAACCAAATGTTTTCTTGAGTGAACATATGTGTCATCAATTGAACTGTATGGCTCTGAGGAGGGCATCCTCTAATACGGGATTGGCGTAGCAGTTATACCAGACATTTAGGATGTCTCATATTCCATGCCGTCGCACCAAGCTATTGAAAACCATGAGACCTGGTCTCTTTATTGCTCAGATCTCATTTATTAGTACAATTATGGCGTCAACACCGAATGGTCAGTTGACCTCCTCACGATGCGGTGGCCACTGAGGACAAAGAATAAGGAAGAAAACAAATCTAGGGTTAAGCCTCTTTGGGAAGTCACGTTGAAAATTTTGGTCTGATTGGATGCAGATGACAACTCATGTTGCTCCCAATCAGGCAATCCGAGCTTTCTAAGCAACGTGGATTCTTCTTAATCAGCACACGTACCTCTTAACAGTCGCTCTTTTTGTTGGCGATGCTTAGTAGCGCCGCGAATGCTTCGTAGGACCGCACCTAGTGCCTGTTAAGAGTCCAATCATGTAAACTTTTTTTTCACTTTCCAAGTGCATTTCGACAAACAATACGTACAAACATACCTGGCACTTGCGGGATTTAGTTGTTGATTAAACTTCAGTCACTCCAAGGATATACATCACAATCAAAGACGAAACCAATACGTACAACCATAGCTCTTAGAAAGCTCCGCATTCTGTTCGCTCTGCCCTAGATAAACTGAGAAACGCTTGATTTGAAGTCAGATTAGTGACGATTGATGATTTTTCAAATGAGTGGTGAACGGCTGTGGGGTTGGAATGAATCTCAAGATAGTCAAAATTTATCATTAACAAAAGTGTGGACCTTGATATCAAGAATCACAATGGCGCATCATCACTACATAGAGCTTCGACGAGCAAACCGCGGTGGTCGGATTCCTTATTCTCAACGGCATAGACCTGAATCTTCAAGACAGCCATGGGCCAGCGCCAATGATTATATTCAGGTGGACTGAACCATACCTGGCTTAGCGTCAAATCTTCGCGCAACCCGTATTCGTTGCTGGCTGTATACAAAGAAAGTACAAGCTCTGTAGCTTTTTCTTCTTTTTTTCTTTCTTATTTTCTTTGGTCATTTCTACAGATCATTTAAAATTGCCATTGTAAGAGTGAATTCTATATTTTATACGGATACTAGTGATCGTCCGGAACGCATACTTGGTCGTTTAGATCCTCCATGGAATAAATCCCCTGCTTACGTTACAAAAACAGGCCGCTAATACTGCACTCTATAAAGAATTTACAGCAATACGTGTAAAATATGGTTACTTCTCACTGTTATAATTGTAGTTACATGAATGCACCACGGCGTAGCTGTGTTGTGTGGCACCCTTATAGTAACACAACGGGAAGGGTTACCAAGTCTGTTTATTCACACATTAATTTCATAGATATAGACCATCTTTAATTTTGTTCTTTGTTTTGGGTACAGGTCGTATTCCTCATGCCGTATGATAAATAGTATATTCACTATAATCTAACGGGTCTACAATTGAACCGGCTCACTGCCACGGTAGGTGGATTAACAAGACCTAGCTCGAGAAGCTACGAATTGGGTCCTGTGAAATCAATGAAGATATTTGCAGTTCCGGGGTCCACCCACTAACTGCTCCAGTGGTGCCGTAACATGCTCAAGCTTTTTAAGTGATCTATCAAATTGCGTTTAATGCGTATTCGGTTGCAATCTCTGCCCTCCATAGATTCAGCCCTTCCAGCTATGAAGCTGCAAGGAACTCGTCGCTGAAAGGGTAATCAATGTAGCCAGTAGGAGCCTTTGGAGTGTAAAAGGTGGCACGGTTGTATTCGTTGAGCTCGATGCCGTTGCGTACACGGAATGGAAGATCTGGTGTCGCAAGGAAGTAGCGTCCAAACATCACGACGATGTCCTTCTCGGGATATTCCTTGTCGACCAAGCTTTGTGCAGTGTCAGGTTTGAAGCCTCCAGCCACCAAGATCGTGCTGTTCCACAGGTCGTATGCGAAATTCAGCTGGTCTGCTGCCTCCACATCAGAGCCGCCTGCGATTCTTGACTCAACCAGATGGAGGTAGACAAGGTTCAGCTTGGCCATGTTTCGAATTACGGCCGAGAATTGCGGAATGGGATCATCCATTCTCATGCCTTGGAAGTGGCTCCAAGGGCTGAAGCGAATGCCAACCTTCCTGCACCCGACGGCATCCACTACAGCCTGGGCGACCTCGACGGCGAAGCGAGTACAATTCTCGACGGATCCTCCGTATTGGTCGCCCCGCTGGTTGCATGTATCTTGGATAAACTGGTCAATGAGGTAGCCATTGGCGGCGTGCAGCTCGACTCCGTCAAAGCCAGCCTCGATAGCTTTCTTCGCGGCGGAGGCATAGTTTTGGACTTTGCGTTTGATGTCATCGGCAGTCAGCTCCTGGGGTACAGGTGAGTCCAAGTCAATTGGGATGGCGCTAGAGCTTGCAATAGGAAAGCCTTCACGCTCCGCCACCTCGATGGTAGCAGCACGTCCCAGGGCCCACAGCTGGCAGAAGATGTAACTCCCGTTGGCGTGGACGGCGTCCGTGACTTTCTTCCACGCCTCAATCTGCGCCTGATTGTATATTCCAGGAACATTGTTCATGCCGCCATCTTCAGCTGAGATGAAGGTGCCTTCGGAAATGAGTAAAGTGCCAGGAACAGAGCTGCGTTGTCTATAGTACTCTGTCACCAGGTCGAGCGGCACATGCTCGTCGGAAGACCGATTTCTCGTTAAAGGGCACAGTCCGATCCGGTGGGTGAGCTTCATGTCACCAACGAAGATGGGCTTGAAAAGTCTCGAGTTGTCCATCTTTGCTTAGAAGCAGCAAATAGTGTATGATGTGGTACGGGTATGGTTTAGATTGATTGGGAACTGGGGTATGTGAACAGGTTTTCACTAGATTTTGGACAACATCATACAGGGCTTTATATAGCCCTGAAATCAAGAGTCAAACTAAGACTTGCGCACGACTCCAATTGGAAACTTCTGATGCTTAGTAATTGATCTAACAGATGAGTTGAGCTTAGGGTTCCAAAGGAAGTGGCATGCCATGTCAAATGAATCGAAACCAACGTGGAATCGAAAAAGCATGAATTTTGCCTTGTTACTCCACGGCCTCCTATGCATAGTGCAATCTCGATTGCGCGAACGGCCAATAATAAAAGGTTTTGCTCGATCAAGTCTCGATCAGGGAGACCGCTCGGATATTTTCTAGCAAATGAGAACTTTTAGTCGCTTTCGTTGCCCCATTATTTCCCGGCTTCTAGCCCCGGGCCGGATATTTACGGATATTTTCGTTTCCCTTCTAAGCGCCTTACCTCTTATCCACACTTTCACCAAGTCACGGATGTATAGAGAATTCTAAGAATCCTTTTTGAAAATTACCGGTTCTGACTACAAGCATGATGAATAATGTCATTATTATCAATCAAACTTATGGCTTTGCAGGCGAAGACAGGGGAAAGAAGAGGAAAAAGAAAATACTTACATCTCTAAAATCCTTGGACCTTCTTCTTTTTTCTTTATAGTAACCTCATCTATGAGCAGTATCGTATTGTGAGGAACCGCAAGCAACGAGGCATCATGAGACCTACCAAGACATCGGAGAAAGTGAGCATGCCCTTTCGCTGCGTGGAACGAGGTACGGAGATAATGAGCTGACATCTTTCAGAACAGGGTTAATACTGCCAACCAGAGATCGCAGAGCTCCCCAATATACAGGTCCGATGGCCGTGCTTTGGGGCTAGTCTTCTCAGATCTCACAGTGTCTGGAGTATTGGCTGGAGCGTCTCGAGCTCCTGATATCCTTGCTCTCTTTCAGACTCTGGTTGTCGACTGGCCCGTAGGCCTCGTCCGTCGCATCATGGCTCATCGAGGTCCCGCGACATCCACCAGAAGGCTTATCCGAGACACGTGCGGAGTTGTTCCAGCTGGAGAGACTCTCCTCGTCCTGGGACGACCTGGCGCAGGTTGCACAACATTGCTAAAGACGTTGGCTAACGAGCGCGCCTCGTTCACAGGTGTCGACGGTTGTGTTCAGTACGGCAGTATCTTGGCCGAGGAGATGTCGAAACAATACAAAACCGAGGTTGTGTACAATAATGAAGACGACATACACTTTCCCACCCTGACCGTCAAGAACACTTTGGACTTTGCACTCCGCTTGCGCAGGCCATCGACGAATACAGAGACGGACGGCGACTTTGCGGACCGAATGACGGACGAGATCCTCGGCGCACTTGGGATACTGCACACAAAACACACAATCGTTGGCAATGCACATGTGCGAGGCGTGTCTGGCGGAGAGCGGAAGCGTGTTTCTTTGGCCGAAGTGCTCAGTACTGGGCCAGCAGTAGTAGCTTGGGACAATCCACTGCGTGGGCTAGACAGTTCATCGGCCCTAGCGTTCTGCCGGCTGATCAAGGGCCTCTCAAAGGCTACTGGCATGGTCAATATCGTTGCCGCTTACCAACTTTCCGAGACCATCTACCGCGAATGTTTTGACCGCGTATTGGTGCTGCATGAGGGCCGAATGATCTACTCGGGTCGCGCCGGTGATTCTGCCAAGCGGTATTTTGAGGACTATTTGGGCTTCGAATGCCATCCAAGACAGACGACTCCAGATTACCTCACGGCCGTAACTTCACCCGACGAACGCCGAGTCAAGCCGGATCACCTTCCCCCTCCGCCATTGAGCCCGTCTGGGCTCGCCGAGGCTTTTCAGAGGAGCGCCCACTGCGAAAGTCTTCGCGAAGAAATAACACAGTTTCGTGCGGAAGCGTCACAATCTGCTTCCACGGAAGCTTTCCGCAAGTCGGTAGCAGACACAAAGCACAAGTTCACTTTGAAGCAGTCCAATGAGCCGCGTTCCATACTGACCCAGCTAGGTGTCACCGTACGCCGGCACTACCAACTTCTCTGGGGCGATAAAAAAACGCAGGCCTTGGTCATGTTCCTGGCACTGGCCAATGCCCTCATCGTCGGGTCGGCCTTCTACAAGCCCTCGAAAACATCTACGGGCGCGTTCATGCTGAGCGGAGCCGTGTTCTTCACCTTCATTTACTTTGCGCTCAATGCGTTGGCCGAGACGTCAGCCACGCTCCACGGGCGGACAATCAACCGCAAGCAGCACTCCCAGCTGGGCATGCTCCATCCCGGCATCGCGGCTGTCGGGCAAATTATCGCAGACTTGCCTGTGGTTTTTGTTCAAACCATCATGTTTTCGGTGCCGTACTACTTCCTTCTTGGTCTGCCGAATACCGCGTCCAACTTTTGGTTTTTCGAGCTCATAGTCTTTGCTTTCTACGCGACCGTCCTCAGCCTGTTCCGCATGTTGGGCGCGTGGGCACCGAACGTGCCGGTTGCCCTGCTCATGGGAGGCGTTGCGATGCCTGTGGTCCTCGCGTATAGCGGCTACGCGCCTCCTTTCCCAACGCAATTACGCTGGGGCTCTTGGCTCCGCCGAGTCAGTCCGTCGCCGTACGCATTGGAGGCGGCCATGGGGTTCGAGTTTAAGGACATACTGCTGTCCTGCTCAGCCGCCGAGCTGGTGCCGAGCGGAGTGGGATACGAGGTGAGTCAACGGTTCTTGCTGGAGGGGATCCCTAATGCTGATCAAAACTGCAGAATGTTTCGGTAGCGAATCAGGGTTGTCCCATATCGGGAAGTACCGTGGGCGAAGCAACTGTAACAGGATCAACCTATCTCTGGGCACACTTCAACTACCTCCCTTCCAACGCGTGGCAAAACTTCGGAATCATTCTGGTCTTTCTGTTTCTGTACCTGGTGCTCGTGGCCGTTGGCTTGACTGTCATGTCCAAGGAGCGGAAGGGCAGCGGTGGCGGCCACATCTTCAAGCGCACTGCAGTTATCTCTGCCGACATCGGCAACGAAGAAGCCCTAGGCGACGGCGCAGATGTTGAGACGCAGAGCGTGAAATCGTCGTCGCGCCAAAGTAGTAGCCAACAAACGCAGTGTGATCCCAACTCCTCGTCCACATCAGTCGAGCAGCAAGTGCAAGTGCGAGAGAAGCAAACACAGGTGCGTCCCTACCTGATCTTAGATAACCCATATCAGAATTTGGCCCTAATTTCTTCCAGGCTTCAGCATTTACCTTCTCCGACATCAGCTACCACGTTAGCGTCAACTCCGAGTCTCGCCAGCTCTTGTCGTCAATTAGCGGGTACGTTAGGCCCGGCCAGCTCACGGCATTGATGGGTGTCTCTGGGGCAGGCAAAACAACGCTTCTAGACGTCCTCTCCCAGCGCAAGACGGACGGCGTCGTGACTGGAGACGTCATATACGGAGGCAGGCGGGTGGCTGATCTTGGACCCGCGTTTGTTAAAGCCTGTGGCTTCTGTATGCAGCAGGACGTGCACGACCCCGGTACAACTGTGCGTGAAGCCTTGTTGTTTTCGGCATTTATGCGTCGCCCCACGAAAGTTTCTCGCGAGGAAAAGGAGTCGCACGTTGGTTCAGTCATGTCCCTGCTGGGCCTTGAGTCGATAGCGGATGCTTTGATCGGTACGCCCGGACAAGGCGGGTTGACCGTAGAAGGTGAGTGTTGATTGGTCCTCCAGCGGAGCAAGCAGCAACTTTGACTAACACCTTGTCTCTCGCAGAGCGCAAGCGGGTCACAATCGGCGTCGAGCTAGCTGCCGATCCAGAGGCAATGATATATCTGGACGAACCAACTTCTGGACTTGACAGCCAAGCTGCCTACTCGCTCGTTCTCTTTCTTCAGCGAATTGCCGCGTCTGGTGTCCCCATAATCTGCACAATTCATCAGCCGTCGGCCGTCATCTTCGACATGTTTGACCACGTGCTCTTGCTCGCGAGTGGCGGCCGGACTGTCTACTTTGGCGAAACTGGGGAGAACTCTAGCATTGTTGTCGACTACTTCGCGCGCAATGGTATCACTATGGATAGCCATGCTAATGCAGCTGAATTCATCTTGGATACCGTAACCACGTCCTCGGGTGCTGATACCTGGTCGAGAATCTGGTCAGCATCAGCAGAGAATCATCGACTCAAAGACACAATTTCTTATATCAACTCTTCCGCTGAGAAAGATGTTGTAAATACTTCCACGGGCAACGGTCCTCTGCCTGGTTTCGCTCAACAATTCCTCATTCTCACTCATCGCCACTGGCTATCCATGGTAAGTATAATTGAGACCTTTTTAACATTTACCTATATTTCCACCTTGAGCCAGAACGCTTTGATTGTAATTGCTTTCCTGGAAGCTGCAAATCCTCTTTGAGAATCTTCTATTCTTTTTGAATATTCTACTTACATATCTGACAGTGGCGTGACGGATTTTATAGCTGCGGTCGCCTGGTCAAGGTCATTTTTATGGGATTATTCTTTGGCTTCACCTTCTTCAAAGCGAACAACACCGAGCAGGGCATCCAGAACCGCATGCTATCTCTGTTGTTGATCCAGTGGATTGTCCCAGCCTCTTCAGCTGACTTGCAGGATATTTGGTTCGCCAAGTGGACTCTCTATGCCAGCCGGGAGCGCTCCGGCGTGGGTTACCATCCACTTGCGCTGTGTGCTGCCCTTGTTGCCGTCGAGGTCCCTCTTGCGATCGTCATTTATACGGTGGCCTACTTGTGCTTCTGGTTCGGGGTCGGGCTGCCAGCGGCTGGGTTCGGCTATCTCCTGTTCTTAGCGCTTGGCATTTTTGGTATAGGATTCTCTTTCGCCGTGGCCTCTCTGAGCCCGAACACCACCATTGCAGGATATGCGAATAGTCTGCTATGGTGCATCATGGCCACCTTCGGGGGAGTGGCTCTCCCGCACGCCTCCATGGGTGATTTCTATGGTCCCTGGATGTTCTGGGCGAACCCGCTGAGATACTGGCTAGGTCCTCTGATCTCTGTGGCTCTGCATGACCAGCCGGTTCAGTGCGCAACTGGAGAAATGACCATCATCAACCCTCCGACAGGCCAGACATGCGCGGCATACCTTAGCAATTTCGTCGCCACAGCCGGTGGATACGTGGCAAATCCCAATGCAGTCAGTGAATGCGGTTATTGTCCATATAACGTGGGCGACGAGTATTTGGCCACTTTTGACTTTTACTATGACGAGCGATGGCGGGACTGGGGCGTCTTTACTGCTTTCTGTATATCTACACTGGCAATTGCGTTTGCCGCTAGTTTGGTTAGATTCGGGAAACAGAAAAAGGATTGAATAGGTGAGAAGGTTCCGGCGATATTGGCTTTGCAGGTTTGAGATATTAGCCGCTATAGTTTTGTCACATCTCTGCGCATTTTAAACTTATGGGTAATACTGATAATCTGCTTAAAAGCTTTGATATCAAAGAGGACCGAGGGAATTATAAATGTAGATAAACACAAAGATTAATACATTGCACAATTAACACCATATTAGACTAGTTTAAATTCCAATAGGGAGGCATCACCGATCAACAATAATGTTTGTCTCATTTGGCCACTACCGAAACTCATCGATTACAGCGGACTCCATTGCGCCCAGTCCATATCCGTGCCTCCCGTACTGTAGCCAAGCCCGGCAGCGTCTATCGTGCCATAGATGGGATGGCTTGTTCCCGAAGAATTCATCGCGGGCACCCCCTCCTCTAGGTTGTATGGAGGTGCAGTCAGAACGGTCTCGGCACCCATGCTGAATAGAGGCACGCGTGACAGCGCTGTGGGGGATAATTGAGCATTGGGCTGAGTCGGCCTCGTGGTCGAGTCTGTGTGCAGAGAAAACAGTGCTAGATCAACTGGAGGGATCTCGTTGCCAAGTGAGGCGGACGACGTGTCGGTAACAGACGGCGGCGCCGTGGAATCCCTACGAATGCAGTTTAGCATAACAACATTGCAGTCTTTTAAGAAATTGCCATCTACTTACGCAAGCCAAGGAAACTGGCCAAGGAGGGAGTCGAGATCACTTATATGACTAGTCTTTTCTGTATAATTTTGTACTAGCCGCTGCGACGATGTCGAATCCGTAACAGGGGCGGAGGCAGAAGCTTCGTTGTCACCGCCTGCATTGTTGTTGGACGCCTCGCTGTCAAATATATGCCGGAACGCATCTTTGGCAACGCCAACAATGCGAGAGCTCAATGTCACCTTGCCAAAATGCGGTCCATGATGCTTCATATAGTCCAGGCAGTTGATGCCATCCTGCACCGCCTCGAACGTGCTCGCCGCATTCCCGGCGGCCGTCCTGCTGGGGCCTTCCAGCACGTCGTACAGCAGGGTCAGACAAGCGGCGATGATGTTGTACGCGACCCCCGAGTCCTGTCGCATCTCGGGGGCGCGCGTGGCGCAGGCGTCCAGGGCCAGGGCGATAAGAGCCTTGGCCGCGTCCATGGCCACGTCGATAGACTCCTGGAGATCCTGCACGCCCATGGCTCGGGCTTCAGACAAGGCCTCGGCCTTGGAGGCGCACATGGATAGCCAAACAAGAGAAGGCCGGTGCATAAGGGTACGAATATGATAGTATGCAAGTCCCAGATGCGTGCGCTGAACCTCTTGCCACGACTCGGTACTGGGCGCCATGTGGGTGTCGAAAAAGTGCAGGAAAGGCGGTAACGACTGGAGGATGATGTCCATCTCAGCATCGCACTCGCGCACGATACGGACAATGGTCGTTAGGTCGGCGGCGACGGGGGTGCAGAAGTACAGGTTGGTGTTGATGCGGTCGGCGATGCGTGCCAGCTGCGCCTTGGCCCGCACATAGCTCATGTCGCAGATCGTATCGCCTCCGTGATTCTCTGGAAGGTCCTCGGGCAGCGTGGCATCGATAGAATCATCGCGGAGACAAGAGGGCCGGCCGTAAAACAGAGCCACGAGTCGTTCCACCGCATATAGCGTGTAGAACGTGACACGCAGGCGATACATGCCCGTTCGATTCCCATTGGCAACTTGGGCGCGGCCCATGCCGAGCGCGAGAGCATTAACGGCAGCGTGTCCTACGTAGAGATAACAATCGTTGGGTCGCATCAGCTGCATGGCGAAGATCGACTTGAGGAGAAGCAGGTGCACGTTCTGGAGTGACACATCGCCAAAGGACAAGTCGTCTAGCCGGGCGCATGATGCAAGATATGCGGCCCAGTCACTCATGGTAGCGGCGTCCTTGTCTTTGTGGAGACTCGACATGTGAGCGCCAATCGCGAGCACCATTAACACAATGTTCCTGGCCGTTTTCCCGACGCTGTCTTGGTGACCCTCCCGTGGCGGATTCCAGAAGGAAGCCCAAGCTTGTTGGATCTCGGACCGCAGTAGGAATGGATACTGCGGATGGGCGACTTGGAAATAGGTCTTGATGAAGCAGTCGCCCATCTCCTTGGGGACGCATACGGGAGCCCTTCTGTGGTCCTGGGCCGCTGTCCCAGCAGCGGGGAAGGCGAACTTGTCGAAGCCCCAGACGCACATGGCACCAGGACGGTCTTGGTGGTTCGGTGCATTGCGGTGTATACGCTGGTAAATGCATTGCAGAAAAGCAAAATTGGAGGCTGGGCCGTAGAACTGATAACCGCCGGTGCCGGACTGGGCGACGCCTACGCCGCACCGGAGCCTCTGTTGTCTCTTGGTAGCCAACGGACCCGGTCTCCGGTGAGCATTTGCGCTCGAGTCGGACAGTTCTCCAGCGGCCTGGAGTGTCCGTGTTGGACGCTTCGCCGGGGTACTGACGCCGCTCGGGGAAGAGACCTCACGATGTAGCTTCTTCCTGCGACCTCGTGGCTTGAGTACCGCGTAGAGACATTCGCGTCCGTGCTTAGCACAGGAGGAACAGGGCTGACTACCGCCGCATTTGATCTTGTGAGTCCGACAGGCTGTACACGCATTGGGAATCCGACCGCGGCACCCGTGGTCCTGACTACTAACCTGGGCACTTTCCACCTGTGAATCGTCCATTTAAACGGTTATGGAATCGACTTACGACCTCGCCTCTTCTTCTCATATATCCAGGTCGGAAAGGGGTGGCGGTGCTAAGAAAAAACTACGTATAATCATGGTGAGTTTATTTTCCTCTAATAGGGCCGGACGGGATAGAGAAAGTGGAGACTGACTGCACGCTTGATTACGTCAGCTACTTGTCCAGTAAGAGAGGCTCCCAACACCTAGAGCACATCGATACACGTTTCTCCTAAATATTCGACTTGAGATGGCTCCAGAATGGTGCTGTTCAAATTGTTGCGAGACTTAACAGCGCTACTCGCGGGCCCTGATCCGTTGCGATCTGAACCAGCAGCATACTACCTTAGTACATTCAGGTGCTGTCTGCCCCTTGGCGGCAGTACGATGCACTAAAAACCAGCCACTAACGTTTGCACTATTCTCCCCGCCGTTCTGCATCAGAATGAATCATTTCCAAGCAGGAATATAAAAGAAGAGTGCAAACTACATATAATCATTTGCGCTGTGACAATTTCCAAATAGAAAACAATCGACTGGACTCCACTATCCCTATCTTAACTATGGGAGGCGTTCCATCGATTCCGACGGACCCCACGCGGAGGTTGCGTGTCATTGGAGCCGGCTATTCACGCACTGGAACCGTCACGATGCAGCTGGCACTGGAACAGTTACTTGATGGGCCAGTCCTTCATGGAGGGACTCAAATTCTATCGCGCGAAGACGGTCAGTATCAACACAAGGGGGATCCATCATTGCAACTACTCACATGACTCAGCCTATTGCAAGAAATGGGTACTCGCATACCGCGCAAAACGTCGAGGCGATAAGGCCACTCTGAAAAGACTCCTGGCGGAGCTCACAGCTGGCTTCGTCGCCGTGACGGACATGCCGCCACTGGACTTTATACCTGAGCTCATGGAGATCTACCCCGAGGCCAAGGTCGTCCTCACTACACGTGATCCTGAGCGCTGGCTGGAGAGTATAAAACCCGTTGCCGTAAATTCGAGCCAGGCATGGTTGCCCTACATGATGTGGCCGATTCCAGGGTATGTGTTAGTATGACTGTTGCACCAATTTGGTGCGCTAATGCTGCTGGATTGCTCCCCGCTATTGTCATTGACACTGCACCCAACAGGTGGCGGTGGTTCCCGAGCCTGAGCCTGGAATTTGGCCGGAGCACGCAGATGATCCTGGACGACGGAACGCAAGAAGCAAACCCGAAACCTAGCACTCGTAAGCAGAAATCTGGTCGTCCCGCTGCGGTGGCACGTCAAGAACCCCCGAGTGTTGAGACCTCTCTGATCAAACATGGAGATCCTGCACAGTTGGGAGATGTGACTAAAGATGCACAGGGCTGTTGTTGAATTGGAACGCCATGGTGAAAAGTATGGTGCCTGCTAAGAAACTGCTCATCATGGACGTTGAACAAGGTTGGAAGCCATTGTGCGATTTCTTGGGTATGCCAGTCCCCAAAGGACCACTGCCTAAAGCCAATGACACCGAGTCTGCAAATAAAGTGGCCTCAGACATTACTACCAGAGTCTTTCAGATTTGGGCCGCCGGTTTGGGATTGACTGTGGCTACAGTGGCTGCCATTTTCTCTCAAAACTTTCTCTAGGCATCGAGGCTGTATTGTGTACTATCCACCAGATCAAAAGTAATAATCTTATGTGCACGAGTAGATGCTGATTAATGGGCGACGTTGCAATGTGGTTGTAGTCTTTCGCAGTTTGATCACGCCATAGCGCGTCGGGCGCTATGATAGGGTGATCCGAACTAATGTAGGGCCCATGAGAACCTTCCCCAAATCACCACTTGCGGGGTTGGGATCAAGTCAACTGGCATTCAGAAGGCCTTGTATGGTCAATGTCAATAAACAAAATAACTATTTACTATCAACCATGGTAGCTGCCGTCGCCCGTCTTGAATCCTCGCACATTTCGGCTGCCTTTAATTGTGCGGATTGGCGCCTATGATCAAGGTGCCGGCTCCGAATGCGGCTGACATTCGGCTTCGGCTTCGTCCCGCTTGGGGAATTAGACCACATCCTATAGTCTTCCTCGGGCACGTCCAAGCAACCAATCAGCGGAAATTGAGTAAACCAAATTGCGAAAGATTACTATAGTTGTACGGATCCCGCGGAGTCATGCCTTCAAAATGATGAATGGGTATATATTGGTTCTTACCCAAGCACGAGAATACTTGCAATCTTCCACTCCACATGAACAACACCCCCCCTTACTGTAAATACGACATGGAATTTCCCACTATTACTCTCGAGGAGCACTTTCTCTCAAAGAATACAGATGATGGCCGGGCTCTACCAGCCTCAGCTTCCAAAACCTGGGAGCAGATACGGGCTCACACGGGTTGGCTGAATAAGCTCAAGGATGTCAGCCCTAACGGCTCCCGAATCAAGGCCATGGACGCTGGCCGAGTGGGCATGCAAGTGCTCTCCAACAGCTTTGGTGTCTCGTCCAGCATCCCCAGTCTCGTGGCCGCCGCCAATGACGAGCTTTCTGCTGCCACAGTCGCGCAACCACGCTTCAAGGGTTTCGCGTCTCTTCCCATGAAACATCCCTCAGAGGCAGTCAGAGAGCTTGAACGCTGCGTAAGCGAATTGGGATTTGTCGGGGCTCTCATCGACAGTCATCAGGACGACGGCCGCTATTACGACGACCGTGAAGTCTGGCCTGTATTCGCCAAGGCGGAGGAGCTAGACGTCCCCATATATATTCACCCAACCATCCCGATGGAGGGCGTTCAGTCGGCACTATACGACGGCAATTATGATAATGACTTTGGACTCTTGCTAGGTATTGCTGGCTGGGGATGGCACTGCGACACGGCGCTCTCTATCTTACGCATGTACGGCGCGGGATTGTTCAATGCCTACCCGAAATTAAAGGTTGTCATTGGTCACATGGGAGAGATGCTACCATTCATGCTGGATCGAATCGATGAGAAAGTGTCGCAATTGGCGATCGGTCAAAAGCAAAGCTTCAGAGAGGTCTGGGCTCAGAATATCTGGGTCACAACTAGCGGCATGTTTACATTGGCGCCAATGGCATGTCTCCTCCAGACCACAGCCCTCGACAGGATATTATATAGCGTCGACTATCCATACTCGACGACTGAACAGGGGCGCAACTTTTTGCAGCTGCTTGAACAGAGTGGCACAGTCACCAGGGAGCATTTGGAAATGATTGCCTACAAGAATGCAGCTGTGCTCCTAAAGTTAGATGTGTAAATTGATTCATAGCTCATTGACGTAATTCTAAAGTCTATTAATGTTCAGAAAAAAACAATAGTCTAGTCTATGCGAGGTTTCGTCATTAGGAATGTTCTACAAGCACTTTAGTAAGCACCATCTTATGGTCTTATTGTGAGGCCCATGTCTATCCCGATGATCTGGAGTTGTCCACGCCATCTGCATTGGGGTCAATTCCGAAAGTAATGTATCCAATAATTCCGTTCTCAATGTTGACACCGTCGGCGGGAACGACGCTGATCATTGGGCTGTAGCCATTTGCCTCGCCGAGAGGGATGAGGTTGTCCTCGGCATTCGTGGTTCGGTTGATTTCGGTGTGAGACACATACGGTTCCAGGGCCAGAATTGTCTCCAAGACATCTTCGCCAAAGTAGATCTGTCCGGTCGATGCGATGTGGCCAGTAGATACGGTGCCGTTGCCAGCCAAAGTCCAATCTGTGTAGGCCTGGACGTGGATGTGGACAGCGCGTTCAACGTAGAAACCAGGGAATGTCGTCTTCATTTCCATCATACCCTCAGAGTCTGTGGGCCATTGGCCACGGAGGAAGGTAGTGTCATCAGTGTGCAGATCCGTTACACCAATCTCAAAGTCGGACTCGGTGATATTGAGCTCCGAGAGAAGGTCGAGGAAGGGGGTGTTGGGTGACAGTCCCGTAAAGCTTGAGTAGCTTCCAGTAGCGTTGCAGTGCCAGAAGTTGAGGAGAACATTGGGGAGGGGCTCGCAGGTATTCACGTCGAGCACGCCAATATCCAGCCATAAAGGCACTCCGGCTTGGCCTTCAGACATGTCTTGTCGAAGGGTTTGGGAACGGGGCCAGATGTAGGGACCTTCGGTAACGATAGGGCTCAGAATACATGTATCGTTCTGAATAGTATCGTAGTAAGGTGCTTCAGTCGTGATCTCGTAAGTCGTGTTGCCGGCGCCAGCCCATCGTTTTGACATGCGCTTGGCGAACCGCTTCTTGTTGAAGTTGGCTGCAGAAGTCTCACATCTTCGGGAGATGGCACCACGACGCTGAATCTCAGAAACAGGCAAAGACTCTGGGTGAGCCAGGGCTGTCGAGAACAGCCCAGCCGCAAGGAGCGTCAGGAGTTGCATAATGAATATGAAAGAATGTCTGGAAGTAAAGACAGGCAAAGCGAAGGCGTACAGGTTGTGATGAAAGTCGTCTCAATTCCGCGTTGCAGCTCCCATATTTATAGCAGGATAGGTTTATGACGACTTATACACATTTTGGGAATAAACGTATTCACTCATCAACCTGTTCAGGACAAAACAATCCTTGCAACCCCTAACTAGGTACTAAGAAAACCGGCCCGTCTCCACTCATGACAAGGCTTAGGTAGAATCGAAGAGATTAACGACGTCGCTCCCGCCACATCACGAAGGGATGCTCCATCAAACTCAGAGAGGATCCAGAACAAGAGGACTCGCCATCCTTGTTGAGCGAATTGTATCCCTCTTTGCACTCGAGATCCGATGATGCATCATCGCCAAGACTGCTCTAAAATCCGCCTGCCGGGAGCTGGTTGCAACCTCGTGTCGAGATGTGTGCCTGGCGGCTCATGCCTTCCGTGGGGGTCATTGGTACCTGGTCAATTAGATAAGTCAAGGGTAGCATCCGCTCTCCAGAGCCGAAGCTTGATTCTGCAGTACTCATAGGAGTATCGTATTGCAATTTCGGGATGTTATTTGTTCAATTGATGTCGACACATTCGCATAAGCGTGACCTGGCATTCAGTTTTCGTTTGGGTGAATTACTGTGTTTGAGACAACGTGATAACGTGCTCTCTGTAACGATCGACACAATCATTGCTACTTACGGAGCAGTCTAGAAGAGCGTCTTGGCAAATTAGATCAATTGCGTGGTTAAAGTCCATAACAAGAAAATTGTTCCAAGAAGCAGACCGCAGTCTGAGAGTCAGTCTAAATGTGGAATATCGAAACAACAGTACCCGCGCACTAATACACCGGAACGCCCACACGGGAAATGGGTCGATTGGCGAAGGGAACAAGCTTGAAAACAACGCTCAGAGCCTCAAGCACGGGAGGCCTTTCTAAAGGCCCCAGTATTTGCCAAGGATATATGGGGCGCTTAGATCCGCTCAATCACTGCGATTGTATTAGTACGCCAAATTCTCGATGTGATAGGCGCAAATTCGGACCCGGGGAACGAGTCAGTCGTGCTCCGTATCGGCGTCCATAGCCGCAAATGGCCGTCCCGTGCCTAGTACCGGCACTTTCGGCAGGGGGGCAGCCAGGTACGATTGCATGCAATAGACTATAAAAAATATTCATGCCAAGTCGGCTGACAAATTCTTCAGTATCTTCGCAATACACTTCTATTCGCCTGACGTAATCAACATATCGGTGGCTCCGCCCGCAATGCTTCGTTGCTCCGCTTGAGCAGCGAGTTCTAGATTTCTTTTGCTGCAATCGTTCCCCGAAGGACCCTGGTGGCATTGAAAGCACACGAAAGCACTGTAAAATTATACTGAAGACTCGGTAGATTTAATTCAGGGATCCAGAGCCACTGTGGCCCTGTTTTCAGGGCTAGAGACAGCGTTGAGGCTTTCCGTCTCATCGCACGGCTCTCGACGGGGCGTACACAGGGCAATAAGCCAAGGCACTAATGATAGCATGTTTCAAAGGACGCGTACTGACGTCCACAGTGATCGGCAACGGTGAGCATCGTATAGGGGCATCACTGCCTCAATTCTTTTTCGACATGTTACCCAATCATCGATCAGTGATTGCAAACTCTATTTGATGGCTTTAAAGTAACAGGAGTCTACGTACACCGATCTTCGGATCGATCGCACGGACTTTTATTATACGAGCAAACTCGGGTCGTCCCTTGACTGGCACCTTGTTATTTATACGCCCGCAATATCCTATCTCCGCGGGTCCACCTGTTGTGATCTTTGGAATAATGTAAAGAAAAAAGGCACGTAGGATGAATTCTGGTGCTTGCAGCTTGTCTGATAGGTTAGTCTCAGGAGATAGGTATAGGGCCATGCTGTGGCTGAGAAGTATCCGACAATTACCGTAGCTAGTCGCGTGAGGCATGATTGGTTTTCTCACGATATGCGCATTCTATTGTGCATTTTTTTCACGAGCCAAACACTTTTAGAACCCATCAGCATACTCGTCAGTCGCAAGCTTCAGACTGCATATCAAGTGCATAACGACCATCTCTCCGCCACTAAACGTCATCCTGTGTGGCTGAACCAATCAAGAGCGAAGGATTGCTGTTTGTACGTCATGTCCATCTAATTGAGTCGCACAAGCATGTTCAAGCCACACACCTGGCCGTTTATCTTGTTGACGAAGCAGATTGTAAATGGGAGGGTGGCCTGATGTGAAGAGCCATATGCATCTCACTAGCTGGTCCAGTAATGAGCTTTCCAAAATAACACTCGTGGGCTCTAGCAAAACGACACCTCTTTGAAAACATCTCACATAGCTGCGCAAATAATAACCAGGGAGTCTACCTAGAAAGTTGCGACAGAGATAGGTTATTGCCATGGCTTCCAAAATGAAAAACCTGTGAGTCTAGACTTTGCTTCTACTTTTCACGGTTTTTAACAATGGTTGCATAGCCCCAGTTCACAGAATGCACCCTGTCTTCGCGTGACACTCGAATGTCCTGCGGAAATCTCCAAAGTCACGGATCAGACACATCTAACGATCAAGGTCAAATACGAGGGTCTCAGCGAGACAGGGAGCCAAGATGCTCCTTCTATTACCTTTAACAAGTACGGTGTCATGAGAGAAGATGATTTGGCTTTATACCAGCTCCGTGACGGCGAGTGGATCCAAGACATGTCGGAGAATGATGAGTATGGAGGCTGCTGTGGATTCGCCATATTGGACGCACCTCCGATGCTGGTAAATGTGAGCGAGGATGACCAGTTCCCGAGTCTCAGCTTGGGCGAGGCCGTGATTGCCCATCAATATCCCTTGAAGGAAAAGCTTCCGGGTGATGCCAAAGCGGGCGATCGCTTCCGTCTAACATTGAAGCAAGCCCGTGTGGAATGGTGGAACTGGGGCGGCCGCGAGGAGCATGCAAATACGAAAGTCTATCTGCCATGTTGGCGCTTGGGCCCAGTTGTCGACCCTCCCACCCCTGATTACGACTCTCTCCTTTGCCCAGAAACAAAGAATGAAGGCCGGCCGAAGCTGCTTGTACATATTGGCGACCCAGTGGAATTCGTATTGACGTAAGCAGTCTTCTTGTTTCACTGCTTCTTGCTTATGGTGGAATATTTGGTTCGGGATTTGTCTGTTGTAGTTTGTACATTTACCGATGCATGCAGTGACTATCGCTACGATGGGAAATTATGATGGGACTCCTTATCTTCAAATCAGAGAGCCAAAGCCCTGATTTTCTGATCCTAGAAGCTCGACTTCGTACGGCTCAAGTAGACTCATTCGTACGACGTCATTGCGCTCCCAGCATAACAAACTTTGTTGGAGGCACGTAATTGAAGCATCATTCCGCAACTTGTTTTGGGGCACAAACCCGAAGCATGGCATGGCAAAATATAATTCAATCATGCCTGAGTCATCTCCAAAATATCGTGGAAGGAAGCAGATTCAAGCCATCGTATATAATACATATGTACAACATGCATCGTGGAGATTCAAAAAATCCAGTACCATAAGACTATCTGACCACAGGGTTATCCTGTCAACACATTTATCATCGGAACAGGGGCATTGATTCAAGCATCGATTCGCCCCCTTTCCTCACTAATAGGTAATATATTTAGGCAGGTTGTGGTCATCGGAAGACCTGTCGGGACCTGGAATAGGCGTTTGTTCACAGAGAGAAATATGCCTTCTCTGACGATCAGCAAACGTGAAAGACTCCGGAAGAACTGAGAGATCATTAACCTGCCAGGTGTACAAGAGCTGAATTCTGTCATCAAAGTCCGAGAGGACGATACTTACTGCTCTAGTGTCATTTTTGCAAACAAAAGTACCGCTCACCGACTTGCTCAGTTGATTTAGTATACTCTTACTCTCCCGTTGTTTGTCTCAAGTCTTGGATTCGCAGCTCTCGTTAGTACTAGAAAGATAGGAGCTATCCTAAAAGAGCTCAAAACAGAAAATGCGCTTGGACGAGCCGTTCGTGGTGGGGGAGGACGCGCTGTGCAAAATCAAATCAGCCGTGACCGCAGCCCTTTTGGGATATTCAACAAAAATCAGCCTGATCACGGCCCGTTTGTAGATATTTCAACAAAGATCAGCCCTAAGCAGGCACATTTGCTGGCGCTATGCCTGATCCGGCGGAAATGGTCGAGCTCTAGTCGGCTACCAAGAAATGGCACTTTCGTACTAGTGAGCTCGGTAAGAAAAACACATCGGATTACCAGAGCAACGCAGCTTAAAGCAACTACAAACGACACATTTTTTTTAATGGCCCAGATCAGTCCAAATCAGTCGAGTCGAATCAGTAAGGGCCAGTCCCCCACCATTCTCTTCTCATCAATCTCAGGCCTGAAGCTTCACTTTTTCTCCCCTTTTACTCGCTCTCTGTCGACCTTCCACAGGATACTCTCGAGCTTCTCCAAATCGTGAACACATTCACAAGGCTTGCCCTCCTCGGGATACGATATTGAGAGACGACAAGTTCACTGAAGACTTCTGGAAGGGTCTCGGGATGCTGATACGGCGCATATACAATATAAAATTCCTTTTTCCTCGCTCTCCTGTTTCGAAGAGATGTGATATGCAGATTCTGTCCTCGACTTACTTCTAACACCAAGCAGGCGTCGCATCTGCCACAAGCACATTAAGCCTCGAACGGCAGATTACAACCTATGATTTTGATACTGTCTACCTTAAGTCCAATTAAATAATTAAGACTAGTCTAATAGCTGCATTAATCCGCCGACGATACGTAAAAGTTCGCTTTACGTGGTGATATGGAACTTGACCAAGTAAACAGAGACAGCAAGACAAACGGCTGGTAGAACCAGCTGGCGAGAATGGCAAGACTTTTCGAGAAAAAAAAAAAGTGACTGGCGAAGCTCGACTACAAACGCGGCCGACAACCGTCCCCCACCTGTTGATTCAAGCTCTCTTGATCTATCACCACGTCCCGGATTAGTCAAAATCAGTCCAGATCAGTCCGGGCGAATCAGTCAAAATCAGTCCAGGCGAATCAGTAAGGGCCAGTCCCCCACCATTCCTTTCTATATCTACCAGGCCAGATTCTTCCCAAATATTTTTTTTTCCCACCCACACATTCACTCCCTCTTCATTCTCTTGAGCTTCAACCAAACCACAAATCACCATACCTACACTCAAAGCGCCACGTGCCTTGCTTCTTCCTACTCCAGGAATTCTCTTGTCTACTCAGCCGTCTCGCTGTCGTTAACCGAGAACTCAAGATCAAACATACCCTTCCTTCTGAACAACCTTGGCCTTAGAGACCTCTAGCGGCCCGACACCTCAATACCTTCAACCCCGCCCAAGTTCGTTGCGCGCCTTTCACTAGGTATCTAGTCTAAGTACGCGTCAACTACACGTGAAGCTACCTACCTACAAACGCGCACAGCTTCCTCTTCTCCTCTCCCAATCCTCAACTCCCCTAAACAGTCCTCCGTAAATCAAAGGTGAAACCAAAACACCTTTCAGATCTCTCTCTTCCCTTTGCACAAACTTCCACATCTCCATCCACCAACGAAGCTAGCTGCTACAAAATGGCCGCCTACGACCAGTACGGTATGCTCTTCAAGAGCGAGATCTTCTCCGACTTCAAGCTCACTTGCAACGGAACGACCATTCCTGTTCATCGCATCGTCTTGGCGACGCACTCACCTGTTTTCCGCAGAGCAATGACCAGCTCGTTCAAGGTAAATTCAAATCCAGTATCTACTCGTGGCACACACTGACGATAATTAATAGGAGGCGCGTGAAGGCCTAATGAATCTGCCTGAGGACGATCCCGTCATTCTCGAGAAGTTCCTATCCATCATGTACCGAGGCACATACGACGACGCGCTCTTTGGCAAGGCTCAGGCTCCCCACCTTACGACCACTCTGCCACTAAAAAAGCTCATTGGCTTCCTCAGCGGTACCGAAGCGGGTTGGGATCTTGATATGAACGAACGCAAGGCCCTGGACAACTTTCACTGCACCAACGACATTGACTCGCCTGAGGGCATGGCTCTAGCACAAGAGAGTTTGCAAGACGCCTTATACATCTACTTCATGGCCAAGAAGTATCAATGTGCCATTGCTGCCGTGATTGCCCACGATCGGTTTCTCAGTGCCCTCGACTTCTGCTTTGATAAGCCGGAATTCTCCGACCAAGAGCTCCACAAGTTCATCGAGGTTATTGATGAGCTGTATAGCAATAGCATCCCAAAAGACATCCTCCGCTTGACGCTGTGCCGCCATTTCCACCGCTTTACCGACAAGCGGCCCGATGTTGGTCAGCGCTTCGGGGCACTAGCTACCGACCTTATCAAAGCTCATCCCGAGTTTGCCACCGACATGAACAGTACCCGGTACTCTTATTAAAGACTGTCCACACCATTAATAGCAGGATCATTGAGATTCTGGAGCACTCTACCAACTCGCCCTCATTGAGTGCCAAATCAGTTCATTAGAATGCCCTACAAGTTGTACAAAAATGAACACAACGTCCTTGATATGCGCAACAAAAACGCGCAAGAGTCTGGTAGGGAGGCCATCATTACGAGGAGGATTATAGCGCAAAGGACGAAGGGGGCATGCAGACGCGAGCACATGGACACGAGCCATGATTTGACAAGATCCGACGATGGATTCATTCGGATTAACATAAGAGATCTTGGGATCCTGACGAAATATTTTTGATATGAAGATTTCCCTTTGTACACGGTAGACAGCGATTTTTCGTACCAACCTATGCGTTTGCATTCATACAGACCATTTCCGTGCAGTGTTAATACTTTGGCAATTGAGAAGCACAAGGACTGGATTGTATTGCAATGAAGCGGACATTTCCATTTGTAAATCTCTTTGGGAACTCTGGATGACTGCACGTGATTCTGGTGAATGGCTTCTGCCTGTTTCGCTGCATAATATGAAATGTTTTATGTTACTCCCGTATAACTTTATACGCTCTCCTCCTACGCATAAAGTCCCCACAACCAATGTCATAAGCCCGGTTTGAGCATACGCTAATGGTATCCACCTAGCATAGGAATTTGAATTCCGCTATGCAGCATCACGCAACGTGACGTCGGGTTCGACAAGCTTTTTAACTCACGCGTGGTCGGGAGAAGCTTTTTATTTAAAGTGCAAATCTGCCATTTCTACTCCCTTTTGTTCTTGCATTTTTCGTGGTAGATGTCCCCTGCAGAAAGTCGTTGCATCAGACGGAGAAATCACTAACGTTACAATGTCGCACTTACAATACTTTTCATACCCCGGCGTGGGCGAACGGAATAGAAAAATGTTCAAGTACTCACAAGCCGTTCGAGTCGATAATCGCATCGAGTGCTCTGGCCAAGGTAAGCCGTTACGTTCGTTTACTCTTTCGAATAGAAATGGCTCACACCATGTAGGAGGTTGGAACCCAGAAACTGGAGAATTTTACAAGGAGATCAACCAGCAGATTGACCAAGCTTTTAAGAATGTCGACATTGCGTTGAAGCATGCTGGTGGAAAAGGATGGGGACAGGTCTATCGGGTCAACTCGTATCATGTTCCTATCAACAACGAAGCCATAGAGGCCATGGTACGAAACTTCAAGATATGGGTGCCCGATCATGAGCCAATCTGGACCTGTGTCGGAGTGCCCAGGTTAGGTGAGGACGACATGAGAGTCGAGATCGAGGTAGTAGCACACGATCCAAAGGAGTGAGCTCTTCCAAAGTCATTGGACTTGCACTTTGTGAGTTTTTCAACTCTCCATAGAACAAATCATGTGTCATACTGTTGGGATGACGAGTCAGAAAGGCTCAGCAATGCTACACTTTTGATGTGAATTACAAATAGTCGCTAGTTATTGTTGCATTTCGTCAATAGCAACAGTGTTACTCGTCGGGTCAAGCATCGTTACACACTCCTTCAAAGGTTGCATGGCTGCCGACTATGCTAACGGCAGCTTCATAGAAAAGATGGTAACATCAACATGAGTAGATGGCATGAAAACTAGCTTCTAGTATTATAGTCTTGGTGGCAGCGACAAAGCCATAGTCAGCAAGAAAGCAAAGGTCTGGATGGCCATGATTAGCTTGGCCATCTTAACTATCATGCGTACCATAGGGGGAAAATCAGTGGCTACACAATGATTGTTTTGCACACAATGATTGTGCTCCAACACAATGATTGTTTGCCCACAATGATTGTGTAATGAGGCAATTGTTGCAATACTGCACAACCATTGTGTAGAAAACAATTATTGTTTTAAAACCACTATTCCCCGCTACGGTATGCATGTGTAGGACTTGAAAGAGTTCGAGCTCGTGGCATAAAGCCAGAAGTGCTGTTGTTTGGATAATCGTTTGCGCGTCGCTTGCCAGCCGTTGGGGTAGGATTATGAACATGTATCTGTGCCTGGATGTGTGGTTTTGCTTTGCCGTGTTTCATGGCCGACATGCTTAATCTTGGGGTTGCATGGAGATATTTGTCCTAGGCTAGAGTGGTAGAAGACAGGCGAATATCGAGACTGTGGTGTTATTGGCATCATTGGTTGCACTTTTTTCCCGTTTCAGACGTCTCGATGGCCTTACCATCGGTCGGTTGAGCTGCAGCATATAACACTTGGCATTACAACCCCAGACAAGCGCTCAAATATTTTTGGCAAACAATGTGTTCGACCGTTCCATGTTTGGATGCCAAGAGCCCTTTAGTCCGAATGGGAAAGTGGGATTTACTCCGACAGTCGATGTTATGATGCATAAGGCAAAAGAGTACCGAAGCCATTGCCGGATCTTAGAGTTGCTTCTCTGAGTGCGACGATTATACGAGTTCAAGGGTGAAAGTGGTGAGTAACTCGGCTGATCAGCAAATCAAAATTGACGCTCGGAAGAATCCCTTATGTCAAGCTCCGACGGCTAATATTAAACATGGCTCAGCACCTTGCTAGCTATAACATCCTCCAATCAACACGCAGCAAGGCATTATGTAAATGCCGACCTTGGATACCGATTGGCCTTGTACCACGTAGACTCAAGTGTGCAAAAAATGGAGCTCTTCGAATATAAGAAAGTGTCATGGCACCAGATGTCGTAGTTTATGAATTGGATTACAACATTCACAGTACTGGACCAGACCACTCAACCATCAACAACATCAATCACAATGCACTTCAGCCCTCTCCATCTCCTTGCCATCGTGACGGCAGCCGCAGCCGACCACACAATGGGCTTCATTGGCTGCTCCATGGCGGAAAACGTTGCGCAAGGCTACGTCGCCGACGGCGGAAAGCGAATGTGGCCCAACTACGGCACCAGCGGACAGGTGGTACAGTCTTGGACCGACGTCAACTCTGCCTCGTGGAAGCTCTATGACCAACAAGTCGCGAAATACGGAAAGCCCGACACGGTCTGGGTGCAGATTTGCATCTTTGCGCAGCAGGGCGCCACGGCCGACGAGGTCAAGAAGATGATTGCCAATGCGCGCACACACTCCAACGCCGATGCTGCCATTTATCTCACCGGTCAGCCCCTCTACGAGCAGGGATACAATTGCTTCTTGGCTGGAGACGGCGGTGCCAATATGACCGATACTCTGGCCAAGACTGTTGCTGCAGACACCTCACTCGTCAATGTCACTTATCCCGGCTCATTCCTTCTGCATCCGAGCGAGGTCCAGGACGGATGTCATGCTAATACTGCTGGACAAAAGTCGTTGGGTCAGCAGGCACTCGCCTTTTGGGGCTGATCATCGTGGGGCAATCAGTAATCCACCAACAGCACGCATGTATATCGTATTCGAGGTGGAACGAGAATGTCCAAAAGGCTATACACGTTGGGAAGTTATCAGTAAATTGGAACAAATTGTAGCACGATGCAAACATGGATGGTGAACCACGTACGTGATCAGAATTTCTGGTGATTTGTGCCTTTCTTAGCGGGACCAAACATCACCTGCTACTCCAAAATGCCATGCTATAAGCTCGTAAGATAAGCCCGTTTGCTCTATAGACAGGAACTTTTAGCATTATGGTTAGGACACGGTGAAAAGGCATCCAGTAACAATTGTAGCATACCTGATTTAGCTAACCAATAAATGCTTCCCACAAAGGAGACATATAATCATAGCCATGAGAGATTATGGTTTGTGTTAATCCAGATTCCAGGAGATGGCTGGCTCGTTAAATCGGCCTGTAGAAATAGCTGCCAATGAAAGGCGAGTTGTAGGGGTATAGAGCCCCGCGCAAAGCGTACCTAGTATTCAATGAGTTAGTGGCCCGGAAAACCCCATGCATTTGTTTACACTATGGAGCGGCAGTGGAATAGAGGCGTGCTAGAAGCAGTATGAATCCACTTGATCGCATGTATGGTTCCGACAGTCTGGGTAAACTTTCGATCACCTTATCAGTTCCTGCGTTGAGCGGAGGGTGGTGTGCTGATCTCCCACTGTTGTGCATGTCACTGTTGTACGAGTCTGAGCACAGAATAGGGCATAAAAAGTATGCCTATAGACGCATATGAAAGAGGCTGGGCTGGTCAGAAGATTCCGTGAGTCTCTTTCTGCCCTTTTTTGGGCATGTATAATTCCGGGAGACATTTCTTCTTGTCGGGAATCGCACAATCTTCAGTTGCCATCAAATTGGTGGTTGGTAAAAAGAGTAGTATTGGTAACACGGGTCTCGGCTATCGCCGCCAACCCCACACTCGCAGAGATAGACCAGGAAGATTGAAGTCATACCGCTGACATATCCTGGGTTCTAGAAATCATGTTGGCTTGGCTTGATACTGAAAAGGCGAAAGTGATAAAGGACCAGGTATAAATAAGATGACAGGTGCCCAAGTAACCCATCAATCGCGCGCCTGACGGATACCTCATATTTAGCTTTATCAACTAATTGTCGCGAGTCCTCACAATGTTCGGCAGAGCCTACACATCCCTGCTAGCCTTGGCCAGCGTTATCCAAGCAGTGCCAGTATGAAATCTATCTGACAATATCTAGCAAGACTCTAAGCTAATCTGCAGCCTAGTTCTCTAGTCGACTACACAAGAACACGGCCCTGGTACTCATTGATGTACAGAATGATTTCATCACCGGCTCGCTGAACAACTCTCGCGCCCCAGCTATTTTGCCAAAGATCTATCAACTGTTGGACGATCATGAGTGGCCATTCATTGCAGCATCACAGGGTAGGGCCTCACGGCATGTTCAATTGGTCTAAAGCTGATGATGATCCACGACAGATTGGCATCCCATCGACCATGTCTCTTTCGCGTCAGCGCATCCCGGCAAGGAGTCTGGCGATTCAGTCAACATCACGTTCCTAGACACTCCTACCAAGATTGAGACGCAAGGTCTGTACGCAAACCATTGCGTTCCCGAAACCTAGGGTGCCGAGATCGAGACGGGCGTTCAAACGCGTCTGCACTACCTCGAAGGCTTCCGCACGCCCGTCAATTACATCAAAAAGGCCCAAAACCACTCGGTTGATTCGTGCTCGGCCTTTGCCGATAACCAGTACCACCAATTCACGACATTGGACTCGGAGCTCTCTTTGCATAGCATCGAGACCCTTGTCATTACAGGCCTGATTACCAATGCCTGCGTTCGGGGTACCTCGATTGACGGCATCAAACTGGGATACGAAGTGATTCTGATTGAAGACGCGACCGAGACGACGTCAGACGAAGCCAAAGCCACTGCGATAACGGAACTCGAAGGGTGGGGTATGTCGATTATCATGACCCCTGTCATATCGTGAAGTACTGAAGCTAATGATAAGCAGGTGTTCAAGTCATGAACCTGACAGATTGGGAGGCAGCATATCCCACGTCTTCCAAGGCGAGAAGACTTCTTGAATTATAAAAACACTTTGGCACAGTGAAGAGTATGAATTCATAATGAGAAAGAATAAACGCTGAATCTTGTAAACCTGGAATAAAAATATCCAAGTGAATCCATATGCCACTGCTCACCGCGCTAATTGGTGGGGTCGCTTTCCGTCCCCAACATGAAGCAGTTTAAGAGTACATATATACGGATATCCTTTTGTATCAGCCTGTCTGTAGGTACACAGGCAAAGCTGTTGTTATATTTATAGGCAGCGCCCTATAATTCTCATGAGCGATACCTCACCGAATGGTACAGGACTTGATGACGTTCTGCACCAGGCCATCTTTGCGGCAGAATTCGTCCGAAAAGGCCTTCATGTCGTTCGCCGAAAGAGCCCTACGGGCATCTGCTGCGTCCTTGAACGCACCCCGGGGGGGCTTGCCGCCTTTGAGTCCAGCAGCCCCTATGAGCATGCCCAGGATGGCAAAAGGTGCCGAATCTGGGTTCTTCACAATGTCCACGATACTGATGGCAGCATTTCCGGCCTCGCCAATAATGAGCGCGGCACTAGCAATACGCGCGGCGCCACCGAGAGCTGTCACGGCTTGGCCAGCAAAAGGGATGACGGCGAAGACAATGGTCAAGATGTTGAGCACCAACTCGCGCGTATGAGTCTCCTTCATTTCCTCGCCAATCTCCTTGATGTCCTTGATGCTCTTGGATGCGTCAGCAACATATGTCAGTGATTTCTCTCTTTAGGATTCATAAAAGCTTAAGTTAGAGAAGAGTGATACAGATAAGCTATTAGACACAGCTGTTTCCGAGTCATAGCCAAAAAGACATGCAGAAACGGGAAAAATGGTAGCGGCTACTTACCTGCATCATGAATATGGGCATACTGAAGGACGTCACAATGTCGGCATCCTCTGCATCAAAAGTGTCGCTTCATTGCCCCATAGGTGCCCGCAGCTATGGCGACAAGTTCCTCAGTCGATGGGATAGCCTCGTCCACTATCTCTTTGGGGTTGTCAATCTCGATTTTCCTTTTGTCCTCGATGCGCCGAGGCCAGTTACGGCGCACGTAGTAGTTCTGAGCACATGTTGCCTGGCCTGGGCAGGGCGGCAGTCCAGGACATGGTGGGCATGGGTCAACCAGGGCGTGTTCGTCGACCCAATCTAGCCACTCCTTCTTGATACCTGTGGATGCTAGCAGCGCCGCATAATAGCCCTCTTCATCCCGCTTCGTGAACTCGACGACACGAGGGCCTGGGTTGGGCCCCGGCGCCCACGTTGGGTTGGCCTCGAAGATTACGACGGCTCATTATCAATCGGCAGGGGGCCCTCGATTTACCAACGGGTTACCTACAGGGCCAAGCAATGCCGAGTCGACCGAGATGCGTACCAACGCCAAGCAGCTAACGGTCAATAAAATCAACTCAGAACGGCTAATTTCACGAAAATAGCAGGATTTGAGTGTTTGCAGTTGCGCAACCGAGACTGAAATGGACGTGGTGGGTCTGTCGGAACATAACGAGTTGAATATCAGTATGCTTATTTTTAGGCTTATTACCTAGCAGGGTGGCGCACCCCGTTGGTCGGACCTCGAAAGTTATTCTTCTTCCTTTTCTCCATTCACACGCGCACAAGGGAACGCGCCGACTCCAGATCTTTCAATCCCACAAACGTCACATGAGATGGCAGGCGGTAATCGTCCAACCGAGGCCGAGTGCTTTGCCGCTATCCGCGGGGAGAAGGTGCCCCGAGATGTCAGCAATCCCCTGGCGCTGGCATCACTGATTCGGGGCATCCGGCTTCACTATGCCTTTGCGACTAGTGGCGCGGTGACCGAGTTGAGCATGGCGAGTGCCGCCATTGCACGCGCCCGTAATGCGCGGCTCATCATGAGTGATGAGCTACCCGATGCCATGGCACCAGACAACCAGCCCTACTGCATATGGTACCCTGATTTTGCCTCGGAACAAACGTATCGCGTGCTTGTGCAGCGATATCCCCAGATGCGATACCAAGTCGGCCGCGCGTGTGCTGCGGCAGGCTACCATGTTCTGTATCGAGAACTAGACTTATTGCCCGATGTCAGCATTGCAGAAGAAGCGCGGGAGGGAGAAACGGCTGGCGGGCGACTGATCTACGAATCCATCATGAGTAGTCCACGTCGATACGCCGTCATGGATGACTGCCTCCTGAGCATCGACATTAACACTCCGAGGTCGCCCGCATTCCTTAATGGGGATACCGAAGTACGTTGGCGTCTTGATACACGCGTGGCTTTCACTCCTGTTCTTGCAAACCACAAACCCTGCATCGAGGAGGACATGCATGTGCATACCGAAGACCAGCCCATCACGTCTCTGCATCTCAATCTGAGCGATGAAGAAGTCAAGCTGCTATATGAGCCCTTGCCACCGGATCTGCCCACCATGAAGAAAACCTTACTGACCCACATGGCGGCATTTGATGGAAACATTGATCGCTATGCCCGACTGGCGACGTCGGCAAGGACCATAAACATGACCGAGCTTGTATGCATCGTCCGCGGTATTTATCATCATACCATGTTCGCTCGATGGTGGGCCAGCCAGATCGCCGACGGTACACCGCGGGTCAAGGCCTTGCAGGACAGCGGCTGGACCTATCTGGCTCGGATTCGTGCGGCAATCTCTGCCCGTCGTATCATGTTGAATGACCCCCAAGAGTTCCGCGAAGATGGGTGGCCGGCCGGTGCGCCTCAGCCTTTCATGATCTGGTGGCCACTTCGACCTGACCACGACATGCTCGGTCTACTCGCCGACAAAGTCCCATCAATGAAGACGCAGGTCGCAGTGGCCGCCATTTATTGTGACTATGAAGGTCTTTACAAGCGGCTGCAACCGGATCCAAATTGGTATCTTTGGACTGCCGCAGCGAATTCTCGCAACACCTTCTATCGTCAAGATATAGAGAAGCGAGCAGAGGAACAGGGCATTGACCTGGATACTGGAAACACGCAGGATGAGGACGGATATTGTCTCGACTTCGACTTGGAGCCTACCAGATTATTTACTTATGACGGGCAAACGCAGGACCGTTTATTTATCAGATTAGGACCTTATGGCGATGGTCAAAGACCCGACACTTCAGATGCAGAGCTCAAGATCTGGGATGACTTTGGAATACTACGCTAATTGGAAATTGGTGAATACACACGAGATCAGTTTCTCGGTGTGATTGCTTGACTTGTAATGTTTCCTTCAGCATCCATCGATCACAACATATATCTGTCAAAGTGTAGAAATAAGTGGTGCGCTTCCTGACACATGTATATTTCTTTGACCATGCGACCATTATTGGATGTGAACAACTAAACTAATACAAAAATTATTATACCACACCCATCATACCTTTTCAAATATCTACCTGGCAAAAATAGACCGTTTTATATCCATGCTTGATTGTGAACCAACTCAGCATATTTGCTAGTGTGATAAATGCCAGACGCAATAATCTACTAATTGCAGATATATAACGAGGCTTGGCAGAAACATGGGTTACGCGCGATTGAAAGCTTGATGATGTATATAGCCCAACTGTTACGAAATCGAAGTGATGTTTATAGTTGCCTGTGTTGTTCCCCCCCCCCCCCCCCCCCCCCCCTTTTTTTTTTCCAAGCAGCAACCAAGTCAGGGTATTGGGCCTGAAGGCTTATTGCTTAAATATGGAATGGAAGATAAGAGTTCCAAATGATTGACAAAACGAGTGGATTTATTTGCAAATGAACGTAGGATTCTAGATGAATGCATGATGTTTGAGATATGAGGGGGGGTCTAAGACGCCGACACGAGGCCAGGGTACAACCTCAGATCAACAGCCTTGTCAATCGTTATAGCCCTTTGATGAAATGACGTTTCGTACGTCGACGAGAAGCTTGCGCTTCAATTTGGAATGGCATCAAAAAGGTACCAAGCTGGGAAATTTAGGCACTACTGCGCACTTGTCACCACACCGGGATTATATCATACATTCACATCGTCGCAACGAGACACACGGACATGACAATGGTGCAAACATCTTTCCTGGAGAACCTACAAATCGATGTCTCCGTGACGTGGAAAAAAAAAAAAAACTGCGCCTAGCATTTCTATAACTGTCAAAAATACACACCCCTCTACAATCATGACCATCCTTAAATAGAATTCCCCCTAAATACCGCGGCGCTCGGCCTAGGCCTAATCTCGATTACGCCCGCCGGGGCTGCCCAGGCGATGCGCATTAACGCGCTCAAAATCAGCCGGGCGATGCCGCCGGACGCCGACGCTGAGCCCCGGCGAAAGTGCGACCATCGTCGCGGAGCTGCGGAAGCCCATCGTGCCCGGCAGCGCATAAACTGGTTCCGGGAAGGCAAAGGTCTGTTTGAAAAGGATATGAATGGCGGTCTGACCAGTTTTGACCAAAAAGGAGTTGCAGAGAGACGGGTAGAAATTGCAGGGTGTCGGCGCCGGTGTGGGTTCGTTGACTGGTAGCTAGGAGTATGACACTGCCCATATTTAAAGACATTCTGTTCGATTGACAGTTACCATGGCTGTCCACGTCGATGGCCCGCAATGTCTTGACGGTTAATCTTTGTCAACGGACGAAAGGCCCTTGTGGACCTCGTTGCCATGGCGACTAAAACGATTAGGCAGCTAGTCTTGGCATCGACTGGCTCTCAGCCGCAAACTGACGGCGAAGCCTTTATGGCAAGTGGAAGGACTAAATGATGTAAGGATATACCATCATCAACCAAGGGACGGACCTGTGTTAAATGCGCAAGTGGCAATCCATCAATATGCGCGAAGTTGTAAGCGAACGAGATTTGCGCTCCTGTACGTTATGGGCTTTACGCCAATATAACGGTAAGCTGTAGATCTTCGCTGACTTGCAATCACTCTGCGTAAAGATCCATCTTTCGGTTGGGGGATGTGTAAGTCACCTCGAAGACAGATGGTTGGGTTTTGAAATTTACCAAATCGTCTAGGGCAGCCGAATTGGGTCAGCTTTCTGGTATGTCAGTATTTCATGTTTCCGATGAGTACCTACTGATCGACTAATGGATGTACGTAGGGAGATGATTGCAAAAGAGCATGGATTCGTCGAGAATGGGCCGTCCAAAGGCACAGAAGACGCTGAGCATCAAAATCTCGAAGTCTATTTCCACGAGGTGACAAGACTCCAATTCCTCGATCTCTTGGGCGTACTTTGCAGAAGTTGATACAGTTACAAGCCTTACCATGGTATTCACACGCCTCGAGCCATATTTGTCGACCTGGAGCCGAGTATGATCGACGAAGTCCGCTCAGGAGGATATGGCAAGTCCTTCCGACCCGACAACTTCATCTCTGGCGAATATGGTGGCGGAGGCAATTGGGCTCAAGGGCATTATGGGAGGGGCGCTGAGCTGACTGAAAACGTCCTCGATGCAGTGCGCCGGGAGGCAGAGAGTTGCGATTGCCTCCAAGGCTTCCAAATCTGCCATTCTATAGGGGGTGGTACAGGTGCGGGCTTGGGGACACTCCTTCTCGCCAAGTTGAAAGACGAATTTCCCGATCGCATTATGTCCACCTTCTCCGTGCTGCCATCACCAAAGGTCGCCGAGACTTTGGTGGAGACGTACAGCGCGGTCTTGTCGATTCATCACCTCACTGAATACAGTGATCAGAGTTTTTGCTTTGACAATGGCAAGTTGCACGATACATGCACTCGGAATCTAAACATGCCCCAACCAACATACGACGCTTACAATCGTTTGATCTCGACCGCCATGTCGGGTATATCGGCCTCCCTTAGGTTTCCCGGCCAGCTGAATTCGGATCTTTGCAAAACGCACATGAACTTGGTCTCGTTTCCACGAATGCACTTTCTTACTGTAGGACAAGCACCTCTGTCTGAAATAGAATCCGACGTGCGAGAGACGCAGAGCCTCACTGCCGAGCGCTTGGCAAAGGAGGTTTTCGATTCTAAGAACCTCATGACCGCCGGCGATTTCAGTGACGGGCGGCACTTGGCATGCTCTACAATGTTGTAAGCACCTATGGATCAACACTCTAGTCTCTCCTTTCTCTGTTATTTGTCATTAGTCACTAACCATTGCTTGACCCCAAGTCGCGGTCGGCTTTCCATGGAAGACATCGAGGACCAGATCCGCAATATGCAAAACCGAAATTCGGAAAGTTTCAAGCGAGGAATTCCACACAACTTCCAAACGTCATATTGCTCGGTGGCACAGTCGAGTATGGAACTATCTAGCACATTGATTAGCAACTCAACGTCTATCCAAAGCACCTTCGAGCGCCTCGGCGACGACTTCACCACAATGTTTCGTCGAAAGGCTTACATGCGCTCGTACACCATGGGAGACCTGGCCATAGATGAGATGGACTTTACAGAGGCCCATTCCAATATACTGGACCTTGTCTCTGAGTGTCAAGAGTGCCATGCACCTGTAGAGCATAAATGAGATTGAGATAGAACTGACCGACATCGTCAGGCACCTAGAAAATGGAACTTGGTTCTAAACTTGAGCGCCTTTAGCTATTTTATTAAAATACGTCATTAGTTACTGCTTGTCGTCCATACTAATTTCTCACGGCTAACTCCATCCCTTAGTGTCTTAAATGCGTTAATAGCTTTATCGAAAACTTTATCGCTTCTAGTTACACGGTACCTATGGGTACGAATTCGGCGGTCTCAGGATAAATCTGCCTGGCGAAAATGGACCGTTCTCGTTATAGCCTGTAACACAGAAACCTGTAGCTTTTGAATTACGCTACTGGTGGGACAGCCTTCCGTCCTTATAACAGTTATTTAAGATTATCAGCTTAACTCGCTTAAGGACCAAGCTCGAAGTGAAATCGAAAACCTCGGAAAATATTTACCCGCAACTATTCTTTTTTTTTGGGCTGTTTTGAATAAAGCATACTGACAGTTTGTGATACAGTTATACGAGCATGTATTGTAGGTTTGAGGGAGTCACAATAATGAAGTAAGCTGACACCGTTAAGAGGTATGGGTTTGGGTATGGTTACAAGTTGTGTTGTATCTGTCTAAGTTCTATTCAAAGTGGGATCATACCGTCCCATTTATACATTCATACGTTGAGAAGATTTGTCATCTTCCCTGGAGCATATGGACCAGGTCCGGAAGCTCCCTGTTCTCATCAAGGCCTTCCCCATGCTCCCTGTACATGGTCTCAAAAGGCACCTTCGTTATCTAACTGACTGCCACAAAAAAGCCACGGCAGGCAACATTACTGAGGAATAGGTAAAAACATACATCATCGCTTTCCAAACTCCATTAAATCAGCCTTGCAACTCTGTCGATTGAAATTATCCGGCCAACCGTGGCGCTTGTAGATATCAAACACTTCCTATACCGACAGCAATCAGCAGATGCGGTGCACTTGAATAAAGGCCACAGGGTTTAGGGGAATAAAGTAGTCATGACTTACTTGAGCCTTGCTGCTTATAGGTCCCACGGTATCATCGCCACCATCCTCTTCATCGTGTTCTATCCATGGAAGACTAGGGGAGGGTGCGTCAATACTCGGTCTGCCGGCGTCGTCGATGAGAGTATTGACCTCGTCATCGGACAGATTGAAGTTATCTGCCTCGTCATCACCGCCCCCCGAATCGCTGTCTGAATCGTCCTCGTCATACTCGTACTCGTCGTCGGACTCCAGGATGGAAGCCTCGGCGTCCGATTGAGGCAGCGCCCTGTGCCACCACAGTGCCGAGAATGGGCTCTTGGAACTTGGCACGGGCAGCCATACCAGCTTGGCCCATCGCCGCCGCCAAAGATCAAAGAAGGCAGCGGCCGGCATGGTGGGGTACGCCATCCACTTGTCTTGCTTGGGGAGATCCTCGTATTCCGCGTATGGGATCATTAAATAGTCCTCGAGCATCGACCACTCAGTAATGCTATCTAACCACAGATCAGCATTGTAGTACGTGGGGCGCAACCAGAGATGATGCAGTCAGCTCACTCGTTTCCGTGTCAAGCAGCAGATCCGTGCCATCTCGACCCGCGTGGGCAGTGAGCCAAATACAATGTGGCGGCGTCGGCTGACGCTCTTCCATATCTTCGCCGTACACCCCACCGCTGGAGTAATCTATCGCCAGTGTGGTGGGCGAGAGCATCCACCGACGCCCAGCCTGGGATGGCTGACGCAGATAGGGTAAGTGGCGGAGCAGCTCGATTACATGGTCTGATCTACCCCGGGCGCGGAGTATCTCTGCGTTCACACCTGGCCAGCCGTCTGGTGGTGGTTCAAGGATCGCATCCGCGTCTATGTAGGGCGGCTTAGTGGCCGCCTGATAGAATTGGCGAACAGCCTGAGCCAGCGCTGTCGTGTGGGCATCGCGTGGCATGGTTAAAGTGATTGCAAGTCGTCGAAACCAGTACTGCGGTGCGAGTCTGCCTGAAGGAGAGATGGCGTAGTGCTTCACTTAGAGGAGTTGTCTTCCATCGGGCCATGCATTATATATATGGTTGGCGGCAGGTTTAATGCCTTCTGGTAGATTCTATGCCGCTGCGAGCAGTTGTTGAATTGTGTTTTCTTCAACGCGCTGGAAACGTAAGCCTGACTCTATGCCAGATTCGGCTCAGGTAAAGAATTCTATCGTTAATTGACTCAAAAGGATGTGTATTAAAAATGATACACTTTCCGCGTTGAAAGGGATAATGTAACGGTTGCCATACCAACATGAAATCATGTATGGGCGCAGGATTAGTCCGGAGTTGGCGACTGTGCCGCTTTACAACATGTCGGATGCAGGGGGCCATTTGCCATTCTTATATCCCACACACGAAAGCACTTGGAACGGCTTCTCATCTCGTGGGGCACGGAGGCGGCTAAAATACTAAAAAAACTTAGGTATTGCTTGTGCTCGCGCAGTCAACCACCCCTGAGAAAGTCGACGCGCGCCAAGATGGAACGTCTGCCGGACGAGATCTGGCTCGAGATCGTCGCCGGTCTCGGGGATTCGCATCACGCGCTCGCCGCGTTTGCCCGCGTCTGCCGCAAGGGATACGACCTGGCGAAGCCGCCGCTGTATGAGCGACTGCCGCCGCCGGGCGCCGGCTCGCGCATCTCGCAGTTTCTGGTCCGGACGCTGTGCGAGAATGAGACTATTGCGGATCTCGTCCGCCGCGGCGAGTTTGTAGAAGGTGTGAATTACGATTTCGAGGATTCTGAGGTCCTGCCCGTGGTCCAGGCTAGCGCCAGGCTCCCGGACGACTTTAAGAGCGCCCTCATCAACGGGGGGTTCGACTTGGGCGAGGGTGTATATCCCGATTGGCACGCTCTCTTCGTGGCGCTGCTCCCCAACCTAGAGGAGCTGGCGATCGAGGTACGGCAGATGCAATATTTCGCTCAATCAAGCACATAATTCTCTCCAAGTCAGGGCTCTGCTGACACATCCGTGACTGGCAGATCCCATATGATGCAGCGGCGCTCAAAAAGGCGTTGGGCGTGAACCGTCTCCCCAGACTCCGGAAACTGAGCGTTTTCCACGCTGACACCGAGGGGGCGGCTGACCTGTGGTACTTGATGCCCGAGCTGTTCCAGGTCGGCGCTACCACGCTCGAGACCTTTGAGGGGCATGCCAATGACTGGTCCCTTGAGCTCAGCGGTGACCCGGCCAAGCCGCCTAACAGCACTGTCGTACACGAGACGCTGAGGTACCTCACCCTGCAACTGTCACTCTTTGACGCGGCCGGTCTCGCGCGCCTGCTTACCTCCTGCCCGCGGCTCGTGTCCCTGCGCCTCCACTGGGGTGACGCCTGCATTAGCGACTCTTTCGAACTAGATCTACCGGGGACGGGACAGACGATTCGCGAGTACGCACCCGCCGAGCTCGAGGTGCTCCTGCTCAATCCCGTGGACCACGCAAATTACGACACAGTGACGGAGGGTGTCGGCTCGTTGCGAAGTTTGAAGCGGCTTCGCGAGCTGCACTTATCCCACGACGTACTGGCTGGCGTGGTCAATGGGGCCGCGGACGGCCCGGGTAGTCCTCTTCATAGAGACGCCCTGGTGCGGCTGCTACCAGCTTCCCTCGAGGAGCTGTACCTGGAGATCCGCCACTCGCCACCGCCACAGCGTGTACTAGCAGCGCAGGTCCGGCATTTAGTGCGGGATCCTGAACAGTTTCCGAACCTGTGGCGGGTTGAGCTGGGTGTTCTCGACCCTACGGGATTTGACATGCGTGGATGGACTAACTATGGATGGACGGCGACGGTTATTGATCTAAAAAAGGATGGGAATTGGGATGCGAATTGGCTCGAAATGCGCACAGCTAACCGCATCCGTCTGGAGAGGATACGAAACTGATTGAAAGCCAGGGCTGTGAAGTGTGATTTGATAAGTTGACGCGTACAGAGATAGAAAGCCAGTCGTTGAACAGCATGCCAGAAGATAGATGCTCTCCAAGGGGATTGCCTCTCGGCCGGATGACTAGACGATACCAGCCCAAGCCATCACTATTTTCTGCCCAATCTTTACAAGTTCCCTTGCGCATAGGTTGTCCACGCCATGTCCACCAACAGTACGACTATGGGCCAGAGAGCTCACGGCTACTATCTGTAGGTTCAGGGCACTGGACATCGCGAAAGGATGCAAGGGTCACCAACCTTATTTGCTCCAATATTTCTCGGGGTGATTGAAGCCGGCCGAATTGGGACAGAAGAGGATGATCCCATGGTCCAAGGCAGACATCATTCCCGGCAGTATTGGTTTGAAAGCTGTTACATGGACATATATGGACGAGTGCCCGAACGAAAAACGGGAGCCACTGTTGAGGGATTTTTCCCCGGGAAAGTGGGCAAGCTATGGATGACGAGTATAGAGCTTCGTTAGGGTAACTTTCACGTGAAAACCCAAACTACAGTCAGTATTCGCGGTGGCTATCATTTTTCAGTTTTCTTTAATTTTTCGCCTTTCGCATAACAATATGCCGAGGCTAACTATATGCTGTGTAGCCGTTGCTTGAAAATCTGACAGAGGTGCCCAAAGACGAAACTAGGGAGACATTTTTCATCACAGGAAATTGGGTAATATACATCGTTGAAAACTCCCAATACTTGTCACCTGAAATACCAAGTACGTCTAGGTCAGATTCTAGAATTCCATAAGAGCACAGTAGTACTTTGGGGTTGGAGCTGACCTTGAGTAGCGTAGGAGCAGTAGAGACGAACAACCTCATCACTACTCGGTGCTTCATGACGGGAAAATACTCCTGACATAGGCGTATCTACAGAGAAAGATCAGTCTGTTTCAAGCCGATATTTTTGCTTACCTAGTCCCTAACAATATTCCGAAGAAATCACGTATTCTTTCTGGTACTCTTGAAGGGAATGACATAAGTCCTACTTCCACTCCGTATGGCTACACTATCTCAGAAATATTCTTGATTGGCCAATATCACCGAGGTCCAGGCCAGATTCTTCTGCAGGATATATGATATGTTCGCATACCAGTGCGCTGAAAAAAAAAACTACACCTTACGAGTCAGTGTCCCGAACATGGACGTATAGTGTTTTTATTTTTCGGACATTGATAAGGAGTCTCAGTATTCAATATAACGCAAAATGATATGCCGTGGAAAGAGATGCAGCGATGGTTCCATAGCCGACACCATTTGTGGGGCTCAAGATGTCTTCCAAGCCATCATGACGTGCATAGTATCGTGCTTAACGACGCAGAACCAGTCCGTCGAATGAAGCGCGGCACGTGTGACACAGCCACATAGAGTCGGTCGTGTAATGCTGGCAGCCGGCTGCATATCGTCGGCACTAGAAGTGGACAAGCAACTCGTATACTCCAGGCAATCTGTGTTAGAACAGAGCGATGAAAGCCACTGGCCTATACCCCACAACTGGTAGACGTGCTGAACTGATTGTGGCGAGTGGTGCCCACTCATTAGTTGTCATGAAGGAGCCCTTCAAACAAGGAGAAATAGTTAGAACGATGATCATATTCTCTGCATTGGAACTTGTGGCTTCACCGCCACGAACATTACAAGATCCGCGGGTGTTTCATGGCGGCACTGAATCTGAAAAGTGCTTCGATCGAGCGCGGGGGCCGGAAAAGGGGCCGCAGGGAGGCTTGTTTGAAAGGTGCCAGGCTGCCGGCTGCTCGGTCCAGATTATAAGCATGCTCGTTTCCGAAGCATGATTGGCTTGGCTTCATGCACCGACGTCATAAATGTGGTCTCTTTGAAACCGTCTCGTTGAATGGTGGTGCTAGATAACGCGTCAGTAGGAGCCGCCTTTTTCCAAGTCACGATAGTTACTTTATGGCTCGAGGCATAGGCAAAGACTAGACCGTATGGATATCCGCCATTCATCTAGGCGATGATGCACAGGTTGTCCTCTTCAAGATTAGGGGACTATCACTTGGTGATTGCCCTACGGAAAGTCCAGTTTGGATATGACTGGCTTCTCGGGCAGCGTGTATACATACCTACTATTCTATCAAATAGACTTCGGAGCTGTTTCAGGTTATGCAGCGAATATAATCAAAGATATCGTAGGACTGAAAAAGCAAGTGATTACGAATGTGCACAATAAAATAGAAACCAGTGACAATTTAATGTGCCGTCAGCTGCTCGCGTATCACGATTAAAACCTTTTGCACCGCGGCTTGATCCTTGGGCGTACACCAAGATAGCCCCGGCGCTCTATCATCTCGTCAATCTGCATCTAGCGTTACACCAGACTTGATGCCATTTGACATTTTGTCTTTTACAAAGGTGCATCCCACGCGGAATTTTGGTTCAGCGTGATAAGACCTTGACGTCGTGTGGGCACGTAGTGGAGGGGACAGTCTAGATCGCAGATCAACGGTTTTCGCCCGAGGGCTCCACATTCCCCAATCTCAGGGTGGTGCTGATCCTTGGAATAATCGCCGGCTCGCATCGTGATTGGCCCACTACTGGAGGACCCTGAGCCTGGGCATATTCCCGAAAACAGGTTTTCTGCTTAGCCACAACACCATCCACAGGACTGTCGTCTCGCTTACGGGCGAACCCCCGCCGGACCCTGAGACGAGGGCTCGCGGGAGGCATGATATCATCCAGCACAACGTCATAGCTTGTGGCTGACATATGGTCGATAGCTCCGAGCTGTCGAACATATAAGTCTCTACGGACAGCGCACAATTAATCGTAAAGTTTACTCAGTATCAAACAACTATCTACCTCTTCTACACACGAACAATCAAAGTCAAAGTCACTCGACTTGTCAACAAAGCTTCTCACTTCACATATCAAAACAAAAACTCTCCCACACTATCACAATGTCGAACAACGGAGGTCTCCTCGGCGGTCTGCTCGGTGGTGTCGACAATGTCCTCACCGGAGGTGAACAGGCCAAGGGCCAGGGCGGTCTCCTCGGAGGCGTCACCGGTGCCGTCGGCAGCACGACACAGGGCCTCGGTAACGGCCTGAACGCCACCACACAAGGCCTCGGCAACGCCGTGGGCAGCACCACGCAAGGCCTGGGCAGCGCCGTCGGCCAGACCACGCAAGGTCTCGGACAAACGGTCGGCGGTGTCGGCCAGCAGGTTGGCGGCGCCGTTGGAGGTGCCACTGGAGGCCAAGGCCAGGACAAGGGCTTCAAGAGCTACGGCATCTAAAATACTCTCAACAATTATGAGGAATATCATTGGGAATATAATCAAGACACGAATTGTATGATTTACGCATATTGGGAAACGGGTCGGGTTACGGAGGAACACAGGCAACTGCATAGCACATTTCAAGAATTAAAGTCAAAATTCACCTGCACAAATGAACTTCTGGTATTCATGTGACGCTTGGTCTGATGATCGGCCCAAACAGCATACAAGTCAAAATTATTTATACTATCATATTTTGGTATGGCCATATGCATGGAAGTATAACGTTTCAAAGCATGCCACGGTCATCTGCCGACAGTCTGAAGCCAAGGCAAACCTAGTATCCACATAAATTACACTCTAGTCCCGTCAACTTCCTATTTAGAAGTCACGTTAATGCATACCTGGGGGTAGCGTATGGCCGGCATAAACATGATTGGCCCATAAGTCAAAGAACCATTTCGAGCTCTTAGCAAACATGACACTGGAGCTCTGCTTTTCTAGGCTTGCTGGGCTATATCGTCCGCTTGAGTATTTACTTGGCCCAACAAGATGCGATACAACCTATGCATTGTGAAAAGTCCACTGCGAACAATTAAACTACCAATTCGTGTGTTCTATAAAATAACCCAACCATAACCCCATCATTTGCCCACTCTACTTCAGGCTCACTTTTGCACCGCCTTCCGGAAGTGGCGCACTGAATAGAGCAAAGGGTCGCACCCGCCGGTCCGTACCAGGATACGATGCAGGCCCGAGATTGATCTGGTTGACTGTAAAATACAGATTGCCGTCTGCAGCTACTGACATTGTGTCGACCCAATTGATTCGAGGGTCTCTCACGAATGGCACGGTCGTCCCGTTCTTGGGATTGAACAGATTGACAGCGTTGGCCTCGTTGTTTCCGACGTAGATGTAGCCATCTGCGACGCAATTAGTCTTTTTCTTCCCTGAGGACAAACAGAAAATCAAACGCAATCATTTAATGTTCCGGGCGCCTCTGAAAATCCCATTCCATTAATTGTCAGCTAGGGGAATACTTACTGCTGTCTGTCTCGAAACCGTCACTTGCACCTTTCTCGCCGTGGCTAGTGACCCCCTGCTGAGCGAGGAGCTCGCTCGTGGCGTCTCGCGCGCGGAGCAGCGAGGTTGCGCAACTGTACAGGAAGCGCCCGCCCAGCGGACCCCAGTAGAGCCGCTCGCCATCAGCAGCCAGCGCAATGCCATCGGATCCGAGTGGAAACGAAGTGATTGGGTTGCCGCCGAGTGTGTAGTAGATGGGCTGTCCCCAGATGAAGGGGAGAAATTGGTACTCGGACCGGACTGGTTTTGCGAGGTCGAGGTGCCGCCAGCTCTCGCCGGAGCCGAGATCGACTATGATGATGCCATTACGACCCTCGGAGCTGCTGTCCGTAATGTATGCCACGCCCTCTCCGGATTCGGTCAGCTCGGGTCGTAGGTCGAAGCGAACATCATTCAGATAGGTGTCGGGAAATGCCACCGTCTGTGGAAAGACAATGGTCTTGATCACTTGGTTTGTGCTCAAATCTACCCCTACTAGCTTTGGCCCTCCATAAGACGAGAAGACGAGGGTACCATCTGGTGTCAAGACACGCCCGGTATCCAGGATCCAGAGACGATCCGCTGGATCAATAACGACTGACTGAACACCAATGAGGTAATCCTGGTAGTTCGCTCCAGCTAATGACTCCTTGTTAGACGTGACAGAGTTGCAAGCATGGGCGAGAAGTCTTCACTAACTAGGGGGTGTTGTGGTATAATTGATGGCTCCTCCAGGCGGGTGGTTCATTTCCAGGGATGGGTACGCCGTCTCCTCAGTAAGCGAGGTGAGCTCGCCCACTGTGAAGACATCGTTTGAGCCATTGTACACATTTGTTGGATCGAGGCCTGCCAGGATGTTGTCAAACAATGTTCAGACCGGGGCAATGTCAATAGTGCGTGAGCGTACCTCCCGGAAAATTAGAGAATTTCCTCCCTGTGCTTGATACTGCGATGCCTGTTGGCCATTGACCGTAGTAGGCATGTTGAATCTCCAGCGCTGGGCCGTATACGCCAGGATCGCTAATGAAAGTGATATCCTGCGCCCATGCGACAACGGCGAAAGCGCCAATGACTATTGCAGTTAGCTGCATGACAGGTGAGACTATAGACTTGTTTGTTGTTGCAAACCGTGATCAAAAATAGCCAAGACAAGTATGCATTCCAACAAGACAATTGATTAGCAGCCTGGCCATCTTATACATGGCCCACCAATCGCATTGTCGTCCGTTGGTTGGCCTTATCGTACCATCTACACTTTCGTCCCATGGCAATTGACATTTTTCATGACGTCTTCTATTGGTGTATACGGTCTGTGCGGTCACGTAGTTGTGTTGCAATGCTTTTGGTCCCCGCATTCGTCGGCCTCTTGGCTTTCGTTATTTTGAGTTCTACATCCCCGGATAGCCGCATTAGGGCCTAGCTCGGCCAGCACTCCCAGCGGATCTGCCCGCCCTCCCCGCAGTACACCAACAGCATACCGGATGCCAGTGGATGGACTCTGGAGTATGATGGACGTCCGTCGGTTGAATATGACCGAGTTTGAACCGTGACTGCAGCATTTCAAATTCTCGTGATTCCAGGGGTACAGTTAGCAACAAAATAGTCAAACTGGGAGTGCTATGTCTTGAATACTCCATTGATATTGACGCAGCTGTCTATCGTACTAGACGCGTCCCTGACTAGGCCAGATGCCCATCTTCTTCCAGAATGCTCTTCCATCTAGAACCCGGCCGAGGAGGGCAGTATCCCGGGGCAAGGCGCGCACGCCTTCTTCCTCCATCAATTCACCAACCCAAGTCTGTAGCTGCTTCTGCTTTGAAACTTCAGCCTCGTCAATCTGGCTTGTGCCTAATTCGGCTTCCCGGAGCAGTTTCGATGCCCAATCCTGTACCAAATCCCACCAGTCGTACGTGTGAAGATCGCACAAAAGCCAGCGCTTCGCAGGCGTGAAGGTGTGGTGTATCGCAAGAATGGCACGAGCGACATCTTCGCCGTGGATCAGATGCAGCGCGCCCTTGGCCTTGAGGTCAGGCTTGGTCTTGACGATCCTGTCCACCCAGTTGCGAGGCTGGCGAGCGCCTCCGTAGAGGCCGGCCAAGTCCAATACGGCGCCATTGGCGACTTGCATCAATTCATCCTCGGCAATGGCGCGGGCATTGGCCGTGTCGTAGGGTGAGTTGTCATCCTGCCAACCGGCGCCCTTCCAGATGCTCGTTGCGCCAAGCTGAACGTATTGAGGTCTGCTGCCCTGGTGTGTCTTCTCGTAAAAGCTTGTCAAGTGCTTGGACTGCCCTGTTCCCTTGAGAGGAAACGTGATGACTACCGTGACGGCAGACGGCAACCGCTTAAACTGCCCCTCCTCGTTGGAGTCGGGATCGTACCTGAATGGTATGGTGCCATTGCGTCCATCCGTCGTGGTAGCAGCGTAGGAAATCTTCTTCCTGTCCAGAAGAGGAAGGAGAAAATCGCCTGTCCAACCTGCACCGAGGACCAAGAGATCCACGTGATCCGGCGTTGGTCTCAGCATTGCTTCTTCTTTGTCTTCCATATGACGTCTTTGGTGATGTTTTTGTTGTTTTCGCCGGAGTTCAAGGTGTAATTGTGGAGATTCTCTGTGCGACAATTGAGTTTTGGTGGCCCCGCCCCGCCCCCCAGGAGTTGCTTCAGCGTTCCTAGGTGCGCTCTTCAGCGGAGCCATCCACTGTCGCCGCTTGGCCAAGTTGCGTCTCGGAGAGCTAAATCCCAGCGCGAAAAATATCCATTCCAGTCGTTGATCTGGCCGTTTTCCATCACAAACTATCGCGTTGCGTTGAGAATTGTATCTGATGAATACATTTAGCAATATCGCAGCAAAGTGTTAGGAACCTTGCCAAATATTGGCAGATAAAGCGTCCGGGTCCTTTTCAGGGCCTTTCAGTACTAACTCGGAATGTACTCTGTAGTACGCAGCGCCCGCTTCGGCGTCATTCAGCCACATCTTGCAGATCGGATATGTGCAATGATCTACCTGCATACAAGCACCCAATCCAATGCATTGAACTCAATTTGCGAAGTTGTTCCAAAAGGCCCAGTCAATGTCTTCGAAATTGAGATCGAATAGACCATCTGCCTCATCTTCAAGGGAGAAGCTCTGAGGGGCGTCAGTCGCTACCGGTTCTTCATGTCTGCCCATATCTTGTGCGGCAGCTACTTCTGTTGATGTCGCCATGAATCTGGCTAGACGGTCCTCGAGATCTCGAACAAATTCAGGCTTTGGAGCGTCTCGATCGACAGTCCCCTTGGTCTTGCAAGACTTCCATGCTGCCACTGTCAACTCGGCTGCGTGGAGTCTTCTGCGGTCTTCTACGAACTCGAGAAGAGATGTGTTGGTTGTATAAAGGTCCGATAGCACCGTCCATACACGTTGACACTTTTCTGCGTCGGTCTCGTTCGAGGCTTCGATCAGCACAATCATGACTAGAGATGGTAAGTTTCAATCGAGAAAGGGTATTAGACATGCTCACATGCAGGCCATGGAAAGCCATTCGTAGTCAACCAACGAAACGCTCGGATATTCTGATGCGAGTGAAACGCAATGGAATATTCGATACATTGCGCTGATAACGCCAAAAGTGCACCGCGATCCTCTTGATTAACATGGCCCCCAGTCAATAAAATTCTCTGCCGAAAGACGCAGATGAGGGCTCGGGATGCAATTTGTAATATCGTGTGCAGAGGTTTAATTGGATCGCAATACTGAAGAAATTTCTTGTTCAACCCATCTTCTAGATGATCAATGAAAGTTTCCTTGGTCCGGATGGGTATTGACTGGTTTGTCGACCACGACAGCTCAAATCGGCCCTTGTCTGCGTGGTATCGGCGCTGCTCGTACAAGACATAGTAGGTGAACAAGCAGTATGCCATGCTGGTCAGGCCGACTCTTTCTTTGGGAAATGTCTCGCTTCCCGGGGTAAAGTCCTCATCCTCAATGTTGAGAGGCAACTTTGCATCCCATTCAATCATGAGAGTCGAGGGAGTTACTCCTAGCCTTATTGCTAAGATCAAGTCGAGGTACTGCAGCTGCCACCAAAGGCGCCTGCGCTCTTCCGTCTCCGGTGGAGAGAGGCCCAGAAGGGTACCATCTCGATGGACACCCAGCTTTTCGCCGTTGCGGATGGCGAGTCCCATCAAAGTCCACAGACTTTGCGTACTGAGACAATCCAGGCTTACAAACTGCAAGGAATGTTAATACCGTGGACGGTTGTAGGAATCATCGATCAATATGAACTCGTACCAAATAGATTGCCAGGGCTTTGAGAGCAACCACATTTTTAATACTCAGCAGGTTCGTCTTGGCAATTGCCTTCTCGCACATTACAACGCACTCGGTGACGATGAAGGTGCGTGGTTGCCCAAACCTTTCCCTGCATTCGGCGTCGGTCAGGCTAATAATACTGGCCAAGTGAATAGAAGAAACAAGTGATTTCTCAGCATCATCCAGGAGTAGTGTTGAGCTTGTTGATGTCATGGCTAACTCGAGACGCTCCAGGTCCCAATTGAACATGATCTTGATAAAGGGATGCACTCTTTGTTTGTAGATAGCAAACACCATTTGCCCCTTTTCTCTCAAGCAATTCGGTATAGAAACTTGAGATGCTGAGTAGGCACCTAGGATGCTTTCGAAGGCTGCCGGAGCAGACTTGAGGAGGAGCGGGTGAGTCGCCGCGACAGTGCGATGTCCGCTTTCACGATGTCCATGAACAAACCATGCACGTCTAAAATTTCAGCACATCCGTGGCACCGAGTTCCTATATGATTTACTCACGACTCAAGATAGTATTGTTGCCCATCCTGTTCCACTATAACAGGATCTTTGCTGTTTTTATCGGCTGGAGTAGCCGCTTCTTGGCTCTGATGAGGTGAAATGGCAACATGCGCTCCAGGCGAGATGGCCGTACTATCTGACAAACGGCTAACAAATGGTCTGGCGACATGTTCGGGCTTTCTGATGCCGTTGGTAGCAGGGGGCTCAGCATAGCTGCAGTGATCTTGCTTTCTTCGCTTGCAATTTGAGCACGGCTCTTCCTTGTCGCAGCGAACTTTGCGCTTAGCACACGGCTCACACGCTTGATTGCGCATTGTTAACTCGTTCCTGGTAGGAGGGTCGTCGCTTGACCGAGGACAGTCTGTGTAAAGGCGAGGGAGTTATCTAACCTAGAGTCTCGGACGACACTGCTTGGACCAAAGCTCGGTAGTGGGGCCGAGTTCTGTCTCGGGCCCGAGCTCGGAGTGGATCTCGGGCATCTGGCGAGCCAATCAGACGGCAGAAGTAGAGACAGGCAGGGGTCGCAACATTGTTGATTTTCAAGATCATGATGACATCGAAAGACAATATCAGGTCTTGAAAACAGTTATTTAATTGTTCTTGGCCTTTGCTTCAAAATGATTCTTTGTATTTCTCCTGGTTCATCAAGAGCCGCGAATTGCCCCTTTGTCGAAGCAATCTTGCAACTTACACCAGCATTTGTACCACACGTAGTTACACCACGAGCTTGAGGATGCAGACTCAGTCCACTGCAATGGACGAGTCTCAGAAAACAAAGACGCCTGACGCCGACCCTGTTGAAAAGCAAGATAATGACCAGTATCCGTCTCGCAAAGTCGTCTTACCCGCGATGGCCGCAATCTGGCTGGCCTTCTTTCTTGTAGCTCTAGTAAGGATTCTTCCCTTCTTCACTTGACCAAATCAAGCCTAATAATGCTCTCTAGGATCGCACCATCATTGGAACGGCCATCCCGACCATATCGGCAGACTTCAATAGTTTTGGGGACATAGCCTGGTACGAATCAGGGTTTCTCTTGCCTCTATGCGTCCTCCAGCTACCTTTTGGTCTTGTATACAAGTACTATTCCACGAAATGGGTGCTCATCTCACTTGTCGCCATCTTTGAAATTGGGTCCCTCGTCTGCGCAACAGCCCCCAACTCAAACGCACTCATAGTTGGCCGTGTCATTACCGGTATTGGAGGTGCTGGCATTTCCGCTGGTGCCTTTCTCTTGATCACCTTTCTTGTACCTTTGGCATCTCGGCCAAAGTATATTGGTGCTCTCGGCTCCGTATTCGGCATAACGTCTGCCATTGGTCCTATACTCGGCGGTTATCTGACTTCCATCACCTGGCGCTGGTGCTTTTGGATCAATATCCCCGTCGGTGTTGTCTCCTTGATCCTGCTCATCCTGTTGACGCCCAAAACGCCACCTACGATGAAACGAGCAGATACTTGGCTTGGTAAGGTCCAGCAGCTGGACCCTTTGGGATTCATCTTGGTTGCTCCAGCAGTAATCTGTTTGCTTTTCGCTTTGGAATGGGGCGGCGTCAGATTTCCCTGGTCCAACGGGCATATTATTGCTCTGTTTGTTGTGTTTGGTGTTCTTTTCTCGGCGTTCATTGCCTCACAAGTATGGCTCAAAGAAAAGGCAACTGTCCCACCGCGAATTGCTCTGAATCGGAGTATCCTTTCGGGGTGTTTTGCCTACGTCGGAACCGGATCGGTGCTTGTCATATACGCATTTTACTTGCCGATCTGGTTTCAGGTTATCCAAGGCAAATCATCCCAGGACTCGGGTGTCTCTTTGCTGCCACTTCTGCTGGGAATCGTCTGTGCGGTTATAGGCAGTGGTATTCTTACCAGCATCATCGGTTACTATACTGCCTTGATGATCACTGGAAGCGCTCTTCTTATTGTTGGGTCAGCTCTGATTACAACGTGGGTACCTGATACGATGACGGGCATCTGGATTGGCTTTCAGGTAAGCAGATACAAATCGCTTCTCAGGATTACGATTGACTAGGAACACAGATCATTGTTGGCGTGGGCATAGGCATAGGACTGCAGCAACCAAATGTTGCAGCCCAGACCGTCATGCCCCCAAATGACATGTCCATTGCGTTGTCATTGCTTAATTTCGTTAATTTCCTGGGCTCAACCATCTTCATTACAGTCTCACAGACTCTCCTCGAGACAAAGCTCGTAGAGAAGTTAGGCGGCATCATTCCTAATCTCGATGCCTCGAGTCTCGCAAATGGAGGAGCAACCTCTTTACGTGACATGGTTTCCAGTGACTTGCTTCCAGTTGTGCTGGATATTTACAACGAGTCAATGAGGTCAATCTGGTACTTGGCTCTGGGCCTGTCATGCTTGGGTCTTTTGGCTTCACTTGCAATGCCATGGAACAGTGTGAAATCAAAGAAAAATGAAGACACATAAACCGGGAAGTCGTCAGAAAAGGAGGCAACCTAGATCAGCGTTCATTTTATCATGTGGATATGGAACCAAATTTGCATTCCATGCTTTGGAATAATGCAAGCCTGTTTAGCATCGCATCGAACTCGCTTGGTCCTCGAAAATGGGCTTCGGATTCGATATCTTCTTGAAAGGGGTGTGCTTTAGATTGGTCAGAATTTCATCAAACAGTACTAGGCTACCAGTTACGTAGGTGATGGTCGCATTTCAGAACTCAGTATGTAGACAATCAATAGCAATACAAGGTCGCTTATTGGCGGGCTGCGCAATTCGAACATTATTGTTTCCATCATGCTCTTCCACAATTTGGAAAAAGCCTCAGTTACGATAATGTCCACCATCTACAAGCTTGTCCAAGACTAATGTGATATATGAGTTGCTATGTGCCAAGACTGATACAATACAATGCATCTTACTTCATGTGGAGTGTTCGCGAGCCTCTCCATCTCCTCATAACTAGAGGCTATCTTCAAAGAACTTGAAACTAAAACCAGTGTTGCTCTCGTTACCAGGAACATTGGATCGATTGTATGTCGTAGCACTCCACCAGACGTAAGAACCCGTGAACCAAGCCCGGTTAGCCCAGCTATAATCGGTACCCTTTTCCACACCGTGAAAGGCAAAAGGTATGTGGTTGACTCCACTTGGGCTTTGGCTGATGTCTCCATCGGTGAGTGCAAATGTGTGATGCCCGGGGCCATCTATCCAGAGAGTTTCATCCCAGCCCGTCATCATTCTATCCTGATGCGATCCAAAGAGGCATCCGTTTGACTTGTACCAGTCCCACACATAGGTTGGATCACCGCCCTTGCGTAGGCGCAAGTCTGCAAGGCAATATTTGTTGTCCCAGCTTCCGTTGGCGGAGTACACGATGTGCAACTGGCCATTTGGATCGATTATAGCTTCAGGACCTTCGTTGACCGTGGGAGAATCTCCCAGCTCCCATGATTCTCGGGGCTGCGAAATGATGAAACGGCTGCCCGTTGGCTCAGTTGCATTATTCATGCGACAGATGTAAAGCGACTGCTCCCCGTTTACGGATCCTTCCCATCCGGACCAAACAAACCACCGTTGCCCTTCAAATGTAAATGCTGTGCCATCGATGGCCCACGCGTCGTCGGGCAAGGCCAGCTTCTGCTCTGCCGAGTATGTAGCCAGCGGTGAGTCGGCGCTTATCACATACATGCGATGATCTGCACTTGTTCCAGCTGAGAAGTAGATATACGTCCTTCCAGCGTCTGTGGTGATCTCTGGAGCCCAGACCTCTCCTCTGCCGGCACTGTCGGACCACACTTTCTGGGGACTGGTCGACCCAAGACCTTGGATTGAAGAGGCCTTCCGCACCCAAATAGATCCGTTAGAGGAGTCAGCAGAGTAATAGAGGTCTCCAATGTTCATGATCGTCGGATCCGCGCCGCTTCTGATTCTTGAACTCGTGCATAATGCGAGCAGCATCCAGAGTATGTTCATCAGGGCCATTCGTGTAGGGTAGTGAGCAAGAGAATAAGGCAACATTATTGCGAATAGACACTTGTTCGATCAAGGTTACAGAATGCAACTGCATTTCTGATAGTTTTTTTTTCTTTCTCCCTCGCGCTACGTAGCAATATCCGAAATTTTATATATGGAGCGTCAAATTCCATTGAGCCAATCGTATAGTTTTCATGGCAAATTTTAGACGATAAACGGTCAATATCCAATCTCCGCCACGTTCACTCACACTGCAAGGCCCACGAATACCCGCTGATGTGGCTCATATGATCCTTCGTCCCTCTTCTCCCTGTCGTGACGATAAGACCCAGGCTAGACGGTGGGTAAGCTGCAGCGCAAATAAGAGCGTCACTGGTCCTCTACTGGTTGCTAAAATATGGCCGAGGGTCGTGGCAGTCTCCAATAAGATCATCTGGCTGGAGTCGCTGGCTTGGCAGGGTTCTGGGGAATAGGATCAATCATAGTCGCCCACCATGAGGGGCTACCCACCGCTGCGCCGCTTAGTCGGCGAAAACGATGATCATCTTACGCCTCCGGGGCAATGGCATCGTCTCACCCGTGTGGTGATAATCAGTAATGTGCTTGCACAGTGTTTTTTCTTGACTGAGAACAAACCCTTACATTTTCGTTTTGACCATGGCTGCATTGGTCTATCTACAATTTCCAATACAAGGAATTTTCATGCGCATACCATGTCCAAAAATGGTGCGAATCGGAAAGTTGTAGCCGCATTCGTAAGTTCCTGGTCAATTTGGCGAACAAGCTATACCATAATGAGCCAGACCCTGCTAATGCGGTCAGATTAGTGACGAAATTCTACCTAGGATTAGCTTTTATCGTTTCTCCCCCACATATTTCAATAGTAGGTGACGACTGCGCAAGTGTTTATCATGTCAGCAGTCAGAGGTGACGATTTCGTTGCAATCAGAAGAATGATGTCAGGTTACAACAGTAGGGGGATCAAATAATTCTCTGTGGATAAAACAGGAAAGAAAGGAAAGATAGAGTACCTGTATATTGTTTTCACTACGCTTTCGATGTCATTATATGATTTCTGCACAATAAAAGAACACATCTCGCAAATACATGCGGGAATAAGATGAGCGCTTACACCCCTGTTTGTTCCAACCTGTATGCAGATACCTACCTAGTAGCTGGGTTGGCGGCGTATATATAAGTATTGATAATACTGCCTGAATGCCACATGTCGTTGTCTCGGTATATTACCTAGTAATACACCTCGCAAGTAGTCTTCTGCTCTTGAAAGTCGCAACCCTTATTACAGTTTCCTTGAGAACTACGATCCCATGATTAATATCGCCAAGTTGCAAACCATCATGTGGACTTACGGCTTTGTGCTACCTTAACTCTCCTAGTGCGCGAACTCCAAGTGCATCCATGACACCTTGACCAATTACGTGCATCCATCATTACCTCTAAGATCTACGTAGTACAATTTTCGGGCGCATGTGCAAAGATCCGCACTCATATCAGCCGGCTAGCGTGAGCGCATGCTTGCAATAATTGACCGCATCTTGATGTAAAATTGAACTCTAGCAAGACCTATTCAGTAGGTAGCTACCTAGTGAATCATTACATGTTGACCATGAAGTGCTTCAGCCTATGTGGATAGTTTCTGATATGAATTCTCTTGGCACATAGACAAGGTCTTCTGCGTCAATGGTGCTAAAGATGTATTTTATTCATCGCTCTCATCCCTTGATTATTCTCACTGGCTTTGCGCGACTTACACTAGATGTTAGCCGTCGTAGTATAACATGATCCCAAGCTGAATTATTGTACTCCATTGTTTCATTGGGGGTATACGTGATTTTAGCCGTTTACTGTTATATGCTGAAGAAACTGCGGGGCTGCATTTGCGCAAGCTAAACACGGTCGCCAAATAAAAGCCAAATACTAAGTCACAACATAATCAAGATCTATGTTTAGTAGCGACAGTAGCTCTGTTGGGGATGGAAAGTAAACGCTAGGCGGGCTGAAATGTGCTGGGACCACAGGCAGGAGGAAGGACCAGACAGGGCTTCTGCGAAAAGTCCAAAGACAACACGGAGCAATCATGACAAGAAATAGTGCGTTAAACACATAATTCATATCTATCGTCCCGACAGCAGTACCTCCATGGCGGTTCCGAATAATCAAGACGCGATTGGCTTGTGATGAGCGCGATGGTTCCGCAGATCACACAGACTCTAGGCCGTAAACCCCAGATTTGACAGAGGATTCGCTGTTACATCTCCAGGCTTGTATTGCCTCACGTCGTCATTATTAGCCTACGGAGATGCGCGCCCCGCAGAGGAGCAGAGCCATTGTCGACCACTGTATCATCTTGACTGGGATGACCGAGGCAAGTCCCCCTTCGATGGAACACGCGTAGAAGGTCTAGGAAAGGGCATGAAATTTGGGAAAAAACAAAAACAAGCTAGCTCGGGTGACCTAAAGCGGGATTGCGGATATGCCGATCATGACTCGCCCGCCCATTTGCCCACAGGGCTGGCACTGCAATTGAAGCGCATGGCTCCACGGCCCGAGATGTCGGACTAGACTCTAGCCTCAACGTTGGCGCGCACGCCGTCTGACGATTGCCTCACTGTCAATCAGAAGCTCCTGCAATTGCTGTGATACTACAGGCAGCGTAGGCTGGAATGGCGTTGTTCAGACAGCAATCCATGTAGGGAACAACCCATGAGTAGATCAGATGGAGAGACGCGGGAGGCTCATGGCGGGCCAGGCTGTCGAACCAGATAAAGTGGTTACAAGTAAATGTACTCGAGATGGCCCGCAACTTTGGTTGTTTCCTGTTTTCTTCTATTCTTGTAATTCGACAACTCGCTCAACCTGGGGATTGAAGTGCGAGAAACAAATTTACAGAACCTTGCAAGCATGGCGAAACTAGATGTGCCATCATGGCAACCAAATCTGTATGCTGCCGTAGCAGTAACACTGACCACGGCAACTGTGGCTATATCGTTGCGCTTTGCAGCTCGAAGAATGACGAAAGTGCCGCTATGGTGGGATGATTTCATGTGCGTCGGAGCATTCGTGAGTTACCCAAGTACGATTTCTTGCGCGGAAAAGGCGATCTAATTCAGATGATCAGATATTCGGCATCGGATGGAATGTCCTCCTACTCGTCTGTATGTGATTTCCGAGCGACAGACTCATGAAAGCAGACGGGACTGACAGTTCAGCAGGGGCACCCTATGGCTTTGGGAAGCATCTCGAAAACATTGATCTTACTCCCGAACAATCATTATTCAACTCGCTACTTTTCTGCTACCTCGCCGAGTTATTCTACGCAGCGTCCCTTGCCTTTTCGCAATATGCTGTCCTAGCATTTTACTGGCGCATGTTTCGCACGTCGAACATCAAGGTTCCGATCATCACCTTGGTCGCATCAATATCGATATGGCTTATCTTGAGAGTAAGTCTACGCTTGGAGCATTTGAGTCCTACATGGCAACTTGGCTGACATAATCCTAGACATTTCTTGCAGTCTTCCGTAAGTGACAATAAGGTTCATGCAAACTTCCCCACGAAATCTCCTCAGCCCCTGTCCCGTGTGCACAAGGTTTGCCAGATAAGCGACCGCTAATATCGCAATGGGTAAAAAATAGATTGCGTTCCAGTGCAAGCTTTCTGGGACAAGTCGATCCCCAACGCCACTTGCAATATCAACGACTCCAAGTTCTTCTTCGGGACCGTCTTGACCCATCTAGTGTTGGATCTTGCCATTCTCAGCCTCCCGGTTCTCCAAGTCCGTAAGCTGAGATTGCGCACTGCCCAGAAAGTTGGTGTGTGCGCAATGTTCATGTTTGGCATTTTGTAAGTTCTTGTCTTCTCTTACCTGGTTGATCTTGTCATGTACTCATATAAGCTAGGGTTTGCGTCGCTTCTGTCATTATTCTCGTGTACTCTCTCTCGTACAACACCAAATCAGCAGAAATATCGTTTAATGTGGCACCTATTATGTAAGTCACTGATTGAATCGATGGGTTGTGACTAGAATTAACAATCAAAAGGATATGGGGCACTGTTGAGGTGAATCTAGCCATTGTTTCAGGTACTATTCCCTTCCAGACCCCTATTTGGAATACCTTCTCACCGTCATGTACAGCTTGCCTCCCAATGCTCCGACCAATTTTCTTGAGAGCGTTCAATCGCATCTTCCCAAACGTATCACACGGCACGAGCGACAAACAACTTCACTCAAGCCGGGCGAACCAGTTGGCCAAGATCTCGGCCATGAGGACGAGAACCCGGCACGATGACTCCGAGTCCATGCAGGAGCTTGCAACATTCGATAACGACTCGAGCTCGGAACATGATGAAGAGCAAGGAATAGTCCACGGGGCAGGAGGACAGCGCGTGATCATCACAGGCAACGACAAGTCAGCCAGAGTAACGGAAGTCGACGTGAGCCCTGCCGTCAGTGGAGGTATTCTTGTCAGGAGCGAAACTCTTGTCGAGGTATCTCGGGCGAGATAGAGTGCCACCTGGAGCTTCGATATAGACGGATTTGTTTTGGAATTCTAATAGAAAGCAGCGCATGTTGTAATGAATAATCTTGAGATCAATAATCGCCTTGTATCCTAAAGCGCCGAATTATTACTCGACCAAAGGATTGGCATATCAGATGCAGAGCGTGATGCGATCTTGTGGCCGCGTATCGCAACATTATCCCAGTCGAGTGACGTGCAGCTGATGGTCCCATCAAATTTGCGACAGTCATTACCAGAGAATACGATGTAGCCGGAACCTGTTTCGACGGGGGCAGATCGACCCTCACCACCCATCTGTGGTATTTCCGTTGGCATACCACACCATTGTAACCAGAATTTGGGAGACCGAAAACTGTTCTTTTCAAAGGTTGCGAAGCGATCTTCGGGACGCGTATCAGTGGCGCCCAGGGCATCGATAACATCGCAATCCTTTTCCATTCCATTGTGCTCATCCAAGCTGGGTGCACCATCGCCACCGTGACCGCTTTCATCGGATTGAGCCTCTAGGTTGTCAACAATGGTCTGGAGACTCTTTCGGCTGGCAGCCAGAATCACCGACGCCTGCAACATACCTGGCAGAGAAAGTCTGCCAGCAATGCCCTGTCCGTTGCCTGTCAATCGAAACAATTCCAGGACCGGTGAATTGCCAGACGCTTGGACTTCTCCAGTAGTCAAGGTCTTTTCCCAGGCGACGCATTTGCACGTAAAGCTACCAAACGTCTTGCGGACGTCAAAGAAGCCACCCCTTTGAGACCTGCCGCCTCCTTTGCCGCTGTTGCGTCCAACCCTGTTGTGCATGTGCCGCGATGAAAACGCCGCATCTTCCCAGTCTTCCATGGCCGAATTCGGTTCGTAGGAGATGGAAATGATTGATCAGTGCTTTGCAGACGTCGAACTCGGATGTATCTTGTGCGCGTTCACTACCTGTGCGCCTAGCGTGTGGTCCTGAGTCCTGACGTCACAACCTTGGACGTGTACTCGCATCGATTTTGATTTGGACTGTCTACTGGCCGGACTCCAGTGCAACAATAATCATTGTACTGACTTTATATCAATTATTATGCTGTAGCTGGTTATACCCTTACAACTCTATGCGTTTTCAAGTAGAGACGGTGCCCGTGGCCGGGAACAAGACTTGGCTGTCGATGTCACTGTAAAAGAAACTAACTGGCGTTCACATGCATCGCCGTGGGGTGTGTACCATGGTAGCCATCCTACCATCAGACAGCTAGTCACTGGTTTAGGCTGAGAAACCCAGGCAGCTGGATCAACTATGCAAGTTTCCTGCAAATACAATAGGTTATATTGTATACATAGAGAAATAAACCATACCATGATCAGTCATTCACGACAGACCAAAGATTGTGCATCTCCGGCGACAACATTTAATGAGCTGACTCTGGGGATGCGGCACGTAGCGCGTCGCCCCTACAATCAACTAAACCCATTGTAGTTTAGAGGACTAGGCGGTAAGCCAATGGCTCCAATCGCCCCAGTGGCTTCTTCCCTACAGGGGATTTGTAGACGGGGGCACTGATCTGCATTAGCACTTCCCGGCTCAATCACGCCATATCGCAAATATTCACCATTAGCAGGGTCTGGATAATGCAAGATAGATAGATAAGTAAATCGTGCCATATGCCGGTTGCGTACTTGACTTGAACAAACATGCGTCTCCCTTCCCAATGAGTGCACTTCCCTCGTCGTCGTCATCGTCGTCGCATCGTGCAATCGGTTACACTCAACTATCCCAGATTGCAGATACCGACATGGCCAACCCCAAGCATCCCGACCCGACGACGGAGTTATTCTCCGAAGATGGTGGCCAGCGGGGCGATTTCCGGGCCATTGACCCCGAGAGCGGCGTCAAACGGGGCCTCAAAACGCGGCATCTCAGCATGATGGCGTTGGCTGGCATCATTGGTCCGGGTCTCTTGGTCGGTTCCGGAGGGGCACTGTCAAGTGGCGGACCGGCCTCGTTACTCATTGGCTTTGGTGTCATTGGCATTATCGCCTTTAGGTATAGTTGCTCCATGATCGAGACGCGTCCAGGGTATAATAACTGACATTTTGTTAGTATCATGCAGAGTCTGGGAGAGCTCACAACACTGTACCCAAGTGGCGGCGCTTTCACCAAATTGGCAGACCGGTTTGTCGACAAGGCATTTGGCGTTGCGGTGGGGTGGAACTACTTCATCATCTGGTTTGCTGTGCTTGCCAACGAGTATAATGCCGTCACCAGTGTTTTGGTCTTCTGGGGTCCTCAGGTCCCGGTCTGGGGGTATTTCCTAATTCTATGGTGTGCCTTTCTGGCCTTCCAATTGCTTGGCGTGGAAACCTTTGGTGAGGCCGAGTTTTGGCTGGCATTGATCAAACTTCTTGGTCTCACTGCGTATTTCTTGTTTGCCATCATGTAAGTGGTCACTGCATAATGCAAAAAATGGAATCATGGGCTAAATTTGAAGCTTTTAGCTATGTTTCCGGTGGGATCAAGGGCGCGGATGCCATTGGGTTCCGCTATTGGCACGATCCCGGTCCTTTCGTGGAAGGCTTCCGAGGTGTCGCGACAGTGTTTGTCTTTTGCTCCACATTCTATGCAGGTGTCGAGTCCGTCGCTGTCGCCGCCACGGAGACAAGGAACCCCAAGGTTGCCGTTCCGCTGGCCATTCGACAGACGTTTTGGCGCATTGTTTTCATCTACATGGGATCGGCCTTCTTTTTTGGCCTGACATGCCCTGCCAATGCCGACGATCTGACCAACGGAGCTAGCAGAGCCCTCAAGAGCCCAATGACTATCGCCATTCAAAACGCCGGATGGGAAGGTGGTGTTCATTTGATCAATGCCTTTATATTGGTCACTTGCGTTTCAGCAATCAACTCTTCCATCTACATATCATCACGGACCCTACTCTTCATGGCGCAGGATGGAAAGGCCCCGAAGATTCTCGGCAAGACTGATTCTCGAGGTGTTCCCATTCCAGCTATCGTCCTTGCAAATGCATGCGGTGCTCTCAGTCTCATGAATATCAGAACAGGCTCGGCTGAAGCGTACAATTACATCGTCAACTTGAGTGGCGTTTCAACATTTCTGGTTTGGGGATCAATCTCCTTTACGCATATACGATTCCGAGATGCTTGGAAAGTTCAGGGTAATCGCGAAGAGGATCTGCCATTCAGATCTTCTCTATATCCGTGGAATGCCTACTTTGGGTTGGGAGCTAATATGTTTCTGGCTCTAGTCCAGGGATGGACAACTCTCAGCCCTTTCGATGCAGGCAGCTTTGTTGATGCTTACATCTTGCTTCCCCTCTTTCCCATTATTTACTTTGGTTACAAACTTGTCTTCAAAACAAGATTTTGGCGAGCTGAAGAGATAGATCTGCAATATGGACAACGGCGCGATCTAGACGAGGTGAAGGAGTTGAGGACGGGTGAACTGGAAGGTCACCTTCCGTTCTGGAGGAGACTATTGAAGAGTTTCTGACAACTTTCCAAGATTCATCTGATAGTTCGCCAACTCCCTGTCAGATGCGGCTGGGCAGAGTCATTTACAGGCATTCCATTTCTGGACAAACTGAGTGCTAATATATGCCGTGCCACGCGTAAATTGAGGATGGCGCAGTCGAGGACTTCATTCGGCTACGGAACTGACTTCCATAGTGTTACAAGAACTCGGGAATCGTTGCCTCTGCCAATAGAACCGTAGGCAAAGGCCATCTGTAATCGCCATGCTAGAGGCCGCCAATCCAAGGCTTTGAAAGGTTCAAAACGCTGCTGTTCTAAATCGGGATTCCCAAGGAACTATTTTAGGCCATTCGGACCATTGTCCAGTTATAAAGCCCAGTCCTGATCCGCCAGGTGCGGTAGTGTGAAGTAATAAGGTTAAATGCGCATTTGCTCCGGGTCCGTCGCCAACCTTCCAAGGCGCATGTGATGGCACTGCTCGGGACCTATAGTGCCGGCAGGCCATCCGAGGCCATTTTGGGGGCCTTGTTTCTGACGATCTGACACTCTTGGGCAGTCTGAATTTTTGGTGTGAAGGCCTTGAATGCGTATTCAGCTATTAAAGGCACACATCCTCCATCTCAGGCAACATGTTCACAGATTGGGTACAACCTATTTGTCTACGCAGCAGACTCATACATCAATACACATTTCATACAACGCTCGTGTCTCCATCAGCACCCACGAACGACCTCCAAGATGCAATTTTCAGCTCTAGTTACCACCTGTCTCGTGGCGGCCATGTCCGTGGCAGCAGCTCCATACAACAATATAACTTGTACCCCTGGAACATACGCCTGTCAAAAGTGAGCAAAACAACCGCCTTTGCATCTTCTAACCTTTTTGGGAAATTAGGCTTACATGTACTAGCTCTATGGACGCACTGTCAAATGTTCGCGTTTGTAGTCTAGGAGGAGTATGGCTGGTAGCAGCAACGTGTGAACACGGATCGAAATGCTTCACCAATAATGCTGGGGGGTGCACTTGCCAACCAGCATAAAGGCAAGATGGAAATGGCTCGAATCTTGGGAAATTGTTAGACTTTGCAACGGCATTGTATTTCCGTGTTATAGATTTCAGATACAGGGTTGGGAGCATGGAGTCATCATTTAAATTAATAGAATACCCGGAGAACGCAAACTCGATGCCTTTCATTCACCCAGGAGTTGTTTTATTTACACGGAGTGTCCCCGTATATGCCGGATGAGACGGGGGTGTAAGGTGTTTGCCGTCATTGAATGCTCGATAGCTACCTACCTATGTAACTGCCACGCTCTTAGCTGTTATTGCGGTCAATTTAGTTTCTAATTATTGCCCAATTCATTAGAAACAATGATTATAATAAGTTGACTAACTACTGGTTACCTATCTAGGCAGAAGTTGGTCTAAAACTGCCGAATGATATTGTGCTTTGAGCACTTGAGCATTAGAACACATCCAAAACAAAGACAATCAAAATTTGCCACCATTTTTACCATCCCAAAAGCATGAGAAGGATTGTAATTCCACCGCAGGTAGCTATGTTAGCGACCATGGTAGTCCCGCTACTTGTCACGGTTGTAGATGTCGCGGCCCCAGTAGCATTGGTGCAAGACCCCGTGATGTTGGAAAGGTCCTGATACTGCGTGATAGCCATAGTTTGGGTGGTACAATTCGCAGCTGGAGCAAGATAGGCCGTCTGGGCATCAAAATCAAACACGGCTACCATTTTCGATCAGTCAATCAATTGGTAACGTCAGATGTCTAGCCTTGTATGAGAGACTTACCATACGCAGCTCTGAAGAATGGAACACCCAGAATCTGTTGCTGGCCGACCGGCCATGGCTGGATGCCCACTGCACACTGACCCTCGGCCGTAAAGATAAGGTTGTCGTATGAAATGGTTATTGGCTTATTTTTGAACGTGAAAGTCAGGCCTCCAGTCCAGTTTCGCATGGAGCAATCCACGATATAATAAGTGGTAGACTGATCTACAACAGTTTCTACGGCGTTCAAATCTTCGAGAACTTGGCTAGCCACAGTTTCCTCAAGCTGAATGAAGGTAGTTCCAGAGTCTAGTAGAACATTCGTGTCGTTGATCGTATAGGCTTTGGGGCTGTTGTTGGGAAGAGTGAGAGAAAGACTGTTGTAGTCGACCGTTAACCTGTCTCTAAATTTAGTAAAAGGCGCGGACATCCCAGGTAAATAGATCTTCCTACCTTGTTTTGTTGGAAATATCCTTGATGATGGGTATTTCTTCAAGGCTTCCAGAGAACTTCCCGGTGTCAATACCTCCAAAGGTAAGCGAACCTTTTCAACTTTTAGTACACTCGTTTTAGTCGTCAAGTTATGCACATACCTTCCGTTTCAGCAGAACTGCCCAAGTGAATTCCGTACAATCGTTTGTTAATGAAACCTTGTGTAAACATGGAATCAAGAACACGGGGGTAAGTCTGGTTGATGGCAAAGCCTGTAATAGGTGGAGAAATCCCCATGATTCCACTAACCATGCCTAGGGTTTCTGAAGCAACGCCAAATATTTGCGATGCCAGGTTGATTCCTGTTAAAAATTAGAAAATGGCTCATTGGTATCATCAAGGCGTTACGAGAAGTAAGTACCACTTATTGTGACTAGGTCACTATAATAGCCGACATAGGCTCCAACGGTATTGTCACCATAGCCCAGAGTGGTTGACACTGAAAGGTTTTGTGCCGTGCTGGATTGGGAAGGATCAAATTTGGGAATTTGGACACAAGTTTCATTTTGTCCCAGCTCGGTGGGAGCCGTGTTGCAGTCAGCATTGACCCAAAGTTGGTCGGAGCCTGTGTCTATCTCAACAAAGGTCTTCTGAGGGGGTGTGCCAATGTCGACTATAAAATGGTCAATGATTTGAAGCGTTCAGAAGAGTATTGCATCAACTAACTCTCAATACCATAACTCCAATCGTCGTTTATGGCCGATCCTGAAAACACCTTTGCATCTCTCTTTTGTGATGACAAGTTGATGCCTCGTACCACAGGCAGGTTGATAACACCATTGGTATGTCCGGTATTAGGCCGCAGAGAAAGTGATGCAACCGCGATCAAGTGGACGTTTACCCAAAATGACGTGAGTAAAAGTGAACGAGTCATGTTGGCTTCGAGTTTACCGCTCTGATTTGCAGAAAGTAATGGAGATAGAACTTGAGGATTTGTGACACTTGGATTTCAACTATGTCAGTGACCAAGAGTGAACGATTTCACATACTTATAGGAAGCATATTCCTGGAATGAATATGGGAAATTGGTATATCAAATTGATAAGACAGGGGGGCATCGGGCTGTTGAATCCTTCAGGCCGCGTTGAAAAGAAAAATCAAACACAAATAGTCGGAACACTTGCTGCGCCCTCGTATGGGCAATTATGCACTCGACTAGTATCTCCTTTATGCTAAATGTGCAAATTTGATAAGCAAATAGGTGGATATATCATGGCCCCCAATGCTTTTCCCTTACATCGTCCAGGGCTAAGCTTGAGCTAAAATGAAAGATCCATCGTATATGACTACCTACGAAAAAGAATAAATTCCTCTTCAGGGTCGCGATGGCTGATCATCTAAGCCAATCAGAAACTATGTCAGGGGGCACGTTATACCCGATTTGTATCTGCCATTCATGAACCGAGCGCCCTGTCGTGAGAGGGCTATGAGATACTATTATAGAATAGCGGAGAGTGATATTAGATACGTAGTAGGATTTTCCGCACTTGACACGGGGAAGTCAGCAAATGGGACGCTCCACCTTTCCTCCAAGCTCCACGGACTACAGAGTACTTTAATGTACTATTGGCTCGCTCGTATAGGCATAAGTGGGGCATGATCCTTCTGTGCTGATGCCTGTCCGTCATCAACGCCCATGGTGTTTTGCCTGAGGCGCGAATTGTCTTTTAAGAACGGACGAATTCACGAAATCGGTATCAGCAGTTCGGGCCCTCGTATGGGCACGTCACACTAGTCTTACCGATAGTCTTGAGTGCTTCCCGTCGCAACTTACGCCGGATTGGTTAAGGCACTTGGACCACAATGACGCGCGTGACTTCAGACCAGCGAAAGAGAGCGAGAACTTCCAAGGTCCGAACAGGATGTAGAACGTGCAAGTCAGTGTTATCCGAAACTGTTAATCTCAGTAGACTGAGCTAATCAGCTGGGCCTTGTAGAAGTAGGCATATCAGTCTCGCATATCTCTCCCTTGGGAAATTGCTGGATTGCTAATATCCCAGCAGTACGCAGAGTCAAATGCGATGAAACCAAACCAGCTTGTAACAAATGTATGCGGAATTCCACTCTCATGCTGCTGCTGCAACTTATTTCGCCCGTTCAACAGGTGTCTCGACTGGTCGGCATTGCGAAGGGTACCAAGCTGAAGCCCGAAGCAAAATGCCTCCGCAAGAGGCTGGAGACAGCGAGCGTGATACTACCCTAACAGTCTATCGACCTAGTGCCGTACCAAACCAGAATTCCATCGAGGCAAGGTGCTTCCAATATTTTGCCGAGAAAACCGTCGCGCAGCTCACATATTTTTTCCCGGATGACCTTTGGAATGTCACGGTTCTCCAAATAGCCCAATCAAACCCCAGCGTTCGGCATGCAATATCTTCTCTGTCTTGGTACCACGAACGATTCGTTCGCCCTACGACGGATCTGGGGGACAAGGCTTCGTTTGCTCTCGTGCAGTACAACCTGGCTATAAAACATGTCCTGGTCAACCAGGTGCCCTGCCAACCTGTGCACGTTGGTATCATTTCGTGCTTGCTATTCGTTTGCATCGAAGTTTGTTGCTCAACACGCCTTCGTCTCCACTCTAGGTTCCTGCTAACTGAGGGTCAGTCACTCAGAGGGAATCTGAATACTGCAATGCATTTATTCAAGTACGGCCGCTACATGATACAGGACGCGAGGCGGTCGATTATAGCAGGCACCTCAAACTGGGACACATTCGGCTCGGGCGAATTCTTACAGGCAGTGGAGGCCATCTTTCTCCCTCTGGGCATCCAAATATCTCTGGTACGTTATGAGTAACAGTGTGGTGGCCTTTTATTCTTTTAAATTCGTGGAGAGCTATACACAGCCCTTTGAGCTAATGAATGACATATCCCAGCTTGTAGGGGATGTAGATCCAGACTTTTCGCCCCAAAATTCCCAGGCTTCAGGCACGGCCAAGTATTTTTCAAAATCTCCATACTCAAACCTCCGTGAAGCACGAGACGATATTCTCCAAGCTACTCAAGAATACCTGGCTTTCGACAAGATCAACGGAGACGTGGACGGATATTTACATCGTCTAGGTCTATGGCGCGACAGGTTCCGAGAATACATCCAACGCGACGCCAGATCACTAGAGGACCAAACCAGCCAACGAAGTATTGCGTTACTTGATTTGCAAGCAATGTTTCTGGAGTATTCCGTGTCGTGTTTCTGGCCGTCTGACCCACTGAATCCAATGAGATGGGATAAATATAGCGATAACAAGATCGAGGAGATGATTGGCCTTGCCGCAACCGCCGTTGGTCTAGGTGTCTCTGGCGAAACCATGGATCATGGCTATTGTGTTGCAGAGCCTCGGTTTCAATTGGATCTGGGCGTGGTTCCGATTCTCTGGAATATCATTGATCGTTGTCGTACACCGCACTTGCGTAGGTACGCCCTTCGTATTCTGCAGTCCACAGCAGTGCAAGAAGGAGTTTGGAACGCTGCTTTGGTCTCAATCGTTGCCGAACGTGGCATTTTATTGGAGGAAGCTGGACTTGAGAGAGTAAAATCCAAAGAGGACATCCCAAAGGCACAGAGAGTTTGTTTTGTTCTCCTATATCTGGAACCAAACAACAACAAGGCAACAGCCTGTTATCATTTGAATGATCAAGAGATAAAGACAGTGATTTCTTGGTAGAGTTCCTACACAATCATGTAAATGTTCATGTTTTGGATGGACAAGTCTGAGTTCTGGGATCTCCGACGTAGCTGGAGTGACTAAACTTGTATATGGCCTAGATCAAGCAGCACATGGATATATCATGCGTTCAATATGTTACATGAGGCATTGCATGATGCATTCAGAGCCCTCCATGTCAATCGAAACAATTGCTTAGCTTACTTGATTGCATCCTGACACTTGTTAGCAGATCGCAGGCTGCTGCACGCGAGATTATCATGCACCAACTCGGCTTGCCAAAGATACTGGCCGGTTGAATGGACTGTATAGTATTATAAACTGCTCAATCTCACTCAATAGGATACGAGAAGAGCGAAATGAAACCTAGGAAAGAGCGCATAAAATGCATTATTTACATAAAGTGGGGATGCGCGCTAAGGACAGTGGCCTAAGCGACAGGCGGCTGGGGCATTCCTGACATCATCACCACGAACACCGCGAGGACGCAGAAACACCAGACTAGCAGGCCAAAATAACAACAAATGCGAATATCTAATCAATTGAACTGCCTTGAAGTGTACACGGTCGCAATTGAGGTCAACTTCTCAAGTGAGCGGCTCGGTAATGGCAGTTGACTTTGTCGACAATTCACCATGGCGAGCCCCGCGAAAAAGCGGAAGCTGAACAAGGACAACAAGCAATCGGCAATACCTTCCAGAGGCTTGGAGTACTTCTTTGCCAAGCAGAACAAGAATGGATATACTTCAAATGCAAACACCGACCAAGAGACAGCGGGTGCAACGGAGGGAGATCATGAGATGACGGACGAGGCACTGGCCATGAAGCTGCAGGCCGAGTGGGACGCGGAAGTCGCAGCGGAACGACGGAACGACCAAGCGCTGCAGCAGACGGAGAGCGCAAAGTCTCATGCGGATGCTGTTGCTACCGACAATACATGTGGCATTCAAGATACTGGGCAGATAGAAGTTCCAAAGAAATCTGCTTCACCAGTGTCACTTCCAGCCGAGCCAAAGGGCAAGAGCACGCTCTCGCTACAGTCCGTGGCTGCTTCAGTAGACACAGTATCGGAATCCATCCCGATGGACCAGAGCCCTCTGACATTTGATCCAAGTGCATTCGTGTCTCAGCTGAAAGAACACTGGGCTAGCGAGGATGGCAGTGCTTCATATGCACTACTGACACGGTGTAAGTTTTCAGAATATTTGAGGTTGCGGTTTGACATATTCCGTGGAAGATTGTTTCTGAGTCGCAAATATACCTAACTACCTCTTGGGGAACCAACTGGGTTCTCTAATGTATAGTCTTCTACGTCTAGCGGACACGACAAGAAGCTAACCCATGTTTCAATCCAGGTTTCGTCCTAGTGAGCAGCACCTCAAGTCGGATCAAGATCGTGGACACGTTGGTCAACTGCCTCCGCATCATCATTGAAGCTGATCCCGAGAGCCTGCTCCCCGCGGTGTGGTTGGCTACAAACTCCATTTCGCCGCCCTACATCTCCCTCGAATTGGGACTAGGAGGGTCGGCCATCTCAAAGGCGCTCAAGCAGGTGTGCGGGCTGGACAATCGCTCGCTCAAGGCCATTTACGACAAGTATGGCGATGCAGGCGATGTGGCGTTTGAGGCCAAGAAGAAGCAGAGCTTTACTCTCCGAAAGCCCAAGCCGCTTACCATCAAGGGCGTATACCAGGCTCTAGTAAAGATTGCAAGCAGCCAGGGCCAGGGCAGTGCCGAGACCAAGCAGCGGATCGTCGATCGACTGCTACATGATGCGCGGGGTGGTGAGGAGAGTCGCTTTATCGTACGGACTCTATGTCAACACTTAAGAATCGGCGCAGTAAAGACGACCATGCTCATCGCCCTGTCTCGAGCTTTTCTCTTGTCGCGCCCCCCAGGCGCAGACTTTGAGCTCAAGTCCACCGAGGAGCTGTCAAAATTGAAGAAGGAGGAACTCGCCGAGGTTTGGGGTCGAGCCGAAGAGATTGTCAAGGCATGCTTTGCACGAAGACCAAACTACAGCGACTTGATCCCAGTCATGCTCGAGATTGGCGTTTGCGATGAGCTTCTTTTGCGCTGCGGACTGACATTGCACATCCCGCTACGACCCATGCTGGGAAGCATCACAAGGGATTTGTCAGAGATGCTCACCAAACTTCAAGGCCGGGACTTTGCCTGTGAGTTCAAGTACGACGGTCAGAGAGCGCAAGTCCACTGCGATGAAAAAGGCAAAGTTTCCATCTTCTCACGGCATCTTGAAGTCATGACAGACAAATATCCAGACCTCGTGGATCTCGTTCCGAAAATCCGCGGCGAAGGTGTGAGCAGCTTCATCATGGAGGGCGAAGTGGTAGCCGTAGATCGGCAAACCGGTGAACTCAAAACCTTTCAAACATTAACGAATCGAGCGAGGAAAGACGTGGCTATTGGAAGCATCACTATAGACGTCTGCTTGTTTGCATTTGACTTGATGTACCTCAACGGGCAGCCTCTGTTAGACCGATCATTTCGTGAACGAAGAGACATGCTGAAATCTCTGTTTACCGAGATCCCCCACCACTTCACCTGGGTCAAGAATCTGGATGCCACGTCTCAAGACTCGGACGCTGTCCTCGACTTCTTTAAACAAGCAACCGACATCAAATGCGAGGGTATCATGGTCAAGATCCTGGACAATTTACATGACCTGCCCGCGCCCGCTCATGTTGACTCCAACCAGGATACAACGTCGGAGAACACACCCACGGCCAAGTCCAAAGGCAAAGCAAATTCCACAGCCTCGGAGAAGAAAACTCGGCGGAAGCCGCTACTTGCTACGTATGAGCCAGACAAACGCCTTGACTCATGGCTCAAGGTCAAAAAAGACTACAGCGCCTCCTTTGATACCCTAGATCTCGTTCCCATTGCTGGGTGGCATGGTCAAGGGCGGAAAGCCAAGTGGTGGTCTCCTATCTTGCTGGCATGTCGCAATGAGGAGACGGGCCAGCTTGAGGCTGTTTGCAAGTGCATAAGTGGGTTCACAGACGCATTTTACAAGGCCAACAAGGCGCACTATGACGATGGTTCAGGCGAACCAGATGCGGACGATAGGAATGAGCAAGATGATGAGCAGGTCGATGAGGAAGCCAACCGAGACGCTGAGGATGTGGAGAAAAGGTACAAGAACATCCGCAGGACGAAACCAAGCTTTGTAGAGTACAATGGGCACCCAGATGTGTGGTTCGAGCCACAAGAAGTGTGGGAGATGGCTTTCGCTGATATTACACTTTCGCCTACCTACACCGCGGCGATTGGACTGGTTAGTCAGGATAGAGGCTTGAGCATGCGTTTCCCTAGATTCTTAAAGAAGAGGGACGATAAAGGTATAGATGAAGCGAGTACTAGTGAGTTTCTTGCAGGGCTTTGGAGGAAGCAAGAAGCAAAAGCACCGCCTCCACCGATAAAAGAGGATGATGAGGACGAAGATGATGGCTAGATATCAGTCATAATATATTCATCCGGAAAGTTGAGTTATAGTAGATGGAACAAGTGCCGCATAATCTTTTCATGCGACGAGGGGCTGCTCTAGGCTTTCCAGGCACGGTAGACGATTCTGGCTCCATACTTCTCGCCCTTCTTCAGCAGGACCTGGCTCTTCCACTTGTCTTCATTGATAGCGTTCACAAAGCGACTGGGCTCAACGCAGAAACCGCTGCGGGCGCCTCTTGCTGGAGCTCCTTCAACGGCGGGTACATCAATGTATTTTCCAGTGTAGAATTGGAACGCGGGTTCCGTGCTGTGCACCTCCAGGTGGATTTTAGAGCTTGGGTGGCTGGCTGAAACCAATCTGGTCAATGGCTGGGAACGAGTATCCAAGGGAATAGACCCCGATGACGTCGAAGGGTCGACCACGAAGCAGTCGTCAATGTCTGGATCCACTGCGCCGAGCGTGAATGGCTTGTGAGTAGCGACGTGGGGATATGTTGTTGGATCGGCGGTTGGAATACCAGAGGCATCAACAGGGAGGTAGGATGGAGTGCAAAGCTGCACCTGCGTTCCCTCGATCGTCGGTCCGCCAGTCAGGTTAAAGTAGCTGCCAATGTCAGTATATAGATGTCTGGACTTTAGGGTCACAGGAGACCTACGAGTGGTTGGTGATGTTGACGACTGTTTCCTCAGCACCGCTCAGTAGTTCCGCCTCGTACTCAATTCCCAGCACCACAACCTCTATGCCGTCAATCTTTTGCGTGCCAGTTGTGTAGATGGCCTTGACCAAGACCTCGCCAGGAAACCCTTCATCGCCATCCTCACTCTTCAGGGAGAATTCTACACTCTCCCCGCCCTCCAGGCCGTCGATGCCGGGAATTTGTCTGATCCCAATCTTCTTTGGTCCCTCCCAGATCCTTTTGCCCCAGCCTTTGATACCGCCGTGTAAACTGTTGGGGCCATTGTTGGCGGCCAATGTGTAGCTTGAACCGTTCAGGGAGCTGATCTTGGCGTCCTTGATGCGGTTGGCGACGCGGCCAATGGTCTCGCCAAAGTAGGGACCGTTGTGCGACACGTAGAGATCTTGAGTCGGGAAGCCCTGTACGATATTGACTCCAGCCACATTAATGGATTGGATGACGGCGCCAAGAGGCAACAAGGAGATTTCGGGCTCGGTAGACATGGTGGGCGTAATGATGTCGTGTTTGCGGGCGAGCTTATACTGGCGTAGCTTGAGCTTGGAGAAGATGAGAAAGGTCGGATATTTGTTGTTGTTATTCCGGACTGCCAGCGGCGTGCTACAGCGAAGAAAGCGAGCGGATATTTAGAGAGAAAAGCAGAGAAGAGACTCCAAGAGCGGGAGAGAACAGAATTGCGGGAAATGCAACAATTGCAGAGATCAGGCTATTTACATGGTACTACAGCTCCAAGTTTCTCGAGTGGGACGCCTCCATTGTAATAGAGCTGTCACCCCACCAAGTGACGATCGAGGGGCTCGCAATGGCGGGGTATCCGGTGGGCAATTATGCGACAAGGTTGGATTTTGGGGGGCAAGACCTAGCCGCTGTACGGGATAGCTTGAGTTTTAACACGTGGGATTGGGGCGTCTATACGGACATCGCAAAGAATAAGTCCGTGAGTCTCTGGGTCAAATGCAAGACTACCTACCGATTGGCGGTCATATCTGTATATCCTTTCACGTTGTCAGTCCTCGCCTTCAATGATAGAACCCATGTCAGCTCGCTTCATTTGTTCATTATTATTATGCTATCTGCTGCAACTCGGCAATATCTTATGAGCTCACCCGAGGCTTTGGCAAAGGCAATATTGCAGACGCCGTGAAACCGGAGAGAAATGGCTGCCCGAGCTGGCTAACTTGGATCAAGCAGCAAAGGTTACACAATGATGCACAGTCGATCTTGAAGTGCACTTTTGAAGTTATACGAAAACAGCGATGTCGTTATGATCCTATCATGCAATTCGATTTCTTGTGAGAACCATCCACTCGCTTGGCTTGTGAGGATCGAATAGTTATTGGGAGGGCCATTAGCAGAATCCACGGTTATATACATTTAGGAATAGGAGGGAAGTTTTTGTGTGAACCCGGTCATTGTGCGCAAAGTTCTGGTTAGGACAAGGAAGCTAGGTTAATCACGCTTCAGATAGACTTCTAGCTTCAACGGCTTGCTCCGTACCGTATGTACCTACCTACGTGCAGTAATGCATGTAAGGAACGTGCTTCGTACAAGGGAGATGAAATAAAATCTCTAAATTGATGTAGACATGGTAGAGCAGATGAGCAACATTGAGGCCTAGACTAGTCGGGAGTGGTATGATCTCAGATATGTTTCACCAATTCATGACCTGGCTGGAGCTGCTCTGTTACCTGTTTCAACCCACCAACATTCAACCAGAGCAATTGTGCGCTGCAATGAATATTCGCACGGGACTATTTTCGGTTCCAAGGCAAGAGCCGCAGCCAACCAGATAGCTTACACAGGTAGGGAGCAACCACAACCTTAGGTACTAGGTACATTAAGGTAGGTATTAAGAGGTACCTGCCGAAGATTAATGCAGTGTACAGTTGCACCCTTTGAGCCCTCTTGGAAATTGAGCCAATCCTGACAGTTCCAAGTAAGCTTAGACAAGCTGCACACACACACAATTGATTATCGTACTGCAACTGCGGCCGGATGATTTCATTTACAACCTGGAACAGCATCGAAAACAGCACTGGTCATTGGGGTCTCGGAGAACAAAGCTTGGTCGCTCAATCACTCAGTTCTACAACTTTCCAGCCTATCTATCTTCTCAATATCGGTGGAATATCCCTCTGGATCTTGCGTCTAATTTACAGGCTTCACTTTACTTTATCACCCAGCAGGCTCATCAACAAGCGGTCATACATCAGTCAACCCAGAAGCTACGTCTCCTACCTACGTGGACCCTTATGCTTGGAGCCACCTCCACAATCATGTCTGGCGGCTCTTCATCACCAAATGCAACCCCGGCGAAAAGAAAAAGAGATGATGTCATTTTCGAACACATGTCTTCCAATATCTCGGCAGAGAAAGTTTTGACGGCACCTGTCTTTACCTTTGAACCTCCGTCCTTGTCACAAAACATAGTCGACGATGGCAGCAGCAGTCCTCGTACACGGGTTGCCAACAAGTTCCGTGACCTGTCGCTAGAGAGAAGTGGGGGCGGGGTTCGTGCCTCTCCGAGCCCAGATGGGATTGCCAGTGAGGAGCCGGCACTGGCAGCCGATGTACCACGCCAACATGCCATAGAGCACTCAGTGTTTGACTTCAACGCCGCCGTCGGTAAAGAGGCAGACGCCCAGGACATGCAACAGGATCAAGACGAGAGCAGCGCTATCCGCAAACGTCTAAAGCATTGCAATGCCAGCCAAGAATCGCCCCTCATGCTCAGCGGCGAGATCAGCGGCACGGCCACGGATCCTATGCAGTCGGAAGAGTCTGGCAAGGTCAAGCTGGACACGTCCGTAGACCCGAGCATGATAGGTATAGCACGATCGCTATCTATTGGTGGCTTGAAGAAATCCTATCCCTCCATCAATCGTCTTGCCGACTCGAAATCTCGTGGTCGCAAACGGGCAGGTACACCGCCGAGGCGCAAGGTATCAGACGTTGCAGAAGAAGCAGAGGCTGTCGTTGTGGACCCCGTCAGAGCTGCTCTTACATGGCACGAGGATGAAATCACTGTCTATGATTCCGAAGACAAGGACGACGACGGTACAGGTCTCAATGGAATTGGATTTAGGCCAACACCCGCCATTGCTTACCAGCGGGCACAAAAGAGGAAGAAACAGTTGTCCGAATACAAGAAGCGTGAGGAAAGTGAAGCCAGGGCCCTAAGGAATCAAAAGCGCAGAGAGTTGCTTGGAGAAGCCGAGGATAAGAGGCGTCAGTCAATAGTCCGCGTTCGATTCTCAGATGCGAACCCGGAAACACTGGAGACGAGTTGACATAACGAGTTGCATTGCGTTGCTTTTCATCACCACAACAACATACCCCATCAGCATTTAAAGACGACTTTGCGAAGGCACGATCGAGCCGATTAGACCGGAACGGCAGTATCTGGCAGATCACTACGGTCTGATCTGACCAGTTTTTATCTTGGAGGAATCATCCATCCCTCGGAGCTCTTTGGTGAAGAACTGTCACCCTCCATAGGACGACTGCGGGCAGTTCAAGGGCATCGCCATTTACTACAATGGCTGAAATATACAATAGATTTACAATATTGACCGTTCCCTCGTTGGAGTGGGATCACCAAAACTTGTACCAGCTCTTTTGCTCCGCCTGCTTGGCCTTCTCCCGAGCCTCTGCTCTCAACCGTGCAACCTCATCAGCCTTGGCCTTCTTCTCGGCCTGCTTCCTGTCCATGACTTCTACCACCCTAGCCATGGCCTTGCGCTCTTCTTCCCTTTGGTACCGGCATACCTCAAATTGTATTATGGATCCAGCCATAAAGGAAGCGGCCGCCCAGTTCGCTGCCTTGGGAATACGTGCTAGATATGGAGAGGCAGAATTAGCGATTTGATCCTTATCATGGATTGCCAGTTGGTTTCGCTGCACTAACCTCCCGTGAGATACCGTCCCATGCCCACGACAAAACCAGCGCCAATGCCCGTCATCCAACCTTGCCGTGCACAAGGGATCTGATGCACGTTGAGGAAATCATCCGATTTTATTGACTTGATTCCATCCGATATCGTCGGCCGCTGGTTGTGTTCCTGCTGCTGACCCTCTGAAGGGCCTCTCGAGACGGTCCCATCCCTGTCCTCGGGCTTCGAGCCGTGGAATATTTCGTAGACTTGGGGTTTGCCAACGTGATCTGGGGGTGCCGTAGCCCCCGGAGGAGGGCCCCGAGGCTGCGGTTGTGTTGTGTTCTCGTCCTGTGCCATTGATACCGATTTTCAGTGGTACGATATTGAAGCTCATGAAAATCCTCAGCGGCCGACAAGCAGATTTGGAGCTATGACGCCGCGATGCCGGGGCGGGACAGGACTGAAGCTGCAAGTGTGGGGTCATCTGCAATTGAAGTGCGCTAACAACGTGCTGCTGAGATCTGGGCGCGCTGACAGGGGTCCGCTGGGGGGCATTTGTCACTTTACGCGCTTTAGCAGGTCCTGGCCCGCGTCAAGGCGAGACGCGTCTTTGCAAAGTGGATTTCCCGATTGACCAACGATTTTTGTATTGATCATAATACCAACAAAGCCCTCCATTGACTGGCTTATGCTTTGCCCAAGTGTCTTTTCTCCTTCATTTCTGATGTATCTTCTCTAAAGTATTAGACTCTGTCAGAAGCGAGGAAAAAGATACTCCATCAGATGTCGCCAGCCTTCAGTCCTTGTATACTCAACCATTACCAATAGGCCCAGCAGGAATCTTAGACCTATTGAAGGACATCATACCTTTGAGGCAAGTAAGACAGCGACTTGCGGGCGCATAATCCTCGACGATGCCCAACACACATCTAAATCGCAAGCCTACCAAAGGCTACGCCGGTCGTGGCGGCAAAAAGGCCTTTCATGGCAGAAAAACACAAACTTTTGCCGCCACGTCGCGCGCAGAAGGCACATCAGCAGACGAGAAGGCTGAACGCGCCGCCCTCGCCCAAAGCATTGACGAGTCCATGGGCTTTGCCCGCTACGAGTCCGGCCGCAAGAAGGAGGGTTGGCTAGTCAATGTGCAACCCACGACCGTCGCACTCTCCGAATCCGACGGCGGACGAGCTGCGCTGGATTGCTACTTCATCGAAGAAGACGGGCAGACCTTCAAAGCGACTGTCGAGTACGAACCATACTTTCTAATCGCAGTGCGGAAAGGCCACGAAAGCGAGGTAGAGGAATGGGTGAAACGAGTGCCTGGTGGCGGCGTGGTCAAGGGCGTCAAGAGGATCGACAAGGAGGACTTGAGTATGCCCAACCATCTCTTGGGGTATCGAAGGACATTTCTAGAACTCCGCTTCCGAAATGTCAACGATTTGATGTCTGCAAGGAAGGATATAATGCCTGTGGCTGAGAAGAACCGGAAAGCCATGGGCACTGTAGATGTATATGCAGAGGTTGCCGCGTAAGTAAAACCTGGCGTCGAATGACCCGGACCGTACAATGGTGGAAAGATTACTGACTGAGGCATCAACAGAGAACAAGCGGGATTTGACCTCTTTGATGATTCACGAGACGACGATAAACGACATAATGCTTCTTTCGCCGATGCGAGCGACTACATTGTCGACATCAGGGAATTTGATGTTCCCTACCATGTAAGAGTAATGATAGATATGGGTATGCTACCAAGTCTGAATGGACCGAAATGGCACAAGTGCTGATATATCGCAGATATTAGAGCCGGAAAATGGTATTTCGTCGAGGCGAAACACGGCATCACAACAATAAAGCTGAACGAGGAACGTCTGGCACCCGCAGATCCAGTGGTCATGGCCTTTGATATCGAAACGACGAAACTTCCACTCAAGTTCCCCGACGCCGCGATTGACCAGATCATGATGATTTCGTACATGATCGATGGCCAGGGTTTTCTCATCACGAACCGGGAGATTGTGTCAGAGGACATTGCCGACTTCGAGTACACACCCAAACCAGAATACGCCGGTCCATTTATGATTTTCAACGAGCCAGATGAAAAGGCAGTCATAGAGCGTTTCTTCTTACACATCAAAGAGGCAAGGCCAACAGTCATTGCGACCTACAACGGAGACTTTTTCGATTGGCCATTCGTGGAAGCCCGTGCCAGTGTCAATGGTATCGACATGTACCGGGAAATCGGATGGAAAAAAGACAGTGAAGACATCTACAAGTGCACATATGGCGTACATATGGATTGTTTCGCTTGGGTCAACCGTGATTCCTACCTGCCGCAAGGAAGTCGCGGTCTGAAAGCAGTCACAGTAGCCAAGCTCGGCTACGACCCAGATGAGCTTGATCCCGAGTTGATGACTCCGTACGCCGCCGAGAGACCCCAGACGCTGGCCGAATACTCCGTCTCCGATGCTGTTGCGACCTATTACCTGTACATGAAGTATATCCACCCCTTCATCTTCTCCTTGTGTACAATCTTGCCTCTGGGAGGTGATGACGTGCTGCGCAAGGGAACCGGTACCTTGTGCGAGATGCTGCTCATGGTGCAAGCCTATCAGCAAGAAATTGTACTGCCGAATAAGCATGTTGCTCCCAAAGAGTCATTTTGGGATGGTCATCTTCTCGATGCGGAAACCTACGTGGGTGGACACGTCGAAAGTATTGAAGCCGGAGTCTTCCGTGCTGATATACCAGAGAACTTTGCCGTGGACACTGGCGCAGTAGATGAGCTTCTCCGGGATCTTGATGCTGCCCTCAAGTTCAGTATCACCGTTGAAGAGAAGAAGTCATTGGACGACGTTGTTAACTACGAGGAAGTCAAGGAGCAGATTGCCGCTCGTCTCAATCAATTAAAGGAAACACCCAACCGGAGTGAGAGGCCTCTCATATACCATTTGGACGTTGCTTCCATGTATCCGAACATCATGACGACGAACCGGTTACAGCCAGATTCCATGATCCAGGAGTCTGACTGTGCCGCCTGCGATTTTAACCGTCCAGGAAAGACCTGCGACAGAAGGATGCCGTGGGCTTGGAGGGGCGAGTATCTTCCTGCCAAGCGAGACGAATACAACATGATTCGGCATGCTCTGGAAAACGAAAAGTTTCCTGGCAAATACCCCAAGTCGCCAATGAGGACGTTTCAAGAGCTATCAGAAGATGAAAGAGCCGCTCTTGTGCGGAAACGTTTGCAGAATTTCAGTCAAAAGGTTTACCACAAGATTCGTGACCAAACTACAATCGTCCGCGAAGCCATCATCTGTCAGAGAGAAAATCCATTCTACATCAACACAGTCCGAGATTTCAGAGATCGTCGCTACGACTACAAGGGCAAAGCAAAGGTGTGGAAGGGTAAAACTGACAGCTTGAAGTCTGCTGGCGCGCCCTCATCAGAAGTTGACAATGCAAAGAAGATGATTGTCTTGTTTGACTCTTTGCAGCTTGCACACAAGGTCATTCTCAATTCCTTCTACGGATATGTCATGCGCAAGGGATCTCGGTGGTATTCCATGGAAATGGCTGGCGTGACCTGTCTGACGGGTGCCACCATTATTCAGCTGGCTAGACAACTTGTCGAGCGTCTCGGTCGGCCACTGGAACTGGACACTGACGGTATTTGGTGCATGTTGCCGGCCACATTTCCAGAGAACTTTGCCTTCAAGCTCAAGAACGGCAAGAAGCTGGTCATTTCCTACCCTTGTGTGATGTTGAATCATCTTGTTCACGACAAATTCACGAATCACCAGTACCAAACTTTGGTAGATCAAAAGACGTTCAAGTACGAAACACACAGTGACAACTCCATCTTCTTCGAGGTCGATGGCCCCTACAAGGCTATGGTTTTGCCAACATCCAAAGAGGAAGACAAGAACTTGAAGAAGCGTTATGCTGTCTTCAACGACGATGGAAGTCTGGCTGAACTCAAGGGCTTCGAGGTCAAGCGACGTGGTGAGCTGAAGCTCATCAAGATCTTCCAACAGCAAATTTTCAAATTCTTCCTCGAGGGTACCACACTGGCCGAATGTTACGCTGCAGTTGCCAAGGTTGCCAATCGGTGGTTGGATGTACTACACAGCAAAGGTTCCACCCTGGCCGATGAGGAACTAGTTGATCTCATTTGTGAGAATCGAAGCATGTCAAAGACCCTCGAAGAGTACGGCAACCAGAAGTCGACATCTATCACGACCGCCAAGCGTCTTGCCGAGTTCTTGGGTGAGCAGATGGTGAAAGACAAAGGTCTCAATTGCAAGTACATCATTTGTGCCAAACCAAGAAATGCACCCGTTACAGAGCGAGCTGTGCCGGTAGCCATCTTCTCTTCCGACACCGATATCAAGAGGCGGTATTTGACAAAATGGCTGAAGGAAGAGCCTACAGACATGGACCCCAGAGCTCTCCTTGACTGGGATTACTATCTTGAACGTCTTGGGTCTGTCATCCAGAAGCTGATCACAATTCCCGCCGCGCTACAGAAAGTCCGCAATCCTGTACCTCGTGTACCGCACCCGGACTGGCTACAACGGCGAATCAACATCAAAGACGACAAGATGAAGCAGAAAAAGATGACCGACATGTTTGCTAGCAAGGGGCCTTTGGAAGATATTACGAATATTTCTGGGTCCCGGCTGGACGATGTTGAGGATTTCGGAACCAAGCTTCTCAAGCCCAAAAGTACCACAGCGGTCATCAACTCGTCTCAAGTCGCACCAGCCGCGCAGAAGAGGAAGTCTCCTGAGCCTGAGAAGGATAATACCGATCCATTTGCAGCTCTACCCAAAGTGATGCCTAGCCCGTCCGAAGATTACCCAGCCTTTCTCGAGTACCAGAAGCAAAAGTGGAAAATCCAGAAAGCTGCTCGCATCAGACGCCGCCATCTGTTCGGTGAGCGCCGCGGCAATGTGGGAAGCAACATTCAACAGACATTCCGCAATCAGGCTGAAGTAACATTCAGAAGCACATGGCAGCTCCTGCAATTGAAGAACACTGACAATCCCGGTGTCGTCATGGCTTACGTCCTCATTGACGCCAAGATTCATATGCTCAAGATCAAGGTACCACGCACTGTCTTTCTCAACCTCAAAGGCAAGGATCTCCCCGAGATTGAAGTCGCTGGATGCGAAGCAGAGCAAGTCAATCATACGCTGCCCAACGGCCATTCTTCAACGCACTTGTTCAAGCTTACCGTGCCCGAAGAGATTTATTTTGCCGAAGCAGACAAGTTCTCATTACTGTTCAATCACCCCAGTGTTGAAGGCGTGTACGAGAAACAAGTCCCATTGAGCATTCGTGCCGTCTTACAACTTGGAAATTTGGCGACGATCGACGAAAGTCAAGCTGGTGTTTTGGGCAAGGGTTTGGAGCAAGGATTTGACCTGGGTAGCTTGAAGAGACCACTCAAGCCCAAGGCATATCTCGACACCAATCCGCTAGCCTACTTGTACATCTCGCACATCACCTCGGGTGAAAGACAGATCTTTGGACTCTTTTCATCCACTGGCGATCAGGCTCATATCGTCATCTTGCAGAAGAACAAGGATGCCGGCACTGATCTTCCGAATGTTGGAAGAATATACAATGAGTTGCTCACCAAACGTATGACGGACGGTCAAGGCACGAACTGGCAAGACTGCTTCAGCTACCAAAGCACGCTGAGCTTCAAGGTTACTCAAGTCACGACTCGCAGGAAAGCGCACCTTGAGATTGGAGATTTGATCAAGAAGATGAGGAAAGACGAGCTCCGACCACAGATGCTGGTTCTTCAGTCCTCGCAGCGGAGTCAACTAGTGCATGATGTCCCCGTGCTGGCAGATTTTCCTATTCTGCCACTCAAGTATGACCAGGCGGACAGTGCACTGCCGCCGCTGGGATGGCAGTCAGTTATTGCGAAGCGATTAGTGACTCATTATCTTAATCTTGGCTCCTGGATCCTCCACCTCACAGCTCTCGCCCGCTACGGCGACATTCCCCTCTGCAACTTGGAGCGCGATGACCCTCGCTTCCTCATCGATGTTGCTTATGCGCGTCGCCTCCAGACCAACAATGTTGTCTTGTGGTGGTCTCCCGCACCACGGCCCGATCATGCCGGTTATGAACAGGATGATGTGACGGGGCCACTCGACACTGTTGCCATGCCATCCGTCAACAACCCGGGAACTTATGCCTCGGTATGCATCGACTTGGATGTTCGCAATTTGGCCATCAACACCATCCTGACGTCTTCACTGATCAATGAGCTCGAGGGTGCCGATTCCATATCATTCAATCCTGCAGCAGACTCCAGTGGTGGTGACGGTTCAGAGACACTGTACTCTGAGAACGCCTTTGCAAACGCTGGCGTCCTCGTGTTGCGTGAGATGGTCAAGTCATGGTGGGCAGAAGCCTGCAAAGGAAGTCCAATGGCCGATATCCTGGTGCAACATCTGGTTCGATGGGTAGAATCGCCCGACAGTTTCATGTACGATCGAGCCTTGCATTACTACGTACAGATGATGTCACGCAAGGCACTCCTTCAACTCATGGCCGACTTCCGGCGTGTTGGTTCACAAGTCGTATTTGCCAACTCCAACCGCCTTTTGCTGCAGACTACCAAAAGCGAGGTCGGTAACGCTTATGCCTACAGCCAGTACATCCTCAAGAGCATCAAGGGGAAACCCCTTTTCCACTTCATCGATCTTACGGTCAAGGAATACTGGGATTACCTCGTTTGGTACGATGAGTTCAACTATGGCGGAAAGGCGTGCCAGGAGGTTGTTGAGGCTGAAACTCAAGCCCTCGAGGTTGTCATGAATTGGCAACTCAAGATGTTCTTGCCTATTCGTCTTCAAGACACTTTCCAAAAATGGGTCGTCGAGTTCATTGAGACCATGCATGCACTGAAGCGAGGGCCTTCCAATCCCGACTCCACACCTCGTTCAACACAGCTGCCATTCAAGAGTCTTACTCAAGTAGATGTTGATGACGAAGGCCGAGCACCCATCATTCTTACCGGCGCTTTTGAAAAGCCACTGAAGAAGGAGATCAAGAGCCTTTTGGCGACCCAAGGACGCGAGCTGTTACATGCAGAGCTCGCATCCGACTGGTCTTTCCCCTCTCTCCCTGGCAGTCAGGATCTCATTACGACTTCTACAAGTGCAAAGAACAAGAAAACAACTGCCCTCCCTACAAAGAATGCAGTCTTGGAACTAGTCAAGTCTCTAATGCAAGTCCTCTCACTCGACAAGAATATCACGAACGAAGCACGACTTCTGCGCAAGGAGCTTCTGACACTGTTTGATGTTCGCGAGTTCTCCAAAGAAGCCGCCTTCAACAATCCCAGTGCCAGCCTCAAAGTTCCCCAGTGGAGCTGCCCTGAATGCACCCTTGCTCGAGACTGGGACCTGTGTCGCGATGAGGTTCTGCTTCCAGATATGGAAGCAATCATGAGCGCTTTGCCAGCAGATGCCACTACTGAGCAAATTCAAGCGGAATTGAAGAGAGCAGCCACGAGCAAGCCATGGACTTGCGAATACTGTGATGCCGAGTTTGACAGACTGCGTATCGAAGAGAGACTGATGGGTGATGTCGAGAGATTTGTGATTGAGTGGTCCACTCAGGACATCAAGTGTGCCAGATGTGGTGGTGTAAAGTTGAATGAGTTTGCCGAGCATTGTACATGCTCGGGACCTTGGACAGAGAGTGTCAAGCGTGATGAACTGGTCAAGAAGCTGGGAGTGTACAAAGGCGTTGCCGAGTGGTATGGATTGAGGATGCTGGGAGAGGCTGTTGGGGAGATTTGGGGTTGCCTGTAAATAGTTTGATAGCCGGACTTTTGTCTTGCTTATTGGCATTGGTCGGCGTCTGGTATCTTAATCAGGTCGTACTTGGCCTTGAATATGAGCATCATTTCCTCGCGATGTACATTCCATACCCCCCATGTCATTATGCGAGGAAGCTTGGTAAAAGTGCCCAAGATTCTCAGGCTTTCAGGACAGGTTTTTTGCGACTCAAGGCAGAAAAGCATTACGCTCAAGGCTTCACAATGCTCCTGGAAATCATGTTTAGCATAACTCGCATATAACAAAAAATCATCCCATGACGCGACTTGCTGAATATTTATAGCGTGTGTTACAAGTATGAAAAAACTTGCTCCAGCTAGTCGGACTATTACTTTACAGCTCGGGATGGTGTCTGTCCTAGCAGCAGAGTTTCATGTTGACTGTTACGCGATATATTGTAAGCATGTGATTGTCATGACCAGTGATAGAGCCCGGATAGTTGGTATATTTGATATGGAAAGCAGAAGCCTGACTATTCCATAATGATATGGAGTGCAATTACTTTTTATCTTAACTCCTTCGTAATAGCAGCCAAGCGTAGCTGATGATTAGACGAACGCAACTCCAAAATTGGTGATCCAGTCAACGCGGTATATCCCTGCAAAGGCCTGACACATATGGTATTCGTGAAATTTCAAGATTGTCTGGTTAGATGCCCGTTTTTGCAGCCTGTGACTGGAGATGTTTTAGGTGAGAATGTTCAAGGTCAATCAATATCGCTGAAAAGGACCGCTCAATAGTCCCGCGTGCTTTGGGCACAGGATGGCATTTCTGATGTGAATAGTATTTTGAGTGTGGATCGTATCGGACTTTGGGTGTTTCTGTACCATAAAGGGATTTCTGCACAGAGCCTGGCCCAAAAGAATTAGATCATGTCATTATTCAACCAGTCGCCATCAATGTGCACATTTAGATGATTTCCGACATACCTTGAACCTGGACGCTGTGATTGCCACTTGCCGGCTCGCCTAGGCCAATGGGAAAAATGCCAAAAGGACTACGTGTGCCGCTTTCTTTAGTGTCGTTGGAGACAGGTGCTGTTAACCGCAATAAGTTCATCGGTTGTGGATCCTCCAAGATACCTTCACTATTCTCCAGTTTCATTGTGGATGCAATTGTGAGAAGATCACGTAAAGAGTGTTGGCGAGATCCCCTTTCAGGCAAAGGCCATAGCCCTTTCTCGACAAGTGATGTCATCAAAGATCCAAGCATGACTAAATGACAATGCCTCTGCGTACGGTAGCATTTGTTCTGAATGCCTTGCGAAGGAATTACTTGGGACGATCTTGGCACAAAATCATCCACGGCATCTTGAAATACATCATAGATGTCAGCAACGGCTTTATCGCTCGCTGCTTGTGCTTTCTCTAGTATCATATTAACATGGGAACAAGGTGCAGTGGGGCCGGAAGGGGCGAGTACCTATGAGGCCAGGAGGTTGAGGGCCGTCGAATTCCCAATGTTTCAAATTAAATACCATCTCTTTCAGGGTGTTTTCCACCAGACATTGATCACCGAGCTCCCAAGCAATCCAAAGCTGTTTATGGAGAACCCATGGATAATCCGTCTTACGAACCAGCGTCCAACCGGAGGCATACTGATCACGCAGAGGCTGGAGCCACGACTTTGCCCATGGCCGGAGTACCTTTGCCAGATCGTACTTGTCGCTCAAGACAGTTAGCTCGTACAATCTCGGTATAGAGTCTCGCGATTTTAGGGACTCTAGGCTCTCAAATCGGCTGTGGATGATGTTGAGTATGGTAGTCATGGGCTCTACCTTATCATCTGGAAGCTCAACGATCCACTCGGCTTGACCTGGGTTGCTTGAACCGCGTGACTCCCCCCAAGGCCCGTACAACATTGATTTCCAGATTGTTGACGCCCTAGAAAGCGTCTTTGATTCGCATACGAATACAGTAGCCGTCCGATGTCCATGGCCATCATCGGAGCCGATACATTCCGTGGTTCCGACGCGAAGGTGCAAGTCTCCATCAGGGTCTACCACGACTTTCGCGTCCGTTGTGGGCAGACCTGGACATGGCTTTGTGATAGAGCACCGACGGATGCGACGAGGCATGGCTTGATATGCAGCCCAAACAGCATACGAGGCTGAGTGCTATCATTCCCAGCTAAGTGGTTATCTCGACTGGTGAGTTTTGTTCACCAATTTGTGCCAAGGTCACGTGATTTGGCTGAACAAATTTTGATGGGCGGGGCGGCCGAAATCGTTCCATTGTACAGAGTATTTTGGTTTGCCCGAATCTCGCGAGTTGCACAAATGAAGCATGGACTTTGTTCCTACTTCCCGTAGAAATCCTCTGAGTAGGTGCTAGGTAACCCATTATTATGAATCTTTTGTACAAAGCTCTAGGCTACTACTCGGTAGGCTAATCACTGCACCTAGAATGATTCGCTCGCTGTGATATACGCCGGGGCATGCTGAAGCCATTATAGCGCTGCCAGGTTGCCATGCTCGCAGTCCAGGACCCCTAAAATGCGGAGAACACATCTCTTCATAGCAGATGGATGAATGACAGAGGCAGCCAAGCAGCTAGTCCACAGGTACCTATAGTATTTTTCATCTTCATACCTGCTTATTCTAGGAATCATAGTTTCGTGCCTTGCTGGCAGGGCAAATGGAATCCAAACTGCATCAAAGCTTACTGACTTTGCATGCTAGTCGTGTGTTACTCCGAGGCTAGGCGTGGCTGGTCCGAAACGGTACGATCAACACCACTGATCAACAACACAAACCCACAGTTTCCCCGCTCGCTGTACGAAACTTCTACTTTGGGTCCTGGCTTGGCGTTCTTTCAAAACCTAGAAGACTTAATCCCAGTAGTCTTTTACGCGATGACTGCAAACGAGAACTCGTTACAGTCAGCTCGACTTTGCAGTTGATGACACTCTCTTGTGATTGCGTAAATCATTACCCAATAATCACCATTTAGCAAGAGACTATCATTTATTCACAAACAAGAACGGAGTAATCAACGGTCTTATTCAATCTATCTGGCAATATGACATCACAAAAGTATGATGATCCCGCCCTGTGCTTCATTGCCTCGGTAATCTTACTCAGCTTCTCGGGGCATCTTGTACTGTTTACGTTCAAGATGAACTTGATGATAAGGCATGTTATGCAATATATTGCTGCGATGTAACCTGGCTGCATAATCAAGCGGGTGATGAAGTAGAAGAAGCCAATCATATCCTTCTTCGTGTTGGCTATGCCTGCAGTGACCGTCTACGTTTGTCACACCCGTTCCTTGTAGCCTTGTTGCATACCGGGTCATACTGGGTCAGAATACTTATATATTGACTTTGACTGATTGCGGACTGTTTTACACGCGACGAAATATTGGCCTTTCCAGACTTCTACAAGCTTCGTTCAAACTTGTCAACAAAATTCAATCAAAGCAATGGCGACTCCCGGGCTTCGGAAGGTTGCTGAACTTGATGCCATTCAGGTTGATGATTTTGCCGACGAGTCGGAACGATACGCTGCGAAAGAGGCTGCACTTCGGCTTCTCAGGCGCGTTGAAACGCCGATTGAGCAGGTCTGGTCCCTCACCTTGGATGCACCCGGGGTCATCGCCTCTCTAGAAGTTTGTTTGAACTTGGGAATTTGGACAAAATGGCGAGAGTCAATCGATGGAACCAAGGATTCGGCCCGGAGCATCGATGATATCGTCAGAATGTGCACCGAGAGCGTTGAACCAAATCTACTCCGTGAGGAATATCTACTACAATGCCCGAAACAATGCTAACTCTCTTATAGGTCGACTCTTGCGCGCCATTGCTTCTTCGAGACTGTTAGAGGAGGTAGGCGTGGATACTTGGAAGCCGACACCGCTCACAGTGGCACTTGGCAACAAAGACACTCATCTTGGTGGAATGGTCGAATGGGGGTATGTTGATTTACTAATGACTGATTATTCTTACATATTGCTTACCTCTTCTTAGGTCACACTTTAGCCTCGTCGCAGGTGCCAACCTGCCCGGGTTCCTAAAGAGACACGGATATCAAGATCCACGTGATGCCGATAAATTCGACAACAATACCGATCTCTTTGGCAAAAACTTTTTTAGCCTTTGCAGCTCTGATCCCATCAAGAATCGAGTCTTCATGGAGATGATGACTTCATGGCAAGTGCAAAAGGTGGACTGGACACAAGTCTACGATACCAAAAGGATTGTTGACGGCGCCAACCTTTCTCAACCCCTTTTCGTGGACGTGGGCGGGATGCATGGTATCGACGCCGCCAGGCTGCTGGCTCGTCATCCCGATCTTCCAGAACACACACTCTTTCTACAAGATTTACCACATGTCGTTGCGTCAGAAGCACACCCGATAGACAAGCGCATTACAAAGGTGGCACACGACTTCTTCGAGCCGCAGCCGATAGTGGACGCCAGAGCGTACTTTCTTCACGCCGTGTCGCATGACTGGTCAGACACTGACTGTCTGCGAATCTTCAAGAACATTACACCCGCGATGAAGAGGGGATACTCCAAGTTGTTGATATACGAGGTTGTCCTGCCTCCAACGGGGGCCAATTCGATTCAAAGTGGCCTGGATCTGACCCTCATGATTGTACTTTCCAGTTTTGAGCGTACAGAGCAAGATTGGTACGGGCTACTAGAAAAGGCTGGTTTGCGAATTGTGAGTATTTCTCGACGGCCCGGTGCGGTTGAGAGCGTCATTGAGGCAGAGTTGGCTTGAGCTGGACATCATATCTCACGCCTGAAGTCGAAATCGATATCAATATGACCGTGAACCACAAGGGAAAGCTATCTACAATCGCCGTTCAAGGTGGATCTACGGCGGTTTTGAGAGTTTTGTGGGAGGTTGCCTTTGGCGAAATGCTTGCGAGCTTTTTCATACGTCTTATTAGTAAAAGCACATACCGTCTCGCTCATATTGAGCAAGTGAGTTTAATTCAGAAGTCCTTATCTCGATCATTACAATTTCCCAATCCATGGTCATGAAAGATTTAATCTCTAGCTGCATGTCATATCTCTCCAAATCATCGGTGCAGATGATATCTCAGACCGCCACTGGCCCGGGCTGCTGTAGTACCCGTATCATTACCCGGCGTTTTTATCCCACGCACGCAGTCTACTCAGCCTTTCAACGAATATAACGGTAATGTTGCATTAAATTCCGGGAAGAAGTGCGATTCGCTGAGAATAAATGACGCGGAGATCGTACATGAATTACGGCGGCTACAATATTATATACGGCTCTAGCCATTATCACGGCCCATTGATTGACAAAGATGCCTACATATGATAGTAGTCCCAGATGACTATTTTATATCTTTGGGAGACATAAAGCTACTCGTCTCCATTCTTCTTGCTCTGATAGATTTTGAAAGATCCAAAGTCGAGGCCCAAACCGATACAACTACCATGCATTTACCACTGCTCACATTCACCACACTGGTGCCAGTAGTGTTGGGGCAGGCGAGAGGAGATGGCAATTTTCTACGTTTCGGATGTTCTCAACTTGTTGTCGAGCGTATTGACCCCCTCGTCGCTCCAGGCTTGAACCCATCACCACACACCCATCAAGTCGTTGGTGGAAACAGCTTCAACGCTACAGTAAGAATCTGCTCGTCTTACTAGATGCGCAATCGCTAATATTGGATTCAGATGGACCCGAGCACTATTGATCCACCCGCACAGTCGACATGTACGTCGTGCATCTATACAGCGGACAAAAGCAACTATTGGACAGCCTCCATCTACTTCCAATCCCCCGAGAACGGTACCTTCAAGCGTGTTCCACAAATGGCCAACGGCCGCCTCAATCGAACGCTGTTGGAGCAAGACGGCGGTATTACCGTGTACTATATGCGGCCGTTCAGTGGGACAAACAAGAACACGACAGTCTTCCCTCCAGTATGTACCCATTGTCGCTGAAGAAAAGAGGTTGATCTGACATGACGGCACACACTCAGGGATTTCGAATGTTGGCTGGCGATCCTACCCTGCGTAACCGAACGGACAGCTTTGCCAACATCTGCCACCGTTGCCTGGCAGCCAGCGACCGTCTCATGGGCGGCGATGGCGCACCGTGCGATGCGAATGACTTTAAATCCTTCCCTCCTAAGATGTGCGCGGGAGGCATTCGTGCGACTGTGATATTTCCATCCTGCTGGGACGGAAAGAACTTGGACAGTCCCGATCACAGGACGCACGTCGCATACGGTCCCGGACAAGCGCTGGCGGGCGACCAGTGCCCCGATACACACCCTGTCAGAATACCACAAGTAATGTATGAGATCATGTACGACACGACCCAGTTCAACAATCCAGACTATTGGAAGGATGGTAAGCAGCCATTTGTGTACAGTTTTGGCGATCCGTAAGTGAACACCCCTTTGCGATAATCAATCGGCCATGAAAACTGGCACTGACCAGCATGATGAATCTAGGACTGGTTACGGTGCGCACGGTGACTATCTCTTTGGCTGGAAGGATGATGCCCTTCAGCGCGCCATGGATGGCCTCGGGACCACATGCGCCAGTGAAGATTGTACCCAGGTGCTCGACATTCAGTCCGGAAACGACGCCATCGCTTGTACCAAAGCCCAGCAGGCAACGGAGGATGTGGGGTCCTCGAATTGTGAGTATAACACTGACAACGTCTCAAAAATTGACAGACTGGTCCACTGATACAGATCGCAGGGCTCAAGACACTCCCGGGAGGTATGCCGATCATGTAGGCGTGGGGCTGAGGGTACTCTTATGGCCGACGCGGGACTTCGGAGCCGGACTTGTGACATGGGAGGTTCTCCATTATAATGCAATACCTATCTAGGTATCCAAACAGATTGGTCACCGCAGTCATCATGCGCAATATAGAAATTTCTCCTTGTCCTATGACCATACTGTGTACACTACCGTGAGCCCAAGCCCTGGCACTCATGGGGTGGTGACATGCGCCAAGCTTGCATCGGATATGCACAAGGACTTGTCAGCGGCTCAGAATTCTCTTCAAGTACAATGTCCGATTCCCGGACAATCATTAACATTCAACACCCACTCGCCACATCATCATGTCCTCCTCTTATCCGAATCACACGCGAGCTGCAGGTACACAAGACAACTGTACCCAATGACCGATACCCCGGATTTCGGATCCGCTATATGCCCTTTCACCCCACATTCCGTTCGGCAATTCGCCCGGAGAAGCGATTTTCTGTCACAAGCCTGAAACCATCAACTCGCAATTGCTCTGCCCCGACACTTATCAGCTGCAATCTACAACTCTCAACAATTACGACATGCATTGCGATTTTCACCCCACAATCTGTCCGATGCCGCTTACGAAGCACAACGTGAGCTGCCTCATTCGGAAGTCGATGATCTGTAATGGAATCGTAATTCCGACGGCCGATGTATAACTTTGACCTGGCCTGTACTGATACAGATATCAGTCCTATATCATTGCACCTCTGTGTTGTTTGCTTTATCTTTACATGTTACATGATTCATATTGAAGAAAGTCAATAACCAGGATGGCCACTTTTGAAATCTACGAGGTTCCAGCATCTCTGACCTTTCAGGATTATGTGAATATCTGTCAATGCGCAAGGACGCTTGCCGACGGTTATGACCGCAAGGTATGTGTGGCACGAATCTGATAAACGTTGGCCAGAAGTCGCTAACAAGAAGGCTGTAGGACAAGGCGCGTGTCTACGCATCGCTAACTCCGGATGAGGTGGTGGTCGACTATTCCAAAGTGAACAAGGAATGGGGCCGCATTTCGTACACGACGCAAAAGTTTGTTGACCTGTGGATGGGTCCCGAGCACCTGGGCGTCAAGGCCCTGGCCACGCAGCACTTGCTGGGCATACCCTACTTCAAGTCGGTCACGGATGAAGAGATTGTGGTCGAGTGGCATCAGTTGGCCAGCCACGCCAGACGGGAGAAGGGGGCTGACCACTCTGACCCCATGGCCAAGATCGTGGAGACTAGCGATGGACGTAGCTGGATGCAGCAGAAGTATGTCAAGGTTGGCACAGCCTGGAGAATTCGGGAGATCAGGCCCGAGGCCATTTACCACACTGGCGATTGGCAACAGGTCAGAAGAGCGGATGAAGAGTAATAGTGCCCCTACTTGTCCATATAATACGCATGCGACATGACGGAGGACTGGAATGAAGTGTATTATCACGGATTGCATGCAACTATAGAGCGATAGAAACTCGTCGGAAAGTTCAAATAGGGTGGAGTGCTGGTATCCATTCCAGTTTGAAGTACTCAATGCGAACTCAGTACGTCATGACACATGATCAAGCTGACGCGCGAATCTAATAAGAAGTTGTTATATCTCATATTCGAATATAAACTACGAATCTGAAAATTCTATATATGTCTATCTACTTGTCTATCTATGTGGTCGTCTATTTACATGAATTATCCGAAATGATCCCATCCAGATTCTATACTACAGATCCGCTAAACTAGAACGCTATCATTTGTTTTGGGCCCTGGCGAGCCTGGGGCACATCGCTAATCTTGGGCTTATTCCCCTACTCCATCTCTGCGGGCGGCCCGTGCGACGAAAACAGCTCGGCCAGTTTAGGCGCCGCTCCAGGGCTGGTGAAGAGCCCCAAGTTTCGCCATGTTTCCTCGGCCGTCTCTTCGGATCTCTCAAAAAGTTGCTTCTCGATATCAGGCAGAGCAGATTCGAGTGCCCCGTTGAACGCCTTTAATCCATTGGAACTGCCGTTTGCCGCATCCCATGCACTCTTGATGACTGTGGAAAAGTCGAGAGCATCGCGCATTGCCAGATTGACGCCCTCTCCTGCGAATGGAGTCATCAAATGTGCTGCATCGCCAATTAAAGAGACACCGGCCTTATGCTGCCACGCTAATTGGCCGACAGGAAGCATGTACAAGGGCTTGATATCCAGAGGGCCAGACTGATCCTCGAGTCCGCGAATAATCAGTTCTTGCAGCTTGGGCCCAAAAGTTCCAAATGTCATCCACCTGCCGTCACCGGATTCGAGGCTCAGCAGCTTGTCCTTTGCCTCGGCGGCCGTTGCCTTGCCCAGTCCACTAAACTCTGCCACCCCGTCCTCAGTGGTCTTGAGGGCCAGGTAAATTCTCGCGGCTCCACGTACGCCGCGCTGGCACATGACGACATTGCCGTCGTCGCCCGGAGCGGCAAACGTGCCGGGGCCGACAAACTCGGCGAGGTGAGGATAGCGAGTGGTGAAGTCGGGGATGGTGAGCGTGATAAAGGTCACGCCGCTGTAGTGAGGCTTCTTGTCCGTGAGCTGGGATCGGATGCGCGACCAGGCACCGTCGGCGCCAATCACCAAGTCTACAGTGCTAGTGCCCCTCGATCCAAAGTCCAGGATATACTGACTCGCGCTGCTGCTGGGGGTCGCCTGCAAAAGCTTGTGTTCCCACGAGATGCACTCGGCGGGAATGTGAGACAACAAGAGCTTGGTGAGGTCGTGCCGCGATATCTCTGGCCGGCCACCACTGCCAGAGTCGGCGTGCAGAATATTGCCTTCTTTATCAGCAATCACGTCTGCTTCTTCGCATTGCCCAGTGAGTCCGATGAACTCGTCGTATAGATTGCAGGCCCGGATAGCAGACAGGCCGGTACCCTCGTTGAGGTTCAGCATGCCGGATTGTTGTGTGAACTCCTCATCGGTCGGTCTGGCACGCAGGTCATATATTTTGAAAGGTACGCCTTGTCTGTGCAAGAGGAGGCCCAAGGTCAGGCCGGCGGGACCAGCGCCTATAATGGCGATTTGAGGCTTGGCCGTGGACGCCATGATGAATATGACTGCTGGCTTTGATGCTTGAAGTCTCGACTGGTTTGAGTATCGAATCGTTGTATGGTGAGTTTAATAGTGGTGCTATGCTTGATTGATTTCAATGTGAAGTCTAGTCTGGCATTTCAGCCATTACTTGGCATTCATGACTACATCTTATATACATATTATAGAGACATATAGTCAGATATCTCCTACTCTGACTCGGCCTTTTGAATCTTTGAGTCCAGTGGGTACCGGTAATGTCAAGTGTCTTGGATGTCCGAAGTCTGGTTTCGTCTGTTTGTCGGTCCTAGGTTGTCAGCTTTTCCGGATTTGGCCTTGGTGCCTACAGAAGTGCCGTGCTCCAAGCGACTCGAGCACCAAAACTTCGAACGGCTCGGGCCCGAACCTGTCAGAAGGGACCGAGACAATATTTGCTCCACCACGCTCGGGGGGCCTGAATGCCCGGGCCACGCAGAAGCCTGGCCTCTGACTGTAGCAGACATCAAATGATCTCCGTGCTGCCGTTCTACCAACCAGACCATCTCCGCATGCCGGAGTCGTCAAGTTTTGGCCTGTAATCTCTCATTTCGTGCCGGTCGCACTGCACCAAGAGTCTAATCGCACTTTTAATCATGCCAGAGCCGCACCACGCTCAGCCGATGTTGGTGGCTATTCTGACATCAGCCACAGCAAGTTCCTTTTTACGCTTATGCTTTTACATGTACCCGATCGTGTATCTACTAATCCAACATATACAAATCAGGCATTTTGTAATTTGAGCTTTTCCGGTGCTTGATCAGTCGCTCCCCTATGCATATCGAGTTATCAGCCACAGCTTGACCTGTTGATAGTATACCTGGACACTTGCGTGGCAACCAAATTGATATGTGCAACACATGAAGAGATTTCCAAGAAAAGGTCTAACGAGCGACTATGCATGTATTTCTGTATCTAAACTGGCCAGTATGACAAAACAATGAAAGAGAAACGAGTGTCAAGAAGAAGAAACTAATTTTAGTTTGGGTGCATAACTTCATACACCCACAGATCGAACAAATCCATCTCTAATCACGTCTACCCAATAAAGATTTAACCCAGCTAATTCCTAGGTGCAACCAACATTGTTGTTGCATGTGCCCTGCCAGCAACATCCCAGATGACCGAAGCATGTGAGGTATCCATTGTCGTTGAAAACCATGAAATCTGACAGTTGTCTTAGTTTCTATCCACGCAAGTGCAGGGCAAAGGGGAGGAATGGAGAGAGAAATATTGTCCACTACTGGAACAATTGTTACTTACCGAGATCGATAGAGGTTGCAGCATTGTTTGGCAAGCATTTTGCCGATAGAAAGTGCTCTCCCGTGAGCGACAGGCTATCGCAGCTGTCGGCAAATCTTCCACTAATAGGTAAAATCCAAGCCACGTCAGCCTCGATAAGGCCTTTTGATGAGATGAACGAGTGAAGAAGGACGCGAACTTACTTTTCGGCCGCACGCAGGATACCATTGTTGTTGGTAACGCACTTGTTCAGATCTAGAGCCGTCTGGGCCATGTCGCCCCCGCGCGTTCGGCACCAGCAGACGTAATTTGTGCCTTGGAGAAAGCACTGCGTACAGTCACCAACACGTTTGGCAAGAGCAGGCATCTCATCTGCAGCGGCCAGGTCTGCAGATCTAGCAGTCGGGCTGGCCAAAACCGCCAGACCACAGGCGAAAGCGGCGGAAAGAATAGAGAAGCGCATGTCGACTTGATTTGGATTAGCTAGTGCGTGAGAGGACAAGAGTCTGATGTTTCTGTGCAGTTTCTGTAAAAGTTCTAAACAGACTGAGCAGCTACACGCCGTTTTATAGATGAATGATGCTCGTCATATTGATGAACAAACTGGTGATATCGCCATTTATTTCCTTTGGATCGTCAACTGAATAGCCTATGCGCGAGGTGAAAGTCTTGGTGTTTCTGACAAGACTCCCTACACAAGTCTAAGAGATACGATTTCATGAGTAGGAGTACAGGCGTCGCATCACCCGTGGATGAGCTTGGTTACTTGGCTACTTTGACGGATTCGGGATGCTGTGTAAGTACACAAATATATTTCATTGACAATGAGTGAGCTGCCAAGGTCATTTCATTGAGATGCAGTGAGAAGAAAGACAGTCACGATAGAATGTAGCTCAGATTTCATTGGTGCAAAAGGTCACACTGCAGTTAGTCAGCCCGCCACGACGCCTTGGCTGCATTTCGGAATTCCAGAGTCTGATCAGAACTTAGCAGTATGTACCGCTGCCCAAACCATTAGTATAGCGACCGAATCGAAATGGGAAACTCCGCAAACTGCCATAATATCATGATATTGAATGTCCAAATGCGTCGTTTCGTATAGGCTGTCCAGTCTCACCTTGGAAGCATCAGCCTAGCCAGCTGATTTATTCTACGGCATGCTCTAGGTCCATATTCATGTTCTAAAAAGAGTGAGTGCACATAGATAAAAGTGAACGGTAGAAGTTGTCTCCAAATCTTCCGTGTCTGCAATCGCATCTTATGTTGCACTATACTGGGGTTGCGCGCAGCAATTCTGCCCCATTAATAAGTTCTCGCAAGTGAGACCTGCGGCAATATTTTTTGTAACAAGATACAAGGAAGAAATCTAGCATTGGTAAAATACATCCCTAGACTGTTTTACAGAGTAACGTGGGAATGGTACCCTGGTGGGCCGATTATAAAGTTGGCGTACTTATGTAGAAACGGATCTTCCGAGTCAACATTCCCCTTGGAATGTGAATCACTCATACAAGGATGAGATGGACGTACTTGTTACAAACCGTTTTTCAATGAACTAGATTTCTGGTTAGATTAACATGACCTTGAAATTTCATGTTAAAAACAAGAGGTTGTTGATGTTGTCTAGCCTCAACATCGTTTTACAAACCATGCAGATTGTTTTCCTTGTTACCTTGGTTCTAGCACACAATTCATTTATAGTTGACACAAACATAGAACTTACACATATACATGCATTATTCGAGATATGCGTGTTTGATGCAACTTTTGGTGAATGTGCACGACCACTGACATTGTCGTGGATGTCCGATGGCGGGGCCGAATGGGGGGTATGGGGCTTCCGGACGATTACCGCAAAGAGGCAACTGGCATTGCGGCAGATTGACATCTTTGTCGGGAACAGCCCAATCTTTGAATTCCTTATCATCTTGTGCACCCTGTTCAAAATAATACAAGTCACTGCAGCGAAGAGAGGGATAGCTGCAAAAAAGTATCAATCATGTCAAAGCCAGAATTTACCCTTCGTACTGGGATCTACGATGCTATCAGTCCTGAGAAATTCGACAAGTCCTTGGCCGGCAAGGTCGCCATTGTGACTGGCTCCAGTCGGGGAATTGGGAGAGAGATAGCTTCCGCTATGGCCCGAGCTGGTGCTTCTGTTGTGATCACAGGTCGGGCTGAGAATGAGGTTCAGGAGACCGCCGCGGCGATTTCTGCAGAGAACGAGGCGGCGAAATCCGGGAACAAAGTCATCGCAGTTGTCGGCGACGTATGCTCCGACTCAGACATGGAGAGACTTGTCCGGGAAACCGAAAAATCATTAGGCCCTGCCGACATACTCATTTGCAATGCCGGAACGAATACTTTCATGCCATTTCACCTGACGGACCCTTCGGAATGGTGGAGGCAGATGGAGGTCAACGTCAAAGGGCCGACAGAGCTCACTCGAAAGGTGCTGCCTTCAATGCAGGCTCGCAACTCTGGGACAGTCATCTATACTTCAAGCCGAGCAGCCGCAGCGGATCTGCCGTGGGCCGCAGCCTACAGTTGCGCCAAGACAGCCATTACGCGATTCGCAGGAGTGCTACAAAAAGAGCTGGACATTCTACAGACGACGAGTCACGGGCAGAATGGTATTTCTCTCTTTTCATTGCATCCAGGCGAGGTCAAGACCAGGCTCCACACGAGTGCGTTTCCCGAAAAGACCAAGAAGGAAGCGCCATACGTCGTTGAGCATATGGACAAGATGGCAAAAAGTCATCCCGACTTCAAGGCAGAGCTAGCAGCTTGGACTTGTGTCTATCTTGCCGCCGGAAATGGCAAGGGGCTCGAGGGCCGCTTGGTGGACGCCACACGCGATATCGAGGAGGTCAAGGCTCATGTTCTCTCCATTGAGAAACCAAAGATTACCAATGCTTGCGCTCCATAATGAAGTAGAGATTCCTGAATGACCTGTACCATCGTAGTGTATCCTGTTTCGCTTGCAGTTCATCAGAGGGCTCTGACACTGCACACTGGGCGATTGATTACAATAGATAGCCTGAGTATTCTAAAGCAGACCAGATGACTCAAATCAAGTGTGCCATGACGAGTTTGCCGAATACCACTTTGGCTTGATCATGCTTACGCATTGGGAAAGTCAACTGGACATTCAAGTTGCAGAGTACCCCAGTATGGCAAGTGGGAAATGGGACTACGCAAGCAGTAGCTTTATTCACTGCTACCACTCTTGTGCAAAAGACAACATGCATGTGGCAAAGGTAAAAGAAAAAAAAAATGAAGGACCATTCAGTGAAAGAGATCTTAGTATATGGTGCTCAAACTAGTCGGTTCGCAGACTTCATTACGCATTTCTAGCTTCATAGATAGCATTGCGCTGTTGCCATCTAGAATTCTCCAGTGGTGTTACTCATCGCCTGCGACACGTCTGCTGCTCATCAAAAAGCCATGGCAATAAAAGCTACAATGCGAGAAAAAGTTCATTTCCCTGGACACGATGCGTCTTCATCCGATGCGCCGCACATTCCTCAGGTTCTTGTCGAGTCAGAGGATGAACCTCAGTCTCCATACCAGCTAAGCTGGAGAACGCTCGTGGCATTTTTCGCCCTGGCAATGGGCAATACTTGCGCAGCATTGGCAAATACCGTGAGCGGAGCAATACAATCCTCTCTAGGCTTGTTGCTTGTATTGATGTAATACTAACCCCGAAGTAGACAAATACTACGATCAAATTCCAAGTTGCAACTCTCGCTAGGTCGCCCGCCGATGCAAGTCTGGCTAGTTGGATCGCCAATGGGAATTTCCTCTGCTCACTTGCTCTTGGCCCAATCTTTGTATCATCGCCGCTAATCATCGTTCGAAACCATGTGCTGATTCAAATCTAGGGTTCACTGAGCGATCGCATAGGTAAAAAATGGTTCCTGGTCATAGGTTGTTTGATCGGAGTGGTAGGCTCCTGTATCTCAGGATCAGCTCAGACTTTGAGCACCATTGTCGGCGGCAACGTATTAACCGGAATCGCCAACGCTGGTTGTGTAAGTGATGAATTTCTTTCAATCCCATGACATAGTAGACAAAGCTATTGCGAGAGTAGTGTAGACATGGCTAACAGAGAGAAAGATCGTCTCCATCAGTTGCATACAGGAAATAATGCCCAACAAGCTTCGACCCTGGGCTCTAGGCGTGTCCCAAGCTTTGGCAAGTATTTTTGTGGTCCTCGGGACTTTCATGGCCGCCGCCATGGTGCGGGATAACACTGGAGGTCACGGCGGATGGCGATGGGCTTACTACTTCAACAGCATCATATACGGGTGCACTGCGCTTGCCGTGGCAGTGACCTACTTTCCTCCGCCGCCACGCCTGGGCAAGAACAGTAACCTGTTTAGTGATATTCTGACCAAAGTCGACTACGTGGGTATCGGAATAATGACGGGCTCATTCACAGCTCTGGTGATTGGACTCACATGGGGTGGAAGCACGTATCCCTGGGATAACGGCAAGATTATCGCAACTCTAGTCGTCGGGTGCGTAGGCCTAGTCGGATTCGGCCTGTATGAGATGTTTGTCGTCAAAGAAGGTATCCTGGATCATCGCCTGTTCCAGACGAGGAATTTCCCCATTCTGCTTGTGGTTTGTACCATTGATGGTATGCTGCTCTTGGGTGTCAATGTCTTGTTCTCGCAGGCGATATTCGATCTCTTTACACAAGATGCGGTTCAGATCGCGGTCATCCTGTCTCCATTCCTGATCACGTCGACATTTGGTTGCATTCCAAGCGGATGGATCATGTGGTGGACCAAATCATATCGGCTTCTGCTCGCCATTGCGCTTTTCTGGTGTAGTCTATTCTCAGGTGAGTCACCAGCTTTGGACCTATTGTTTCGAGGCAATGTTGAACAATTTCAGGTTTGATGAGCTTGGCAACCTCGTCACGACTGAGCTGGGTATATGGGTTTTCGACAATGCTAGGGATTGGGACGGCGGTGACCACGACTCTTCCTAGTGAGTATCCATCCCAACAACTCTAGTGAGACACCTGATTAAAACTAATCGATTTCAGTCGTTGCTCTGGGCCTATCCGTTCCATCGTGTAAGTGCTCCAAACGTGGTGACTTTCTTCAGCTGTAGCCTCTTTGCAAACACATTTGTTTTTTCTAGAAAGCTAAAACATCTCGACTCACAGATTTACTCGGCACGGCTGCAACGGTCAGCGTTTCGTGTAGGGCGCTGGGTGGCATTGTTGGCATCACCATTTTGACGGCTGTCTACAACAACAAGTACACGTCATACGTTGGGCCACTTGTTGCCAGCAGCCCCGTTGTTGAACCGCCCTATCTTGATCAGAGCGCCCAGGCATGGAGATATGTGTGGGTGGTCATTGCATGCATCGTGGCGGCTACCGGCTTTGCATCGTGCGCGCTTCAAAGCGTGCAGCCAATGATGAATGGCCATATTGAGTCTGCATTGGAGAATCGCAAGGGCCTTCACGGCACTGGGGAGACGGATTCCGAACCAGCTTCCAGCGAACATTGACACCTTGCCGCTCCATTCAGCAATATATATGGTCGGTCACAAGGCGGGACTTGCCAGAGCGCATATTGAACAGGCGATGCTTCTTTTGAAATGAGTAATACTGAGATTATTCAACCGAATAGGGAATTGATATTTATCGATTTCACAATCTGGATGCCGTTCAAGTGTGTGAAATTGTTCTGGCATAACTTTGTAGATACAGTGGAGCGCGAGCAGCCACTGAGTTTCTTGGAGCAACTTGGCGAGACACACCTAGCTACACACGGCATTGTCGTCTCGCAATTTGTGAAGTCAAAGATTTCTGTTTGACGTGCAGATATTATTACTCGGGAGGATTACAGGTTGGGCTCCAGGCGATTCTGAGGTCTCAGACCTGTCATTCATATGGAGAAGCTCTTGCTTGTAGCGCAACCCCGCGATCGCTTTCACTGAGCTCAATTGAAATTCGGAGCTCAAGACTGCCCCGCCCACTTGTTGCCCCTCTAAATGCATAAGCTTTTTTGGCGCTGCTCATGTGCAATCAAGTCCCAAACGCCCAATTACGTGGTTAACCTTTGCGTGCAGTCAATTGAGAACGCCATTTTCTGTAACTTATCATGGCTTCGCAAGGCAAGGAAGCTGCTTCAAGGTAAGTGTGATTCATCTATCTCTATCACCGTTAGTTCCAGTGGCAAGACCTAATTGTCTGGCGTTGTGAAGCAGCAAAGAAGCCGCACCCACCAACCCGCGAGGTATTCCATATGCGCCTTTCGTCGACAAGGTCGAGGACTATGTCACCTCACGCGAAGAGGTCGAGGGAACCCTGCGCCAGTTCCAGGAGATGATCTCAAAGTACCAGTTCATGGAGCTCAATCTCCAGAGGAGGGTAGCAGGTTTGGAGGACAAAATGCCCGATATTCAGAAAACGCTCGAGACTGTGCGTTTCTTGAAGACGAGGACAGTATGTTACAAAATTACAGAGTTACAGCAAGGGAAGATTTGTGAAGACTGAGTATCTGCCTACTACAGGAGGAATCCGACCCGATTGACACAACTTTCGAGCTCAACGACACCCTATATGCGAAAGCTTCGATACCGCCCACGGACGAGGTCTATCTTTGGCTCGGCGTACGTTGAAAAGACTTAGAATGGGGGGATACAATGCTGATGGGATCACACAGGCAAACGTAATGCTGTCATACCCGATAGACGAGGCAGAGACCCTTCTGGAGCAGAAGCTGTCTGCCGCAAAGCAAAGCCTGTCCAACTGTGAGGAGGACTTGGACTTTTTGAGAGAACAGATCACGGTGAGTTGGAATGGTTCACTAGGATCAACCATAACTGCCCAGGACAGTTGCTGACGAGAATCCAATAGACTATGGAGGTTGCTATCGCCAGAGTATACAACTGGGACGTTGTGCAAAAGCGGAAAGACAAGACTGTGGAAGAAAAGGGCAAGGAAGGTGGCAATGCCAAGGAGGGCTGAGTGCCGACAATGACAATCAACCTCCACGCTTCTTCCACTGGCCTTGGATCGATGCTTGAATCACTTGCAATACCTTTGGGCCCGTGTTGCTCATGGGGAGCAGCATGGCGCACCGTGTCGGAAGTCGGCCAGATCCCACACCGGGGCCTCCACGGCAGGAAATGAGGCTCTGCGGAATACCGCGTACGGATCGCCTCTGCTACGGAACGCGGTATCAAAGAGGCGACTCTGTGGGATACCTGACTACAATATAGGTATCTACCTAGATAATGGGCGGCAGCGCCAAAGCAAGGACATGACGCCAGCTCGTATTTCAATATATGACTCGAGTCAGGCAATTGTCACAGGCCGGACAGGACACGTAGGAGAAGCTTCAAGCCCCCCCGTGGAAGAATCGTTGAAGGCCATGGTGGAAGTGATTGTGGATGTAAAGAGTCAAGACAAACCAATGACCAGGTGACAAGCAACAAGACTCACCCCTGACCTCCTATTTTTCCACCGAAGCAAATCTTACTTTCACCGCCGAGCTGGGAACTGTAATGTAGATGAAGCCGGGGTCGATAGTGGGGTGCTAAGGTACGCACGCAGGTCGATAGCGGAGAGACCCTTGAGTTCACTGCAGTGTGGGTTACATAACCGAAGAATCCAGTCTCCACGGGCACTGGCGACCCTCATTTTTTTCTCATTTGATCCAGTTGTTGGCCTCCTATGACGAATTTCCACTCCTTTACAGATTGATTGACAGTGGCTACTAGCTACATTACCGACCATTGTACCGCTTAACCGCTGGCCCGCCCGACCTACGCTACAGCAGGTAAGCCTCTCTCTAGGTACCTCTAGTTAGCGACTGACCCAACAACATCCCAGCCGACCCTAGTACGTACGGAGAGGCCAGGCTAATCTAGAGAGAATTAACTGACCAGCTTCGCCGCCCTACAGCCAAACTTGCTCTTCTTTGTTTGTTCTTTGAAAGACCCGTCGTCAGTATTGCTATTACTCGCGGACACACACATATCACCTATCGCAAGAAAAGAAAGAAGACTATCGTTTGTTGCGCTGGTCTGTCTACACTGCTTGCGCCCGCCCGCCCCTCAACTCTTCACTACCTTCTCTCGATAACAAACCCCACCTCAACACCAGGGACCGCACACATTCACTCCCTTACAACCACCACACAGTCGCAAAATGGCCGCCCCAGGAACTATGCAGCTCGACCCGAAGTACGATGACTACGACTTCCCTACCACTGCCCCCGAGGCACAGAGTGGTCACCCCGGCCACCTGAGCGAGGAGCAGCAGGCTCAGGTTGTCCAGCTTCGTCTGATGCTTGAGCAGGAAGGCTACACGCAACGTCTGGACACTTTGACTCTGGTATGTTGGCAATGATGAACAGCCTTTGACTCAGCGACCAAAATGCTTACACGGAGAAACCTAGCTGCGATTCCTGAGAGCCCGCAAGTTCGATGTCAACCTGTCCAAGAAGATGTATGTCCCCGTCGCCCTTCTACACCCAGTCAAATAGGGGATATCTGCTAACCTCAGCCACAGGTTCGTTGACTGCGAGAAGTGGCGCGCCGACACCAAGCTCGACGAGACCGTTCCCACCTGGGAGTACCCCGAGAAGGAGGAGCTCTTCAAGTTCTACCCGCAATACTACCACAAGACGGACAAGGTACCCCAGCCAAATCTCTAAGACGTAGCTCGTAGTGGGCCTCGTCGTCACATGTTTGAGTATAGAAGCTGACTTGCTATAGGATGGTCGTCCAGTCTACATTGAGCAGATGGGTGGCATTGACTTGACTTCCATGTACAAGATCACCACCGCCGAGCGCATGCTTACCAACCTTGCTGTCGAGTATGAGCGTCTCTCCGACCCTCGTCTGCCCGCCGCCTCGCGCAAGGCTGGTCAGCTCCTCGAGACTTGCTGCACCATCATGGATCTTAAGGGCGTTGGTATCACCAAGGTTCCCCAGGTGTACTCGTACGTCAAGCAGGCCTCGGCCATGTCACAAAACTACTACCCGGAACGTCTGGGCAGGATGTACCTGATCAACGCTCCTTGGGGCTTCAGCGGTGTGTGGAATGCCGTCAAGGGCTGGCTCGACCCCGTCACCGTCCAGAAGATCCACATCCTGGGCTCCGGCTACCAGAAGGAGCTGCTCGCCCAGGTCCCCGCTGAGAACCTGCCCAAGGCTCTCGGTGGTACTTGCGAGTGCCCCGGCACTTGCGCCCTGAGCAACGCTGGTCCTTGGCAAGATCCCCAGTGGGCCAAGCCCGCCAAGTGGGAGAAGAAGGCCGAGACCGTTGTCAACGAGCCCCAGACGACGACTGAGCCCCCCAAGGGCACTGAGCAGGTTCCCGTCACCGGTGCCGCCGAGGACGCTCCCGCAGCTGCTCCCGCATCTTAGAAGAACAATGTCTTACGGGAATACTTTTGCAATGGGGGTGCGTTTTGGTGTAGACTTTGGTGTTAGGGTTGTGCTGAGCATGGGGTTGGAGTTTGGGGAGATATTATGAAAGCAAGAAACACAGACAAGCGCCTGAAGGAAGACAGGGTGATGCAATGAAAATAATGCATCCACGGCACATATTTGTCAGACGTAGACGAAACAAGTCGTAGACGAAATAGGTGATCACAACAGAAGAAACATCTATATCCAAGACAACATATTTCATGCTGGACAGCATGAGTAATGGCAGAAAGCCTATCTGATCCTGATGTCGTGTTGCATTCAAATTGCCGCTACGAATGCCAATCTCTGGCTTGGTATCTCAATCCCAAAAATGTGAATAACCATAGACGCCCAACGCCACCTGTGAGAAGTACCTATACTTTGAATAATACTTGGCCTTCTTCATTTCTCCGTGACGACATAGCTTCCAGCCGCTCTGGCCCGTTCCATGCGCGCGACTACGGCCGGCATCTCCCTCTTTAGCTTGGTGAGGCCCTGCACGGCTCTGCCGTATGCGCGCTCGACATCTTCTTGTCTTTCCAACTTGTCCAAATTGAGCCCCCCGCCGCCAGCCGCCCTCTCGCGCTCAGCATCCGCGCCGTTGTCGCTAGCGGTCGCGATCTTGGTCTTGGCCGCCTCCAGCGCCTCCTCGTCCTGCTTGAGGCCCGCCTTGAAGGTCGCGGCGTGCGCTGCCGCCGTTGCGCCCGGGATGGATTTCTTGAGCGCGGCAATGTCCCGCAGCAAATCTTCCTCCTCGCGGGTCAGGTCTTCCACTCGGGCGCGCAGACGCGGGTCGAATGGGGTATAGACGACCTCGGGCTGGGCGGGGCCTTTGGAGGAGGGGTCGTAGTCTGCTGAGAGGATGGCGAGGTCGGGCGATATGTCGTCGATGCCCATGCCATTGATAGACAGATTGGGCGCAGAGAGAGTAAATGTCTTTGTTATGTACTATGGGTGCAGCGAGAGGGCAGGGTCAGTTCTTTGTTCTGTGACTGTCCCTTGCTGCTGAGGAGACGCTTTTAGACAGTTTTAGTGTCTTACCTCTTCCACGAGTTCTTCGATTCGATCCCGCAGCTCATCCTCGCCTTGTGCGCCCTCGACTGGCGGGAAGGCCTCATTGACGCGCTCGGCGGCGGCGCGCCGGACATTGGCCAGCAGGTACGTCAGGTCCTCGGGACTCTGCAGCTCAATCTTGCGCTGATGTGCTGATACCGCCGTATCCATTGTCTATTCCGGGACCAGCAATTCAAAAGAGTGGAAATGGCTTCTTGGGACCGCGGCGGCCGTCGATGGTCGCTGTCGCAATGTTTACTTGCTGCGTACAGTATGGGGGGCTGCTTATCGGCTTATCGAGTTCGACCCTGAGTGGGAGGGTACTTTGTGCATAACCTGTACCAGTGGTACCTCAACGTCAGCGACATGCATGCATATCGTAGGTGGGGTCGTGTCTTATGACAGATGCATAACATTTCATAATTCATAAGCACAGGTATGGCCTATTCAGTTTCACTTTCTATATTCCGCACCATAACACCCATCACTGGAAGTTTTCCAGCTATTGCAGGCTTGAGTATAGAATCTTCAGCGATGGAGATTTTTGGTCTAAATTTGATCAATTTTCTTGTTTCTCCCAATGCACAGGCATGGCTTGCAGAAAGTGGGCAGTCGAAAGATAATAGAAGAAGGGATTTAATAACTTACATCCTCGCTAGGTATGTTTCCATTCTTCTCAGGCACCAATTTCCGCCTCTCGTACTCGAGAATAACAACAAGGAAGTATCACAGCAAAGGTATACCATTTCGTGGAAGTATTCCATGCGTTTCTATACAAACTGACCTGCTTCAGAGCACTTCAACGCCTGGGATGCCAGTGTCTATGGTCATATCAGGAAGCATCGTGCCACAGTCATAAGTGCGAGCCGAGATACATGCCTGTGACAAAGCTTGCAGTGTAAACAATATGAAAACTAGATAGATGTAATCATTTATTATGCCAGCGGACCATCTCAGGAGACCACCGCTGCCACCTTCCGAAGCTGTATCGACTTGTGCGCCACTACTATGACTGCATCGCCATCGATTACTACCAGCAGAGGCAATGGTGACTTCTCTTCTTATGTGGAATCTGACAAAGTGCCGATAAATTCCCTTTCTATGACAGGGCAATTCTTGTAGGAGGCTAATCGGAAAATTGAGATAGATGATTACTCATCTAAAGTGTAGCGCTGGAAGGATCAATGTATGTTCTCATTCGTTTCAGGCTTCTGATTTCGGTGCTTCCATCATAGAACATCTGCGTAAGCGAGCGAGCATGCGAGGTTGTCCAGGAGTGCCAAGTCAACATGCTTTTGTTTATAGCTGCCGCGATGCCGAATGGAAAAGAAGAAGAAAACAGAAGAGAAAAAAGGTTGATACTCAAATAAACGACTGGTACCAATACAATATGCTGGAAGACTAAAGTAATGTGCGTTGTGGTGATAACGTCAACGAAGTACCTAAATATAATCAACCTGCCTCGTTGACTGTTTGTCTTTTTTTTTTTTTTTTCCTGCTATGTATGCTAGGTTGCGTTGGGCAACCTTGCTTAAACAGCAAAGTACAGGTACATAAAGATTTAAGTTTCTGTTTGTAGGAGTCGTAGATAGAGTGAATTTTCAAGTTCTAACATTACGTTTTTGGTTATGTATCCTTCGTATCTTTAATTAGGACTTGCTGGTTATCGCTTAGGTTACGAGTTGTTGGTATTCGCAAGAGGCTATCAACTCCGTTTAATAGGACTATTGACATTGGCACGGTTTTATTTGTACCATCTCGACTTACTTTCATGTAATAAACAAACCATTCCAAAAACTATTCTGCACTTGTCACGGCACAAACATTCCATTTCCTCGCTCCAGATTGGTAATTTCGTCATTCCGGCCCGTATCTGGCTGACCCAAAGTAAACTCCAACGACTCGTGATAATGATTGAGATAGATTTTAATACTGATGAACTCTTTCTGGTGAAGAAACTCAGTGACGCGATGTATTTCCCCATTCAGATTTCCGAAGGATGTTTCGGAAATACGATGCCACCATATATGTCTGTGCACATCAGACAGCATGGCGCCAAATGGTGGCCATGGACACGACTATAATGCCGCGCAATCACTACACAGGCAAGGTACGGCATAGCCTGCATTCATGACTAAAGCTCGCAAACAAAGTAATGCCCATTAAGGTTCGATCGGCCGTCTTTCCTTGTAACCATGTTGCATCGAGACCCCGGATTTTGACACAGCTTGGCACAGCCCTCATGTGCCAAGACTTCCTGCAAGGCTGGAAGCAGTTGATCAATGCTGATTCAGATTCAACTACCTTTCTTTCAAGGACATGCCAGTGTCCGTATGGACCGGGCCTAGATGGAGCCTACACATATGAATATGCCGGCCGGAACGTCTCCACCCTTGAGCAGTTGACCGGCATCGTATGCGGATGGCCTTACCCCACACCTTCGCTTGTGCAGGTCACAACAGCGGACCACTTGTCTCCGGTGTCACCAAACCTATTTTAGACGAAGCCGACAGCCGATGACTCTTTATTGGCTGAATATCTTCTATATAATCCGACCAGGTAGCATTGTCTTGTCAGACGCTCCGCGCTTGCCACGGGCTATTGGTAACTTGAAGACTGAAGCAGGATATCGTGGACTATGCAGACCCCAACTACCAAGTCGCATAAGATGTCACCTTGAACATTTTGCACCAATTGAAGTTCTTCCAACCTCTAGCGTCGTCCCTTTGCTCACGCGTGCTCAGCCCGACCTTCTATTCCAAATCGGACTCGACATCTCCGATTACCAAGGCCTTGCCAACCGGGGATCTCCCTAGGCGTCGTTCGATGTTGAGAAACGGTGTGATGGCAACCTGACTTGGGCTGAGGCGATCAAGGACCGGATGAGCCGGTCATGACATCTGATTGAAGGAAACCTCGATCTACTTCCGTACTACCAATTTTGGTTCCTGGGGACCAGCCGCCACTCCGAAACAAGTCGGTCGCGGATGAGTGCCATCACGACCGGATCGACGTGAAACGATTCCGATAATGGACTCATGGATCGTCTTGGACAACCCTTGGTCGCCGTTTGCCACGCAGTTTACATCTTGTCCCCGGCTAGGGACATGAGTGCCTGATGATTCCGGCCGTCACTAACATGACGTATATAACCCAAGAATGCCCCTCTGGACCCCTTTACTTGCCATGAATTAAGTATCAAGAGAGAAACAAGAGTCATCAACCACGACAAGGCCTTGAACAGCGCAATGATTCCAAATATCGCAGCAATTCTATCGCTGGCGAGCCTTGCGGCTGCCCAGCAGGTGGGTACCCAGCAGACCGAGACTCATCCTTCATTGTCGTGGAGCCAATGCACGAGTTCGGGATGTTCTACAAAGAGCGGCTCTGTTGTTGTTGATTCCAACTGGCGTTGGCTTCACGATGTCAACAGCACCACGAACTGCTATGACGGTATGTGGCATTATGACCCAGTGACTTGATTCCTAAACGATTCAAGTTTGTGTATCCCAAGCGAAAAATCAAACGCTGATAATTTATAACTGTCTAGGAAATGAATGGACCACCGTTTGCAGCACCGAGACCGACTGTGCAACAAAGTGTGCCCTCGAAGGCGCGGATTATTCAGGAACTTACGGAGTTACTACCAGTGGCAACGCCTTGACCCTCAAGTTCGTTACCGATGGCCCATACAGCACCAACATTGGCTCGCGTATGTACTTGATGGCCAGCGATAGCGCGTACCAGATGTTCACCCTGTCTGGCAATGAGCTAGCTTTCGACGTTGATCTTTCAACCGTTGACTGTGGTCTTAACGCCGCTCTTTACTTTGTTGCCATGCCTTCCGACGGTGGCATGTCAAGCCAGCCAAACAACAAGGCTGGCGCCAAGTATGGAACTGGATATTGCGATGCCCAATGCGCTCGCGACCTCAAGTTCGTTGGTGGAAAGGCCAACATTGAGGGTTGGGTGCCATCAACCAACGACCCCAACGCTGGAGTCGGACCATACGGGGCCTGCTGTGCCGAGATTGATGTCTGGTAAGTAATCACGGTGTAAACTGATTTTTATCATGCATTCGTCTGACATGACTGATTAGGGAATCCAACTCCCACTCGTTCGCCCTCACCCCACACCCGTGCGAGAACAACGCCTACCACGTCTGCGAGACCGATGGCTGTGGCGGTACATATAGTGAGGACCGATTTGCCGGTGACTGTGACGCCAACGGCTGTGACTACAACCCATACCGCAATGGTGTGACCGACTTCTACGGCAAGGGAAAGACCATCGACACGAGCAAGAAGTTCACCGTTGTCACCCAGTTTGCCCAGAACAACCTCACCCAGTACTTTGTCCAGGATGGTGAGACCTATTACATCCCCGCCCCGGCTTTTGACGGCTTCCCCGACAGCAGCTCCATCACTCCAGCCTACTGCTCCGCCGAGGTTAGTGTTTTCGGCGACCGGGACCGCTTCAGCGAGGTCGGAGGATTCACCAAGGTCAACTCTGCCCTGAGCTCCAACCCCATGGTATTGGTCATGTCCATCTGGGATGACGTAAGTAACATTGTTTATTTTACAAGATAATTTCGAGTACTAATCGATCGTCACAGCACTACGCCAACATGCTCTGGCTTGACTCTTCCTACCCTATTGCCGACGCCGGTACCGAGGGTGCTGACCGAGGTGACTGCGCAACCACATCCGGTGTTCCAGCAGACGTCGAGGCGTCCATCCCCAACGCGTAAGTATACCTGGAAAATTGCACTCGCCGTGCTTAACAGCTCGCTAATTGTTGATACAGCCAAGTCATCTGGTCCAACATCCGCTTCGGACCCATCGGATCAACCGTCTAAGTAGTTTCATTCAAGCGCGCCGAGTAGAATCCCGTGCGCGAAAACATTCGTTCTCAAAATTGCTTGACTATCTGGACAAAATTCTTCTTCTGTATATATTTTACATCAATGATTACACTTGTGCATATATACATGCAAACATTGCTGCGTCTCATATTTGAAATCAACTCGAGTGTAAAATTGTGGCAGTTTTTGGTGGCAGACCATATTTTACTACGTGATCATACATCTGGCTGTCTATATCTAAAGATATATACCTTTCCACCCCACCCGTATTGAAAATGAAACATATCCGAGCGTGGAAATCTAAAGTCGCGCCAGGGGCTTCATGATGGAGAAATCTTCAAACTCGCTCAGCTCACGCTCTGGGTTGGGATGAGGATCAGGACCGCGCTTCTCATGTTGTCGGCCGGGACGCCAGGCCCACTTGTCGGCAAACATGGGATCGAGTTTCGATTCCAACATGTCCACAACGTACTTGCCAATGATGGGGAGGAATTTGAAGCCATGCGCTGATCCACCCGTTGCGAGATAGAGACCTTTCACATCCGGATGCTGCAAATGGTTAGCATGCAGTTCGGAAATGTCGAGGAGGGTCTAGTTTGGTATTTAATTTGCACTTACCGAGTCTACCAGGAAATGGAGATCTTTGGTATCAGTGTCCCTAGCGAGAAGGTCAGAATTGGATCATTACGGCATAAGGGGGTAAAGGTCCGTTGTACTCACCAGCATATTCTTGTCTCGAACCATTCTCTATCCGCCAAGTCCGGCACAAATTCTCTTAACCACTGACGAATCTCGCGCTCGACTGTTTTGGGAATATCGTCCCTTGGATTATCCTGCCGGTACCTCGGCAAGCTGATGCCAGGCTTTTGCAAATCTAGACAGGAGAAAATGTCAGCTCTCCATGTTTCCATCCAGTAATAGACCGCACAGAAATCAGATTGTGGAAGATACCACGATAAAAGTGAAAGTACGATATATCCGAAGCACTTACTCTTCTTGTTGGTGACGAAATTGACAGTCGCCACCTTGACAATACCATCGCGGTTCGGGGGGAAGATGATTCCTTGTTCAAAATGATCCACAATCTTGAGCGTAGAGTATTTCTCGACTTCCTGGGGAGTTAATTGGATGTGCCCGACAACATGACCCTTGGATACCAGCTGGCCCTGAAAATCCAACAGCTCTGGCGAGGCGGCCCCGGCGCTCACGACGACCATGTCGGCATAGTGTCGGGCGCCGCTGGCGGACTCGGCCCCGATGCAGGCACCCTCGGCGTTATACAGCAGTTTTCGCACCCAGCCGTCATTTCCCGACACGTAGCGAACTCCAAGGGCCTTGGCCGCGCGTGTCATGGCGGCGAGGGCATCGCCGCTCGTGGTCCAGCCAGCCCAGGGGTTCCACCAGATCTGCCAGTCCTTCATGTCGCCGGTAAATGTTGGGCTAATCTGCTTGGCTTCTTCGGGCGTCACCTTTTTGACCCCCGTTATGCCCATTTTCTTCTGGTTCTCCACTGACGCCTCAATAAAAGGTAAACTGACATTTTGCGCAGCCAGGAACCAACCCGTTTGTTGAAACATGCCGGCAAAGATGCCCGTGTCCTTTTTCCACTCGGCCATGGCCTCGACGCCGAGCCGGGAGTACATGGGCTCCGAGTAGTCGCTGCGGACAATCTTGTTCAGATCGGTCGAAGCGGCAATGGGCGACGGGCTCTCGAATCTGTCCACAATGGTGACGGTGGTCTTGGACGTGGCCAGGTCTAGACGGCTGGCCAGGTGATATGCTGCAGACACGCCAAAGGTGCCGCCGCCGACAAAGAGGATTGACTTTCCGGCCAGCGGAGAGGCATTGGCCGCGCTGTTTTGTGACTCTCCCATTTTTTACAAAGTGAATTTCCGCACTTGTGATAATTTTAATTTTACTTGGACGACGCCCTTGGCCAAAGAGCCCGTGTTGGAGACCGTTGCAAATTTGATGCCCGTAGAATCGTAGGCCTCTGTCAGATTGCAGTGCCAGTGTAAACACAACAGCAACGAACACGATGTGTTCTCAAAGGTACTAGGTAGGTAGGCATGGTTAAATACCCCCCTTGACCCCACAGGTGGTGCGATGTGTATGGCCGCACGCCGGCGTCGGCACCGCTGGGTTCGGGGCCGTCCCGAAGTAATCATGGTTTTGAGAAATACGTCCATCGGATGTCATGTTGGCATACATGCAACACGGCGCCATTCCGGCCCATGAGCTCTTTGGCTCAATGAAAAAATTGTGGTCTCATGAATTCAGTAATGCCTTTTGCAACGTATAGACATCTGTCATACTCTCTTTGATTTCATACACTGCCGGGGACTCTGCAGACGGCCCACTCGGGTGTTTGCCGCCGGGTCCGAAGATGGCCCTCAACTCACCCGCGCGAAACCGGACCCTCTCTAACGGCGGAGGCTTTCGAGACGAGAATCACTTTATAAAACTGAATCTTCTTCATCATAAGAATTTTGCCTTACAGTCATTGGGATTGATCCGCTTTAGAAATCGGACACAGAATATGGTCTAGCAGCCACGCGAATGTCTGCTAGCCTTCTCGGCGAAAGAGTCGGCTGCCGCCCGATATTATTATTGTACTACGGACTAGTGGAGCTTCAACATGATTAGGGAGGAACAGAAAAGTCATTGGAGTCAAAAAAGTCCTTGCTATGCGTTTTGTTCTATTGACATGTTACCCGATTCGTTCGGTGTAAAATTAGATATGACTTTCATGTTCATTTCTGAAACCTGTATCCTTATTGACATGTACTTACCTAATAACCCAAACAAAGTGACTTGTTCGAGGGAGGCCTGCGGAATTACAAGGCCTTGACGGGAATGGGTTGGTAGTCGTTCGTTGGGGATATGCGGAAACAGAAGTGATGTTCTTTTGCACAGCGCGCGTTTCCAATGCAAACGCTGGCGGGACAATAGTCGATAAAAGAACAAACAAATCTTTCAATCAATTTGAGCCTCTTCACCTCTTGTTCATCATTGTACTGGCTGTTGAAAAATGATCGTTCATCTCTATACCACAGCACAATTTTTGCTTAGCGCAGCACTGTCTGCAGTGATCAATGCCAATGTTCATCCACCATCTGATTGGTGCGAATGGGAAGCTGCGCCTATAGCATGGAAGGAGAAACCAAGAACAGGATCATCTACGTTTCTCTATGATAAAATGGCACCACCTAGAAGTGAATGACAAATCGGATGCGGTTCATTCACAGTACATCAGCCGCATAAGCGCTGTAGGCAGGGCAGCGACTAATTTTAGTTGATGGACAGTATCATTGCACCGCTAAAGTATCAGTATCTTATAATTCTTGGCATAGGCCTACTCCGAAAGACGCCCCGTCGCGACTCGGGGGGGCCCAGACTGGAGTGCATGCACGCCCTTTGGCGATCCTTCAATTGACAGACCGCGACGACAACAACTTTTGCTACAATGTGATCATGCCATTTCTGTACCCGTACCATAGGCGCAACGGACTACTGATTCCATGTGCCCGTTGGGGAGACTTGGATTGTAGCACATACCCAGCCACCTACCTAATGTATACCTAGTAAGTGCTAGGCAGCCAGACAGTCAGCTGTTCATTCGTGTCAATGGCGCCCTTGACACAAATACCTCAAAATACAGGAGTGCAATAACAACCGCCCGCCACAGAATAAATACTGCATGTCAATAAGCAACGGTAGTCTGGACCCAGTCACGGTTGGTCACAAAACTTTCAGCTTCGATCAAATCCGCATTAAAGAAAATACCTAGTTTCGCACCTAAACCTCACTTCATTTAGGGACTCAAAACCCTCCGCAACTCAAGATGTCGACCGACAGGAATATTCAATTCCGCATTGCAACGCTAGAGGATGCACCACGACTCCAGCAGCTGATTCAAACCGCATTCCGGGCAGAGGACAGCAGGCCCCAGTGGACAGCGGACATGTCTCTTGGCGCAAGCTTTACTGTCAATGTTCAAAATGTCATCAACCAGATCAACAAGCCCGAGGGCGGGATCCTAGTCGCTGTCGACGGCAATGACGGCGCCATTATTGCTTCCATCGAGGTGACCCGTCGCGGCGACTTTGGTCGCCTGTCCATGATTGCTGTCGAACAGCGTTTCCAGCAGGCCGGGCTTGGGCGACGCGTACTGGCCCGCGCCGAGGACTACTGCCGCCAGACCTGGGGCGTGGACAAGTTCAGCCTCGATGCTCTTTCGACGCGAGAGAGGCTGATTGAGTGGTACGAGCGACAAGGCTACTGCAAGACGGGCGAGCTGACGCCATTCCCGGTCCGCGAGATCGATGGCAGGCCAGTGGGCGACGATTTGTGCTTTGTGCAGATGGAAAAGACGCCCGCTTGAGTTTTGCTATGGGAGAACAACATCGCATGACCCTCGATAGATGCTTTGAATTCCTTAGTGCGACTGGCAATCTTTTAGTCAAAAAGACTCCAGCATTTGTGGAAGACTTATGCAGCGGCATGTGAGGCAACATCAAAGCTCCTGTCATCATTCGCATGGCCATAAGCCGGAATGGGAGCGACGCGTACAGATATACAAAGGTTTATCTTGGCTCAATATTGTGACGCAAACGGGGTTGGCTAGATCGGTTCCATGATCTCTTTGTCATCTCAGTCACAATGGATTTCGAAGGCATTGACTGGAGAGAGGAGATTGTCCTTCCATCGGGGGGATGGTGTTTTCTTCCTGCGTTTCCAGATGGCCTTTCTTGACACTTATGAAAACGATCAACTTGAAATTCATGGGAATAGCACTCATATATTTATATCCTTGATAAATATTCATTTTTTGTAACCCTTTCCTCCCAGTCATCCGGTCAACCATCAAGTCATGTATATGTTACATGACGTTGAGCGATATCAAGGCGCCTTTGACCACCTCTTCCAATTCTCTCTTTGGTAAACCCAACTGCTCATTCATCACTCTTCCTTCTTCCTCCAGATGCCCTCCGTACCGCCCCGTCACGAAACCAGTCTCAATCAAGGTGAATGTGGCCAGATCATTCCCATTCTCAACCTCTGCCTGCTTCTCCTTGATCAAAGCGTAGCTGTCGACCTTCTCAGTGGCGTACTTGACACCCTGGATCTTCTCAATGACTTCAAGTAGCTGCTTCTGGGAGATTGCAAAGTCACTCAGAAAGATGTTGTTGTTCTTGGTTTCCCCGGGTCTCTTGAGTGCTTCAATAAGTCCCGCGGCCGTGTTTTCCTCCGTCGTGCAAGAAAAGAAGCCGTCGCCGTCGTCCCAGAACACAAATCTGCGTTCCGCCACGTGCATACCAAGAAACTCGTGCGCCATGCTCCATTTGATCCACATGCCGCAAGATACGCTCATCCATTCAATGACACCTTCAGCCGCCCGGGCGCGCAAGTACTCCTGAACCTTGCCCTTGGCCCGGAAGACGGCGTTCAAGGCTTGCGCTTCGGGTCGCATGTTATTCAGGCCGTACTCGCTGGGAACATAGCGCTTCACACCCGCAGAGATGGCGGCATCAATCATGCGGAATTGATCCATGACCGAGAGGGACGTCATGCAGTTGACAATGACATCCTGGCCCTTGAAGGCCTGGACAAGGTCCTCTGTCGGATAGGAGTCTGCAATGATCACGGCCCTGAGATGCTCCGGCAGTTTCGCCTTGGATGATGCTCGTTGCAGCACAGTCAAGGTAAAGCTGAGTTCCTTTGTCAGAGCTTCGAGTACAACGCTGCCAATGGAGCCCGTCGCTCCAATGAGGAGGATATTCTTGAATGTGGACATGGCCGATGCTGACAATTGTTACCACTGACGATTCAATGCAACCAATGCTTCTGGGAGAAATCTTGTGGTCTGATGGTTGGGCCCCGAATTCGTTTTCTTTTGCCTATTCCCACCCAGTCATGAGGTAGACATGCGCTGTTTATATACGCCGTAATCAACACATTTCCACGCCTTACCAAACCATTCTGTTGTGCGGTGCATCCATTGTATCATGCATATTATCACAGAATTCTCATAAAATCGTTGTGGAATTCTAATCTTCAATCCCGATGCTGTACAAAACATATGCGGACGCATGGTTTGTCAGCTCCTTAAACGCCGAAATGGTTCGATGGGCTAGGAAGATTAGTGAACAATGAACGCCGGTGCATAACGGCTTGTCCCGCTGGCGCACCCAGGCCGGCTCTGTACTCCAAGATATTACATGAGCATCTAAGCAACATGCTGACGTCAGCTGCCGGTTGCCCTGAGTACATACTGCCTATGAAAACCTTGGAAGGGCTGATTAAAAGAGAGGAGAAATATTCTGCCCAAGAAGAAGCAAATTGCTTTTGAATGCTTCTCTTGTAGCGAAAACCAGTTGTCTATGCAAACCTGAACTGAAGCCCGGACCATAGCAGTCTCACAACTTTAACCCCGCCTACCCACACACCTTCATGCCGAGCAGGGTTTACTGATCGCGGCAGACCAGACAGAAAGCTCTAGATAGAGATGTACGCTGTATGAACTACATCATTGTGGCATGTCACTTAAATAGGTAACTTGCGTACTAGGTCAAAGGAATGAGCTCTCGCAAAGATGTCGAGTTGACTGTGGCTGCCAAAGCTGATTATTCGCAGTTCATGAATGCGTTTCTGTCATAAACCAAATGGCACGAATCATGAAGCGCAAGCATAAGAATGAAGGAGGTAAACAAGGGGAACAAAAGTGGCGTGAACAATGTTCTACCTGACATGCAACAATCAATTATGTCATTTTCATTGTCTACTGATGTATGTCCATTCGCCTATGTATTCCTATCAATAAATGGCTTTTGTTACTTCCAAACTGTCATTAACTATCCAGTAGTTAGTATGATGTAAAACCAGCCACTTTAAAGTCGTTCATGTGCGAACAATGCATTGTCGTGTCTTTTTATTCAACATTACCACTAAGCATGATGTTTCTCATGATGCGCTCAACTTATAAATAAGACCGTTAGGAACCAGCAAATTCAGCTTTCTTCTCCTCATCGATCAACTATATCATCGTCTGAATCAATTACAAACAACTACCCCGAACGCAACAGTACCAACAAACCCCAAGTTTAACCTAATTAGCGTGAAAAACAACTTACCATTTCGCAACTTGATATCTATCCTCTCTCAAACCTTTCGAGATGGCTGGCCCACGAAATGGAAAATTTGAGTTTTCGCAAACTCACTTTGATCAATTGCAGAGTTCCATTAACAGACTCTACCCCGGTCCAGATCTGGGGAGCATATGTCTTGCTCTCAGGACCGACGCCAAAACGTCGGTCACGTTATTATCATCCCTTAGAACACCAGGTACGAGCGGTCAGTACCCAGCCGACTACCAGTGGGATGTAGTTGGTGGGTGGCTATATCGCGGATTGAACGGCGTTCCAATGCCTGACCGGTATTGCTTTTACGGACGGTATGGATCCGACGCAATTGACCATTTTTGGGAAACAACCAATCCAGACGATCCAGATGGACAAGACAAGCTTCATCTTCTCCTTGCTCGTATAAGCAAGGGGTCAATCGAACTACCGACCCAGAAAGAAAATGGACTGTTATGCTTGGAGTTTCGATTTGAGGACCTCCCAATCTCTTTCGAACAGTATAAACCGTGGGATGAATTGAATCCTGCAAAGTCACATGAGGTGAAGTCTGGGCCCGCTGGTGGCTCGTCAAAGGGCAGAGGCGGTTCATCCAACGGCGGAGAAGGTTCATCCAACGGCGGAGGAGGTTCATCCAACGGCGGAGAAGGTTCATCCAACGGGGGAGAAGGTTCGTCCAAGGGGGGACAAGGCTCTTCCAAGGGGGGACAAGGCTCTTCCAAGGGGGGACAAGGCTCTTCCAAGGGGGGACAAGGCTCTTCCTCAAGCAATGTCATAGATTTGACCATTTCGCGTGAGAGCTCAGAGGCGCCAGTATCGCCCAAAACACCAACGCCCAAGACACCAACGCCCAAGACACCAACGCCCAAGACGGACAAGGGCAAGGGAAAAGCGCCACTTTTATATCCAAATGGACTCGCAGGTGGTTCAGGCTCTGGCGGGAATGCAGATGACGCCGACCCCGCTCAGGATGATGGACACGATGAGGATGATCAGCCAGGCGAAAGCAATGAGCAGCGGGATCAGGCTGTGATTGAGGCCATTGGTGTCCATCCTAAGCTGGATGATGATGCATTCTGGCAACGCGTTTGCGAGTTCTTCGTAAAAGATACAACGGATCTAGACAGCCCCGCTAATAGGCGCTTCAAAATTCCGGGCTTGCTGAAGCCGCTTTACGATTATCAGGCAGCGATGGTGCTATGGGTGCTTTCTCGATACCCGGAGCACAGGCTGACTGCCGCGGGTATGGCGGATGAGATGGGCTTGGGCAAAACATTCATGTGTATTGCCACCATGGTTGTGTTTAACCACATCTGCACCGCGAAAGCGGATGTAGAAAGGAGCTTGAACACGCATGAACATAGGAAGCACCTTCGCCCGAGACATGCCGGGGGCCGCACGTGCCCCTCGCAGGACGAGGTCACCAAGAAATATGGAATACAATGTCCATGTGTGCAAGGCTCATGGTCCCAAAGAATCGCAGACACCATGCACGATCTTCCTTCGGTGATCATTGCCCCTCCAAGACTCTTGACCCTGTGGGCTGCTGAATGGGACAAGTTTGTTGAGCCGGGGACCAGCATGCAGTTGCATGTTTACAGCTCAACGTTCAAATATCTCGACAAGTATGCTTCTGATGAGGTTTTGGTAAGGCGTGCCAGTGCCAGCAACAATGTCATGACGGACAGGCCGCACATGGTAACCCAAGGAAGAACTAGATTGTACTACACTCAGCGCCAGGGATTTGAAGGTGGCAGCTCTCAGGTTGTCCTAATTTCACACAATCGTGCGGGAGGCGTCATAGGCCACTTTGAAGAAGAAGTTGGAAGAAACTTTCCAGAGAACATCACGGCCAAGGAGAACAAATTGGCTTGCTCCTTTGTTTTTTTCGACGAGATGCATGAATATCGCGGCAGTACTATCACCAAAAGAACTGCACCATTCAAGTTGCTCCATGAAGTTGCTTACAATAATTCAGGACCAACAGTTGCAGTCTGTGTTTCGGGCAGCTTGATGACCCTGGGTCCAACCGCCTGGGCCCCCCTCATCAACTACTCATTCCTTCCTACCAATAGACTGCCGACCCATGTCGGTTTCGCAAGCATGAAAAGGGCCAACTTTGTGAAGGAGTTCGCCGAACTTTCCAGTGCTTGGAAATATGCTGGCCAGAAGGTGGACAAGGCAGATGCTGCGACAGATGTCAAATTCCGGACCTCGATCCAATATCTCCAAGAAACATGCGAAATCATGTTTCCCAGGATGATCATTAGACGAACGAAGACCGACAAGTTCCGGGGACGTGAAATATTGGAACTCCCTGTCCTGACTCCTATTTGCGAAAGACTGGACCTGCCAGAGGGAACCACAAGTGATAGTATTTCGCGCCTTTGCAAAAACGTTCGAGCGTTTCTGATGAACAAAAAAAAGTCAACCGATGATTTGGTAGGTTCCGAAATACCCATTTTGACAAACCAGGCCGCAGCCCTCAAGGGGCCAGTGAAGAAATGGTCTGGCAACCATTACTACAACCTGATGCAGGTGACTTCATATCCATTTCTAGCACGTATGGGAGGGGCCACAGGACTTGATATCAGAGCTGAAAATATCGACAAACAAGCAATCGACTACACCAGGTTGCTCAATGTGCCCGGGACCACCCGACAAGAGCTCTTGAATGCTCTTAGGCGATCACCTCTCTGGGAGTACCGAGGGCATCTAGCGGCAAGGTCACCCAAGTACATGTACTTGGAAAGACTTGTCCAAGACCTTGTGCATCTTCGCCATGCCTCGCCCAGCAATCAGCCCGACGAGGGACCTGCTGACAAGAGCTATGTCCGCCATATGGTAGTATTCACCGAGACTCCGGTCTCGGCGTTTATTACAACCATGTTACTCATGGACCGCGTCGAGGATATAGAAGTTTTGCTTTTTCACTCAGGACTTCCCCCCGCTGCAATGACAAAGTCGCGCCCCGAGCACTCTCGCCAGGCGTTCCTGGACTATTTCGATAGAAACTGTAGGAAGGGGGAGAAGATTAAGATAATCGTCGGGCCATACAGCTTGCTGTCCACGGGTATCAACCTACAGTCTCGAACTTCTCGCGCCGTGCTCATGGACGTGGGAACAGCAACTCATCGCTCACAAGCTATCGCACGTGTGTATAGATTGGGGCAGAAGATGCCGGTCGAAATATACGAACTATGGAGCTCGAAGAATTTGTTCGAAGTCCATCGCATGAGAGCCATAGAACGTTTTGATGAGATAATGGACTCTTCTAATATTTGGGGAGGGAATGTGTATCGACCCGAGGTGAACTGGGAGCACTTTGGAGTGCCTCCTCTGCCAGAGGGAGACGATATGGGCGAGGATGAAGAGATCGAGTACTCCCCCGAGCCTTCCCTTTCAGGACTCAGCGATGTCTGACCTACCAAATGATTTGCCTTCTTTGAGGCCTCCAGGGGTATGACGGAGGCAAATATTCAGAATGCCAGTGAGTGAAGTTTGGTACGGACATAATAACAACCAATAGTAGCGAGTAAGTACTTTCATTGTAGGTAGGCAAAATCATCAAGATTCATCCATCGAGGTTTGGAATTCATCTTGAAATTGCTGCAATTTCATCGCATAATCGCATTTGTCCTTATCAAGATCACAGACTAGAATCTAGATTCGTCCTTATGTAGTGTAGCGCCAAAAACCACGCGGGGTTATGTACGCCTTGCCAATGACATTCTAATCCACATGAGTACTTCCATCCAAAATACATGGCTGCGCCACAATGCATCACTTGATCATATAAACCAGTCATTCTTTGCTGCTGCAATGTCAATACTGCCAAAGACGTTTCTACTTCCTGTCTCCTTTGTCTTACTAACGAATTAGATGCGGCATTATTTACTCGTCGACTGTTTACCAACCTCATAGATTTCAACATCGACATAGAAGACGTGCATACACATACAAAGAGACACATACCATACGTATACAAACAAGCAACAATGGCACCCTCAGCTGTGGACAATGCCTTGCAAATGATCGGCAACACGCCGATCTTGAGGCTTAAGCGTGTTGTTCCAGAGGGCGCCGCCGAAGTGTACATCAAAATGGAGAGTATGAACCCGACCGGGTCGTACAAGGACCGAATGGCCCGTTCGATCGTAGAAGAGGCAGAGCGGCGGGGAGATCTCCAGGCCGGGATGACCATTGTCGAAGCCACTGGAGGCAGCACGGGCTCGTCGCTGGCGTACGTGTGCGCCGTCAAGGGCTACAAGTTTGAGGCCGTCTGCTCCGAGATCTTTGCCATTGAAAAGCTCCGAACCATGACGGCCCTCGGCGCCGGTTTGACGCTGATCAACAGTCCCACTGGCAAGCTCACCCCGGACCTGTTCCCCAGGATTAAGGACCGTGCAAGAGAGCTGGCACAGACGCCGGGCTTCTATGCTGCCGATCAATTCAACAACCGCGACGCCCTGGTCGGCTACGCGCATCTCGGAAACGAACTTCTTGAGCAGCTCCCCAACGGCATCGACGCCTTTTGTGCTGCTGTCGGCGGCGCTGGAATGCTCATGGGTGTGTCCAAGGTGCTCAAGGCCAAATTGCCAGAGTGCAAGGTGGTCGTGTTGGAGCCAGCATCATCACCCTACATTACGGAGGGGAAAGCAGGAACTCACGGCGTCGAGGGCATCGGCAACGCGTTCAAGCTGCCACTGCTCGAAGATGACCTGTGGGATGAGGCCAGGGCCATTGACGAGCAAGAGGCGCGCGCCATGTGCCGGCGGCTCGCCAAGGAAGAGGGAATTCTGGTGGGGACCTCGACTGGCTTGAACGTGGTCGCCGCTATCAAGCTGGCGGTGGAACTAGGAGCGGGAAAGACGGTGGCCACAGTCGCCTGTGATACTGGCCTCAAGTACATGAGCGGGCCACTGTTTACGGACAGCTGAAGAGTTCATTTTATTACAAAGAATAATGAAAGCATGGATAGATACCTGGATATATACAAAAATACGTAAATAATACCCAGAAAAATATTAAGCCATAGATATCAACTCATGAATTACCATTTTGTCCCTCTTTGGTGCCCATGATTACGGGGACTGACGACCTATATTTCCAGCGCCACGGTGAGCTGGGCTGCGCGCTAGCGGAGCGACGGTACAATCACACAAACAACAAACTCGGCACGATAGTGGCCATCTGCTGAATTAAGTATTACTTCAAAACCCTAGAGATAACGCTCATATGTTCATTGTGGTTGGTACACGTTTGCATTTCAGTCGCCATACAAATCTAGAAACGTTTCATTGCCCATCCACCAGCAACACCTCGAGCGATACAGAAAGCGGCGAATGCCGCGAGATAAAACGCGCCCGCAAATATGATCAGGCCTCGATAAGATCCACCCCAAGCCTCCAAGATTGTTCCAGCAATGGGTATCCCAATCAAGGCCCCAAAACTGGACACAAAAAACGCAGTACCATTGCGTTTACCATAATCCTTAATGTCACAGACCTGGGAGACACAGACCGGTGTAAGACTGATGGCGGCTCCCGACCAGAACCCAAAGAGCACCGTGAACGACGTCGTTAGTGCCATACTCTCATCTGCATTGAGCCATAGCCCGAGGATGAATGCAGCACAGATTGCCGCAGTGCCGCACATGGTGTTGAAGACGCCGATGCGGTCAGCCAAGTACCCGGGGAGAGCCCTGCCCGGTACAGCCCCGGCGTTCAAAAAGCAGTTGAGTAGGAGAGCATTGGTAGTATCAAAGCCATTGTGAATAGCGTACAAGGAAATATACGAATATGGAATAAAGACTGCAAACTCAATCAGAAAGATTGCCAGCGTCGTTGTTGCAAACTTCACATCGCGCAGGGCCTTGAGATCAATAGCTGCGCCGCCTCTGGCGTTCCCTGGTAGCCGCTTGCGCAGAGTCAGGCAAGCAATGCTCAGCGTAACGGCACAGATCAGGGCGACGATGCGAATGGCCCAGGCAAAGCCGATCTTCGGAGTGCAGTAGAGTATAATCAGCGGGAAGCCGACGCCTCCAAGACCGCCAGCAGTGCAGGCTAGGCCCGTGGCGAAGGCCCTGCGGCGTTTGAACCAGTGACCGATTGCTGCTAGGCTCGGGTTGAAAAGCAGCGAAGCGGAAATGCCGCCGAGAACACCAAAAGATAGGAAGATCTGGTAGAATTCTGATAGACAATGAATTAGTCACAATTGGTTCTTTTATTCCACGTACTTTGATAGAAACCGGACGATACCTGTAGAAAAGCTCAGGCAAACGAGCGCCGCAATGATACCGATTCCACCGGGAACAATGAGAACTTGAATGTCATGCGCATCGACAATGGGCCCTATTCGCTCGAGGGTTAGCGCAGATTTCTGCTTTCGGCAGTGAGGGCAACACTGAACACTCACCGACTTGGGCGCCACAGAAATAGAGAAAAAATGCATAGCAGCTAAATATCCAACCAATCCTTGACTCTGGCATTCCATTGAGTTGATTCTCTGATATCAGTGCTTGCAACACTGCCAACGTATTGAGTAGACCCATGGAAGGTATCATTGCACACCAAGCACCGAGGACGACCAGCCATGCTTTTCGCCCGCCTTCAGGGTAAATCTGTGTGCTTTCGGTATGCATTGTTGGTGTGTGTACCAGACACGCAAAGGCTAGCGCTAGAATTCAAGCCACGGAGGCAATATTGTACAAAACCGAAGTATAGTAGTCTGCTGCTCAGTCGAGTCTTCCAAGGACCAGTCCAGTTAAAAACATGTTTGAACACTTGGATATGGTATTTTTTTAAGTCGTTCTGAAAGTTCGGGGAGCCTTGTTGAATGTACGCCATGCACTTCTAATCCAGTGGCTCGGCCACTATTGGCTTTAACCACAGAAGCAAAGGTGGATACGTTCTCTACAGGCCGCTTCAGGGGTTCTAATGACTGGGATTCGCCATCGGATCGCCAAAAACCGAATCAGGTCATGAACAGAAACTCCAATATTCGTCGCCCGGATCATGAGAAGCCGGATCAGATCATGAAGAAAAAATTCTTTGGATTGTATGATACACCTCTATTTCGTGCAGGAACTTGCACTTAAAAGGCAATCATCTTCTTGAAATTGTGGCCAACAACTGATCCAAATATGCACGTTGATTTGCAGGTTGTCGTTGTTTCTGCAACGGTGAACTAATCAAAGGCTATAGCCCTCGAAAATGACCATTTCGTGGTTATGGAAATACGCTCGTCAGCGCAGAGCCATATTCAACATATGATGACCCCATCCTCTCAATGTCATAATCATTCCAATAACCTCCTCCATCAAGGGCGCTTGCCGAGTTCCAACTGGCGAACTGAGTCTTGGCTTGCGCAGGCGTCTTGCCGTACGATGGCTTCGAGTCGTTGATGACCCAGAGTATGGGCACAACCTTCATCCCCAAAGTGGTCTGCCAGCTCGCCGGGTTGTTTCCTGCTCCTCCGTCGTAGCATTGCAGGTACGCCCTGTCCAAGAGCGCGCCCAGCTGCGACTTGAGCGACGCCCAGAAGCTCGAGGCCGTGTATGGTGCAATGGTGTACTTGTAGCCAATCTGGCCCAGCATCTGCGCAAACTTGACGGTGCTGGAGATGTCGTAGATGGACTCGTCATCGTTGTTGACGGCATCGAGGGTCCAGGCTGTCTTCAACGCGGCAAAGTTCTTGTACAGTCTGGTGTCGGACCCGGGACCTGGGCTTGCCATCAAGTCGGCCACGTGTATCGAGTTCATGCATATCTCGACCCTGTTTATACCGGTTCCGCTGGCTGTCTTGAAGGAGCGGACCTTGTCCGAGAGCGCGCTGCCGCCGACGTATGTGCCATTGGAGGCAATGAGGACATCTGAGCTCCCAGCCGTGTTTGAGTAATACATAATGTCCCCATTGTCGAGAATGCCGACACCAAAGATGATCAACGTGTTGAAGCCAGATGTCTCAATGGCTGTGGTATTGGATACCATGACATCTTTGAATAGGAAGATGCTCCTGATGCCGGCAGCTACCGCATGCTGGGCAAGGAAGTTGAAAAAGAGAAGTCGAATGACTGTATAAAGCTGCATTATTCCCGATACCTTCTTGACAATGCGCAAGGAGATTTGGCTGAGCCAAGGTGAATCAGTATGCACATTGTCCTCGTGGCGGGTTGTGATTCTTAAGTTATTTGGAGATTGTATCAACGACACTTTGGATCCTCTCCCGGCAATAGGAACGTTACAACATTGCCAAGATGGATGCGCTTTATCGTTGCTGTTGGCGAGTCCCGGTGATACGAGCTCTTGCATAAGAACCGGGCGGCTAAAGTAGCATCGCTGGTATCAACTCCACCAGTAATACTCAATCAGGCACACTAGTTTCTCATATGCCTTCCTGACATGATCTTAAATGCCACCCAAGCCTTCTCCAACATGCTTGATTGACTGGGGTCTAGTCAACATTAGCATGTGGACGTGGTTACATGACAACAAACACTGCTAACTCTTTTCAAGCTGTCCATGGACATTCATCACTCGATGTCGAGTGTCGATCGTTTAAGCTTATTTCTCCCGATGACACAAGTGAATGCTTGCGAACTTACAAGATATCATTGCAATTCGGCAGATCCCCTTGCAACCTACAATTTGTATAGCTCTACAGCTAAATACACGAGCTGGTGCTCAACATTTCCAAACATGCATTAGGACCTAGGATATGTGACTTCGTACTTGGCTATACATATCTGGGCAACAACAATGATTACCTGTATGCAGCGGAGAGGCGTTTGATCCCTCATTTTAGAATGATCTCTTCCATGGTGTCTTGCGTCGGATTCAACGACTCTCCACGCATGATGCCATGAACATAGCACTCTCCCACTAATTGAAACTTTCCTTTCTCATTCTCCACGGGCCTCAGGAGGACGGGAGTAATGCATCCGTATATCACATACACCATGTCCCCGCTCCTGCAATGTCTGGGAAACAGGCCTAAGAGGCCATTTCCTAGGATACCAAGACGCCTATTCCGCAATACGCGTCTAAAGACTTTTCGAATTTCTTGGAAAGTCTGTCCCGCTTTTCGCGATTCCAAGCTTTGCAACTCGAGCTTTCCTCTGCCTTTTGGCAGCGTTTGTCTTTTCGAATACGTCTGTCCTGGCAGGGAGGGAGATTGATTCGTCGATTCATCTAGAAGCAAGCTAAAGATTTCTGCAAACGAGTCGGGACAGTGCCGCATGCCGTCCGCGTCCTGACTGGCTACAAGAGTGCGCCAAAAGGTCGAAAACATTTCTTCCCGAACTGAGTCACTACAATGCTCAAGGTTCGAATGAACGAACTTGTAAGCACTCAAAAGAGTCTTGTTGGTGGTGGACGGATTGACATAGGAGATGTCAGGGTCGGACAAGTGATCGCCAATTTGGCCAAGTTTGTTGACAAAAGTACCTCGTACTCGCAGTTCAGTGTTGTTCTCGTCTAGGATAGTGTAGTTGTAGTCTGGTTCCCTGTTTCTCGGCAGTTCGCCACTTGCCTGGTAGACGTTGAGCATGAAAGAAGAGTATCCCAAGGCGGTAGTTTGACGAGCCACTCTCCAGTCCGGCACCCAGGAGGGCAAGTCGGGACTTTCATGATCGACGCTATAAATGAAGGAGCTCAGTGATTCTCCCGACCGTAATAGCTTGACTGTCATATCATGGTAGAGCTTTGCCACTGGCCAATTGTCGGCGTAGCTAATTTCGACAGACTTTACATCGTCGTCGGCACAAATACCCAACAGGCCGTAGACCTTGTCCCGAGCGTCGTAGCACTCGGCGTTGCGTGTTGACACGAGGAGACTGAGGAGCCGGGGACCTCGCGCTAAGGAGTCATACCTGAATTTTGCGTGGCTCAGGTCCATGATACTCCCAAAATGATCTCTGCGGCCTTGCGATGTGTCGGCGTGACTACCACCTACAGTCAAGTTTCGTTGCAACCAATTGGACATGCCAGATGTGGTGAGCTGATGGCAACCATTCTCAATCACACTCCAGTGCACATGGTAATCACCGCAGAGTACCCATGGAGCTCTGGACAGAATGACTTCCTGAATGATCCAAAGACGCGAGAACCATTGTCTCCCGAGCAGATTCATCAGATCTTGCCATTGTCTGGATTCGGGCTGAGGGAGCTGCATACGCTCGAATTCGCGAGGGTTGATGTCAATAGCTTCACTGAATTGTAGGCGAGTTCCCAGGTCATCCAGGAGCTGCATCGCCAAAGTAGATCCCGAATCTGCTTCCCCAAGCCAGATGGACGTATTCGTTGCATATCGATAAATACTACTCATGAGCGGGATCTGTTGAATCTTTTCTTGACTGTCCAGCTGGTTGATGCATATTTGATCGACCCAGAGCAATATGGAGTGGTCTTTCTGTCGAAAATGCTTCAAGGCCGTGGCGAGAGATTTTGTAATCTTGAGTTTGTGCCCTTCACAGTCTATCGTGGTGTCGGTGCTGGGATCAGGCTTGCCCCAGGTATAGCTAAGCGCTGTATATAGCACGGGCTTGATATAGTCGTCCGTTGACAAGGCGAATCGTTGCGTATACCTTTCATCGTCTGGAGTGTACGGTGTATGCAGAAATAGATCCTCTTGCGTTCTCACGAACTCGACTGAACAGTGATGCAAGGCACCCCGCAGGTCCTCATCACCAACTCCGGGCTTGAGCTCCATGACTCTGAACTCATCTTTATCGATAATTGGCTGGTAAAAATCGTTGTGGTCGTGGCCGCGTTTTGCTTGCCGAGCAGCGACTTTGCCTGGTGCCCATGATTGAATCTTGGTGATTGGAAGCAATAAATCTGGCTGATTTCCGTCGGCACGCGCAAATTCGAATTTCCTGCCCATATTCTGAGGTTCCGTGATCCAATCCTCGGCTGTGAAGTTTGCTGTCGCCATCTTGAGCGTACCTTCACCCCGCACTTCCGCTAGGGTTTCCAGCACGCCAGGTCCCGAGTTTGATGGTACGATCTGCGTGAGATTCTTGCGATATGTAGCAATAGTGCTTATAGGAACCTGTGTCGCTCGATTGAAGTATTCTTCACACGGAGGTCCAGAAATGTACCAACGCCGGAGTCGATAGAGCCAATACGTATGCTTTTGGGTGTGGTACGTGACGGGTCTTGTCCTCAACTGGGACCCACGATAATCGTTGACCCAGTTAAAATTAGTGCTGACATCCTCCAATCCTTCATCCTTCGGGGAAAATCTGCCGTCTTCATTGCGTGGGATGAAACAGGAGCATTGTTTCCTTGGCTTCTTCAGACATCGAATGCATCCAATGCAAAGGTAGAGTCTCCAAGATGGAAGCAGTATACCCTTGGTACCCAAGAGGGAGGGTGGTACATTAGGAAGCAATGGATTATAGCCCCGTGCCGCAGGTGCATTGGCTGCCGTGCTGTACAAGATCGACCTACACACTGGGTTTCAGGGCTCGGTGAATGGCAGGATGACCGATAGTGCACCACTAGCTGCCGATAGACACAACCTTCTATTTCTCACATGCAAAGCTCTATCAATAGGTCGCTATTGTTACTATTATTATCATTATCATTGTTGATATACCCTTCTCAAGGACCGAAATCAGGCCAAGAGGTATTTTAGCCCCTACTCTATCAATGTGTTCCAACCTTCTGTCACAATGTCATCAATGTTAGGATTAGCTGTAAACCCCGTGGTCTGAGCCAGGCTCCAGGTGTGATTGTCATCGTATGCCCCTAGGCAAATGCCGGTAAAGTTCATAAGCCAGAATTCGCCTGTTTTTAGCGCAACACCGGAGTCCATTACCGAGGTGTTGTATTGGGATGCCAAAGCAAATGTCTCGAATACTCCTGCAAGCTCTCGATTCGGATTGACTTTGGTGGTATCGTCAGAGCAAAAAAACCCAGAAAACTTGGCTGGTATGCTAGTGTAGGTTCCGCAAGGCGTTTTAAATGTTTCCAGCGCAGCCACGACCACAAGCGCGACAGTGGCTAGCAGCCAGAATACCGTGTATGCCTTGAACGCCACGTGAGAAATGCACGGCAAAATGGTCGAGGTTGTGCGACCACGGCAAAAGTACCAAGCACAGACAGCCATTGTGACGGTGAAGAGCACAAAATGATACGCAGCCATGAGGAAGACGGTCATGGTGGCTTCGCGCAAAGGCCCCACGAAGGTCCACACCGTGACCAACACCCACAGAACAACAAGAAGCAGAAAGTATATCGAGCGGAATGCGCGACTTCCCCATTGCGTGGTGGGTTTATACTGCCCATCAATGGCCAACACTCCCTGAGCATCTGTGTTGTCATATAAACTGTCCAAAGAAGGCCTTCTGAGGGGCTCCAGGCTTGTTGTTTGCAGTGCCTTTGCTGATGCGCCAGATATCGCGGTCGAGTAGGTGTAATCATCAACCAGCCAGAAACCCGCAAATATGCGAAAAAGCCCCAGCAAGGATAGGGGACCAAAGATGGCATCGACGGCTGGCTGGCCAGTAATCATGTAGACGGTACCGGCAGCAGCTCCAATATATCGAACTGCAGCTTGGACACCCTGCAGCGTGGTGATGATTGTTTTCAACATTTCCATGGACAATATCCGAGTCCTTGGCTGTTCAGGCAACAGGGTACAAAATTGTAGACTGTTGGTTCTCATGTGTTCTGAACCATCCCAGCCCTGATCAGTCCAAAACAAGGCATTGGCCGCTGCGGCATCATGAGGCACCCATTCGTGCGCCCGAATACGCCGGTCGACAATCGCGGCATAACGGAAGATGATGGCGGTGGGATTGTAGATACACATGTACTCATGCCACGGAGGAGACGCCGATGCGAGGATTGATGGTCGCGGCGCGCCCGCAAAAACATGAGCGATGAAGGGCGCGAGGCATAGCGTGAACAGGGATATCCATTCCTGGAACGAAATGTCGGAACTTTGGTAGTGGAAGGGATACGTCCAAATAGCCATTATCGAAGCAGTGGCGGCAGAAGTCGCTGTTTAGCAATCAAGAAAATACTGAGACAAGACTAAATTTTATTGTACTCAAATTCATTACTCTGTCGGTGAATATCTACAGTACCCAACCTGCCTGTGGGTCGGAAGACGCTGGAAGATGAGACCATGTCCCAGCAGCCTAATTACTGTGGATATCAATTGACTTCAGGGTTTTTATGAAGATCACAACTTTTGTAGAAACCGTGCTGGAAGCGGCCGCCACGGTGGGGCGGTCAGTGTCATGCCAAAAATTCCTGTAACAGCTTGAGGCCAATATGAAAATTCCTTCAGAAGCTTGACACAAAGGCTTGTATTCTACTCAACTTCGCTTGCAAACGCGCCTGGCAGATAGATTTGATCGAGAATCTGTAAAGCTGGAAGAACATTGAGAAGTATAACCCATGATGTATTGACATTATCTTTTCATGTCAAAACGTTTGAGCTCTTTGATAATCGTGGAAACTTTTTTTTTTTAAAAAAAAAAAAAAAAAGTAAAAGAAAAGGGCATTTTAAGATTTTCCGCAAGTCCATATCCGCATTTCACAACCACTGCCAATGGAGAAGCTCACTTTGACCTGATTATTTCTGCATTGAAAATGGCATGCGATGTTGAAAATGTTTTAAGGCTGCCTACTAAAGATGTCCGCAAATTCTCGATATCTCAATACTCAATGGGGTGGATTGAATCTTATAGAACGCGTATCTTTTGTCAATGCGGTAGACCCCAACGGCGATAAAACTAAACACGACCTAATAGTTTATCTATGCACGGTTCTGAGAAATCAAGCAATGTGATATCTACGGAAGGTGTTCTTACCTGAAATAATTGACTAATTGCAAGATCAGAAAAGCCACTTAATTCAAGATGGAAAAGGACGGCGGCTTGTCGTCATTTGGTCAGCAAGAAGAGCAATGCAGTGAGGAACACCATGATGTGCCCAGCCTCGTCGGTCAAACGGTCTAATGATGTTGCGCGACGCAAACAAACCTATAGTGTCTGACTGCTGATTCAGAAAAGTGCATCTCGGACACAAGCATCTGCACTTCGGCGAAATGACGAGAGTCCTATTGGCCAGGTACCTAGCTTTCACGATGGCAGCGTTATAAGGCTTAGCGCACTTTGTCAAGGTGCAGTACGGAGCTCACGTTATAGTGAATGGTGGTCAAAGGTGGGGAAGCATGGCTTCAATGATTTGTATAATAAGATACGGTGGAGGATCTCGTGAGTCGCGACTAGTGAACGCAAAGACTCTCCCATTCTCACATCTTTTATCCTTATGCACCACTCATTCGACATTTCAGTCAGATCTAGTAAAGTCGGCGCTCACGCCAAATGTCCGTTCCAATCTTGATTGATAGCTGTCGCCTAACCTGTCAGCGGCAACCTTCGCCGGCTCCCTCAAGCATCGTCGTCAATGGTGGGGGGAGAGCAGCAGCTGAAAGTATGTATCCCCCTCCCGTTTCCATGCACCCCACTCTGCACTCTGCCGAAGTTCGTAATCTCACCACATTGATAGGGCCATGGAAGCCGATGTGACCGGGGGACAAGGTTTCGGTGCTTCGCGATGCCATTCGAGCCATGATAAAAACAATGCCGCTGACCGCCAAGTCATGGACTTGTTGTTGTCGCTGTAGTTGTCTTGGCTTGAGGATCTCTTTCCCACCTCATCACCATACTTCATCATGGAGCTAGTTCACTATTTGGGCCTTTTGGCTGTGCTCACGCCCGTCTGGGCCTTTACGTATTGGGTTTTGCCCTATTTCACGACATATCGGCATCTGAAGCACATCCCAGGACCATTTGTAGCAAAATTCAGCAACATATGGATTGCACTAGGCGCGCGACAGGGACAAAAGTTCCGCTGGGTTGATGATGCCCACCGCAAGTACGGCAAGGTTGTACGCGTCGGGTTCAACCGTAGGTACCTGTGCAACGAATCAATGTCTCGTGAATCACTTACTGAGTCAATACAGACGTCTCTATCGCCACGCCTGAGGGTTTACATACCGTCTATGCACACGGAAACGGATTTCTGAAAGAGTGAGTTTTTGACGGCGATCGTAGACGGAAATTGTAGGACTAACTCGAATCTCAAAGTGAATTCTACAATGCCTTTGTATCGGGTGTATGCGGTGTCTTTAATGTTCGGGATCGAGTTGAGCACACCCGCAAGCGAAAGATCATCTCTCACGCCTTCTCCCCAAGCGCCGTGAGCAACTTTGAGCACCACATGTCAGCAAACCTGGAGCGTTGGGTTGGTCAATTGGATCGAATCACCACGCATCCCGACGAGAGCGGGTATGCGCGCGTCAACATGATGTAAGTATTCAGCATCGCATGGTGATCTCATTAATGGAGGAATATACATGCATCCACTCACGAACAAGATACTGACCCAAGCAGGCCTTGGTCAACCTTCTTGGCATTCGACATTATTGGAGACCTGGCTTTTGGTGCTCCTTTCGGCATGGTCCAGCGTGGACGTGACGAGTGCGAGAGTACCCGCCCTGGTCAGGCTGTTACCTATGTTCCTGGCGCTGAGACTCTCAACCGGAGAGGCGAAGTGAGCTCGACTCTAGGACTTTTGCCTGCGATCCGGCCTTGGGCCAAGTACCTTCCAGACCCATTCTTTCGCAAGGGTCTGCAGTCTGTGGCAGATCTCCACGGAATCGCAGTAGCAGCTGTCACCAAGCGTCTGGATGGCGTCAAGGGCTCTGACGGAAAGTCTGGTCGCCACGATATCTTGGAGATGTTGGTTCGTAGTACCGATGCGGATGGAAAGCCCATGCCTCAGGACGAGGTCGTTTCGGAAGCTCTGACCCAGCTCATTGCTGGAAGTGACACTGTAAGCACAAAACATGAGGAGGACTGTATTGATGAATGTCATACTCACATGGTACTCACAGGTCTCAAATACCACATGTGCCGTCATCTACTGGATTCTCCATGGTGAAAGGGCTGCGCCAGGAACCATACTTCCTCGCCTTCAAGCCGAACTCGATGCCGCCATTCCTGAAGGCTCAACCATTGCCGCTCACGCTCAAGTGAAGAGTTTGCCATTCCTGAGACAGTGCATTGATGAGGGAATGAGGTTGCACTCTACTTCGGCCATCGGCCTCCCACGTCTCGTCACCGCCAAGCAGGGCGTTCACTATGGCAAGGAGCATTTCCCAGAGGGCACTGTTCTATCTGTTCCGAGCTTCACCATCCATCATGATGCGGACGTATGGGGAGCTGATGTTGAGGAGTTCAAGCCCGACCGGTGGCTGAGGTTGAGTCCGAGACAAAAGATTGGCTTCAACCCCTTTTCCTATGGCCCGCGGGCGTGCGTAGGCCAGAATGTAGCTCACATGGAGCTGGCGCTGATTATCGGAACCGCCTTCCATAGATACAACTTTGAGCTCTACCAGAAGAAGTTGGAGTCGCATGAGGGATTTTCTAAGAAGCCTATGGAATGTTGGGTCGGCATCAAGAAGAGGTAATGGAAATGCAGCATCATGACGAATCCCAGAACAAAGGCTATTGATACAAATATGATGTCAATATATACAACTCAAGATTGGGGACCCGCCACTGTATGCTTTTACAGCGTTATCTCCAAGAAGTTTTAGGTATCATACGCCTCAATATCGAGCGCCTGTAAGCTGAAAGTAGCATGAGTGAAATTAAACAACATTACCGAAGCCAATACAATGATTCAGAGTGGGGCACCATCACGGCTGTTGAAACCAGGACTGTTGATTCATGTGAAAATCTTCCAACTTCTCCATGCCATGACATGCTTGGAAGCCAATCCAATGGCAGCTAAATCACATCGGTGTTACGAAGACAAATACAACCAAAAGCTTGCGGAATCGATCGGAAAAGCCGGTTTTGCACTGTCACAATTATCTAGTCAATTGTATATCATTGTAACTTCTCAACGGTTTCTACTGGAATTGAAGTCCCTTTTTCAGCAAGAGTTCCGAATCCCATCACTTGCACCTAGATAGATGCATGACCATGAGTCTCATAAGGTAGAGCCAAGCAGAAGAATCCAACCACGATCCATAGTGCCGCTGAAACATAGATTGGGACGACAGTATAGCCACCACCATAAATCGAGATGAGTGAGGCAATAAGTCCACCGAATCGCAGCAGAGATGCAGCGAGTCCTGTTCCAGTACCTCGCACAGGGCCTGGGAATGACTCTGGTGTAAATGCGAACATCACAGCGTATTCTAATGCAACTTGTTAGTCATTGTTGGGATAGTGGGAAGATTTCCCAGATTAGTTTTACATACCAAAGTTACCCAAGATTCCAGTGACGCATTGAAAAGCAACATCTGTCCAGAGATGTCAGTTGAATACTCCACGGCATGTCCTACAAGGATATTATATTTACCAGAGATTTCTGATCTGACTGTCGTGTAGCAGAACAAGAACACGCCCGTCAAAACTGCGGATCTGAGTGAAATCAAGTCAGCTGCCATCCCATAGAGGATCCAAATTTTGTGAAATTGGCTTACATGGCCATCATCCATCGTCTTCCAAATCGGGTCTCAACCATGAACCCAGCGGCCAAGGGTCCCAGCACGCCCACCGCTGAAACAATGCAGTAGATCTTGTATGTATAGCTAAGTGAGGAGTCGGTAGTATAATTGGAGTTTGCCTGAAGATAAGACGTCTAATGAGTAGAAAGAGATTAGTTTCAATCTCAGCCATGAAATAACTGCAGGTCCATAGCCGGTACTCACAATGAAGTTAAAGTATAGTGGATAAGCAATGCCAATCGTGAGCCATATGACAAAGGTGACAGTGCTGTGCTGCGCCATCTTGCGACCAGAAAACAGTGCTTTCACGCTGGTAATGTCATAGTCCTTGAAGCTGTCCTTCATTATCTGCATGTAGCCGAGACCAGCACCTGGCTTTGCCGAGTTCCCAGCCTCTACATCGTGGACTGTGGTCGGCACTTGGGAGCCAACGCGCGCATCGATCGCTTGCAACATCTCCAAAGTCAAGGTCTCGGGCTTTCCATTATATCGCGCAATGTAGTTGACGGCTTCTACCGCTTCGGCGTCTCGTCCTTTGGAAAGGAGAAACTTGGGTGACTCGGGGATTTTGAAGATAAAGATTCGCAGCAGACCGAAGGCAAGAGCGATAGCACCCAGCGTAATCATCAAGTAGCGCCTAGACATCGATCATCAGCCAAATGGAAGACAATTATTTTTTCTTGCGTGATGTTCACTCACCAGCCCATGTTGTCCTTCATGGTGCATGACGTGCTGTCTGGACAGGCGTAATAGCTTAGAAATACCCAAGACAAGAGCGCGACCACAACTTGTCCAAAGTTCCACCAAGCAGACAAGCTTACCAGGAGCCATTGGTAGGTTGACGGGACAAACTCCAGAAAGACAATGCTGTCGACAGGAACGTTACCACCAGCGGCAGTACCAATCATGGCCCAGATAGCACTGAAGGCAGTGAAATTCTGCATTTACATGTTAGTGTGTCTGTCATGCCAAATCGCCGAATAGAACTCATTACCTGTGTTCCAGCCACGGCGCAGGCAAAGATACCACCAGTGAGTGTGGTAGCATTGAAAGCAAACTTTCGTCCGACTACATCGGCGCTCAAACTCCAAAAGGTCGCACCGACAATAAGTCCAACGTAATATGCTACGGAGCTGAAACTAGGGCTCACAACGTCGGAGAACTCGTTTACGGCAGCTGGTCGGGCAGCGGTGAGGCCTTGAGAAAAGAAGTTGTCGACTGCCCAACCACATCCGGACACGATGAATAGGAGCCATTGGAACCTGTTGAAGAAAATCATATTGTCAGCATTCCACGACTCACTGTACATTGTTCATGTTCGAGGTTGAGATGTGAGCACTTACTTTCCCATGCCAATACCAAGCAGATGCTCGGCTATCAATTCAGACTTGAGCCTGTAAGACTCACTTACGGCGCTGCCATAGAAGCTAGAGATCTCCTTATCGTCGGTCACTTCTATTGAGCCTCGGTGGTATGAAGGCGCAGTCGGTACATTGGTCGAACCCGTTTCAGACCCTTTCTGGGCGCTACCCTTCTCTGAGTCGAACATGATGCTGCCCGTCAATCAATGGTAGACTATTTGATGGAAAGATGAAGCAGGTTGTACGATTCTCCAGGATAGTAGGGTTTGGACAAAAGAGCAACCCCCCTGACACTAAGTTCGGTGCAGATGCAGCTCAATTGATGCACGGCATGTCCCAAATCAGTCGAACAAAGCAAGCGAGTGGATTCTCAATAATTATACGTGTTTCGATTCGCGTCGTCCAGACAGATGGAATCGACAAGGGAGTGGTGAACAGCCCTGTTGCATATCGGGCCACGGCATCGAACCTAGGGATGATGAGCCTAGACATGTTTTGCCTTAGCACTACTCTGTGCTATCACGCCTATCACTTGCTAAGACGCGGGTAGGTGGGAGTAAGGGAGATAGACACATGTGGTATGGCGTTGAGCCTATCTGCCGTTCCCCACAGCTGGCCATCCCCAGGTTTCGCTACCTTACCACTTATCTACCTCCCTGCTCAACCCCCACTCTCGAGTGTGCCTATGTTTACATATCTTTACTGATAAATGAGCACAAGCCTTCGATTATACTTTAGGTAAGCCACAAATTGTATACTCCTGTAGGCCCAAAGATGACGAGCTATACTCGGGAACCACTTGGCGCAATGTCATGATTATGACCATGGGTTTGGCCATGCTTACTCCTCGCCAAGAATGAGGCCCAGTTTTCTTGACGCAACAAAACATGATTACAATCTAGTATACGAGTAGTAAATATGATTAGGTGCCCTCGAATAGCGAATCTGGCCCTGTGGCGACGACTTGCTGGTAAAAACAGCTCTTTAGGCACTTCTAACAACCATTGTATTACCCGTCGTTGATTTCCAGACTAGCATTCTCTGGTATAGTTACACATTTCCTGGAATCAAGGAGAATTACTGTCGCTATGTAACAACAATCTACTCTGCACATCTATCAGGATACTTGGGCACTTTCTTGTCCTGTCAGTACTAAAACACATGATCAAAACCCAAATCGCCGCAACTTTTCTGCAACTGCTCCGTGCACATGGACTCATTATTTCTGTTGCGCTGTCACCTTGAGATGCCTCTTATGCAAGTTAGTTCGTGTACGTTGGTGCCTACATATCATGTATTGGGATCATTATTGCCGTTCTCTCAAAATGCATTTCTACCATTATCATAGGTCGAAGTTCAAGCACTATGGGTGAATTGTTGTCACGTCATATACGGCACACTAGCATGAGAGCTCTATCAGCAGGGCTTAGGTCTTGTAAACTCTTTCTCATTTAGTCCGAGATTGGCTACTATTGCAAAATTCAGCTATGTAGGTACAATACAGGAGCCGCAGATTTCGCTACACGGCAACAGCTTGTGGCTGGATCTGACTATCAATAGCTTTTTCTAAACCTTGCTTGTACTTCTGCGCCCGTCCGTAGGACTCTGCATATGCAGCAGAAACAGCCTCTTGAACCGTGATTGGCTCATACTTGGCGGGTGCTTCTGAGCTCTTGCACGTTTCAATGCACTCAACTAGGTAGTCTGGATTGCCAGAGACAAAAACGGGGATCGAGTAGCGCTCCTTGCCAGACTTGTTGATGACACGATGCACATTGGACTTGAACTTTTCGTTGGTCCATCTCTGCATGAGGTTGCCCAGGTTGACCACAAGGGCTCCCTTTGTTGGCTCGACCTGGAGCATGAAAACGTTAATATGGGCTGCCTCGTTGACATGGGATTAAAGGCAGGACACTTACGTCAATCCATGTGCTGTTCCGTTGGTCCCAAACCTGCAGCCCGTCGACTTCGTCTTGAAGAAGCATGGTAATTGCTCCAAAGTCAGTGTGTGCACCAATTCCGCGTGTGAGTTTCTCGTCGGCATCTAATAGTTATACTATTAGTTTTCAAAGTGACATGAAATTGGCACTCCCTCATCATGAATACACACCTTTTGGTTGACTTGGATAATGTAGCAGTCTCATGGTTGCAACAGCTCCGTCCATGAATTGCTCAAAGTAGCTCTCTTCCAGGTCCAACGAGAGGGCAATCACCCGGAGCAGGTCCGAGGCCAACTTCAAGGTCGAGTTATAGTAAGACATTGTTGATGTCTTGAAAGTGTCGAGCCCATCACCGAGAGACTGGGGCCATTGGTTTGGTCCGGAATTCAGCTTCTTGTGGACAAAGTCTGTTAAAAGTTCATGTTAGCTTCCTCATTTGCTCGAGATATACTGCATGATCAAGTTACTGCCCTGGAACAGGTAACAGTTCCAGCACACTAAATACGGGGAAAATTACATGCACTTTGAAAGCGGATTGGGTTTGAAAAAAGAAAAAAAAAATACGTATTTTGGGTACTCACAAGGATGGGTGGTAGGGAGGTCAGCGCCAATATAAAATCCCTCCTTGAGCTCTGGCTGAGTGCCTTCCTCAAGGATCTGAGATCTCAACATCTCATAACCTCTGTTCCATGTGTTGTTGTTCTTTGAGACTTTGTCCTTGTCTTCTTGTGGGAGATTAAAGAAGTTCTTGGCCGAGCTCAGGGCGTTTTGCTGTTGTTCCAGAGGTACGGAATGATTGATGATTTGAAAGAAGCCATTGTAGAGGCATTGCTTTCGGCACTGCTCAACCACTGCTTGTTTAGCCGCGGGATCACTTGAGTAGAACCCTGGTTTTCATGTAAGTCGTTGTCAAATGAAGAATTATTCAACCATCGCCACACATACCACTAAAGTCGATGATTGGAATCTCGAGTTCAGACATCTTGACTACCGATTTGGAAAATTTGACTTTCTCTTTTGTGTAGATTGGTCCAACTAATCGTCTCGCATTCCTATCTCCGTTGGACAGCCTCTTGATCCTATATCCTCGACATTGCTGTGCTTCCAAAACCAGTTCCGTGTGTACCGAATACTCAAATCAACATGGTGTATACCGAGCCTTTCAAAGGTGGGGGAAGCGTACGACCCTCAGAATTGCCCAACGCTCGTTGGATCCTCGATGTCGGTGCGGGGAGTGATAAGGAGTGGAGATGATGCTCATCTGTGGTCTGGGGGTGAGTGGGGAGTGAGACTAACAAAATGGGCACAGTACCGACTGGCTAGGTGGCGTTACAGTGCATCTAGCTCAAGATTGGAGATCTCGCCCCGGCTTCAACGAGGCCTGTCCCCACTTTGATAAGACATCGAACCATGTTCGTCGTGTTTGGTATTAGTCAAGACTCAACATAGTATTGTCAGTATCACGAGAAGGGCTATAGTAGAATATGATATCTAGATAGTCTGAAAGAGCTTTGATCTGCCTCAACCACAAGTCTATCGTCTCTTGAGTTTTCAAACCCTGTATCCTCATCTATTCACAATGTGGCGCATTCTCGGCTACCCATCCGCGGACCAGGCGGACAAGACTCCACCACCCGGTGCTCTGCCGGCATCGTGGTACCGCTCGAGTGCCATGTATGAGCTTGAACGTCGTGCCATGTAAGTCTCTAGTCAACAAATGTCATGTTTAGATTGCTTGTATACGATTAATACGTGAAGAAATAACTAACATATTGTTGCGCAGATTTTCCAAGAAATGGATATTATTGACACATTCCATCAGAATCAGCCAGCCTGGCGACTATTTGTCCTTCACCTATGCTGGCTTCTCCTTTTTCCTTATTCGGGATAAAGACCAACAGATTCGCGCCCATCACAACATTTGCCGCCATCGGGCATATCCCATTGTTCATCAGCAATCTGGCAATGCCAAGATTCTCAGCTGCAAGTACCACGGGTGGTCGTATGGTTTGAAAGGCAACCTGGCAAAGGCACCGAGATACGAGTCGGTAAAGGCATTTGACAAGACTCAGCATAGTCTGTTCCCGATTCATGTTCACGTGGATAAGGTTGGCTTTGTTTGGGTGAATCTACAATCAGGTGAACCGGACGTAGCATGGAGCGATGAGTTTAGCGGCTCGGATGAAAAGCCAATTCTTCGTGAATTCGACTTTGATGCCGAGTTCAAGTTTGACCACCAATGGGACATGGACGTCAAGGCCAACTGGAAGTCACTCATTGATAACTACAATGAGTGCTACCACTGCCAAACGTCGCATCCGCTGATTGCGGGTGTATCCGACTTGACAAAGTACAAGGTCGAGCCCAACATGGGTTGCCTCGAGCATACCATTGTCAACAAGAACATGGACGACAACAGTTTCCGGCGGAGCATCACATTCTTCCCGCCCTGCACATCTGTTACCGTGACGTAAGTATACGGAACAGTTCATAATCTTATTCAAATAGCTTTGCTAATTCGAGGACATCAGTGAACACTTTTTCTACATTCAACGAATGATACCCGTCTCCGAAACAGAAAGCAGGATAGAGAACGAGGTTTACCGCCACAAGGATGCCAGTGGTGAGTACCTAAAAGCAGTCATTTTAGAGGAAAGAAGCTAAGACAGTATGATTCAACAGACGAAAAGTTCAAGGCACTCTGCGACTTCTATACCCAAGTCTTGGAGGAGGACAAGGAGTTGTGTGAAGGAGCGCAAAGGAACCTGAGCGGAGGAGTGTACGTGACAGGCGAGCTGCACCCAGAAAAGGAGAAGGTAACTACTTCCCAAGGGTGTTCATTCAAAGGATGATTTCGCATACTAACATATTGCCTTTCTAGGGACCGCTTCACTTTCAAAGTTTGGTCAGGAGGGATGTCATGGAACACCGACAAAAGGAGGAAAAGGCAGGGCACGAGATATGGCCGGCTGCACAGAAGGTATCTGCTGAGATGAAGACAACGAAGCTGATGGAAGAAGAATCATTCTGTTCGAAGCTGGAGGCTGAGGCTTGCCAAGCTAGTGCGCAATTAGCTTGGTGATGAACATTGGTAGCCTGCATTGATGGACTTTGCATCTTGTACAAATTATGCTCATGAGCATCTGCTCGGACGGAGTGGCTCAAGTAGGATGATAGCCGCCGCACCTTCATGAATGAACAATTTATCCAATCTTCCTTTGCTGCATTTCTTTGTCCTTTACCATGTCGTCTGTGACCTAAATGTCAATTTTGGAGTTCTCAGCCCTGGCGTTGAAGTATCAGCACTTCAAAGGTTTTCATTTATTTTGAGACTAGATCGGATCTAGGTATGTATATTTCATCTAACATTGTAGCATGCACGAAATGAATTAAATTCTTAGAGACTCTATGCATGTGGAAGCTGCAGGAAACCACTGAAATAGCCATCCAGCACTTGTGCCGCTTGTTTTCCATCGCCCTCGGCACGGAATGTGTGGATCGTGCCGACATAACCATCCGGCCGCACCACCATCAACCCGATATCGCCTGTGGCAAGCTCTCCAAGCCACTTCTGTGTGCAGGTCTGACCCTTCGTATCTAGATGCGGTACATCGTCAAGGTAGACAGTCCATGGACTCTGTGAGAAGACTGTTGGTAATTCGGCTATTTCAAATAGAGATTTGTCCGTTGATGCTGCGACGTAATTAATGTCATGAGTATCTCAGAGGCTCTTTCTAGGTACTTACTAATCATCGCATAAGTGATCAGTTCGCTGACTGAAGTATACCTTTCTGGTCGCGTGTACACTTCTTCCTTGGAAGACTTCCTGGACGTCTTCTGATAGGACTCTGCTGCCGCAGCGCCAACCCGAGAAACAAAAGATGCAGGATCGAGCAAAGCTTTGCTAAATGAGTCCAAGAAAGATCGTTCGCCAACCGAGGTCAGATCCTTTACAAAAGTGTAGACTCGAAATTGTCCAAGGATCGGGATATCAAGATGTACGTCGACTGGGTTGGCGTCATAGTAACGTGTTGCTTTTGTCGGCGTGAGGGTGCACCCAGGCCTGGCGGTTCCACGGATGGCTTCCTCGGCCATGTTGTTTAGCACATTGAAACCGTACTCGGCGCCCACACCGCAAATGAATCGAATGTTGGTTTTAAAGTTCTCGGCCAGGGCTGCAGCATCTCCTCCGGCGATTTGGTTTGCATGCTCATAGTCAAAGTCGATCAGATCTTGGCCAATCTTCTTCCGCTCTTCTTCGTAGGTTTGCAAAAGTACTGGTTTAGCCAAGCCACGTACTGCCAAATTCAACTTCCAACCCAGGTTCCAAGTATCGTGGACAGACGTGTTCATGCCTTGAGCAGCTTTTGGAGAGTGAGAATGACTGGCATCGCCACCGATGAAGATGCGTTGGGTGGGGTCCATGAACTTGGAGGCCACTTTTTGGGCAACTTGGTATTTGCCAAACCACTCGACGGACCGCCACTCGACCCGATACGGACTGAGGATTTCTCTTGCACGTTGCATGACATATTCTTGGCCCAGGTCTTTGGACGATGCCGTCTCCTTCATCTCTATATAGAATCTGGTCATGTTGCGCTCTCGGGGGATGATCAAGATTGAGCCGTGCTCTTCAGAAAAGATGACAGACTTGCTCCAGATGTCGGGGAAATTTGTGTCAAGCTCGCCATCCAAGACACCCCAGATACTTGATCCGGCTGTCCTGGGCGAGTCGAAAATCATGTTGCGCACCGCCGAGTGAGCGCCATCGCATCCGACGACGTAGTTGGCCCGCAAGATCTTCTCCTCCTGGGTAACATTGAACTGCGAGTGTACCTCGACCGGATAGGGGCCTTGGCTTTCCGATACTTGGCAGCTCGAGAAACGATGAGATCTCTTTACCTCGACACCCCTTTGGTGCAAGTCGTCTAGGAATGCCTTTTCAATCATGCCCTGATGGCCAATCAAGATGTATGGTTCCAGGAGGTCGACGATGGAGTCGGGATAATGAACTTCTCTGCCTACGCGCTTGCCGTCTCTCCAGATGCAAATGTCGTAAATTTTGATGCCCAGGCGCATCAGTTCGTCTGCGACCCCTAGCATGCGAAACGTCTCAATAGTCTTGGGCTGGATGCCATCGGCGCGTCCGACCGCGGTCTGATCTGGCCTCTCGTCCAGAATTTCTGTGTGTACTCCAAAGCGAGTCAAGACTGTTGCCAACATGAGACCCGAAGGTCCGGCTCCGACAATACAAACGTCGCACGTTCCGTCTGTGTCTGTCCCCAATGGCAGACCACCGTTGGCGGCCGCGACGTTGACGGACTCGGCGGCGTTGGCCATTTCGGTATCGGACTCCGCAATGTACGGAGCCATCGTGGATGACGTGAATTCTCTTTGGTAAGGGAACGTGGATAAACTTGACAATCGCGAATGAAGATTAGAGCGACAACGAAATTCTTCTACACAAGGGCTGCAATTGGGCCTTGTCTACTTCTACTCCTAGATACTTGCGTGATGCTGGTTATACACATCACCAATACTATACCCGCTACAGAGTCAGGAATCACGCCAAATCAGCTGACGAATCAGAGATCATCCATTCTAGGGACTTTGCTCGTACCACTCGAGTTCGTGAAAGGTGATACCCAGTGCTGCTTTCCCCCACTCTTGAGAGTGCCGAGCGCTGTTGTCCCACCCACCAACCCGATAGGATTCACCCATGTTTCCCCTCTCAGCTGAGCCCGCAGAGGGATCGCGGGGCTTTAGTGGAGAGGTAGGACCATGTCGGGCTGCGCTTACAGTAGCGCCCAGCGACTTCGGCAGCATGTTTAGCGAAGCGCAGAACCTATCGGCGAAGCACGGAGCGTTCCTGGTAGCGACTCACAGATGGCACGAAAGTTTTGGCGCACATGGAACTCGAGTCATCAATCGAGAGCCGTGGAAGCAATGCGAGGTGCAGGTGCAAGTTACTGAAGGCCAATTTGCACAAGCTTTATGTGGCGGATCATACAAGGGCACAACTACATTTCCAATTTAAGTAATTGAGATCTAAATCAGCACGAGATGTCGTCTCAATGGGAAGAAATTGTCAAGCAAAAGCGCTTGGCACAGCAGCAGGCACTAGAGTTATATACAGCAAAAAGCGTATGTCTTCTCCATATAGTCAACTTCTGGGGAGAAAAAGAAAAATAACGCGCTCAATAGGTTAAGACACAAGGTCATCTAAATGAAATATCTGAGATTGATCAATTACTGTCGCTTTACGCATCTGGTGAGGCCAATGTGGAAGCCGTCGTGAGATGCTACATCGAGGCGTAAGCATCTTCCACACTCGCACAAGAGCGACATGCTGCTGACAACTTCATAGAGCTATCTCCGCTCATAAACAGGTAAACCCATTTCCACATACATCCACATAAAAATTTGATAAGATGCTAACCTGAAGAAAAAGACAAATTGGTCAGCGCCATAAACTTGTTTTCCTTTCGTCGAGTGTCACAACATTAACACCCATGTAGTCTTACGGAGATAACATTTGACGATGCTGTCAAGGACGCGGTTGCGCTTGATAAAGCGCCAGATATGGTCGACACCACAAGATCGCCACTCCACGGTGTCCCCATGACCCTCAAGGATCAATTCAACGTCGAGGGTTATGACAGCACGATTGGCTATGTCGGAAGAGCTCTCAAGCCAGCAAGCAGCGATGCTATACTCGTCAAAATGCTACGATCTCTTGGTGCTGTAATCTTGGGAAAGACTAATCTGCCGCAGAGCATCATGGTTAGTTCATTCTCTATCATGATTCTCTTCATGCTAGTTCTAATCTTGGCTTCAAAAAGTGGTGCGAGACAGAAAATCCGCTCTGGGGTCTCACGACAAACCCGATGAGCTCTGCCTACACTCCAGGTGGCAGTACGGGCGGTGAGTCTGCGCTCTTGGCATTAAAGGGCAGCATGGTCGGCTGGGGTACCGTAAGTAGTAAAGAAAGACAAGATGGTGATGTACCGCTATGACATTTCGAAGCTGATGTGGCAATCACTACGCAGGATATTGGTGGCAGCATCAGAATCCCGTCGCATATGATGGGACTGTACGGCCTGAAGCCGAGCAGCGCCCGTCTCCCTTACAACGGAGTTCCTGTGTCCACCGAAGGTCAGGAACATGTCCCTTCTTCGGTCGGGCCCATGGCGCGTAGCTTGTCGAGCATCAAGCATGTCATGCACAGTCTGATCAATGCAGAGCCGTGGACGTACGATGCACGTTGCGCCCCAATTCCGTGGCGCGACGAAGTGTACCAATCCTTCTTGTCCAAGCCTCTGACCATTGGCTTCTTGCTCGACGATGGCGTGGTACGACCTCATCCGCCCATCACTCGCGTGCTCAACTCGGCCGTCGAGGCTCTCAAAGCGGCAGGGCACGATGTCTTTGAGTGGGATGCAACCCTCCACCCCGAGTGTATTGCAGTCATGGACGCCTTTTATTCTGCCGACGGAGGTATGGACATCCGGACAGACGTCAGTGTAGCGGGCGAACCTTTCATTCCCCACGTGGAACGATTGGTCAACCGTGGCGACGCCATCTCCGTCTATGAGTACTGGCAGTTGAACAGAAAGAAGTGGGCCTTGCAGCAAACATACCTCGAGAAATGGAAGACCTTGAAGAGTCCGAAAACGGGAAGAACAGCTGATATCATCATCATGCCGCCCATGCCGCATCCCAGTGTCCCGCACGGAGGAACCCGGTGGGTGGGGTATACCAAAGTTTGGAATGTAAGTTTTGGTTCATTATTTGTGATTGAGCGTTCACGATATTGACTCGTGGGACTTCTAGGTACTGGACTACACAGCGCTCGTCATACCTGGAGGTAAGGTTCAGGTTCAGGACACAGAAGCAACGTGGGACTACCAGCCGCGAAATGATGCAGATGAGTGGAACGCTGGCATTTGGAAAGAGAGAGCAGAAGAGATGGCGGAACTCAAGCTGCCCATTGGCCTACAGATTGTCGGCAGAAAGCTTGAAGAGGAGAAGGTGCTTGCTGTTGGAAAGGTATTGGATGACCTGCTCGTGCGCTAGGATTCGGCACGATGCATCAAGAAGGACACTCTTAGAGAAAATATAGAATGGGTAGAAGATAGAGATAGACTTGCCTTGCAATGATTGAGAACTGCGATGCGGAGAATTTCTAGCTTCTATATAGAGCGAGTGAAAGTAGTTCCATCACCCTAGCGCTTGAATGCAGATACGCAATCCGTAAGTAAGGCAATGATAGCACTTTTAACGGGGGAAAAAAAAAAGCAGCACAAATCTTGAATGTGAGTACTGGAGTTATTTAAGGGATCAATCGACTTCAAGTAGGTATGTAACGACAATGGCTTCGTCAGCAAACACTTATTTGCAGGTTTTGCCTACGCCCTGAGTCCCCAAGAATCGCCTTTGTCATTTAACTTTTGCTTCAGATTAATCAATTACTATTTGTTGGCCTCTACCACTTTGTTACGCCACCATCTACCAAAAAGTCGGTTCCCGTGCAGTAGCTGCTGGCATCACTAGCCAAGAATACACATGCTCCCTTGATGTCGTCAGGCTCCGCTACCCTGCCATTCATGATCTCGTCTTTCCAGCTCTCCAACAAATGCGGGAACGGCGCCGTCATCTCGGTGCGGACGTAGCCAGGGCTGATGCTATTGACGCGGATGCCGTACTTGTTGAGCTCGGCCGCAATGGGCGCAACCATGGCGCGGACGGAGCCCTTGGTGCCGCAGTAGGCCGACGACCGCTGGGACCGGATGGCCATGTGGCTCGCGATACTGGCGACGAGGATGATGCTGCCGTGCTTGGTGCCGTTCTCAATCATGGCCTTGGCGCCGTGCTGCGCCGTGAAGTAGACGCCCTTGCTGTTGACGGCAAACAGGCGGTCGTACCCCTCGCTCGTGGTGTCGAGGAACTCGACGTTGCGGTTGACGCCCGCGCAGGCCACGACAATGTCGAGCTTGCCGCCAAAGTCGGCCTTGACGTCGGCAAAGCCCTTGGCCAGGCTCTCCGCCGACGTCACGTCGACAATGTAGGATTTTGTCTTGACGCCGTGGTCGGCGGCCAGTGTCTCGTATCCAGCGACGGGCTCAATCACGTCGAAGACGGCAATGTCAGCGCCAGCTTCAGCCAGTCCTTGGGCAAAGGCCAAGCCGCAACCACGGCCTCCGCCGGTGATGATAGCAACACGACCTTTGAGCGAGAACTGATGGTATCATATTTAGCTGTTGCATCATATTGGTCAAGAAAATGGATCCTTACTTTACTCATTTTGCCTGTATATGTGAGTATTTGTTGGGACTTGGTATATATATCCCTTTCCGATATAATGATAGCTGGGTTGGCTCTGTCACTGTTACAATTGATATAGGCTTATTACATGCGAACGACGGCAGAAGTGTCTTTTCCATATAACACTTTGCCTGGCCCCGCTGGCCCCCCCTCAAGCCAGCCTCCGTCAGGTGGACCATGATCAATCCACGGCAGACTGCATTCTTTGACTGTTCAACGCCAATACTGATCACCAATCGTGAAACCAAGACCAGGAACGAGAAAGTTGGGGAGTGGGATTAGTGCTTCTTCGGCATCTGCCGAAATGCCACTACACTTTGCTTATCTCCAGGGGTTTCGCTTGGGGAGTTGCATGGTGTTTGTGCCACAAAGGACCGAAGGTGGGGTAAACATGCACCTCCCCTCCGAACGGCGGGTGCCCGACGATCGGCTCTGGGGAGGGGATACGATTAGAATACCATGTGAGGATAGTGTGCAAGAGTGCTTTGTCAAAGGGCCTGGTAAGCGCGATAGTGACAGATCGATTGAATGTCATATTGGAGTTGCTACTGATTCGGGCTGTATCTAAATTCTGTGATCGAGAACATACATTCCAGGATTTTGGCTACTGGACCAGCGAGCTCTTCTGCATTCACCGTACACTATTCAGGGCAGATTTTACAAACAAACAACAATAGCATTTTCAGACAAGTTTCAACCATCAACATGGGTAAGAAGAAGGTCCTTGTGTGGTAAGTCGCTATTGCGAAAATCCATGTTTGATCGTGGAGAATGATGCTCATCCGGCCACAGCTATGGAGTCGACATTGACGCCGTCGCGGGATGGTTGGGTTCGTATGGTGGCGAAGACAGCACATCTGATATCTCTCGAGGACTTTGGGCAGGCAGTGAAGGAACTCGCCGCCTGCTCAAGTTGTTTGCAAAGTACAACATCAAGGCCTCGTAAGTTTTGAGCATTCACACATGGCAACATGTTTTCACCGGGGGAACACCGTGAGAAGCTAACGAAACGCTCAGATGGTTCATTCCGGGGCACTCTCTAGAGACCTTCCCTGAAGAATGTGCCATGGTCAGAGATGCGGGTCACGAAATTGGGCTTCACGGCTACTCCCACGAGAACCCAGTGGACATGACGCTTGAGCAGCAGCGCGATGTGCTCGACAAGACATTTCGCATGCTGACTGATTTCTGCGGCAAGCCTCCACGAGGTTCCGTTGCACCCTGGTGGGAGACCAGCGCCGAGGGCATGGAATTGCTTCTGGATTATGTGAGCAAATTACACAATGCTTTCTTCCTAACTCCTCTTGCTAACATGGCCAATAGGGCATCTGCTACGATCATTCCATGAGCCACGAAGACCACAAGGCATACTGGCTTCGTTCTGGAGATAGTTGGACCAAGATCGACTATTCTCAAAAGGCAGAGACGTGGATGAAGCCGCTAGTCAAAGGCAAAGAGACTGGCCTGGTTGAAATCCCAGTAGGTTGTTTCCAGTTGCAATCACCCCACGCATATAAAGTCCTTCCCAGCAATACAGCCAGGAAATCTGGACGAATATTACAGATTTGCTAACAAATTTACAGGGCAGCTGGTACATCGACGATCTGCCTCCCATGATGTTCATCAAGAAGTCTTCAAACTCCCACGGCTGGGTGAACCCAAGGTAAGTGAATCAGTTTTACTTTGCCCCATGTTGACTGAGGGGTGAAGTGCCCCCTAAGAATCCAGCACTAGCGCTACAGGCGCTGATAACCAAAAACCTCATCCCCAAGTGCGCTTTTGACTAACATGATCAATTACAGGGACGTTGAGCAGATTTGGATGGTATAAAATGTCCCGCCAAAGAAACATTTTGAAAATGGCATTGACTCTTGAAAACAGGATCACTTTGACTACTTTTATCGCGAGTACGATGAATTCATCTTGTGAGTGGCTAAACCAAGCATGCCAGATCACTCTTTCCAACTAATACACCCACCAGCCCAATGACCATTCATCCCGACGTGAGCGGACGCCCCCACGTCTTGTTGATGCACGAAAGGTGAGTGACCATGTCGTCAAGATTTTTCTAAGGACTGGATTACTAAAATGCTCCAACTCAGAATCATCGAACACATCAACAAGCATGAAGGTGTAGAGTGGGTGACGATGGAGCAAATGTGTGATGATTTCCTGGCCAAGAACCCAGTCCCAGAGGGCGCTAGGATGCCGGCTAGCAGAGAAGAGGTCCTGGCAATGCTGGAGAGGACTAAGAAATAATCGATATAATGCCAATAATGAAAGAGATTGATTTTCATGCTCTTGTTTGCTTATGTCTTCTTTTCCATTGCAATATTCAAGTGATGGAGTGCTAAAATGTCTCTTCTGATATTGGCCGTCCTGGCGTGTCACTGAGTGGGGGCGGTTTCGAGCACTGGGAATTGCTGCCAGCCGTTCACTGCTATGTTCGAAGGCAGAAACTCAAACCACAGAGCTATACATTTGATTATTCTATCCATTCCAGCCAGTTTTAAGATCAATAAATTAACGCTTACTTCATTATTTAGGCACAATCATAATTCATTTGCATTGATCGCTAAATATCACTACCATATTCTAAAAACCAATCATGAAGCCTCATATTGTCCAATAAGCCGCATGGGAATCAGCGCTTTCAACACCAAGACGCCCGCATGCACAATTCCCCATCTTGTCTTGCTCAGAGCCTCGGCCATGATCCAGGTCAAGCCTCCCGTGCTACGCCTCGATTGGGTCTGACCAAGATCCCATGGCTTAGCCGTACGCATGCTCGCCAGTAGTTCTTCCATGTCCTTCTTGGCGTCCCAGACCATTTCGCTGCTCTCGTCCTCGGGTCTACCCCACCTGCTAGGACGCGCGTGGTTGTACGCCCACAGGGTCAAAGTCGCGAGGTACAGGCACCACGGCAGGTGAAAGAGGCCCATTGAGTCAAAATCATCGAGGTTGGTCGACGCATCCGAGAGCATGTTTGCGGCATGTATCGCTGCCGCCGCCGCCGCGTTTGTAGATGACGAGCTCGGGTCTCGGGGCGAGGTAGCGGCGGATGGTTGCTCTCCGCTGTGTGCACCCGCAGCCCACTGCTTGACTACTTTTTCCGACCGAATGTAGTCAAATCGGTTGACTGGCCTGCCCAAAATGTGACGCGAGCCCGCGTATATTTGGACGTCGAGAAAGGATGACTTGAGCAGAATTTGGGCGGCGTGGTAGACCGAATTGTACGCCGTGGTAAAAGTGGCAAACTCCCGACGCATTGCCATGGCATCCTCACTAGATGCTTGGTTTTGTTGACGCAGCTTGATTTCAAAATCGGCCGTGTAAGCATCAAAGTCAACTTTCCAGCCATCGTAGGCTACTTCGAGCTTATTTCGCCAGCTGACGCCGCCGACAAAGCTGACGACACCAAGGGCTGTCTGGTCACGTCTTTCCAGGTCCCAAGAAATGGACATCAAGCCGTGGAGTACCAAGACACGAGAGAAAGCATTCAGGTTCATTGGGCGCTGAATGCCAGGGTTGCATAGATAGCGCTTGAGCGCATTCAGGTACGTAATTTCTGGCTGGGAATCCGCCATTTGAACGGTCTTCCAAGCCGTCTCGTCCTTGGCCTCCCACGCGGCCTGACTGCAAGGCATGGTGAGGCGCAATTCAAATGCAGACATGCACAAACTCTGGCAGAATAGAACGGCATGCTGAGTGTCCCACATGAAACAAAGGAGGGCCAAGCGCTTCTTCTCCTCGGCCTCTACCCATTTCTTCCAGTGAGCCTGGAGATCTTTGCCTTCTGTCGGCATCTGCCTGAAGGGCGCCGTCTGAGCTGTCTGGCAATCGGAACGCCGTATGAGATTGATCAACAAGCCGTGGAACAAGTGGCTCATCTCATGTTGCGTCTTTCCCGCTCTGGATTTACCCATACATTCAACCAACAAGATGGTCTTCAGAACCCAGAGCTCAGGCTTGGCCGTGAAGCCGGCATGGCTGAATATTTGGGGTCGGATTGGGTCGTGGATACAGACGGCGAGCTGATGAGCCTCTCGATTCGAATAGGTGGCGCCGAGGAGTATCATGTTTAGCAACAATAGGGGCTCGGTCTGATTGGCGTCAAAGGTCGCACGATGTATAAGTGGGTATGTAGCATTAAACTGGGTGAAATAGAGGTCTAGATATTCTTGAAGTGCGCCGAGACTTAAGCCTGGGTGGTCCCAAGCGTTAAAGTTGCCGCCCGGGACGGCGGGTTGGGCAATGTCCACAATCTCCAAGATGCGGTCTCGCACATCATCTTGTATGATGGGCAGCTTGGAGGATTGATCGAGAGTCGACAGTGGACGTTCCAAGACAGCACTCTCGGAGGGTGTAAAGAAATCTTGCGATGATGTGGCTGGTTTCATTCGTGGGAGGGGGCTGTTAGAGATATTGTCATGACTATCTGTCATGACCTTGTCGCCACCCTGGATCGAGACGGAAGCATTGCTAGAAGGTGTCGGAATATAGGATGCTTCCTGACTATCGCAGGTATCCACCATGGTGGATGATAGGGAGAGCCCTTCGTGGTACGGCTGATGGAGACCGACGTCCACGGAAGGAAATGGTTGATGAGAAGTATGGGAAGAAAATGCAGGGTCCACGTCCATGAGTGGTCCAAACAAAAAGTTATAATTTGCAGCAGTCGTATATGGCATGTTAAAGCTCGAGGCTGTATCGGGCTGGAAGATGTCGTCAAACGGCAGTCCGTACTGCTGAGACGACGAGATGCCCGGTGGGATAAGGCCCGGATCTATGAATAAAGCCTCTTGAACATTCGGGCCGGAGCCGACACCAGAGACAGACGCCCAAAGGAAATTGGAATCATCGTGTTGCTCAACATGAAAGTCCTGGTAATGGCTCGTGTCCGCGTTCCCCGTGGAAGCGGGTGGTGAGATTGGAAGTTCTGTGTTTTGCTCCTGGTTCAGAGACACGCCGTCTTGATGGCCCTGGTGGGCAGACTGGTTCTCGGAAGGCTGTTGATCTAAGGCCGCCGGTTTTTTGGCGACGACGGTGCCGTCCGGAGCTTTCCAAGATCGCTTCCGGGTGTTTAAGATGCCGTTGCCTTCTCCGCCAGCCTCTTCGTCTTTCTGTCGATGGCGGTTGAGGTGTCTTTCTATCATTTACGATTAGACTCAACTGCATGTGTGGTAGGTACATATGCAATAGACGTACCCAGTAGATCTGGCCGTTTAAAGTGTGCACTGCAGCGAGGACAAGTAGCGTCACCAACGCCGTGATTATATCTAAAATAACCAAATCAGCAAAAATACACTTTATTCCTGCCTTAGTCTCACGATACCCCCCAAAACTCCTTGCGCGTCTCCCTCTTATGTTGACAGACAATAGCAAAACTTTGAGACGACTTACTCGTGACGCCTCTGATGCTCAAGCCTGGTGAACCGCTTGCCGCATCCAACGTGACTGCATAGGAAGCTCTTTGTTGGCCTGTCGCTCACATCCGCGTTGGCGGCTCTCCTCTGACGTCTCTCCATGTCGACAATGGGTCAGTGCTGAAATGAGACTTGATTGTTACCGATTCGCGAAACCTCCACTGTTGGCTCAAAGCATGAACGCGCATCAAAGACACAGAGGTGGGATAGAGAGGCTTTCTCATTTACCACATACTCAAAGCCAAGGACTGAAAGCAGCGCTATCGTCAGGGACGGCGCCAGCGTCAAGATCGTTGCTTCTCAAACTCCCCCTGTACTCCGACGATAAGGTAGCACGAGCGTCCTGGAGATTCTGACTCGGAAGCCATCATCCCCCTCCGCTGATAAGCGTAAATGCCAAGAGTGGGGGTATAGTTCCAGCTGCATTTGGTCGAATGTATGTAGTAGGCATTGCAGTTCACTGACCTAGGTTAGTGCTGTCGGCGGTCCTGCTAGCGGACGTAGTGGAACGTGGAATCTATCGCAATCTACACTCTACCCCGGTCAGCTTGCATCAGTGGAAACCTTATCCTACACTGCCTGAGCAGATAGGCGTCACCATTTACCATTTGCTGACCTCTGCTGCAGCGATTACGACCCTCATTACGGAACACAACTGGTCAATGGTCTGTGTCCCCAAGCCGGTCGAGACTTTGGGAAGAAATGTCTTGTGCTTTTGAGGTGGCCTATCACCATCGCGCCATATTGATCATACCTGCTCCCGACACTGACGACCTTTGGTGCGCAACCCCACTATCGACACGCTGGAAACGCTGCTGTTAATATACTGCTTGTGGTGGTATTGTGACGCACTTATACTGCCCAGTACAGCAACATATACCAAAATAATAAGGGAAATGCCCATTGTTTTGTGACATTAATTGACTTCAACTTTGAAACCCTTCATTGTTGTCTATTCTTGATCATTTTCATTTTTCATATCGAGCCCATTTACCAATCTAGATCGCTCGGAAATTGCGATATATTCACAATAATGTCTGATTGGAACATTCCCGTGAGGGAGAAACTCCAAAGAGACCCTTCTAGCAAACTTCATGTGAGCAGCTTGATTATTCGCCCACATTGTGTCATCCCAAGCTCATACATCGCACACAGTGTATAGTCGTAGGCGCAGGTCTTGGCGGCCTAGGGGCTGCAATCAGTATACTGCTCGCTGGCCACGAAGTTACAGTGCTAGAGGCGGCAACAGAGATTGGCGAAGTCGGTGCTGGTATTCAGGTCCTTCCAAACTCTGCCCGCGTTTTATTCTCGTGGGGTCTGAAGGACTCACTGGAGCAATACGCAACAAAGCCGCAGAAATGTAATTTCATCGGCTGGAAGGGAAATCATCTGTCCAGTATGGATTACCATGCATATGCACAGGCGAGCGGTGCTCCTTTCTGGGACTTTCACCGTGCCAATTTGCACAAGTGTCTCCTCGACCGTGCCGTGGAGCTCGGTGCATCGATCCTCACCAAAGCATCCGTTTCGGATCTCGTGATTGCTGAGGACCAACTCAGCGCCACGGTCGTGCTCAAGGATGGCCGCCACATGGAAGCCGACTTGGTAGTGGGCTGCGATGGCATCAACTCGACCCTGCGCGAGATGCTCCTGGGCCACGCAGATCCCCCCGTGCTCACTGGCGACCTCGCATACCGCCTGCTCCTGGACACGGATGCCATGCGCGAGGATCCGGAGCTGAGGTCTTTTGTTGAGACGCCCACTGTAAACTATTGGCTGGGCCCCGATGCCCACGCCGTGAACTACGTCTTGAAAGGAGGCAAGCAGTTCAACATGGTGTTATTAGTCCCTGATGACATTCCGCGCGATTCTCCTTCAAACACCGTCGCCGGCAATGTGGAGGAGATGCAGGCATACTTCAAGGATTGGGACCCTCGGATAAGCAAGCTGACTGCTCTGTGCAAAGAGGTGCAAAAGTGGCGGCTATGCAGTAAGTGCATTTTTCCTACTTGTTTCAAAATGACCAGCCAACAATGCTAATCGCCAATTTACAGTACGCCCCGGTCTTGACCCCACGTGGAGCCATAGTTCCGGCGCATTCACGTTACTCGGTGATGCCGTTCACGCCACGCTTCCGTACCTGGCCAGCGGTGCCGGCATGGCCCTTGAAGACGGCGGCGTACTCGGCCAATGCCTGGCCCGCATCACCGACAAGAGCGCCGCCTCGAAACGCGCCGCGCTCGAGGTGTATGAGGCATGCCGACGGGAACGGACAGAAAAGGTCGTCCAGCGAGGTTCGTACAACCAGTGGATATACCACCTGCACGACAGTCCGGAGCAGGAGGAGCGGGATCAAAAGCTCAAGGACTTTGAGAAGAGGGACCAAGAGTGGATGAGCGAGCCCGGGTTTACTGTGCCCGAGTCGCCAGAGACGGGCGACGATCCGTTTCCCTGGCGTTACCATGGTGTAGCGAGATGGCTATTGACATATGATTTGGACAAGGACGTTGAGAATGGCTGGAAAAATTGGCAGCGCAAGCAAGTTGATCCAGTAGGGGAGCGTGCACAGTTGTAGTATTTGTCATCACGAGAAGTAATATACTGCACTCAGGTTCGCCACAATCATGTAAAACTACTACAATAAAAGTCATGTGCGTATCATTACGATGATCCGCACCGTGTCACATCATTGTCACATTCAGGGAACTGGATTGTTCAGCTAAGAATGGCCCAATGACCCGATTCGTGTGCTTTATCTCACAATCAAGTACACTTGGTAGATTGGCAGATGACTACTTCAAAGAATACACATTAGCTTCTGACCGAGACTATAGTATGTGATTATTTTGCTCAACTCTTGTTTTTTCCCAACATATTCCATAACTTCAATCGTACTTGTCAGTTTTAAAAAGGAGTTTCTCACAATAAATTACAGGTTTTATCAGGAGTGTCTAGATGGAGTCTTGAAGACAGAGCCCTTGAGACTTGATAATTCTTACTTTTTATTCTATCTTCTCTTTCTATGAGATAAGCTCATGCCTGAGGTTGCTCTAAAAGCATACTATTCAGGTAGCACCTCTAGTACTTGATTTATTTCAATGTCATAAACCCTTATGCCTGAACCTCGACGGCTTTCGCGGCTTCGTAGAAAGGATAGTCCAAGTAGCCCTTTTCTGGGGGCGATGCGCCGTAGAAAGTCGTTCGGTCATAGGGGTTGAGGGAGTAGCCTTCCTTTAGCCTCTCGACCAAATCTGGGTTGGCGATGTAGAAACGGCCCATCACAATACCATCAGCCAGATCATCCTCAATCTTGGGGCCGGCGTTGTCCCTGTCAAAAGAGCCAGCAGCCAAAAACTTGATGCCGGCGGGCTGAAGGGCCTTGCGGAAGGGAGTCAACGAGTTCTTCGTCTTTGCAGATCCAGTCTCCGAGGATGTGTACGAGGACAGCTCAGCCAGCTTTTGCTCCTCGTCCAAGACCTCGTCAAATCTGGGCTCAACCCTGGTGTGAATGTCAGTAATAGATTCATCTTCATCGGCTGTGTCTGAATCTTACATGTGGACATAGCACGGTCGTTGCGACTCGGAGAGACTGGCAATCTGCTCGCAGAGGTACAACCAGTGTGCATTGGGGTCGCTGTCCTTGGTGTCTTGGAAATAGTTGAAGGGACTGAGTCTGATACCGACCCGGTCTGCACCGATGGCGTCGGTCACGGCCTTGATCACCTCGAGCGTGAAGCGGCATCTGTTTTCTACAGAACCTCCATACTCGTCGGTGCGAGTGTTGATGTTGTCGTGAAGGAACTGCTCCAAAAGATAGCCATTGGCGCCTATACTGTTAGTTTGGGGTTCATGCTAGTTTGTGTCGAAGTATGAGGTTACTTACTGTGAATCTCAACACCGTCAAATCCTGCAGCAACTGCCCTCTTGGCTGCGGCAGCAAACTCTGCAGTTGTGGCGTGGATCTCCTCGACCGTCATGGGCCGGGGCGGGTTTTCAGCGCAATCCGAGCCGTCCAGGTACTTGCCCTTCATGGGCTGCGAGGTCGAGCTGAGCGAGACCTTGCTGTTGAGCATGCCGGGACCGGATGCTCGTCCCGTGTGCCAAATCTGGTTGAAAATGAATCCGCCCTTGGCATGGACAGCGTCGGTCACTGCTTTCCAACCGGCAATCTGGGACTCTGTGAAAATGCCGGGCGTGCCAGGGTACGCGGAGGCGTCGAGGCAAATGTCCGTTGCCTCGGTGAGTTGCAGTCCACCCTTGGTGGCGCGCTGGCTGTAGTACTCAACCACGCGACTGCCGGGGACGTGAACTCCATGGCTTTCCTTCTCAGCCCTCATACGGGTGAGAGGAGCCTGAAAGATGATGAGCATGACTTGAAGGGAATCTTGATCTTCGCCATTGGGAGCTTACCTGAATGATGCGGTGGGAAAGCTCAACAGCGCCAAGCTTCAAAGGGCTGAAGAGCTTGGTGTCCTTGAGCGGAACATACTGGGGAGGTGGGGAGTTGGCCTTGGGCATTCTGGCGGTTGTGATGGTGCGGATTGCAATGATGCTGTTCTGAGTACAGCTGGTTAGGGACAAGTTGGAAAATGATCTTTTGAATCTTGAAATGCCCTTCATGTATCCTAGTGGTTCATGTTTCTCTATCACATTTGTAACACGATATAATCGAGGCCTATATCGCTTCGGCATCCCCCAATCGGCTTGCCTCTCTATCTTCCAGCTAGTAAGTGATCGACTAGCGGTATAATGCGCCGCCAGTGGGGGGCACCTTTAGTGGGTGGGAATGGAGAAGACGGGTGTAAGGGTACACTGCATAAGTGGAAGGAAAGTGGGGGTTTGATCACTGTAGCCGCTGTGGAATTCGGCAGGCAACTGGCCGGCAGCGAGGGTAGCGCTGGGCATTTGCATGCAATTCCCAAAGAGAGCAAGCCCAGATCCGGCTGCGCTAGAATCTTGTCGATGCCTTGGAGCTCATGCACATCGCAGAGTTATCATAGACGTCCAATCGAAATCTGCACGAATTGTAATTGTACAATCACCCTGTAAGGGAGATGGAATCGACATGGTGATGAAGTAAGAACAATCGCTAAGGGTGGAAAATCTCGATTCACAGGTCCCTAAGAATCTTCATTTGCAAATACCTAATCTGGACAAAATACGACGGGCTCTTTGAAATCCATTTCGTCGCCGTCGTTGGCTCATATAGTTTCCCGCGTGTGCTGTCGTCGCAGTGAAGTTGGTCAACATTTGGCTACAAGGAACCTAGTATAACAAATTGACTTACCTGACCTGGGCTGATCCAGTTCCAATAGAGTGTCCTTGAATGATTGGAAATCTTCACACGCTGGGCCAGTGAGCGCCTGAACATAGTCGTAAGCACGCTGGCAGTATTTCCTGATTTCGGCTGGCTGATTCTGGCCGGACAGCAATGGTTGCAGATTCCACGTTGCGCGGATCGCAGGACAGGAATTCATCGCCTGAACATGACCCATGGCTCGTTCGTACCCTCGGAGCGCTCGCCCGAACATGCCCAGCGCCTTTCCCAGTAGGCCCTGGTTAGTATAGAGGAGGCCTAGATTGTAAACCATTCTCAGAGTTTCTGTGTGGTCTGGGCCCCAGGCCGCTTCATACCCTCGGAGCGCGCGATTGTACATGCATTCGGCCTCTTGAACCTTGCCCTGGTTGGCGTACAATACACCGAGGCTGTTCACCACGTCAAAGGTTTCTGCATGATCCGGCCCCAGTATCTTTTCATATCCCTGAATCACCCGCATAAAGATGGCCTCGGCCTCTTTCTGTCTGTCATGGTAGGCGTACAAGACCCCAATTCTGTGCAAGGCCCAGTTCAAGTCGTCGTTATCCTCTCGCAGGCTAGCATAAGCTCGTATTGCATGAGAAAGAAGTCGTCGTTGGAGTAGCCATGAGTCAAAGTTGTTCTGCGTTGTGATATTCGCCGCTATACATTTCAGTGCAAGCGGACTCAGTCGTCCATCCGCATTTGATAACAGCGTTTGGGCGATCCAATCATGCAAAGAGTTGTGGATGCGATATGTATTAGAGTCTGTTAGCCATGAATTCGAGGTCTGCAGCTCGACAAGTCTATACGCATGCAACGTATCCATCGCCATATTGAATGTTAACTCGTCATCCAATTCATAGACCCACGCTAGGCCTTTCTGTTGAGCACAGGACCGGACGAGTTCGAACCATAGGTCGTCGTTGTCAAAGTAGGCGTACAATTGCAGCAAGTGAGCTGCAACAGGGCTTTGAATCTGGACTTTCTCGTATGACAGATTCCACACGGCATGTAGCGCGCGATCTTGGTGTGAATCTAGTCGCGAAACGCTTGATGAAAGCCGCTTTTCAAGAAGGAGAAGGTACTCAGCGATCGTTATTGAATTGTGTCGTAGGTACGATCCAGCTGTAGAAATGGCAAGAGGAAACTTCCCAAGCCTCTCCAAGAGGCAAGCCACATACTTGTCTTTGATGACAATCAGTATTGCCCAATACGCTGGGGAGAACTCACCATCTTGTAGATCTTCTCGACCAGAGGTAACAGAGAGAATCTCAACAGCCTCGCCGATTGACTCGAGCTTATTGATTGAAATCGAATAACCTATATTTATCTTTGGTATACGTGTCGTAATGATAATAGAGCCTCGATTTGCCAGCGGAATGTGATTGCGAATATCCATGTCCAGATCGTCTGCATGACTGTTGGAACATGCATTGCCGTAGTTGTCGAATATAAGTAACCAATTCGTGTTACCCGGAAGGCTAAACCACATCTTGACAGCCTCGACGACATCTTGATGTTCGTGCTGCAAGTTGAGGGATCCAAGGTAGTTGGAACCAGGATTTCGCCGAATGATCTGCCGAGCAACGTTTGTGAAGCTCTGTTGGATCGAGGCAGTATTCTTCATATTGACAAAGAAGACATCGTCATAATGATTTTGGTAGCGCTTTGCATATGACATGGCAACATGTGTCTTACCGACGCCTCCCCGACCATGCAGAACGACGACACGGTGGGTATCACTAGGCGCCAATATCCTATGTATTTCTTTCAATTCTCTTTCCCTCGAGGTGCAAACATATTTTTCGTAAGGCCCAGATACTGCGGATGAATGTTGTCTGCAGCTTATGCAGGGTGATCTTTCCAGCATATTGTTTCGAATTCTTCTAGGCACAATCTCGCCTTTCTGGAATTTGGTTTTCTCAATTTCTTCTCGTAGCCGTCTCATCGCGTTCGTTTTGCCCTCTCCGTAGATCAGCGGCAGATAAACATCGAATATGCCAAGCAGAGAATACGCCATGTCCTCTTCATACTTCGTCCGACGATTACGTATCCATGATTCTCGTTCGGAAAGAGAGAATTTGCATAGCGGTGTGCCACGGAGGGCGCGCGCAGGAATATGAGTGATGTCGCATATTAGCGACTCCAACGACTGCTTGTCGCCTATCCATATCCCTTCTCGCGAATAGAAATCAACCTTCTTCGGGGCAAGTAGCTCTTGCAGCGTCCATCCACGAGTGAACCATCTACTGTTCCGAAAGGCAATCTCCCATGGTGCAGCTTCTCGCTTTGTATGCGGCATTGGCGACTCTTGTTTCGAAACATCGTCAAGGTAAACATAACAACGGCTTGCATCACGGTACCACCGGAACATGCTATTGATGGCATTTTGAAGTTCGACGTAAGCAAGCTTGTCGACACAGCATGTATCAATCCAAAAGTGTTGCAATCCATGTTGTCTCGCTTGATCTGCACAGAATTTGATTTTCCTGTAGGCGGCCCTATTCTGCCAAGTGCCTTCTCCCTCTGATTCAATTATGTCGGCAAACTTGATCTCATCCGTTCCCCAAGTGTGAGAAAGTATCGCATATGGAGGTATGTCGGAACAAGAATCAGATGTGAACTTGTATCTTGATCCATCGTCCTGGTAGAGTAAGCGCATCATCATGACTGGGAAATGTCAAAATGAGAGTATGTCAAATTCAAGGGACTGGCTTGAATCAAAGACAAGAGAATGGTATAAGACCAAGAAATACATCATGCACCAGGCGTCATCGATGCTGATGCGAACCGTGGCGACTGCCATTCGGAATTTGGTGCATGCATAATGGCCAAACAGCGGAAGGCTACCCTTGGATGCCTAACGCGGGACCGACGATTGCCTGCATTCTGTCCCCATCATGTTGGAGATCACCATGGGTCCAGGCGGTAATAAGCACCATGTCAGCATGTCCGCTTGCCACGTTGACGTACTAGCCCGCCTTAAAATAGCAAAGGACAGTGATCGGCCTAGGTGCATGAAGAGCTCTTAACCTCATTCGCTGAGGATTATAAATGGAGATTTCCGAGAAGGAAGATGATACTATTCGCGAGTAGAAATCGTTCTGGCTATAAATGGATTGATTTGCTGCGGTTCCTGTAGACATGAGGACAAATCAAGGGGGGAAAAGAGAAGAAGAATAATGATAGTTACTAAGTCAAGTGTCCCCAACATGAAAATGGAGATTGACATTTTATGTACCAGCTCATCGGCCAAACTGACAAGGCCACCAATTATAAATATATTTTCGTGCGCCCACATCCGTCTTTACTATCAATGCATCTATATCTTAATCTATCCATCGTCTTGCCAATAATCCCACGATTTCGTCAAAGCCATTGAGCTACTGCGTCAATTTCTCAATGCATCATCGTCATCTCCTGGCAACCTTGTAATGTCGCTTTTCGTGAGTCCTCTATATTTCTCTTCTGGGATACAACCAAGCCTAGTGAAGGGTCAGTTTGTTTTTCTTCTTCCCTCTTTTTCCACGGACCATCCAAATTCAATGCAATAGTCTTCTTTCTGGAGCCGCTTAATATGCTGGGTGCTTGGTACTTACACACTGGGTCCAACCTTGGCACTCCTTGAGGCCGTAGAATTCCTGAAAGCTCATAATGAGCGGGTGCCATTTGTCAGGATCGACCCGATTTGCATATCCTTCCATGCGAAGCTCGTCATCAATGTGGATACGGAGCACTCTGACTTCGATGGCTAGTACAAGGCCACAGCGGTCGGGCAGGTCTGGTCGCAGATTGGTGACCTGTAAGAATTGACATTCCATCTGCACGGGACACTCGGCGATGCGCGAGGGCTGCACAAAGTCGGACGGCTGCGGGCTTAGCTGGGCCTTGGTCCACTTGTCCTTGACAAACTTGTAGTCTCGCGATGCTTTGGAAGCTGAGACAGGGTTTGATCCGGTCGTACCGGCGAGTTCGTTGACGGCTGCTACCATTGTGTCGCTTGGAAGATTGAGGACGCACTCTTTTGTGCGCAGCAAGTTCTCTGTCGTCTTGGATGTTGCATCAAGACCCAGCACGCATGAGTGTCCCAGCCAGAATGCCGAGCTCATTGGAGCAATGTTGGAAGTGCCATCTTCGTTCTGACTAGTAATCAAGACGACTTTTTTTTTGTCTGTTAGTTATTGGTCAATTACGAACTCTCGGGCGAGTGGATTACCTGGAGTTCCCCAGTAGAGGATCGCAGGCGAAATGACGGAGTGAGTGTTGGAAGCCATGATCTTTCTCGTGAATGAAGTTGAGTTATAAATATTATTTTGTGGTTCATGTGACTTTTTTCACTGAGTGTTTGACGCCTATTTATACAATTGCAAGTTCCTATTGTGTCCGCTGCCGAGTGCATGTCCGCGGAGATACACTCGTTTTCCCCCAGCTTCGTAATCATCTTGAGTCGTTTGTGCGTATCTTGGAAAATGAATCATGGCAGATTATTGTGGGATATTAATGTTGCTGTTGAACCCGTCTTGCGTCTTCATTTGCAACTTCAATAGCAAGCGTCAAACTGCGGGGTTCTGTAAGATTTGCCGTACTAGACTCTGATTCGTCACTTTGATGGCAACTCAACGTTGATTGGCCACTTCAATAGCAAGCCGGTGATGACTCGTCGGCCCTTGGCGGAAATATGTCTTTTTTTTTTTTTTTCCCTTTCCCTCCACGCGGCGAGGCCAGAGTCTCTATCTTTCAACTCATTTTCCGACTTGACTTCAATCATATCGTTGTCAATTTATAAGCAATAATTCGTTCAAATCAGCACCGCCAAGTCACTCATACTATCCTTGACGGCGCGCGAACCCCTTGGCCGAGTTTGGTGCCAGTGACTCAGAAGATGACGCTAGCTTACCGAGAGGACGGAGCCAAATGGAGAGCAGTCCAGCAACGCGAGCGCACGGCCGATGGCTCCTTTGTCTATGCAGTTCGAACAACCAAGATCTACTGCCGACCAGTCTGCACCGCCCGGCTCGCCCGGCGCGGCAACGTGGAGTTCTTTGACTACCCACGCGATGCCGAGAACGCCGGCTATCGTCCGTGCAAACGCTGCAAGCCCCAGGGCGGCGTCATGATGCCAGAAGCCGCCGCCACGACGAGGATCAGGGCCTTGATAGAGCAAGAGACCCGGCAGCAGAGTTCGCTCGATCCCATTGATCGCGACCTTGGAGACATTTCCAAGACAACCAGCCGCCTCGCTTGCAAAGCTCAGGTTTCCAAGTGGCATTTCCACCGAACGTTCAAGGAAATTACGGGCTTGACCCCTTCCGAGTACTTTGCGCAACAACGTTCGTCAAGGGCAAGCAATAATGTCAGCACGTTGCTGCATCAAGATCAGCTTTCGACTACTACAACTGAATACTCTCCGCATATAGATGCTACCTCAGATGTCCCGACACCTGGGGTGGGTGAAGGGGAAATATACAGCAATTTGTTTGATTGGTCGTCATTATGCAATGACCTCTCGACTGAAATAGTATTGCAACAAGACGATTTATTTCTTTTTAATGATGTGTCAGCAAACTTTTGTCAAAGAGAATACTCAAGTACAGGGGTTGAGCTCGGATCTAGTTATCATTAGAGCTTACTCACCTAGACAAGTCGGATGAATAATGACAAGAAAATTCAAGTGATTTTATTCCCTAGTATACTAATAAAACCAAGCTCTGTCTGACCCTTGGCGCATGTCAATTAAGCGTCCCGAAGGAACATGATTGCAAAAACAAGTAAAATGGAGGCTTCGAGAGGGTCAATTATTGAAACTTTGCGAACACTTGACCCTTTTCCATTCTTTCCCAATTAATTGGGTCATGAGAGCATAGTATGATCGTCGGTTGCTGACTGGCGAACTGTCGAACTTTAGCTAGAGTTTGTAATGATAGTTCAGGCTGCCATGTCACGCCGTCCGCAACATTGTCCCGAATATTCCTTTCACTGCACGATACATCAGCCCCAATAAAGTAAGTGATCCCATCGGAACCCTTCACAATGATAGAAGCGTGACCTGGGGCATGGCCAGGAGTTGGAACTATTGTGATTGCCCCGTCGTCTGTGATGGATAGAGACTTGGCAAAAGGTCCGACAGAAATATGCTGGTAGTCGAAGAGCTCTGGTTTGAACCAAACAGGCCACTGGTTGGGAAGATAGCCAACCTTGCTTCCGATCAAACTTGTGGCTTCCTTGTAGTTTTCTGCAGACACGAGGATTCTCGAGTGAGGGAAGTGGTGTAGGCCACCAGCATGGTCGTGGTGCAGGTGCGACATGATGACTGACTTGATATCCTTGTCCGGATCCAAACCCATAGACTTCAGACGTTCGCCTATTTCTTCATGGGGAGCAACAAGCACCTTGACGTTGTCCCTGATTAACTTGGGCAGATAGCCAGGCACGGAATTTCGCCACGTGTCGCCAGTGTCCACAAGGTAGTTGCCAGTGGAGTGACGAATCAGAAATGCAAATATCGGCCACGGCTCCGTCCATCGATTGTCTCGCGCCATGTCAAGCTTGCGCATGATTGTGCTACGCCCAGGTTTGCCCACCGCTTGCGACTGCTTCACAATGACTTTCCCAGTCTCAATCAGGGTAACGTCACAAAAGTGTCTCCCATTTGGAGCTGAACGTGAGAAGGCCGCAGTAGGATGGAAGAAGAAACGATTCGTATAACTTCACGATTGTTGAGGCGGCAGCTGCCAACGAAGTGACTTGCGGAATTGGCGTAAAGACATGTTGAATTCGTCAATAACGATAAACAAAGTTGCTAGAATTCTCAAAGGCGACAGCTTTTGTGTATTTTGGTTCCGAAGCGGCTTGTATTGATAACGGATTGATTTTCGATGATATGAATTGCCATTCAATTCGTACTGCACCTTCCCGTGGACCTCTCGGGAGTCGGAACCAGGCGAAACTGGGGCGCATTCGGAATTCCGTATTCGCCGGTCCAAACTCAAATGCGAGCACTGACTTGGCATATGTCGAGAACCCCCCGCGTAGTCTGCCACCACTCGGGCTTTAGCCACGGCCGAACCCTGATCCACAAGACCCGGGTCCCCCACCGCTTAGGGGTTGGGATGATAGCTCTTGCTACCGCGTGGCCCCGTTGCCGACCCGAAAGCAATTTCTGCGCAGATTCAGCCCAGTGGGTTTCTCATTGACCAGTTCGTGAAGAGGCTTCAAGCGGCGGTTTGCGATGAATTTGGTCGAGTGGCCGGCGGAACGACGCATTTGTGCCGAGGTCGCGAGTTCTGTCACGCAGTTGTGCTCTCTAGCCTGAGCGCATTGCTGACATGTTAAGCGGCAACTCCTGACATCAAGAAGTATAAATCTCCGTTTTTCATGGGCGTGACGGTCAGTGAGGCGCACGCATACCCAGGCATAATCGAGTACGATCACCAACTCGGTAGAATACACAGAAGATTTGGCCCTATTTGGCAGTAGTCTACTCAGCATACCGCCTACAATCGATTCGGACTAGGACTATGCAGCATCTCCACAAGCGCAGTGGCAGCCAATGCCCTACCCCGCGATTGCGACACGCGCTAAAACCACTGTTATAGTAATCCTGACATTTCTGGTTGCTAAGATAAACTCGCAGGCATCGTCTTATAATCAAGCTCCACAAGGCATTTATAGATCAGTATCTCTATATTGCACTTCACGAATAAGGTCACCGATGCCCGGCTTAGACAGGCGCATATTCGAGCCGGTATCGCATCTGCCGCTGGGTTATGCCGCAAGGACTCGCAATATTGATTAGCTCGGTATTCCCCCGGTCTGGAGTTTACCTTGGTTGTGGATGCCGGATTTAGGATAAGGAATGCTTTATCACTCGGGCCTAGCACCCAACCCGGGAATTCGACCTTAGCTTAGTACTGTACATTTGTCAAGATATGACAATATGTTTTGTCGCTCCAAGGTATCTCGGTGTTTGTGCTGCGTGAATCTACTCGGCAGTGCATCGCCTCGCTGACCATTATTGCCGATTGTACATGCACGCTGTGTTCGAGTGATCAAGCAAATATGGAGACCTTTCAAGGCAACTTGGTAGGTCCTGGTTAGTACATAGTGACCTTGTCGACATTCCCCGGGCGGACTTCTCGAAAGATGCTGTGCCGAAAATAAAATGCCCCGTCCATGACCATCAGCGGTAAAGAATGCTCAGCCTCACAGGAAGATGGGTTTGGTCGTTTGCACAAGAAAACAAGTCCTGGAGCATACCCTGCTCATCGCCATAGTCCTCGTACAACCCCTACTCAACTTTCCTCCGCTGCCGGGTTTGCACATTGGTATTGAGCTAAGTCTTGGCAAAGGCAATGCGTAACATGAGGAATAAGAGGAACCAGGCTGTACGATATAAGCCACGTCGGTATCTGTGAGCCGCTGGGTGGGCTACGAGGGTTCTTAGCGTGTTACATGTGTCACGTAATCTATCGGTACCATTTCAACCAATTGTAAGGCGTAAAGAGGACGCCTCATCCTTACTCAATACTTCAAAAGTATGCCATCTAACCCTCACCGAACATTTACCCCGGCCCATGGGGAAACAATGCCACAGGGAATCAAGAGGGATCATCGACGACAGACCAACCAGGTTGTATCATTCAGGGATGCATGGCGGCCATGGCCAGCTTCAGCGACTAGCTCCAACAATATGATTTCTACACAATAGCCCGTAGCTCAGGCAGCGTGCACACCCCTTTAACGGGCTCTCAGGGGGGCCTAGCAGGGCTATGCCCTTCATCTAATGGCTACTGGCGAGTACATGTCGATCGATGTAGATACCGCCCCCCTGTGTACACATTCAAATGTGACGCTAAGCTGACATCCACAAGACAGCACAAGTGCGCAAGTCGGACTTGACATTTTTAAACACCATTCCTGTCCAAATCCTAGCGTGTCTCCCCTAGAAAGCAGTCTCAATCTTCACTTCCTCTGAACCGACTAATTTTCGGCTGACATTACCCAAAAAAGTTCAAACCCTTTTCAAAACGATTTAATACTGACTCTCTGTTACCATGGGTAGCCATACCGGAACCTGGTTGCCTGCTACATTATTGATAATTCTTGGGGTCTTGACATCCTCAGCCTCTTCTTGTGATTCTTGTCAATTTCGAAATTTTTTCCCTAGTTGGTCCGGTGAACTAGAATCACTTGGAGACAATGACTGCTCTACGTATCGGGATGCTTATTTCAACGATCGAACAGCTACCGGATACACAGACCAAAAAGTACGATATTCTTACAATTTGGCAAATTGCATGTTGCAATCTATGAGCGAATTCAAAAAAGTTGAAATGGGCGTGGTGGCTCTCGTTCTTGGTTTACTGCCAACTGTTTTCATGCTTATAGGACCCGAACCCGAGGATATAAGCCTCCTCGCGTTCCGTCGACCCATCCTAGCAGCATTTCTTGCGATTTCTCTCCCTTCGTTCCCTATCAGTATTGTATCTACAAGTTCTACAGCCCTGCTGCGCCAGCCAATTGGTCTCCCGTTCCAACCATGGTTCCCGGCTAATACGCCCACATGGGGCAAGGCTCTTTTATCAGCATGCGAATACGCCCTTGCAGGAGCTGCAGTGGCAAACATGGTCTTCACTGTCTACCAACTGGCATTCTGGGCGATTTCCGTGTCAACTATCGCTATACAAAGTGGTGTCCTACCGTCGACGTATGGCCCCTTCATGTGGCTAGGAATCAACCTTGTTGTGCAGGCGATCGGATTTTGGGTCTTCTACTTAAGATATGAGAGAGGTCCGGACTTATCTGGGAATGGATCTACGGGTTGCTGGCTCTCAAGAGAATTGACACCGTGTATTTACGGCCAGCCCATGCGGCTTCGATTTGCTGAAGACACATATCTATGCATGATATTGTCGTCATTTTTGACCATCGGAGCCGTTGTGCTATTAGTATTCACGACGATGGTTTTGGCCGGCCAAATATTCATCTCCCTCGGAGACGCAGTAGCTATTGTTGGCAGGTTACTGATCGGAGCTTTGGTATGCCGTACCATACTAGCGTTCGAGCTGCGATGTCTAAGAGAAATCACGAACAAGGTGGCAGTGCCCTGAAATTTAGAAGAGCTGAATACAAGAGATCATTCTTGCTAATGGAGGGAATGTGGACTCGATACTTTCCGCTATCCACATATGTCCGGGACATCACCTCTTCCGGCCGTCTGGGTACTTTGCAAAGGATCATGTCCGAGCACAGTCTGGCATACGTCGACCTCGCTCCGGACCATATCATGGTCAACCCGGATCTCGCTGGCGGAATTCTGCTCGACGGTGGGGTTTACAGTCTCTTCTGGGTGTTCCAGGCTGTGTATCATGCAAAAGATTTTCAATCGCGGCCACGTCCAGTGACCCATTCATTTTGCTCCAAATATGCCTCTACTGGCGTGGATGCAATGACGACAATCTTGATGGAGTTTCCCAGAGCCGAGAAATACGGCGGGCCTGTCCATGCCGTTGCCTCAACATCATTGAGCTTATCTATTGACGCGGTTGCTATGAATGCTGGATGTGAGATGCCCAATATCAGGATACAGGGGACGATGGGTGAAGTACAGATTTTCCCTCCAGCATACCGCCCTACGAAGACGAGGTTGATATTGAAGGATGGCACGGTCAAGGAAAAGTCTTGGCCACAGCCGGGACCCGGTGTTGGGAGCGGATGGTATAATGGTTACGGTTCTACTATTCATCCCGAAGGTGAGGGCCACGGATTATTCTGGGAAGCAGATGAAGCCGGAAGGGCTATTTGTGGTGGCCAAAAAGATAGGCTTTCGAGGGATTTGGAAGAAAGCATACTGGTTCTAGAGATCATGGATCAAGTGCGAGCAAAAGCAGGACTGGCGTACCCTAAGGCGGTTGAGAGCACGGAGTATTAAAGAAGAAAAAACCTAAGTTAGGATCCAAACCTTTTTGTCTTATTCTTTATTGCGCGGATATGAATATTGTCAAATTGTAGGAATAAGTGGAGCGCTTCTCCACACATGTATATATCTTTGACCATCCAACCTCTGTTGGATGTGAACAACTCAACTAATACATCAACTATTACCCATACCTATCATATCTTTTCACAAATATAGCATTTGTTATCATATGTAATTTCCCGGGTCAATATATGTGCTTTTATTTCATAACCGCAGGCGTTCAAGCCTTCTCAACACCCTGGATAGGTCCGAGCCATGAACAAAAAGAGCAACGGGGAGCTGTGGCTGCGTCGGATGATCGTCGATGCATTATCTGTTTGCCGTTTTAAACGCCGCAAAGGTTGTCCGGAGCAATGACCTCAAGGCTCCAGGGTCCTGATAAGTATTGTGTACCTGTTGAGCCACATCTGTCCGTGCGTATGGCGGCGAGACCGCTGGTGCTCGAAATTGCCCCGAACACCTGATTACGACTCTGCTGGCTGGATGAGGTAATGCAAGTCAACGGATTCTTTTCTTGCACCCGGGGCAATCGCCAAACACGCCCTCAGCTAAGACGATCGTTGGGAGCACAGCCATGACCATGCACTTGCTTGATGTGAATGATATCGTCGCTTGATTCAAAGTCATAATGCAAAAAATAGGTGCTCTGGAGATTTCCACAAAAGCGTGTCGCATTGGCCGACTTGCCATCACTGGAGTGCTCCTTATTTATGACAACTCAGTCATTGCCAATCGTCCATGCGGGAAGGGTAATCCTTGATTCTTATGTACTCGATTGATCACTTGTCTTTCCATCTGCTCTTGGATATATCGTGTGCGGAGATGAAAGTAAGGAGATCAGTCCCCGACTAGATGGGGAAATGACATGGGATTCTTGGTCGAAACGGTTTTCCCATCCCACGACCCTGTGCTTGCGGATCGTGGGGGTGCTCATCAGGGCCGAGACCTTCTTATCACCGTTAAGATTTTAAGCTTTCCGTTGTGGGTCTCGCGCATCTATCATCCGTGCGAAGCGTCAAACACTCCGAAGTCCGGATGAACATTCTTGACAAGCACCAAGTTCCAAGAGCCCTTGGATACACGTAAAGATGCGGGTAAACATGCAGCTTTCCATTTTCTAGTCGCCAAAGAAAAAAAAATTCATTCAGGATGCATCGGCTTTGTGTCCTCGGATATAAAAGAATTACCACGATTCCGCCGAATGCATCACGCGAGACCACCAAAGCACTCTGTAGAGTGCCAACCTTTTCATGTTCCTGCTTCCGAGGTGGGGGCACACACCCATCAACGAACCCCAACTCCCATTCGGAGGGACCAATCGTACCCTGACGATAGGACAACGCCTCTCTTGAAGCGAGGACTTGGGCCTCTCCGCTTAACATAATCGATTTGCTACCCCGCGCAGACAATCGTCAGTACATTGCTGAGCTTATGCAATCTTCTGCATGATGTTATGAAACATTCTGCGGACCCCGTTCGATTCGGCCGGGCCGTGCGCGAGAGACGGTCCAATGATAGAGGGCAAGGCGCCTATACACTGCGATAAGTATTGGTGCCAGCAACCATCGCCTATTGTGGCAAGCGCACAGGTTTAGTTTTGGGACTGAGTGTAGCAGCAATGAGGGTGTACAGCTCTCCTGTTGTCATGTGAACGTTAGAATCGCACATCGAGATGATGAAGAGTATATCTAGACGAGGTAGACTCGCGGTCCCGGCTCTCGGTTTCTGTTGAAAACGGGTTCTCCAGCCTCGATCGACTCCTGCTGGCCAGTGGCGCATTGAAAGCCCATACTCAATTGAAGCTATACAACGCGCCTGTAAGCAAGTATCCTGATCTAGGCCACCATGTTGTTCTTGAAACAATTGGCAACTCTGTTGGTCTTTGCGATGGCGCCGGCAGTCAACGCTCAGAATGCCACGACAGCTATAACACCAATCATGGTGATTGGCGCTATGCCGCAATGCGCTGTAAGTGAAAAAAGACGGTTCTGACTCTTGGCAATCTCATCTACTGACGAGTCCATTGTTCAGCAAGTGTGCCTCGTTGCCGGCATCGAGACTGCAAGCTGCTCCATGACCGACATTAGCGCCTTTGCGGACTGTGTTTGTCTAAACGTTGGACTTCAGTCGGACTTCAACAAATGTGTTCAGGACAGTTGTGCTTCCATGACTGACTGGGGAAGTATGTTATCTTTTGAACCTGTGTCGTGTTTGATGTACAAATGGCTCATATTATTACCTAACCTTAGCCGCACTGGGTATAGAAGGAGTGCTATGTGAAGCCTATCCCAAGGAAGATCGCACATCGGTTCCCTTGATTGCTGCGATTGTGGGTATCGCCATTGTTGTGCCTTGTGTCGCTGCTAGACTAGCCTCACGACTGCGTTACACTGGAAGACTGTGGCCAGATGACTGGGTCATGATATTCACCGCTGTGAGTGCAAAGTCTATATACACCTGTTTTCTTCTGTCAACTGTGCTCACATCACTATCAGATCGTTTTTCTTGGCCTGGCAGCTATTCTCATAGTCAGCGCACGACTTGGACTTGGTGTACACTTCTGGAATATGAAGATTGAAAACGCCATCCCTTTGATGCAGGTAATTATTCCTCAAATGCAAAACCGTACAGGGTCGGCCGTTCTAAAACATATTAGATCTTCTTTGCCTCTCAAGTCATGTATATTGTGGTTACCTTTGCTGGGAAGCTCGCCATTTTACTTCTTTTCTTACGAATTTTTGACACTGGCAGCAAAAAGACGTTTGCGCGGGTGATCAAAGTTTGCATAGTATTGCAGTGTCTCGACAGCCTCACCTATCTCTGCCTGATCGTTACGGAATGCATCCCCATTTCTGCAGTCTGGGACAAGTCCATTACAAGCCCCAAGTGCTTGGATCTGCACGCGATATCAGTTGCAGGGGCTATCTCATCCATGACCACCGATGTCATTTTGATGGTTCTCCCGATACCAGTGCTATGGACACTGCAGGTGAGCCGGGCCAAACGCATAGGCCTCGTCTTCCTCTTCGCTGTTGCATCGCTGTAAGTGCATTCTGAGCTTGGATACGACCATCGGGCCTTTCTTGCTAATCTGTGGCACTTTGATAGTGGCATCGTAGCTAGCGCTGTTCGTTTCAGCTACCTGGTGAAATTAAACGGAGATACTGACGAAACTTGTATGAACTCTTTCAATCATGCTTTCGTCTGACAATATCACTGACTCCAAGCAGGGAACAATGTGGACGTGACGATTTGGAGTCTCGTCGAGATTCTCTGCACCATTGTCTGCGGTAGTATACCAGCCATGAAACCACTTCTGACTCGGGCTGTCCCAACGGTCAACCTGTCCATTTCATGGCAACGGAACTCAAAGGGATCGTCAAACCAGTATGCCAAAGCCAGTCAGCCATCAACTGGGACTTCCCAGTCCAGCCACAGTCACAGTCGCTCGTACGACCAAAAGTCAGACATCTGGTTGGAGTCTTTGCCCTCAACAAACATTCAAGGTCCATGGAAGACGCCTATACGCTCCCACACAGGCCCGCGGCATGCCGAGTCGCAAGATAGATTGTATAAAGGATATGAGATCTGAGGAGGAATCGTCAATGTTGAGGGCCACGATCGAATTTCGCATACATGCTACGTCATGAATGGTGTAATGGATTAGGGCGGACCCGGAATTCTTCTGAAATAGCAAAAATTACAACAATAATACCCTTGAACTTGATATTACCATGGATAACCTGTACTGTCCGCAGCTTCCTACTTGTCGCATTGCATTGTGAACGTAAGATTGATGACTCAACAGATGACTAGTAGTTCATACGTGGAGCCATTTGGTCACAGCATGGTGCATGATTAGCAAGGGGATCTCTATGGATTAATGTGTTTGGCTGGGCAGAGAAGCTATTTTAGCTAAAGACGGGCTGCTTTTCATTGCTCACGGCTTTAAGTGCTAGTCCACTTGCCGTGCGAAAAACGGTATACTCACTAAATCCGGGGAAGCATTTTCCTAATCGGGTTGTAGCTTCTTTCGGCAAAGGTCCACTGTTTGGGGTGATTATAATGCTGGACATTCTGGACAATTTTTTAGCCATTAAATCCGACGTCGCACAACTGAGTAGGTATACTTGGCCAATCAACGGGCATTAAAGAATGTGTATAGAGGCTGCCGATGGCGTCGAATTGAGTCTATAAATATAGCCTAGACGTCCACGACCCGAGTGATTCAATCGCATCACAAAGTCATTCTAACTAGCACATCATTTACTATACCCGGATACAATCGTATAACATAAGCACCATGACCAACATTCTCATCAAAGATGCAGCACAAATTCCTGTCGCGGATCCGATCCCGGCACTTTCAATCAGTCGAGTGACCATTCCAGCGCCAGAAAGAGGTATCCCCATTGAACTGCGCATCACGGCTCCAGCTGCGGGCAAGGACATACCAATCATTCTCTTCTCTCACGGTCATGGCCCATCGCTGTATGTCCCATCCAAGGACGGCTATGGACCCCTGGTGAACTTTTACGCAGAGCGTGGTTTTGCCGTCATACAGCCTTCGCACTTGAACTCCAAGGTTTCGGGCCTGGATCCTAGTGCCCCGGACGGGCCAACCTTTGCGCGGTCGCGTCCAGGGGACATGAGTCTCATCCTAGACCAACTTGATGCCATTGAGTCTCAGGCTCCGTTTATCGCCGGCCGCCTAGACAGAAACAAGGTTGCGGTCGTCGGTCATTCGCTAGGAGGGGCCACGGCCGGACTTCTGCTGGGTGCACGATATCACAATCCCGAAGCCAACGTGGCCGACGTTGACTTGAGCGACAAGAGGATCAAGCTGGGCGTCCTACTGGGAGCGCCCGGCAACGGTTTCGAGAGCCTGACCGAGGTGGCCCGCAAAAAGTTCTCCTCGGCGCTCCACACGGACTGGACGCACCTGGCGACGCGGACGCTGGTCGTTGTCGGCGACGAGGACGAGTCCGCCTGGACCATCGGGGACGGCGCGGACTGGCACCGAGACTCGTACCGCTGTGGACCGGGCGCCGACTACCTCTTGACGCTGCACGGGGGCAAGCACGGGTTTGGTGGCGTAGCTGGGTGGGATGCCAAGGAGACGGACGACGAGGACCCGGAGAGGCTGGCCGTGACGCAGCGCCTGACTTGGGCGTATATTCGTTCTGGCTTGTATCCCGAGGATCCTGCTTGGAAAGTTGCGTGTCAAGCGCTGGAGGTGGTGGCGAGCAAACACGGTCATGTGGAGGCAAAGTCCTAAAGCCTTTGTAGATGGTTGGGAAATTCAGAGTAATATTAGGCAGATCAGACAGCCTCAGTCTTGTTATTAA